GGAGATGCTTCATTATTGGAGCATAGTACGACAACTTTGATGCAGCGATAAAGCGGCTTTCATTCGGCAAAATTACTAATGTAGGCGAACTTGAAGATGTTTTTCGCATCAGAAAGAAGCATTAACATACAAAATTTTGCCTGTTTAGCTTGTAATTGTTTAGCAAACAGACTAAAATGATGATAAGATTGAATGATGACTTCAGTGAAGAACGCTTCGATTCGCCCACTGTTCCGCATCTCTGGTCGAATGCCATTCGAATTTAAAGCATGTTTGAACAATGTATGTAAGATTTTTCCGTTATAGGAATGTTTCCATAGATTCGCATCTTCTTCGCCGAGATCACAAAGTACAGCGGTAAGAAACTGAATCGATGCTGATTCATAAACTCGCCCTTGAAATGGATTATCACAGTTCATTAGAAGATGTCGAATGAATAACTGATAATATTCCAAATTTGATTTTAAATTCAAATTGAGACCAAATGTGGCTTGCTGAAAAATAAAAGAAACCATTCTGCTGCTTTTCGTCAATGAAGATCATTTTTCATTACTCACTAAAGAAATATTCATCATCAGATACCGTACGAGTCCATCATTGTAAGAACAGTACCAATTGTTGTCATACCACTCTTTGGCGTAATCGGTTTTGATGATAACTATTCGAGCCAGGGCGTCATTCAAATACGCTTGATTGTCCGTTGAATGGAGACTGAAATGAAAAGTCATCAATAATGTTCGTATTACGAGAAAAAAATTCATCGAAAAGTTTACATGGCACAACAGAGAGAATTCGCTAATTCTACATGCAAGCGCTGAACTTCGGTGGATGGTAAATAATTGACATATCTATCCGATAGATTCGTTGCGCGTATAATTGAGGAGATTTTATGTTGAAAATCATGTTTTTCCATCTGAATATGATGCTCTTTATGCTTTCTTACTAGCCATTCCCGAATTAGTACAGCTGTGGCATAACTCTATTGAAAAAAAAACGCGTAGAAATTCCGTGAATTGACATTCTTGTCTTTCATACAAATTGTCCTAGGCAGATGTTATCGTGAAAGAACTCGAAATCATCTTCGTAATGTCGTTCCTTCATGTGATACTCCGGTATCCAATCTTGATGCCAAAGAAATTTTCTTCGCACGAAACTTTCATTCGCATGATGTTGAACAAACACACATGAATACAAATCATTTTCGATTAGTTCGAACAGATTTGTTTCCAGTTGCAAACGAATCGTTTTCGGATATTTAAAGATTTCTCCAATATCTTTATCGATATAATAGAATTCTTTGTCCGTCGGTTCTAAATCAAAGAATAGGCAATAATCGTGCAAGTGAAAATCCGGCCAAATTGATTCGATTTCTTTCCAGATTAACCACACAAGCCGAGCAACACGAACGGCATAATCATCTTTCGTTCGGTTAGTTTTCTTCCATTGCTTCAAAGGTGCCATCGGTTTGAGAATATCGAGTTCCGCCTCGATCGGAACATGCGCATGTTGTTTCAGATTCTCGCGAAGTTCTTTAATATGTTGCGAAGGTGTTGTATGAAAATGCATGAAGAAAAGTTTGCAAATGAAGATCAAGCGCTTTAATATAGATAAATAGTTTATTTTGGTTACTTATGAATTTCACTTTGCATAACAAAAACAAAAGAGAAGGAAATTATCACACGAGAAGAAGAAAAAAAGTTCGTTTTTGTTCAGTCAGTTATTGGATTTTTATCTAAATACATTGAAGAATAGAAAGGATGATTGGGAATCTAAATAGAACAGAATGAAAGATTTTCTGAGACGCAAATAATGGTGGCATACTTCAAGATGTGAAGAAAGTTTTGATGGCTGATACAAAGATTCATCATATTGAAATTCACCAGTTGTGTCCAAGCAAATTGAATCTGATTTTATCTGTTAAAAACAATCAATGAGTTTCGATGAGGAGTTAACATTCAAATACCTTTTTTGGTGCTTTGGACGAATGGGATTTCATTGAATTTTTTCGATCATTGGAGCTGTTCAGTGCCAATCGTTGCTTTGTTAGACTAAGTATAAGCAAAAGAAAGTGAATGTTCAACTTTTCAGTGAGAATACCAACCGGTCAAGTTCACATGCGATATGATTCTCTAATTTTTGTACAAGATTGTCGATTGTATCATTTTGTTGTTGAGAGAATTGAAATGGATGGGAAGAATGATGATCTTCTGCTATTGGACATGTCCGAGCGATACTCAAACAATACGCATCACTCGATAGCTCGTCGTTCTTTTGATGCTGAACAGGTTTTGTATTGTCATCAGCTCGATCGATTAGCAATTTCGGTTTTTCTGACGTTTTTTGTTCGTCGAGATATTTCCGAACATCATCAATTTTATTTTGAAGAAATTTCTATTAAAAAAAAAAGACGAAATCTTTCGATTTTCTCGCAAAATAATTATCATACCAGAACATTTCGCGTCGGCAATCGCTCAATCAACGATTCTCGGTCATATGTAAACGAAGTAACCGTTCTTTGAAAAAGCAAATCAAATAGAAATACAATTCGATTATATTCTCTCTTACGGAATGCTCGTATATGTATGCGATGGACTTTCCATTACCATAAGTAATTTTTTAATACAATCATACAGCGACCGCACACAAGTCTTCTCTGACACTTCCAAAGTCAACATCAATTCACGGCTACGTGTTGATATCTCCATATTTTCCTTGGAAAGTTGATCGACAGTTGTTTCCAATTCATGGATACGTTCTTGTAAACGAGTATACTCTTTATCTCGATCCTAAATAAAGAAATGACATAAACCATACGAACAGCTCTATCCTGTTCTTGTCCTTGTGTATACAATACTTGAGAGAATAAACTGTACTAATACGGTGAAACGAAAACAAACGGACAGTGTAAGTGAGTAAATACATCCACTCTTCTTCTTCTTCTATTCAATGCTATTTATGTAATCATCTTCACTGTAAATTTTTAAAACCTTGATACGACCAGTAATGATTATATGCGTTCTATTTCATTTAACTTCTAAAACTTCTGTTTACCATTGATATGATACGGTATTATGTTGGTTATTAACGCATCGAACATCAATTATAGGAGAAGTTTACAGAATGAAAACTTATAAATGATACAATATTGACTGAGGGAATGAGAATTTCTTTTGGGAGACTTTTTTTTGTTGAGGATTGGTTACATACCAATTGAAATTGATTTCGTAGTCGAGATATTTCATCGAGAAATTCTTTGCGACATTGTTCTTTCATATTGTACACTGAATTAATATGTTCACGAGCGCTTTCTTTCAACATCAATTGGGCTTCACTCGATTGCTAAAAGAATGAGAAAAGACAAACTGTGCAGAAAAAATTTCGTTAGTTTTAACTAACCATCTGAACTGTATACAATTTTTGCTCTAAACGTTGACAACGCTCCTGTTCGAGCTTCAATTGATCTTGTACATCTTTAAGAAAACGGGTTTTCTCCTCTTCGAATTTGGCTCGTTCACCGGCTAAGAAAAGTTCTTTATGTTCGTTCCAGATTTTCCTTTCTCGCTCCATTCGTGCTTCCATCTAGACCGAAGAAGAAGATTTGTTCCTGAATATCACATTTTGATGACAAACTTGTATCAACGCGTTTTTGTTTAATGTTGTCAATTCGATCAACTCGTTATCTTTTTGGAAAACCAGTGCTTTCAATTTGGCTATTTCGCGATCTTTTGTCTAAAAGAAATTAAACAGTATGAGAACATTAGATCAACGGTTGTTTCGTTGATTAGATTTACAAGTATAGTCCAATTTGAATTAGTAATCATCGTCGAGCGTTGAGATGGATTATGACTAACCTTGAAAATGACAAGATTTAGATTTTAATAATTCATGATAAAGACGATTAATTTATCTAACCGATTGTTCCATCGTTGAAGTTGATGGAATGATTTCATTTCTAAACAGATGTCTTCGTGAATAATTGAAACAGTTAAGACGAGATTTGTTTGCATACCTGAACATGTTAGTCAGTTCGCCTTTACGCTTTAATTCATCTTCTAAGATGCGAAATTTATCTTCGAATTTCTGCTGGTGAAGAGGACAAGAGCGTCGCTCATTCATGTTGTGTTATGTACGATGTTATCGCAATCAACATGTAAGAATAAAAGACGAAGAAAGAAGAAAAAAGAGTAAAACGAAAGTATGAGAAGAGTGAAGCTGTGCACAATGAACAAAGAAAAGATTGATACGATGCTGCTGGTGTTGGTAGTCAAATATTTGAAAGCGTGCTGTTGTCAGCACACACTTCTGCCGATTCTTTTTACACGATACGAGTGCACCACACCGTATATCTTTTTCTTCTTCTCGACATCTCCTTTTGTTCCTGACGACGAGACTTTCTTTTACATTTTCTCTTCTTTGAATACAATCTTATTCTTTTTTTTACACTAAGAGAACATTCCTAAATTGACTTCTTCTTTAGTTCTAACGAAGAGAAAAGATATCCTTGGACTTTCACGACATAAATTAGTCGTATTCTGTAATAGAATGAAGTCAACCGTTCATCATTTATGATGAAATCACTCAAGACAATAGACTCAAGTGACAAAAAGAAAGCACGCTACGTATTCAACACATTTCATCAACAAGAGCATCTCGTGTCTTCTTCGACTGTAGTATATAAATACCTAAACTGGAAATTTATTGTTCAATAATGCTTAGTTTTTCCTATGCTGAAGTCTTTGCTAGCTTGTTTGTTGTTTCCGAATACATACGCGTAATTAACTTGAGAAATAAATATAAGAAAGAACAGCGAAGGCCCATGAAAGAAAGAAAGAGAGAGAGAGAAAAAGGAAAAAACAAACAATACAAAGAATATTATCGGACGCGTATATATGAGAAAAACTACACAATCAAACAGTGGAATTGATCACCGTCATATGACAAACAAATAAAATAGAGATTAGAAATCACGAAAAAAGGAAAAGAAAGAAAAAAAAAGAAGCCTATTTAAATGTAACTCGTTGTCCGACGCCTGTCGTTGCCATTGTAGTTGTTAAATCTGATAGAGTTCTTCCATGAGCATCATCACTTTCATCCATACTACCACGATGCATACTAATTCCACCCAAATGTGCATGTTCATTATGACTGCCAGTGCTGTCTTCAGGTGTTTTCAATGGATCATGATCATGTTTTTCGCCACCAGCTAATATACTAGTGAGATGTCCACCACCACCACTACCACCAACACCGCTGGAATTACCACTAGTACCGGTTGTACTGGCACCATGACGTTGAAATGCTTGCATGGAAAATCGACGATTTTTTCGTCGTTGACCGTGTCGTTTGGTTAAATGCGGATTATCTTTGCGCATTGTTTTCGTTTTCAAAACATGTAATGATGTATACAAACGTTTCAATTCCGCCTTGAAAGAGACGACATGTAGATATTACCGCGAAATTCTCTTCGACTTACTCGAATTTCTTCTGGGTCCATGTCACGTATATTCAATTCACCAAATTCCACATCACCATTCGAATGTAATTTAGTAAACAAATCTGCGGGCTCACCGCCGTCTGCCACTGAACGAAATCGATCGCGTCCTACAAATTCTTCATTAAACGGTCGATAGATATAACATAACTAAATCAATACCAGAACTAGTCTTTTCAAATCAAACAAAACTGCAAGGAACTATACCTTTGTACAAAAAATGAGTATGAGCATACATGTCACTGTAAAATGACACCGAAATACAGATAGAATAAACAATGCATCAGGAGTCACACTTGACCATAAACAATCTCTAGAAAGAAAAGAAAACAATGCACGAGTGAGTTTCATACATGTTGACAAACATCTTCAAAAACGTACTTTATAACATGAAGTAATGTCGAAAAAAGCATCTCACACACGATAACAATTGTAATTAGCTTTCTTTCGTGATATTCACATGGAGCTGTTCTTGTACTATATATAAAACGAATGCCAATACAAAGGAAAACAAATTCCGCTAGAAAAGAAAACATAGAATTCTCTATCAATCTCTGCGAATTATGTATTCGACGAACCGAATTGAATAAGGTAATCCCATGTTCGTGGACGACAAGTTTTAAAAAATGTTTCGTCTTTCAGTGTACGACCATTGCCTAACAGATACTTTCCCAATGAAATATTCTCATTGGCATGATCGATATTAACTAATGTCCAACCGAGTAGATAACCAATAATGGAGATTGAAAGGAACGATAATATACGTAAAATATCTTTTTCTTTCACTTGCACACAATGTGCTTTACGTGATTGAAATTCAGCTAGCATTCTATAAATAGAACATGACGAAGAAAAAACATGCGTTACATTTGTTAATGACAATTTACTTATAAATCCTTAATATTAATGTTCCATACACAATTGTAAAACCTAATTCACGTAACCAAGGTATAACTAAACAAACAATTCCATGTGGACCGAAACTATCGACGATAACCTAGAAAAAAAATCCAATCAATTTCTGTCGACTAAGTCTGCACTAGTCTGTCTTACGGATGCATAAAGTAAAACAGCGCCGAGAAGGATCAGTTCGAGTAAAATCCACATCGAGTATTTGATGATTTTGGTTTTTCGCTTTTGAAAAATAATCGCAGCAAGAATAGCAACAAAAACAATGAATATTGATTGAATGATAATTACGATTGTTCGTAAGAATTTATTATGAGTTAATCCACACAGTTGTGGATTACATTTACATGAATTCAACTTCGATGTTAGCGAACCATTAGCACTCGTTTCATTCCATTCTAGTCCATTACCGTCAACAGTTATGGTGATGTTTTCTTCCAAATTTGAGCAACGACACGTATAGGCACCCAATGTAAAACCTTGGCCAGATCGAAAGATACACTAAGAAGAAATCGAAAGATTAGATATACGTGACTTAGATCAATTCTTTTACCTCCATTCCAGTTGAACATTTATGCGTGCCACCAAACGGTACATCATTGGCAGCACATTGATTGATATCAACAGATGAAATATTGAAATAGGTAACAAAAAAATAACTAGAAATTATAAGAAGATTAGTTACGTTTTACTTTGTTCGTTCGCTCGAAGAAAGAGACTCTCTACCTGATTGTCAAGGGAAAAATATGTGCCATTAAAAAAGTTTCATTTTTATTCTTTTCACATAGAACAGGTCCGATCCACCATCCATCATGAAATAACGTATTGTTACTATTATCATTTGCTTGTTTCAATGTTTCACGTGCATTAGCGGCGGTAAACGTTTGTAGAATAGTATTCAGATTTCGCTTCAATTGTATCTCGCGAATTGAATCAAGGTCGGCATGATTTGTTGAAGAGTTATTTTCTGAACGATAGAATTTTAGTGTATCATAATAAATGTATGCACCACCATTCTCGTTTGATGGTGGCTTATCAAGCACGATGTTGATTTCTTTGACGGATGGTTGACGGTGGAGTAGAGAGCGAATCTTATCTCGGTTTTGATCTTGGAATTTAGCTAAGGCGAAGTCACCTAAACCATTCGATGATAGATTTAATTTTTGACGAATTTGACTAGCAGTGCTTTTCACTTCGTGAAGTGTGTCTTGAAAAGTTCTCTCGACCAGATTTATCGTTTCGGATGAAAGAGTTTTGGATGGAGGGGGATAGTAGGTATCATCAGATGCCATATTTATTGTACAATCGGCTAGGACAGTTGAATTTACACCATAGGATAACATTCGGCGTAACATTTCCGTATAATGTCGCGCATCGTTCGCATCATTGTGATTCGTTATCAATTGTCTTTTTACACGATGGTTCAGATCGAAGTCTGTCTGTTTTTGTTTCGGATATCGAATGAAAAATGTGAAGGAGAGTACGAGAATGGAACTGAGTAAGAAAAGGATCAAGTACGAACGAATCCGTCGAAAGTCTAAACATGATTGTTTCAATTTCGGCAGTGTTAACATATGTGAATGTTTGTGTTGAAGTTGAATGTACGATGACAATTCTGTGAATTTTCCGACTGCCGTTGCTGCTGCTGCTGCTGCTGATGATGATGTTGATGATATATGATCATAGTCATCGCGTGAATGATAATGTTGTTGTTCAGATTTTTTCTGTCTCATGATTAGAATCACAATAATAATATTTTCAAGCTAGAAAAGAAAGACGAAAAAAAAAGAAGGGATATATAATTGAATTGTATACTAGTTATGATTTTTTTTATTCTGTATATATTAGTCGAACAAGCAAATGAAGCAGAATAATTGAAAAAGAGAAATAAAGAATTTTTTTGACTAGGAAAGAAAGAAAAAAGAAATAGATAAAGGAGAAGAAGAAGAAGAAGATAATTAATGATCAATAGCCAGAAGAAGTCGATTTTTTTCTTTTGCTTTTTATTATTCAATAGACAAGATAATTTCAATTTGACGAAGAGATTAAATTTTATTAGGAGAAACTCTGACTTTGTTGCTTACTGACTACTAGTTTCTTTTTCTCCTCCTCCTCTTCTTCTTCGACATCTTTTTCCTTATGAGTTATAGGCTGTTCTATCTAAACTACAATACAGAATTACTCGACTTCGTCGACGTTGTCGCAAAGACTAAATCTGTTCTGTCTTTCTTCGACGTCGACTTCTTCTCCTTCTTCTCTTCTTTTCCTGCGTGACGCCCGGGCGCACACAAGCAGACTTGTGTTCGCAAGCTCGCTCGATAATTGATCATTTGTTTTTTGACATTCACTTGGTTCCTAGACCCTCAATGCACGCGTCGAATCGTGTGCACTACTTGTAAGTTCCACGGATCTCAATCTACGCTCGTGCGTCCGAGTAATGAATATCCCAATTCGCATTTCCTCGTTCGCTCTCTATCTTTGCTCGATAATCATGTTCCGTTGTTGGTCTGGATGTCTCCTAATAATAGAACTGATTATGTTACATATATATAGCACATGTTTTCTTCTCTCTCTCTCTCTCTCTCTCTCATTGTCAGTTTTCTTTTGTCTCTTCAATTCAATTGTTGTCATTGACAAGAATATGAAACGGATATTCTTAGTGTGTAGATCGATTCTGATAAATTGATGAGACAAGTTCACAAATAATAAATGACCATCTGTTTGCTGTAAAATAATCAGATGACAAAAAACAACAAATACATATCATCTCATCGATGAGATAGAGAGAGAGAAAGAAAGAAAAGAAATATGTGCTAATATAGATAGACGAGATGCTTATCAAAATATTTTCCAATGAGTCGAAAATGAAGAAATGACTGAATTAAACAAATGTTGATAATGAAGACAGTCAAAGTAAATAAATAAATCAACTGATGAATGATCTGATGAAATCGAAGATAGGAATGGCAAATGCGAATATTTGCAGACATATAAAATCATCATGAACTATCATATCGCATTTTTCCTCATATATTTATTTGTCTGTAAATAGATGATTAGTATATGCATATTGTATAATCAAACTTACCACAAATAATCGATGTTCACTTTGATGTCATCATTTTTTATTTGTATTAAACAAAAACGACCATTTGTATATATACATATATAATCAACCTAATGTATAATTAGTTTTCTGTTAGTTATTTCGATCTCATCTCTTTTGTTTACGGACTCTTTCACATATACACACACACGCACATAGATTTACTACATAAAAATATTTAAAAAAAAGATGCACTCGAATGTGTATGTATAACTCAAAAGAAAAAGTATCGTTTTGCAATCGTTTTTCTCTCCTCGTACAAATTCAAATAGATAGATATGTTGTTTAACTATCTATTTTATTGTTCGACTACGCGTTCTCATAGTAAATTTTATTGACATGCATTTAGTTGGACGCGCGCGCCTGTCTTTAAACAAGAGAAGAGGAAAAAAAGATGAAGGGCAAATTTTTCGCACTTTCTTACACATATACTCTAATTCTCACCGGAATTCTTCAATGCGGACGCACGATCGTTTCCTTTCGAAGACGAGTCGAATCGACGCATCACTACATAGACAACATAGATGTAGATCTCATGTTTGCCTCGACAAAAAGCTTAGTCTTTAGCAAGCAAACAAGCAGCACTGGAGGCATCCCTCTTCTCTCCTACTATTATTCCTCATTTTCTTCTGTTGCTTCTCTTTCTTCTTCTCCTTCTCCTTCTTCTTTTCATCGTCTTCGTCTTTTCCTTCTTATTCTGGCTTTTTTTTTTCTTTTGCTTTTCTTTATTTTTTTTTCTCTGTTATGAGCGTACGAATGCTTTGGTAGGAACCGACAGTAGTCCTTCACTTCTGTGCTTGTTCTTCGACGATGGTGACGATAGTAGAAAACGCCGTTTTTTGTCGCATTCACTGGCATTTCTTTCCATATCTTGAACAGCATTAATAACAACGCCAGTCTTCAGAGCTTCTCTCTTTTTCTCTCCTCTTGTTCTTCGTTTCTTTTTTTTTACACAACTAAACACAAATGTATGCGGTATCGGCGTAACCTATACGAGACTGAAGATGACGAACACTCATCGTTGTTGCCGAGAAAGACAATGTGACTACGACTCTGAATACATACACTCAAGAGAAAAGTAACCCAGAGAGAGAGAGAGAGAGAGCGAGAGAAAAGCAGGAAAAATGCGAAATAACAATGATAGTTCATGTGTTTGATAAACGATTGTTCATTCACAATCATGTTAATAATGCTCGTTGCACAAGAATGATACTTAACAATGTACTAAAAGATACAGCTGAAACATTACTAAGTGACACCCTCACAAATTCCGACACTATGCCTGATGCGAAGATTATCAATACGATCTCTATGAATTAATGCATATCTGACTGTTTAGATTAGATAATTTAACTCTCAATCGAAACTAAAAGAACTTGTCACGATAAAAAACAACATCACACTGACTTTCGTGTCCAGTTCTATATTTATATTTGTCTTAGTAATAGATCTTGTGATGCATCTCGAAGAAAGATAGATAGATAGATAGATTGAGAACTTCACGCGATAATGATGTATATCAATAAAAACATATCTGTTTCCATCATAGTCGGAGCATTTACAGATGGTATCTCTTCCTTAACAGTGTGCTTATGGATATTTCTATGATAAATAAATAACACAGAGAATCGAGTATGAATGCTCAACAGATCTTCTATCATCATCTTATTGACATTAGTTGGCAAAGAAAGAGAGAAAGAAGATCGATGGATTAGTAATCTGTTGGATTCATTTGCGTTTTTATCGACACTTGTTCGGAATAATCACAGATCGATTAATATCAATCAAGGGATAGATTCATATTATGATTATTTTTTTTGTCTTGTCTCTATGTTATTCATTCAATAGAGGAAACTACGAAAGTATTTACATGAACGAAGAGATACTAGCAGAAAAAAAGCAGCTTTTTCGTGCACTTTACTGTAATCGAAGCACTACACTTAACATTAAAGATAGATTCATTGAAATTACCATTCTGATCGGTAAAACTTGATCAGTTAGTTTTATTTTTCTTTCGTGTTTTTTTTTCTCTTCAATTGATAACAAACAAACAGACAAAACATTGTTAACAAATTACATCCATGGAAAAGCACTATGAGTAGAAAAATTTCCCTGAAATGATGATTGCTGTGTTGATTGATCATTTGCATTATTAGAATTAGAACTGATTACATTAGAGAATGTAAATGGATTCGAATTTGATGCTGCACTTGTGCTATTTTGCCAAAATGCTTGTGGTAGTGCCGCAGGACGTGACTGGAAGGAACTCGCATTCGAAGTATTTTGAAACCAGTTTGGTATGTTAGGCGCAGGTCGGTTGTCAGCATTATTACCGCCACGACGAAAGCCTCGCTGTTGACCTCGTCCTCGGCCGCGTTGCAAATTGGAGAAATTCGGTGAAAATCTAAGAAAAGATGACAATCAATTATCGGATTAGTCTCCTATGAGAATCAATTCAATGTACACATTAGGATGATTAATTGTTGTTGTCAGTGGGGGTGATACAACATCTGCAATTGATTCATCGGTATTATCATCGAGACTTCTCTTTCCTTTTAACACAGCTTTGGCAATACGTTCTTGTTCATCGTCACTATAATCCAAGGCAAATTTGGGTGGTTCATTATCATCTTCCCATGACGCGTCAGAACCTTTTAATGCTCTTAATTCTTGAACGAACACATATTTAGTGTAAGTTGTTTCTTTGGGCGCATAGAATACTTCTTGATTTAATTCAATCTGACGTTGATGAATGCTATCAATATCGTTATAACGAATAGAATAGCAAGGCTTTTCAACTGGTCCGAATGTTTCAAATACTAGCCCGATGGATCGACGATCACGATTGAAGAGTACACTGTCGTCATTTAATGCCGGTGAATGTAACAATGATTCGATAATAACTAATTTGCCATCGATGATATGACGAATGTATCCTATGCGCTCAATAGGTGTTTCTTCGCTAAGTGTGATAGTTAGATTTTCAATAGGTGGGAGATCTTCGACGGAAAGTTCGTTGCGCGTACGTACACCTTGACGATTACGAAGTGCTTTTTGCTCATCCGTATCGGAATCGGAATCTTGGTTAATTAATGTACTAGATTAAGTAAAAGATGATTGAAGAGCAAAGTAGAGACTTGAAATTTACTTTTTGTCATCAGATAGACATGATTCATCGGACGACGATGAACTATCATCTTCGGAACTTGAAAAAATCCGACGTTTCTTCTGCTTTGACTGACGTGGCAGTTTCTTATGATGACGTGGTTCGAGTTTAACTGATATATTTTCAGAAAGGCTATTTATAAATTGAGCCCGATCAAGAAGTTCGTTGAGAAGAGTTTTCACTTGATTATCAACTGAAACAACAAAATGGAAGATATTTTTAACCGCTCGTACGAAAGGAAAGAAACGACGCGTTAGGCACGACTGTTTTCTCTGGATCAGTTTCTCCGTAAATATTCGGTTTTATTCAAGCAGATAAGACTGATGATATGCTTAAAAAGGTGGAGAAAATCTTTTCTGACATGATGTTTAACAAAGCAAGTTTTCTATTAATGAATAGTCATCTCGACTGTAAATGATAGTAATCATGTCAGTAAAACATTGACATACAGATGTGGACGATTAATGGATGAAATGTTTATATAAACTTACTCAAATTGCATAAACATTCACAACAAAAGAGAGATTTTTAGCTAGTTCTCAAATATCCCCTGGATAGATTTTGTTTGTTTTAATCATTCTGATGTTTTCTAGCTGAAGTTATTAATAGGAAAGATATCATCAATATCAGATGTTTCGTTACCTGAATCGGCGGAATCTGTGCTTTCCATTGTCTAATAAAATCGAATATTAATCTAAAAAAAGCCATTAAAATTGTCTACAAAATTATGATTTCATTATAAAAAAAAATGAAATTTATATAAGAGAAAAGCAAATAGATCTGAAATCATTATCATCAGTTATATTACGATTTTTGCTTTGTCGTTCCTCTTGATCCGAGGAATTAATGACAATAGTCGGTTAGATGCTATTCATGCATTGTTATTCTCCTCGGTAGTATCCGATGAAGGCTATTGTTCATCATTCTGAGTAGTGTCTGCACGTGCATTGCTTCGTCTTGAAGCAAAATGATCTGTTCTCGAAGGATGCACGGGAGCTGCTGATCGGTGGATATTGTTTGCACGTATATCGTTGGATTCAACAGCAGGTTGACCATCGTCGTTCTCCTCTCGAGTTGGACTGATTTCCCGCATGTAGTCTGATGAGATATTTTTATAACGGAAAAGATGTTCGGAATTTTGATCGGAAAAGTGACTTAAATTCGTTGTGGCAAAACCATAACTACGCTTCGTAAGTACACGCGACGTTGATGCAGGAACGATAGCACATTCGTTTGATGATTCGGTTGTAGGTTTTTTAGCAAAAATACGCGAGACGTGATTTCCAATTGCACCAAAGATCGATTCGCCAGATGACGTGGAAGCTGCCACTGGTAATGGTGGTGCTGCAATGGCTGACATTTGAGATGAAGTCGCTGCCTTTCGGGATCTTGAGGAAATAACTTGCGATTGCAAATCATTACTGGCTTTATGCCAACGTCTAGAAAAGAAAAGGTTTTAGGAAAGAAATCATCGTTAAACATTCGTACCTTTCGTTGAATTGATCCGTTGCGTCAAATCCACGAGATCGTATTTTCGAATTCAATTTATCCATATAAGCTAAACGTTGTTTTTGTACGACAGGTGTTGACCATTTAGAACATGCGTGAGTTCCATCAAACTCCTCCTCGTCAGATATTGCGACCCTAAAAGCACATCAAACATTTGATTGTACAAACGAAAGGAATTTTATCAAGAGATATGTACATCATATCATTTGCTGTACTTCGAATATGATTTTCTGCAATAATACTTCGCACAGCATTTTCTTCTGCTACTTCTCGGTCAACCGTTGTTTCTTTTAGTTGTGTTAAAACACGTAATGCTTTGCTACCATCCGCTGCTGTATACGTAACTTGAACTTGAAATGGTAATTGTTGCAATTGATCCAAGTCAATATTATATTTTTCTTTAACCTCTATAAACAAGACAAATCGGTTGTACGCTAAGTCATTGTCGATGAATACCAACCTTGTTTATTTCTCACACCGAATTCAAATGTTATTTCAGTATGCTTTGTTACGTTTCCAATTGTGCGTTTGATCATACAAAGTTTCTCTTCGGAATCATTGGGATTTCGAATGTACAAACCACGATGGAGAACTAATGTGGCTTCGACATTGGTCGCAATCACTTCTTGCTCCAGAATTGAAGCAAATTCATCACGTATATTCAATAAATCTACAATTGTTACATTACCACCCGTACCATCCGCCTAAACAAAGAGGGTTTTGTGTCAATATAATCAATACACCATATTGTTGTACTCACCATTTGCCCAATAACAGGTAATAGACATGAAGTACCTAAGCGCCTGGCAATGTATAAGGAGAAAAGTGATCGAGCTATTGTTTACCTTTAATAGTGATCACGGATATGCTTACACCTTTGTCTCGAGCGCGTTCGGTCACTTAAAAATAACGAGATGCGCGCGAAGATCGATTAAATCGGAAACGTTTACCTTCTGCATAGAACTGATTTCCGTCATGAAGTGCTTGGATTTTAGCAGTTTCATCCACCTTTCCATCTTGTGCAATTTCCAAATTACCTAAACCTCGATTCGCTAAGCCTGTCAGACAAAGATGCGTATGTTTAACTTCAATTCCTCTACAGTGTTTGTTTTACCATCAGTACAAATAACTATTTTCGAGCCTTGACGTTTTGATGCGATATTAAGCGCGAAAATCACAGCTGGGCCAAGTGCTGTTTGTCCACCTTCTTCAAGATCATAGACACGTTCAGTTAATTTCGTTTTCGTTTGTGATACAGCTCTCATTTCGCTATTCAATTCTTTCTCCGCTTCATGTAATAAATCCTCACCACTATTCAACTTATCACCACGGATAACTAATGGTTCATCCTTCGCACCATCGCCTAAAATAATCAAGTTAGGTTAATAATTATCTCTGAAATTCCGTACCATAGTAAGTAATTTCATGGTTAAATGTCAACAGCAAAGCACGTTTGGTCGGTGTATCTTTAACAAGCTTGTCTAAATTCGCAGCTACAGCCATCTGGACACCTTGCAATCGAGTGACATATGTTTGATTACGGTGTCGAACCATTTGAGCACCACCAAATGCATCTGCTGCCCGTTCTTGTTGCCTCAGCGCGTTTGGTAAATTGAAAGCGCCGTGTACTAATGTTGTCGATGACATCGAACCGCTAATATCAATAAGGAAGAAGACCATCGAATCGTCGACACCAGTCATATCTGACCCGTGAACAACAGGAGCTGGTGTAAGTAAATACGTGGCATCTTCTTGTTTAGGTATATCACTTTGCTCAATATCAACTGTATTGACATGCGGACAAAATTCACAATGCCATTTGGATTCTGTTTCGTCGGAGTTTGATTTCTCAATTTGAATTTGACTCAAATGTGAAGTAATGGCTTGACATTCTATACAATAAACAGGATCACCCGCGTGCATTTCACCTAGAAGAACGGTTTTTGAATGTGTCTATGAACGAAGATAACTCCAGTAGTTACTTGGCTGAAGTAATCGATTAAATTTAACGCTGAGAACATTGGTATCTGGTTTACGTAAACGTTTTCGTTTCAGTGATTTGTCCGCTACTATTGCAACTTGTTTTTGGTCTTTACTCTCCGTTTTGTCTTCGCTTAAAAGTAAATTTGCATTGAATTACTTTGGACAACCTTTCTTCCTCCTACCGCGATTTAATTCGGGGTATAAACAACGGATCTGCATCGTTTTCAGGATCTCCGTCATCATCGGACACTGATTCTGACTCCGAATGTGCGTACTTATAAATATATTTCGATCCGAAGTCCATCTTCAAAGCTTAAAATCTAAAACAGATGGATAAACAAGTTTAAAATAAAATCTTTCTTCTTCGAAAAAGGAAGAAAAGCACAGGAAGTCAATTTGCATAATCGATCACTGCTTGCATTGTGTTCAAGAGTCGTACATGTCTGTTTCTTTCGAAAAATACAGTTAGTCTTATTTGTTCTTGACTCGTTCTATTAAAAAATAAGATTTCATCTCGACAAATTGATGAAGAAGAGAAGTGAAAAAGAGTCTTCTTTCAATTCATAAGAACATGGCCTCAAGTCTTATGTAGTTTTTTCCTTTTTTTAGAACTGTATGAAAACGACGAACGACAAGGAAGAATAAACAACCAAACAAACAAGAAAAAATGACTTGAAAAATGCTACAAGGTTGAAACATAAACATATAATCTTGAAAAAAATAGAAAGAATCAAGCTGAAGTACACACGCACACAGAGAAAGAAGATGGGAGGACATCAAAACTAGAGAAAAACTATAAGAGAGAAAATAGCTCGGGTAGAAAAAAAAAGACAAGATTATTCATTAGTGTTCGTTAATGACTCAGATGATAAATATTGTTTGGAAAAATCGTTTAATTCATTATCAATTTGATCACCTTGTTTTTTCAATTTCTTTCCTTTATCGATGTATTTTAATAATTGATCAATTTCAATTTTCTTCTGTTTCATACTATCGGTTAAATCATCTTTTTCCATATCGACGTAGCGTATAGTCTGTGCGAAATACATCGATAGTTCTTGTTGAACTTGCGCACTGGCACTGCCCGATGTCATATCCACAATTAATTTCATTTTCGACGAAGCGTAATCAGCATATTGGCGTTTAAATGCACGTTCCTGTGCCTTTTTGGTCCACATCAATCTTTCGTAAGCATATAAACAACCATAGATACCCGCCACGACACCTAAAACTTTCCAGCCTACACTTCGCCATACTAATGCACAACCACCCAAAGCAACCAAACCAGATTTGGTCGTCAGTGCGGAGATATTATTTGCTGTTGATAACAAATCGTTTGTCGAACTGAGTAACGACGATGTGGATGGTGAAGTTAATTCATAATTAGATTTTGAGCCAGTTATGGACTCTTTTTGATTCTGAACAAACTTTTGCCATAAACTAGTAAAACCTAATGAGAATTTGAATTGAATATCTTCACGAAAATCTGAACATAGATTCAAGCAGTCCAAACGGTATGAAACAGCGAAATCTGAACGTGGAACGATGGAATCAACGAGAGTTTTACGTTCATTGTTTTCAATAACGCCTTTGACTCGATCTTTGATCTCACGATGAACATGATCTAGTGATGAATGTAATGCATGGTGCAGACGAGTTTGCAGATTTGAACCGAGACGCTCTTCGACCCAACGATGTAAATCGCGTTTGTATAGTGGGATTTGTTCAGGATCAGATGAAAACGGACGATCGAATTCTTCAATCAATGTATAAAGACTGAAAAGAAAATATGACACATGAATATTCCTTTGAGATTGACTAATTTTAATCCGCAGTATGGGAATCACTCTCAAGACATATAGGTATGTGAGTTTAATCAATTTGTTTGTATTAAATTTCGCTTTCTCTCTCCCTCTCTTTGTGATCTACCACGATTAATTACGAGGAAAGAAAAACACGTTGCGTAACAACTTTTTATGACTCACACATGGGTTCGCAAGTTGTACGATGAACTCTGACTATCGAGATAAATGAAAAGTACAAATGACGTCATCTTCCAGGCGAAAACAAGAACGTTCGTATTTGTAGGAAGAAAGATGATGCAATGTCCGTATTATCAAACGACTTACCGTCTGATTTCATCATTTAGTGTTTGTGCAACTCGTTTGTAAACATCTTCAGATACATGTCGGATCTTATCCTTCGCTGTTTCTGTCATTGAGCGTAGTTCTCGCTCGAGTTTATTATTCTTTTCGTCCATGTCAGTTAACTTTTGAACTGCTTCTTGTTTTAACGTTTGAGATCGATTGGCGATATTAGATGTAGTGTCACGTAATATACTGATAATTTCTTTGCCTCGGTTGGTGTGTTGTTCGAACTTTGTTTGAACAGCTGTTTTTGAAATACATTTTTCAAATTCATGCTCGAAATTATTGAATTCAGCAAAGCGTTCCTCGTGACCTAAATCGGATAATAATTCTATGTTCTTTTGCATGAAATCAATCGTTTACCATCACTAAAACCAGTTCGCGGCGAACTGGTTGGATCTTTATTGCGTTTTAACAGAGCTTCACGTGCTGATATAAAAAACATGCGATGTTCAGACGCTTCTTGTCGATCGCATATGTGTAATTCATCGCATAGGAATTCTAAACCACGATCTAGATGTTGTTGTCTCACCTAAACCATTGATAAGACGTAAAAATTTTCTTAAGAAAACCATTTACCGAGTCAACCATTTCTGGTTCGTTTGCTGTCGCATCCCAACGGTTCATTAAGATAAAAATATTTGGATTTGATAAACGTTGTGCAACGTTATGTAAAAATTTCTTCTCCTAAAATTTGGTTCGCAAGAATTCTCCGAGAGTGTTTCATGTTATTCAAACTTACAGCAACTGTAATTGTTGCTTCAGCAGATATGACAAGTACAAACACATCAGCATCTAGACAATGTTGTTCGATCCATTGATCGAGATTTGCAGACACATCAATGCCAGGACTAAATATACAACTTAATGACATTATTTAATTGAACAATTCACTTACCTGTCGACAAGAACAACATCATCTCGAATAAGACGACATTTTTCTTTTGGCCACAAGATTTTTACGAGCGAGTCCGAATCAAGTTTTTCTCTTGATAGAGCACTTCCAACATTGCCCAAACTCTATATCAAACACAGATTCTCATTCAAACTCTTGTCTTCGTCACATTCGCGTCGAATACTTACACTAACACTTTTGGGTTCATCTGAACCGGGTGTGAGAACATACGGTTCAGCTTTATCTGTTCCTTCGATCTAAATTCATCGAAAAATGTATTTTTCATTTTACAAATGATTCCTTGTACTTGAAGAAAGCAATTTGTAGTGTGTCCCATTCCAACTGGTAAGATGCGTTCACGTAACATTGCATTCATGGTTGTACTTTTCCCATTACTTGTTCTGAACGAAAAAAAGGCGAAGGTAACATCTAACAAATTCATTGCAATTAACGAACCTTCCAAAGAAAACCACTTTCATGTGATCACGTGATATGATACTTAAAATACGGTTCACTTTCTCTTTCAATTGTTGAATCTCTTTATATTTCTCATTAGTTAGCAAATTCCGATCTGATTTGTTCACGTCTACAAATAGGAGATTCACAAATAATTCTTGAACAGCTTCAATTGTCTAAACAAACCGTCGAGAAATTTATTAGCGTCACCGACGTATACCGAGATGCTTTTGAATATTTCTGTTATCGTTGTTTTAGCATGAGTAAATAGCTTTAGCGGCGAATTCGCATCTAAATAGATCGAACTATCAGTATTGCTTATGATATTCTTGTGTACTTACTATTTACACTATCTTGACGGCTAGGTCCAAGCATTGTCGGTTTTTCACGAATGATACTGCCTGACATAATTATTCGTCTAAAAGAAAGAGATTGTTGGATGAAACTGTTTGATTCCTATAATACTTTTCTACATTCGGAAGCAATAAAGGAAAAACATCGACTGCCGATAAAAACGGAGAATCAAACATTTCAATAAACAAAGAAAAACTGAGATTCGATTATGGAGGGAAAAAAGAAGAGTTTTTTCTCTCTCGCTCAGATGAATAAACAAAAGTAGAGTTCATTTTATATAAATGAAAGGAGCAGCAGTTAGGTAAAATGATTTCTTGATTGGATGATGAAGGACGCACACGAGAAAACTCGAGATGGATGAATCATGCATTTTCAAAATGATTACATGAATTGTACGATTCCCTCTCATTCAATACTCATTCGTTCCGCCAATAAAAATCTAGAAATTCGTCTATCAGAGTACGTAAAAAGAAACCAAACGAAACGTACCTAGGTATTTGCTGTCCTCTATTACTACACAGCTACATCACCCATTATCATGCTCTATGCTCTCTACAAAACATTTTTTTATTGGACAGTGTTCTTCACTAATGGTATTCTTGTTATGATCCTCTTTTCCTTTCCTCGAAGCATCTCACATCTATCGATCGATTACATCTTACTTGCTGTATTCGCCAATACATTTTTCAAACTTTGCCCAGACAGACACTAATCGTATCGACTACGACAGGTACTTACCTACTTGGTCAACATAACTCTGATCAATTAGATAATACAACATATACTGAATGATGCAGTCGTTTTGAAAGACGATTGATGTATATTCATTAGTAAAAGTTTAGTTAAAAATGTTATTTCATCTCGTTTCTCTACTTTGTGAAGAAAGCAGTTGGATGAAACTTTTTACGTTTCTATTTTCTGCTTTAATAAAACCGAAAACTTAAAATATCTTTAGTCAGATATGCGAATAAACTTTCTCACGACGGTTTCATTCGAAACTGGCAGCACCGTGTCGATGTCATCCACATTTTGGATGAAGTGCGAATACTGCTATTGTCTCGGGTGGACGATGCATGTTTTCAGCAAGAGATCACTTCTTTTTTGTATCCTGACCAACGTCTAGAATGATGACTCCTGAAGTAGTTTTTCATGAATTCTCGATGAAGATATATGGAAAAATCGTCGTTTCCGTGTCGAACTGTTTGGTCTAGCTATGGCTACTATAAATGTGTATTTGATAATTCTCTTCGTTAAGAAATGCTCCATGATTAGATTCATGTTTTAACACGAGAATAAATTGTGATTGAGACATAACTGAAGTAAAAAGATTTGATTGTTAATAAACACTCTAGGTTTATTATCATATTTGTAAAAATTTCGATTCGATATCAAGAGAGATGTCTTTTGATTGAACATAAATGCTGTTTTTTTTGTTCGTTTGTTTGCAGCGATCACCAGATTTCATTTGTTCTTGAACGTCCGATGAAAATTAGCATGATAGATGTCGTTGTTCAATATTCACAGATCTCTATGACAACGAACAGTACGATTAGTAAAGATCATCTTACTATTTCAAATGGCAACAGCTAGTTCAAGCCAAGGAGAAACTCAAAGACGACGTTTACCGAAATTAACACCACCACCAAATCCAGTTAGTGCAAGTAGTGATGAAACACCGCGTACAACTACTGGAGAAGATACTGCTCGAGAACGACGACGTGCTCGGCAACGATTAGCTTATGAGGGAACACCTGATGGCCGAGAAATAGCATCACCACCAACTGTCAAAGATGTAAGTTTAAATGTTTTCTTCAGTCTATTTTGTTTACTATTGAATCGAAACTTAGACATCGTTACCACCGCGATCGAATCCTGGTGATGATCGCCAAACAACGAAACGACGTAAAGCTCGTCGCCGTATTCAATCATCGTAATTTTGTTTATCTTTCCGATTCATGTTAGGTTTTATCTTTATTGAATTTAGATCAAATGCAGAACAAGAGCCATCACTTCTTCGAGGTTTCGAAGACGAAGTTATCGTCGAAAAATCGAAGAAATCCAACGAACTAATATTACCAGATCTTTTATTATCAAGTACATATGCTGGTACTACACCTTCAAAAAATGCTCCGACACCTCGCATTTATTTCGAAGATAAGAGTACGATTATTTCTTCATTTACTGTTCAATGCTCTAATATTGCTCTCTTACAGATAAATTTTCAAGTGTGAACAAAGATGCTGCTACCGTACGTTTAGGCAATCGATCAGGACAATCACCATTTACGCTTGGTCATGATGATCATCATACATTTCAACAGCAGACAGCTGAAGTTTTAAAACGTTTCACTGTGCAAGTAGCTAAACAGACACATAGTGCTCTGCAAAAATTCTTTCTCTTCATACACGGCATCAATGCTGGTTATGCATTATGGGTGTGTGTATTCGCATTCGTGTTCACCAATGACAATAGTGTCTGCCAATTTTTTCAAGTCTATCGCAACATTGCATTAATTACACATCTCTTATTTTATATTTTTCTGGCTATTTGTATGGTCGATGTATTAGATAGGTAAATCGATTGTTTTGTTCAGCCAAACTCTACTTTGTCGCTTTCATTCATTAGGATTGATCCTGTGAAATTTAGTAGAACAGTCTTATTACAAACAATTACTGCACAAAATAGTGGACCGGCTTTACTCTTATATACCGTAGCTATGGTAGTTAATTTAGTGATGATGAAAACAGAAGATTATTTACGTGTGACTCAGTACACAGATAATTTGAGTGAATTGAATATAAATGTCGTAAGTCGATTTTGTCAATGAATTCTCTTAAACGAACTCTTCTCTTCTCTACCTAAAAGAAGTATGCAGTTACGGTTTATCAGGATACTTGGCGTACACTAACAGCTATTCGAGCAGCGTTCAGTGTAGTTGCTTGGTTTATTGTCAGTATAAATGCAAAGAATGATCGTTTAAGTTTGATGATAAAAAATACGGAAGATAAAGCGTTCTACGAAGAGTTAAAAATTGAACAGAACATTGTTCCACTTACAACTGGAATCGCTTCACCTTAAGTCTTTGCATCTAACATTTAAATTAAAATTTATGAGAAAAAATTGTGTTTGTTTCCTTTTTCTTTTTTCTTTTTTGTTTATTAGAATACTCGGCTATTGATGTGTGTGTGTGTGTGTGTGCATGCCTGTGTATGTTTGTCTTTCTTGTCATGTTTGATGTTTCAATAAAACGATGCGTGTTTACATTGGCAGATTTCGTTTGCCACGAAGTTGAGACGCCGGTTGGTAATGATTGGGATGAATATGATAATCATAACCATTGATGTGATATCGACCTTGGGAATCTAGCATACGATGTGGATTGGAATAACTGTTTGCCCACATGATATTGTGAAATGCACGTTTGCCAATTCGTGGGAAAAGAACACTGCGCTGTTCGAGCCAACGATAATCTTCGTCGTTGTGGATATCGTCGACGTCTCCGCCGTTGGGTGATGTTATATCATCAAAATCAGTGAGTGAACGACCGATCCGTGGGAATTTTGTTGCACGTACGAATCGATCATCAGCTATGGGCAGATCGTAATCGAAATGTTGCTCGAGAAGACTGTTTCTCAGATCGCCTGAATCGATGACATAAGCATACTAGAAGAAAAACGAACGAATTTGATTTCAATGCTAGTCTTTTTCTTACGTTTGCTGTTATGAATGTAATCATCAGTAGACAAATAACACTCATGATCGCTGTTGTTGGCAATGGAAACATGTATATCATTGACTTAAGAAATATATTTTCTTTTCCTTACAAAAAAGAATAAAATATGAGAAAATTGTATGATAAAGACTAACTTGCCCTACTGTATTTATAGAACTCAAATATAATAGTTAAATAGTGAAATGTGTAGGAGTAGAGAACAATTTTGACGAGAAACCTTGATCAGAAAAATATTTTGTTTTCAATCAACGAAGAAATCTACGTAGAAGAAAATCAATAAAAAAAGTGACTGATTATGCCCCCATTGTTTATTCGGTAGATCGGAAACATGTCCGTATATGAATGAATTTTTTCAATCATCAATAGATTCAAATAACTTCCATGATTGATCACGAAAGTTAAAATTAGCAACAAGCGAGGTTAGATTTGAAATTCATCAAACATTCGAGCAGACAATGATCGTCCCATGACAAATCAGCTGATGGATAGAGTCTAATAAAAATGTGTTTCGATGACGAAGGAAAACGCGCGTATAGACATGTGATACATCGATTAGTTCTGTTATCAACGGTTGTGTAGTGCTTAGGTCTTCGTAGGTGCTGGAGTTATCCGTTAATGAGGTTTTTTCATACATGAGAAAGTGTTCGATCAGTCAATCATGTTTGCTTTGGGTTTTACAATGGAAGAATTGATGTTTCCGGAAAATTATCAATCAAATGTTCTCTTCAATATTGAAGTCGATTGTTTTGTAAGGAAAGGAATGAACAATGACTTGCTTTAATCACCTTATGTGTTTTCTGTTCAGATCAATAAACTTGATCAAGTAACATCAGCCTATGAAAATAATGAACAAATTGTTATCGATGATGACGAGGACGACGATTGGTTCACAATTAAACAACTGAATTCAAGTAAAACCTGACATATTCTACTCTATTCTTATTGATTATTTGGTTGGATAGAGATTTCATCGAGTGAAGACAATTTCAATTCCTTGAATGATCAAACACTACTATTATTGACTATCAATTCGGATAGTTATCATTTTGGTCAGATAAAATCCGCTGTAGAGCATGATGACTCCATGGCATCAAATTCGTAAGGCATCGTTGAATGGACTTCTATAAACGAGATGTACTTCGTTTTTATTCTCAGATCAATTCATATCGTTCAAGAGAAAACTGTGGATTCATCATCAAATGATCTGTCAACTCGTACTTCGTCGGCTGCAACGACTACAATGATCAACCAACAACAAAATAAGTATTTGATGTTCAAATCAACATCATCTCTATCATTTTCTACACAATCGTCGACATCAGTAACAAGCACAAGTACCGATGAAATGAGTCCACAGTCATCGTACGTAATATTTGCGGTGATCTTTTTACATCAGTTCTGCTTTTAGTCATAGTAGACGTCGTCGAAAACGAACAATCTTTAGTGCAGCTGATATTGAGTATCTTAAAGGCGCGTTTATTCAAAATCCTAAGCCGAGTCGTACGTAGTGAAATGTTTTCCACATCTTCAAATCGCTCTTTTTCTTCTAGAACAAGATATTGCAGTTTTATCTGAGCAATTGGGTCATGATTCTTATGTCATTCGAGTTTGGTTCTACAATAAACGTCAAGCAAGCAAAAAGCGAATTATTTAAAATTCTAATGATTTGTAGCAATGTCATTTCTATTCCAGTTTCAAATAAAATTCGTTGTTAAGTAAGAAAACCGAGTCGATTATGTGTGTGTTGCTCGACGATAGTTAATAGATCATTTGCCTATGAGAGATATAACGACTAAAAAATATTCTTCGTCCTGAATCTTACGTTTGCATTCGAAGATAAATTCTTTATATGATAAATCCATACAGATCCATCACTGGTGCCAACTAAGATACACTAAACAACAATTGACACAAACTATCGGCAATGCATTGATTTTTATGAGAAAATTTACATCAGAATCCGTTGCATAGATAATCGATGTTAATGCTAGCTGTTCCGGGCAACTAGCAACATAGATTGGATCAAGTCTGAAACTCGTATTGATTAAAACTCGATTGGTAATGAAAGAAATATTCTACATGCTTTCAGATAAATCCCAGATTTCAATGGTATTTTCACTAATACAACAAAACATAGTTGATGATTTCGGTGACCAAATGGCATCGAGGAACATTTTTGAATTCGCCGAGGAAAATACCATGCACGCTTCAGCATGTCCAGTCATCCACAATCTTATCGTCCAGTCAGCACTAGCAGTTAGAAAAATATTTTCAGCAAATGGAGACCAATGGACTTTGTAGACCGCTCCTATGTGACCGATGTACGATTCCAGATATTTTTCATTGTACAGTGTAGAACAGCAATGAACAAAACCATCATCTGTACCGCATAAATAACTGGAAGAAAATAGTATGATCTTATGAGGTTAAAAGAAGAGTAACAAACATAGTTTTGTCATTCGATCGTATATCGAAACAAAAGCCACCAACAAAGCTTGCATTGTCATACATTCCAATCTTATTCTCTGATGTTTGTTGAGACGATGCATAGCGTTTTAAATGCATAAGATCTAAATGGTTTCAAAGTCGCATTGATGAGCGAGAACATCAGATTTACCCATTGCTTCGAACTCTTTGCGCAGCGTCCATTGCATCACGCGGCCATCTGATGAGATTGAGACAAGTACTTCCATATTATCTGTTTTAGACGAACGAATCTGTTCATTCCATGTTATTTGCCAAACAGGACTGATATGTTTGTGAATGTAACCACTAAAGACACGATTACAATGTGACACTCATGTATTTCATGATTCAAACCTGGTGTCAACGATTGCCGAAGTGTGGTTTTCATTGAGATCGAATACACATATATTACCATCGAATAAGCCGACCTAACTATCAGAATAAGTCCTCAAATTAAAGCTTCTATTTTAAATTCACAGCTAGGAGGTTTGGACGCTTCAAACTAAATGACAATGATGTAACACCCGCATCAGTTTGATAATAACGTTCAGGGAACTGCAAGAACTTGATATGGTATCAAAACAAATTCAAAAGAAAGTGTACTTCAAAGTTTTTCAAACTCCAACAGCAGACAAGACCTGTAAATAAACAACAATCCAATAAAAAGCTTAGCTGGCTAAATCTGACCTTCCTTTTCATCATTATATTGCAATTTACCATAACCAACTGCTAATATATTCTATACATGTACAAAACTCAATCTTTCGGCTAATTGTACTAACACACGTTACGTGGTTTCTCTCGTTCCAACATAAACATGACACGTTGCGACCATGTGTTAAAGGACTGGCATAATTCCATAGGCGCTCAATTGTCACATTCGTACTTTTCATAAATGATAAATTTTGTTTGCGATGTAAATAAATGGTATCATCATTTGCAATAGTAGATAAACGACTCTCTAGAACTCAATTTGTATCGACATTCTTTAAATACGTGAACTGTTTCACCTCGATTGATATTGTTTGCTCCATGGAGACCTTGATAAACAGCTTGTTTTTCATGAAAAACATTCAAATTAAGGATCCTTTCCATGATGAATGGTTGAATATCTAAATCGGGTAACTTCGGAAAACAAGAAGACATGAAGTAATCTATTTTTCAATATCCATACTGGATTTTCCTCCTTTGGATCTAATGCGAAACAATTCGCTTTCAACATTGTCATTTTCACGGAAGAATCTTGAGAAGAAAGTGCTGATGAAACTAATTTTCACATATTCTCGTCCAATGAATTGCCTATATATTTTCATTTTACTCTGTGATGATTTCGTTGAAGCGATTGTCTTCTGGATGTTACTCTTCGAATATCCATCAACGATAACTTTATTGTTATCTGCTGCATATTGTCGATAGACTAAAACATCACAGATAATAAACATTTGACCAGCGAGAGACCTTACTTTTTCCTTCATACTTTTTCGCTTCAGTCAGTGATTCATGCAAATCCCATGGATTCGCCCATGATTGTTGAGACTGCTCAAACATACCATATAAAAAAAAGATCGATAGGTTAAAGTGGATTTACTCGGATGAATAGAGCATCTGTATTCACATATGCTTGCTTAGATAGATTATTAAATGTTTGCATACTGCGCTCTATATACAGATCATTTCCATGTTTAGTTTTACATAACTATGAGAAGCAATGAAGTTTGTCGGACGAGTTTCAACGAGTATCTCCTACCTCTAAGTAAGCTTGGTTTTTCTCATTAGTTCTTCGGTACTCAGTTTCGTTGTCACTGGGTGTTATTACAGAACTAGTAAGATTTAGAATAAATATTGTTTCAGTTTCATTTAGAACAATGCAATCGGTTGTTGAATCAGTCCGTTGTAGGTCAATCCCTGAGCCATATTTTTAAAAGTTCATTGAATTAAATCATTCATTGAAATAATGCTTACCAAATTGAAATGTTGCTTGTGTAATTTGATTATCGACACCAATGCAAGATGTTCTATTGGAATATGTTTTGGTGAGCAAATGTTCACTTTCCAAAAGAATTCTTGTGCCAATATCCAATGCAATTCTTTCTCTACGCCCAACATATCAATCGTTTAACACGTTTGACTCATCAATAAAGTCAATCGTCATTACCCAGTGGAGAATGCTGTTTCAGTCGGAAGTTTCCGAGATGTGGAATTTGTATTCGCAACGACACTCGTTTCTGATACGGATCGTTCTTGATTATCGGTGTTTCGTTTATTTCCTATTGTTTCCTCTTCATACTTCTTTTGTATTTTTATTTGCACATCATCTGCTATCCGTCGAGGTGTGACGTCATTACCATTTTCATCAACGATCTTCAAGCAAAATGTGTATTACTGTTCGTCAAGATGAGTAAACAATACTGATTACTCGAAATCGATCGAAGTCCGAAGGATTCTTCTGTGAGATTTGTTTCAGCGAAGTTTTTGAAGAACTATTTCGTTTACTGTACGGTGAGCGTGTAGTTTTTGAACTCGACCGTGTATTATTTGAAGAAGATTCATCAAGCTTTGACCTGTAGGTCGAAGAACGTTTTGGTCGACGACGATTTTGACCACAAGACATTTGCGGATGGAGGCGAGGAAAATATTCGTCAATAATCTACAATCTGATAAAGATCTGTTTTAAGTTTGAGTGATTTCTAGTGTGACTTGGTAACAGATGTAAGATGAAACAGTGGCAAATTAATTAACATGCTTTTCATTCGTGTCATAAGAACGCTTTTATTCTATCGAAAGTTTCATCGATTAAAACGAGCTTTGCTTCTAGATCTTTGAAATCAAACATTTGTTTATATCTGTTCCAAATACATTGCGCTTATTATTTTCAAAATACTTAGTTTACAAACCGAAATAGATTAACTAAAACAAAATCAAAAAGTTCAGTGTCAAAACAAGTGTCCACCTTGTTCCAATTTGTGAAGTAGTTGAGTCAACTCGTAGCAGTTGTGAAATTCGATGATTGAAGCAACTAAATTTCCCCCACTTACAAATCCCATACCTAGCATCAATGCTACAGTTCGCACTACATAGCTAACATAACCAGCTAAGACGGCAATTACTCCCTTGAAGATTCCTTTGAACATGAAATCTTTTCTGTAATATTCAATATCAGCTTGTATATCGTCACAAAGCTCTTTAACAGTTTTCTTGTAAAAGTCTGGTTTCACGAATGAATTTGAATCTAGTTGAAGTAGAACATCATATCGTTTTTTAATTCGACCTATGACACTCATGTCATTGCACGATTGCGTGAGTGAAATAATGGTGAGACCAACACCTAAAACCGAACCTAAATATGGATAATGCTCGATGCGAGAAAGCAGAAATTTCACAGTCTCAATATTGAATGCACCACCCTTAAACAAATCATTGATAAGTTCGCCAATCTTGGCAATGATCACTATGTCTTCGGATAGTTCCACTGATACTTTCTTTTTATTTCCAGAGCCCATGCCACTGGTGAAAGTATTTTTTGAAAAGCTAAGCGAGATAACATGTTGATATGAAATGAGGTACGCAATGCAGTAAACCTAGTAAGTGATATTCAAATGTAAGTATTTTCAGGCAATGTAATTTGTCGACTCACTAGAAATGTTTTACGACACATCATCTTCAATATTGCTTGTAGATCTGTGATGTTTCATTTGAGCAACCGAGTTTATATATAGTCTTCAAGTTGGTAAAAACCAAGGTAAAAACCATGTGTAGCTTTGTCTTATCCAGTCACTCATGTGATTAGATATATACGGTATATCGTCCTACGATAAAAATGTACTTTCACACTAGAGACATTTATAAAAAAGGTAGACCCTTTTTTGTACAATAGACTCTGCACATGAAAACAGATATTATTACAAGTTCCAATATCGCGTATTCACTGTTTTCGTGCGTGGCTAATCCCGGTGTCTACAAGCTGTCTGGAATACCTGTTGAAAATTCTGCGTTTACCTTCGACTTCGCACCGATAGATCTCTTTAATTGGAAAGTCCACGCCATGTTATTCTAGATAGATCATTACGGACAAATGATAGAGAGCTGTACTAGTATATCTTCTAAGCAATCTGAAAAGAGATATTTCAAGATAAGACAAGTCTCATTTTATTCCAAATTAAACTCTAAATCTTTTTGTATAAAACTGCTCTAGTGGGGGCAAAGTCCATTTACTAAACTATTGATAATGTAAGTTCTGACAATATACCGTATATTTATAATTACAGCCCACGTGTCAACAGTACTGCGTTTGATTATATATCGCTATCATCATGTGTGCCTAGTGTATATCTCGACAGAATTCGCAATAGCGTAAGTAAATAAGATCCGTTGTTCTAGATAGAAGACGTTCGGTGCGATCCCCAGAGTCTATCATGGCACATTTGACAAACCTCTTAAATTCATCGTGTATTTTTGGCATGTCACCGCATTCAAACAAATATATTGATGCACTTTCAATATACGAGGAAACTAGTTGCACCTAAATAGAATGACGAATGCAACTCTCACGTAATTGATTTAAAGATATAACAATTGAGTTAACAAGAAGCGAAAACAAACATTTGGTAGTAAAGTTTCCATTGTGCAACATGATCTTCGTTATACTTTCTCGATTAAATTCAATCTGTGTGACATGATACTGTGTTGGAAATCCTTTTTCAAGGTGTCGCGTAACGTTTGATAAAAGTAAGCATTTACGAAAGAGCTATTGTCAATATTGATAATTCGTGCCTTATTCTGAGTTAGTTACTCAAAATGGTTCAGAATGAGGGTGACGAATAACGGCAGTTTATAAATGAACGTTAACGATCATCTGCATGATGTTGAACATCAAGAATCAGTGTTTCACGTATACTCATCATTTATTTTTTGAAAAACTCTTTGTAGAATGATGATAGATCAGGTTTTTTACTTCAATAACAGAAAAGTATAGGCGCACGTCGGCCATCACACTTACGCAAGATCACAGCAAACCCCTCGTATTGATTATTCATGTTTCGCGTTATAAAGTGCACTCAGATGAACTTCAATTTTTATCGCAATCCTATCTCGAAGAGTCGATTGCAAAGTTGCGAGCGACAACCGATTGCGCAAATATCCTATTGGTTGTTCGCACTTTGACCAATCAGCAAAGACTCCCGTATGTTGCGTTTTTTTTTTGTTTATTTATATTTTTTATTCGAACGTCAAACATATCTCTTCTCTATGTCTATAATTCAGGTAGTGATGATTTTCATCGATGTGAAATCTATCTCGTAGGAATACCTATCACCACCTTGTACTGTCATTTATTCAAGTTATTCGAAGGTTATTTTTTTCGTCAAGGACTTTTGACTACTGTCGATCTTGCACTTACATATTTATATATCTATACGTATATAACTGTCCTTGACGACGCAAACATCAACTCCATTTTGTGCGAAACTACGTTTGTCTTTGTTTTTAGAACGTTGTAGCTGATTGAAGATAATAACACAAGAAAAATTATGCAATTTCTGCTCAAAAACTCCATATTCGTACCAAGTGTAATGTATGATTTCGAAGATTTATCTTGATGTTTTATGTAAGTCCAATTTGAAACCATGTGCGCGTGCGTGTACGAGCGAAAAACGGGCATCTTTGTATGAGTGTATGTTATCTGTTAGTTTCTTCGTTTTTGACGATAAATGAAAATCAATGGAGCATATCTTCTATAGAGCCAATTTATATAAACAAAAAAAAACGTCAACTGTTTGTCATTAGTTGTCTATTAGAACGAAAAAAGGAAAGAAATAGCTATGAATAAGCGATGAAAACAAAGAAAATATTTCAAACATTGATTATTATGTGCATATGTTTTTTTTTCGTTTTAGAATCGAAAAATTCAATTGAAATGATCATTTTTACAAAATGAATAAATGTAAACTCCAACAAACGAATTATTTACGATCAAATTCCAACAGAAAAACTTATTCATCAGAATCAAATAATGAATCAGACGAACCTATCGATGATACAAATGTTATGATGAAAACACCGCAATCTTTAGTTGATCTTCTTGATGNTTATGTGCATATGTTTTTTTTTCGTTTTAGAATCGAAAAATTCAATTGAAATGATCATTTTTACAAAATGAATAAATGTAAACTCCAACAAACGAATTATTTACGATCAAATTCCAACAGAAAAACTTATTCATCAGAATCAAATAATGAATCAGACGAACCTATCGATGATACAAATGTTATGATGAAAACACCGCAATCTTTAGTTGATCTTCTTGATGTCGATGATAATGATTGTCAAAATGAAGACGATAGAGAAGAAACTGAGAATGATGATGACGAAGATGATGAAGATGATTCAATACAATATAGTATTGATGATCCAAATAGAACAGAAACAAGAAGACAAAAGAAATCTAACAAGAAAAATGGTAAGCTTCAACAGCTCGTTAAGTAATGAATGTAGGCAATGATGTAAACTTCTTATGAATAGCGATCATCGTTGACGATGTTCAATGTCAACACACAGATATATTGTTTTGTCTATTCTTCTATTCAGAAATTTTCATGTAGGAATGTTGAATAAGTTTTGTATCATTTAATCTTTCCATCTAGCAAGAAGAGAACACGTCTGTCTCAAGTGTTTCACTTAACTATTCTCTTGAGTATGTCTGACCATCTGCATATGCCCTTCGTATATAAGGTTACGCACATAGTGAATGAACAATTGTCTGGCCACTATGTACTTTAGTGCCCGATAGACCGACCGACCGACTGATCGATCGACTGACTAACTGCATTCGCGTCGGGGGCACTTTTTTTTGTCTTTCTATCATGTCGACAACTGAGTGCAATATTGTCCAGTCGATGGTCAGCCAGTCAGCCAGACAGACAGACAGACAGTCGTTGACGATAAAGAACACATGAATGACCTAGATGTTCTACGGTCATTGTTATTATAAGAGAAAAATAAAGTTGATAGTTTAAAAAAAGTCATTCATGAAAGCAAATATCATACACCAATGACAATCTCGGTCAATTCATATAAGTTCTAGTCAAATCGAACCTGTAGTCTCTTTTGTTATACATACATGCTCTGACGAAAAAAAGAGAGAAAATGTAACAAGTCGGTATGTTCAGAAGTAAATAGCAGCAGAAGGCAAAGTAACAAAAGTAATCATCATATAATTGCGCATATATATACATATATGTATACACAAGCTGAAGAGGAAGTTGCACCCCTCTCTCGCGCGCTCGCGCGTTGCGTTCGAAGCGAACTGCAATTTCTTTTTTTACGATGACGTTGATGTAAAATATGCGCTTGCTAGTTTGCATATGTGCAAGCAGCTCATCTTTTTCTTTTCGATGACGTCGTCATCTTACGTTGAACATATATGTACACATACAAAAGGAAAGAGAAGAGGAGAGAGACGGAGCAAAGGAAAAAAGCAAAAGAAGTAAAATAGGGCGGTAAAACAATAGTAGTTGCGCGTATTGCACCCTTTCTTCCTCTCTTTTTCTCATCTGTACTGCTGTTACTGCTGCAATATGTACATGGTCATCGGTTCATGGGCGTCATTGCACATTCATGCACACATTCGTACAAAAGAGAAAGAAAGAGAGAAAGAAAAAGAGAGGGAGAGAGAAAGACTCGGCAAAGGAGCGATAATGGTGGCGGCAGTGGTGCAAAAGAAGAAAGAAAAAAAGAATAAGCAAAATAGTTCGCGTAGCGCACTCTACTATTGACAACGTCGACTACGACCATCATTGCGATACATATACACACACACACACACACACGTACTACAATACATATGCTGCGTTGGCGTTATTGGACGAGTAGCATCAGCAACATCATATCACTACGGAAGAAAAATTGGGTGCGCTGAGCATAACGTACAAATGTTACGCAGTATTTATCCTTCGATATCGGCCACTAACTGAGAACGAGAAAACGAAGCACAAGAGAGGAAGCGAGAAAGAAAAGAGAGCGAGCGAGGGAAAAAAGACGACGAGAGCAAGCTGATTTTNTACATATGCTGCGTTGGCGTTATTGGACGAGTAGCATCAGCAACATCATATCACTACGGAAGAAAAATTGGGTGCGCTGAGCATAACGTACAAATGTTACGCAGTATTTATCCTTCGATATCGGCCACTAACTGAGAACGAGAAAACGAAGCACAAGAGAGGAAGCGAGAAAGAAAAGAGAGCGAGCGAGGGAAAAAAGACGACGAGAGCAAGCTGATTTTCAACCATTACATTTGACCCTAACAACAACAACCAAAGATCACCGCCTCACAGTTCGCTCCCCGGATGGGTAAGCTTTCGATCTATTTATTTACTTTTTCATATTCTATTATTGTTCGAATGAAAGTGTTCAATACCTATGGCTTCTCTATGCACTTTCATCGTTCAAGAGAAAAGCTACATCATTCTATAGCACGATTATGACTATTATCATTGTCATCATCAGATGTTTCACGTACATATATATATCTAAGCATACATTGTTCTATCATCAAGTTTTGATGAGTTCAATGTCCTTGTAATCACAGTCGCATTTAACTAACTATATGTCCTTGTCATTAGCCGAGCTCGAGTCCGGACTGCAAGTTGGCTCGACTCGTTTAAATACGAAATAGTTTAATGAATGCGAGCGAGCGCCCGCGCGCGACACTCACATACACATACATGTATATCCACCGAGAAGTGCACGGTGCTTTGTTTGTCCAAACGATTAACGATGTTGCGCAAGGACAAAATGCACAACTCGCTCGAATTTCAATCGTCATCACTACCACTACTACCAACACCGTCACTCCTCTTATTCTTATACTCATCATCATCATCATTGTCATCGTCATCATTGAATAATTATTTGAAAAGAAAGAGAAAAAGAAAGGGGGAAGTGTATATGTTCATCATGTACACATTCATGTTACGCCTTTGCACCGTTAAAAGAAAGAACGTAGTATACACACACACATTCGTGTACGGATATAAAACACAGAAATAGTAACCATGTTGCGTCTTTCTCCATTTCTCACGTCCCTTCTCATCATCGACTTGTATGAGTACGAGGATATGTGCAGAAGTAGTTGTAGTTGTTGTAATAGTATGTTGGTGATGTGTGCTGGCGACGAGTGTACAGAACAAGAAGAAAAAAGGTCAATAAAGCTGCACATTGAAAGCGGCCGCGTCCAGACTCGATGTGCGAGTGAACTCTTATGTCGCCACCACTACCAACACCACTAGTACTATTATTACTACTATTATCAGCACCAACACCAACACCACCATTGTTGTTATAATTACAACAAAAGCCTTTTTTCTTTCTTTTTCATAGAGATTTTTTGTTCATTCATGTGTATGCACAGCTGTTGAAATTGCTCGTTTACGCAACTTTTCGTCTCACTTCATCTATCTATCGACATATACTCTATATATATACATACAAAGAGATATATTTATGTACATGTGTATGCATACGTTTACTTTCTGTACCTCATCTATCTTACATTTTCAATGAATATGCACACCCGCATGTCGTAAAGGAAACGATTTATTATGACCGCTAGTGTTGTAGGAAAAAAGAAGTGACGTATGTGTATGTGTACACATATGTCATGCAATTAACTAGTAGTTTGATCGTTTTCATTGTGGAATTAAGTAAAGAAAAGAAACAACAAGTTGCATAGTAGATAATTCTTAAGTAATCAAATACCAGAGGTTGTCACATGTGCGTACGTTTATGTATATAGATTTAGAAAACTGATCGTTTCTTTCTTTCTTTTTTCTTCATCTTTGGCATTCATTTGCCATCGCTAGAAACCAAAAAGAAGATAGATCTTAGTAAAGTTCTTTATCGTCTTTAGGTCCAGGTGTTCTGGACGTGCCATCGCCGGACGTCGGACTTGATGTTAAATTTGGTTTTAATGATTTATGTCCTGTCTGCGGTGATAAAGTCAGCGGTTTTCATTACGGTCTCTTAACATGTGAATCATGCAAGGGTAAATATCCCCACACATTTCCTAGTATACTTTAAGATTAACTCATGTGTATGTTTGTTCTCATCGTAGGATTTTTCAAACGAACAGTACAAAATAAGAAGAACTATCAATGTATTGATAAACAGCAATGTCAAATAGATAAAACTCAGCGTAAACGTTGTGCTTTTTGTCGATTCAAAAAATGTCTTCAAGTGGGCATGAAATTAGAAGCCGTTCGAGAAAATCGTGTCAGAGGCGGAAGAAACAAGTTTGGTCCATTATACCGTCGTAGTCGAGCATTGCGTCAGCAAATAATGAGACAGCATTTTGTTAGTATGGTTAAAGCACAACAGAACTTGCCAAATGGCAATGGAATGGATAGTGGATCGTCACCGTTAGATATCACTGGTGTAACAAATGGTAATATTATGCAAGTGAAATCAGAACCTGAACAACCAAATCTTCATCCGTTTCAACATATCTACTCGAGTTTACAAGCGCCAACAAGTGTTGCTCATCCGTCACATGTACATCATCAAAGTCATCATCCACACCATCCATCTTCAACACATCATCCACATCATTATCAGTCATCACATCAACAACAACAACAGCAGCAGCAGCAGCAAAAATCTTCATCATCATCAACATCAACATCATCATCATCATTCAATGTTTATCCAGATTTTTTTAATGCTAATCCAAATGTTCCAAATAATACGCGTATGCCACCGTTTCAACTAAATCCATTCAATTCATATTATAAAAATTCATCAACACCATATGGACACTCGCCGCCATCTTTACTTCTACCACCATCATCGACACTACCAACAGGTGTATCATCGACAAACACATCAACTAGTAACAGTAATCCACCCTCAGGTTCATCTAATTCGAGTTCATCACCTGTTGGACAAATTTCATCGAAACTACTTGATTATCAAATATCCTCTCCGACAACAACGGTGACAACTGCAAATAATCCGTCATTGAATACATCATCGATTCTAAGTACATTGACTATGCAGCAACACACAATGCCACCAAATGATCCGATGAATACAGATAATCATAATGGATCATCGTCACTTTATTTTTATAATCATCAATACCTCGGACAAAACTATGACATGAACGAAACGAATAATATCCCAGAAATTCTAACAAAACTGATCGAATCTGATCAAGCCTATCGCGTAAGATATATTCAATCGATTCTCTTCCATTTCTATACGGTCTTTCGTTTTTCAGTGTACGGAAGTGCGTTATATTGAAGATATCCAACAAATTCATATTGATTTAACACGTGACGATGGTGATATATTAGTCGTATGTTCACTCCTAGACAAATTATGTTTTCTTATGGTTGATTGGGCACGACAATCTCTATATTTCAAAGATATTCAAGTAAATATCGAATTCTATCTGCGAATGAAAACAAATTGAAATTCGTTTCTTTCTTCTTTCGTATTAGATTGATAATCAAATCAAATTATTAAAAGCAGCCTGGATTGAAATATTGATCATCGATCTAATATGGAAACAATGTCAACAACCAAAGGAAACATGTGTAAATTGTATTGTTAGTGTAAGTGACACTCATGTTCATCTCAGGACAGACTCTGAACTTTCTCTTTTCCAGGCAAATGGTCAATTATTAAACATAAATCAAATTCAAAATCCAGCTGTTAAAAAACTAGCTGAAAGATATCTACAATGTGTGAATGATTTTCGACAGCTACAGTGGCAAGTACGTAGACTAACCGAGAAGAAAAACATATGAATCTATTTCCATATAACTGAAATCTCGTCTCTTCTTTAGTATCCCGAATATTTGGCACTCAAATATTTAGTTTTGTTTGATCCAGGTTCGTCATTTCCGATATGGGAACTGTTCATTCTAATTCGTCTTTGTTCTAGATGTTCAAGGTGTTACTGAATCGAGTTTAATCGAAGAAGTTCAAGAGAAGATCACAAATGCACTAGGTGAATACACAACAGATCACAACAACACATCATCGACATCGAATACATCCTCGACTCAATCACAGGTTCCAACAAATGAGCAGGAAAAATTCGCGTGTATTCTACTGAAGTTACCCGACGTTCGTCTGGTTGGTAATGATTTGAAAAAGTTATTACAATTAATCGATCGTAAACACGATGGTAAACTTCTCGATGGATGTTTACTTGGCGAAATGCTCAATGGGTTACAATCGAATAATTAATTTCAAATTCAATATTCAAAATACTCAAATCTTTTCACGCACACACATCAATTTCTATATGTGTTCGTTTTTCTTTATCACTCAGGTCCGACATTACTCTCTATTTCTCAGTTTTTCGCGTGTTAATAGAGATATTTTGTACAGTTTTTCTTTTCTTTTTATTTGTTGTTACAAACAAGCACATTTCCCTCGTTTTCTCCCTTAGTCACCTTTGAATAACAGTGTTTGTACGAAAAATGCCAATAGCCCTATTGAAAACGAAACTATTTCGTTTTTTTTCGAAAAAACAGTGACACATCTCCCATCTCTTGACTTCTCTAATCCTTTCGTTTCGAAAAACTATTGATCTATCAATCAGAGAGTTGTGCCATTCTCTTTTGCTATCTCTGCCTCTCTTCTTTGTCCTCACTTCATTGCATTATCCTTCTAAATTTTAATAGTTGTTTGCTTTTTTTTTTGGTTTGTTTTTTCTTCTTCTTCTTTTGACCGACTAATCGATCGACGAAACAGGCAGATGTTTGGCGAATTCATGATACTTGTGTTTTCCTTGATTTTTCGATAAAACAAATAAGGAGTTACATATTTAATATATACATATATCTATAAATATTTCATTTCCTCTCAAAACCGTCGGCTGGGATCACGTTTTTTTCTTAGCAAAACTAATCAGCTAGAAACTATGCACGTCAGTCGCGTTCTCTCTCATTCTCAGGGATATATATCAGTAAAATCTTTTCTTATATCGATCACAGCCTCGTCGTTTTTTAGCTTCTTTTTCAGTTTTTAATTGTGAACACGGTGTGTATTGTCACATGTGTGTATACAAATATTTTTTGTGTGCGCGCGTTGGTTTTTTTTCTGAGAATATGAAAAATAGAAGCAAAAACAACATGCAATGATTTTTACAGTTAAGAACATATGTTCGATTTCAGCATTTCCATCGACTTTCGGATAGTTTCATTCTAAAACAAACAAAAAAAAAACAAACGCCGATTACATCAGATAACTTCATTACGGCAATCGAAGAAAATGTTCTTCTCTTTTTCGGAATAGTAACAATTCATTTCCCTTCGTCAAATAAACAAAGAAAGCTCGATTTGAGTATGAAATAACAACTAGGACATATTTGTTATTATTATGTGATATGATATGACATATAGTTTATTAGTCTTTTTGCTAAACTAGATGCTGTATTTATTGTAAATTAATCGCATTCTTCTTTCGTTCTATTATCGATAGCCTCGAGTATTATTTCATTGATTGATCGGGAATTTTCGGCATGTCGCCATCATCAAGTCCTGCTCAAACAAAAAGAAAAAAAAAGGATTAATTAGTCTCACAGTAGCTCATGTAGAACTGATCATTAATCATGTAATTATCACGTTTTTTCTCGGTTTCAATAAACAAAATCTGTTGCCTGTTTCGATATGATTGAGATTTGATCAAGACGCTACTGAAAGAAGAAGAACTTGAAACGATTTCTTCATCCGATATGAAACATTATTTCCCAGAAGAATTTAATACCTCGAAAGGATATTTAGTGCGTGTTGAACGCAGACATTTTTCGTTAAATAAGCATCCTATTTACTGGAAAAAGAGGAAACTATTACTAGTCGAGGCAGCGACATGAACAGAGAAAAACGACAACTTGAGAACAAACCTGCAAGCAATAGCGGAGAAAATCTTCTTTATATACATGACCATCGCCATGCATATCCCAAATCTAAAGAAAAAGAAAAGTATTCAATCGTGATAAGAAAATTCACACATACTTCAAATAATTGATTGGTTCGTTCTTCGATAGCACTTGTAATCGATGTGAAATTCAGTTTACAAACAGGCACAATTAGCTGGAAAATAGCTGCAACCATTTGAAGTAGCTCCTGAGCAAAGAGAACATAGAAATCGATGTCTTCTCTCCTCAATATTTACCAATCGTGTCAGCATTCCATCTTTATTCAAATCATACAGATCGAATATCCAGCCGATGCGTTCTTCAATTGAACCGTGAACCAAGAGCGAAAGTGTGACGAGCAGATCTTCGAATCGAATGAAGCCGCTATTGGTCCGATCGATATTACGGAAAAGAAACACGGAATAACGAAAGCATTCTAGAATTGAATACGGAATCTGTTGATTGATATGCTTGAAGAAAGAAAACGACGTACCACCACTGGGAAATAACGTTGCAAAGACTGATGCAAAATGTGCTTTGGTTACTTCTCCTGATGGACAATCCTAATAAGACATGTTTTTCATCTCAAAAGTCATCATGATCAAATGAACATACTTGCTTAAATGTTCGATATAAGTGACAGATTTCGTCCTTGGAAAACTTCGTTTTGCCCATTAGTTCAGCTATGGTACATGTTGGCCTTCTGACAAGTTGTTTAGCGGAAGGGTTTTCTGTAAATCAAGACAGATGTGAAAGAGAGAAAAGGCCTCGAAATCGAAAAGAAATCAATAGATGTCAACGAAATTTACTTGCACTTTTTTTTATACTCAAATTAAGTCGTCGCGCTTTGTTCAATGTTTGAATTGATGATTCGAACGCCTGCCACATGTTGATTAATATTCGTATTTATATGTGTGAGTGTTTAGTAAACAGAAAAAAGACTGATTGATGCTTTGTAAAAAAAATGTGTGAGAGTATTTGTGATCAGTCAGAAAGAAGAAAAAAAACGAGAAACGGAAGGAAGAAATCTCTTGGGAAATCGAACGAATGTTGATGATGATGATGATAAGGACATTTGTTCAAGAGAAGCGTGTTAAAACAATAGAAATTCAATCAATAGTAGTCTTACCGTTCTGAAATTTGAGACTACTTCGTCGACCACCACTACCCGCAGATCGAACGACGTTCATTTGGATTGAGAAAAAGATTTCAGCTGAAACAGACGAGAAAAACTTCAAATGAGATTCGACGAAGAACAACATGTGGTGATTTTGAAAAGAAAAATTAACTTCTGAAGAAGATTACCTTCGTGTGATTAACGCGACGAGAACGAGGAAAAGATCTTTCTTCACACGTCATCACCGTCAGTAAAGATTTAACTACCTTATTCCTGCTGTGAACTTTTTTATCTTCGTCAGAGGAAAAAAAACTTTTTTTTTGAAGAGGTTCTCTATCGGTAGTAAAGGAGTCGAGGAGATGCAACTTGACTGACTTTGAATTATCTATTCGACTACTGTAAAAATCGGCAAATGATTCCATTCATCGGATCGACTTGTTCTTCTTCTTCTTTTGTGTTTTGTTAATTTTTAGATTACTTAACGGATATAAGAACAATAAAAACAACTATGAAGGGTATTCAATCAGTCTAAATCAGGAAAGAAAGAGGCAGCAAATGAATGCATCCGATTACAGATGAAATCGACTAGTTGATACAAAATCTAACTTTAACTCGTTAGTAATAACAATTGATTTCAATCATATATTCACTTGAATAGACGAAGGTTATGAATAGCGGCTGTTGCTTGACGGGAACATGATAAAATGCGCGCATTCGTCCATGTCTCATACGGCACTCTGAATACTAAACGATGCGATAATTGTCGAAGTTAGTACTATCCCAGGAAATACACAAAAAAAAAGAAAGCAAAAAAATGTCGGCAATCATTTCTCGATTAAGTTGCATAAATTTATTGACGAAATCTTCCAGAGATGGCATATATTTAGTCGATAAATTTATGTGCATTCATGCACTCTTTAGAAAATGATTAGAAATATTTGATCTGAAGATATATCATAGATATAGAGAGAGGTCTTTCTTTGCTCTCTTTTATCGACGCAGAGAAAGAAAAACCGTAATAGACTAGATTCAAGATTATATTACAATCAGATCGAATTTAGATAGAAAATCTCGATTCTTATCTGTAATCATTACCAGAGTGCACACTATTGGTTGAGATTAATTAATTTTCTTTCATAAACAGCATATGAAATAACATATTTGTAAATAAATTTCGACGAATCTTATATTACAAACTCAATTTAGATTTCGATGATATCTCATTCTGTTATGTTTTGATCAATCGAATTTGCTTGTCAACATATTCAGAATCGACATTGTTCCGTCAGGATGTCTAATGACAAATCTTCAATAGAATCCGATTCAAGGTTGATATGAATATCTCATCGAGACGATCGTCATCCGTCTTTGATTTCGACCTGTTTTTTCTTATTCGTCAAGTGAGATAAGAAATTGTTTTAGCTGAAGGAGATTGTAGACGTGCAAGTCGACAGTCAATTATCAATGTTCGTTGATTTGAGTGGATGCCTAGTTAGTTATGTCTTGAAATGTCATGGTTGCTGCACAGTGGGAAGAAAATATGTTGTTTTATATTTCTTGAGATTACAGAAGACAATTAGTGGAATCGAAACAAGACCAAGCATAATCAAACATATAGATTAAATCTTGCTAGTTCCGATGTTCTTTTCCGTGTTGGATCACTGGAAACAGATCGAAATGGAAGAAATTCGAAACAATAACTAATAGTTTATATATATATATATGTAATAATGATAAAGGTTAGTGATAATAAAATGAAAGAGAATATCATTGATGAGACTGCCATTTAATGTTCGACGATTCAGAAAAAATACGCCGCCGCCGCCACCGATGATGATGATGATGATGAGGCTTGAATGAGAGATTTTCCTCTCGTTCACTGCTGCATGGAAATGCGATCATATTCGGTCGCTAACGAAGAAAATGACAAGAAAGACATTCGTAACAAATCACTTTCCAATGGAATAGATGTATTTATCGTTTCAATCGAGAGAAAGAAACAATGAGAATAACATCTGGCTGACATTGAGATAGTGACAGAGAGGACAAGATGGAAGTTTATCAACACGACAGTCGGAGACAACATTTCTATCATAAACAGATAGACGAATGGAAAAGAATAACAAGAAATTTTCGCTTTCAATTCATTTTTGACGTTTGTATGACTCATTCACAATGTCTCGAAGAAGATCTTCGGAAAACCTAATCAACAATGTCCAAAACATGTTTTCATTGTCAAAAACTAATTTCGGACAATTGCCATGTAAGCCTTGCAGATGGATATACTGACATATAGCAAATACAAGGCAAGACAACTAATAGAAAATAAGAGAGATGAATGATAGTGGACGAAAGCTGGTATGACACATATAAGATGCATCTGGTTGTCGTATATATTTACGTAAATAGATCGGCATATAATCGTCGAATTGTGATACGATAATATCGAGATCGCATTTGAAACCGTAGATTCGTTGAAGATTAAATAACAAGTCGGATATTTTTGCAAAATATCTGTCTCTTTGTTTTTTTTATTCAATTTATCTTTCGTTAATGAAACACACGATTTCATTTGATATGTATTACAAAAACGAAAGTATAAAGAAATAAAACGAACAAAAAAAAATTAAAGATTAAACTATACAAAATACAAAGTATGCTTAAACTAATTAGATATCATCTCGACCAACATTGGAGTCGAACAGGCGTGTACTCACCTGCCTTCCCCCTGCTGGTCCACCTCGTGATGAGGATTGGATAACTGCTGATGAAACCCCTGATCCTGTTGTTGAACCTGCGCCGCCAACGCCACCACTTCCCACACGTTTATAAAATTGCCACAGTTGTTGAATTAGTTCCGTAACAACAAGATCACTTGAATTATACGCCAGAAGTCGAAGGATTAGGACGCCATCGTGTTGTAAATAACGATGAATGAATTCTTTGGCGGGCATACGTCGTAGATGTGTGTCACTTTGCATTAATTCAAGACGTTTCTTTATGTAAGCATATCGTACACGACCAAATGAACGAACAAACCATGCTAATAAATCATAGGTATTACACACGGTTAAAAAAGCTAACCAAAACCAAATGAATAAAAATGCTTTTTCATTGAACAAGTTTATTGGTAATACACACTGAAAAGAGAAATCTCAGATTGCTTCTTTCTCGTTCTTTCGATGCGAACCGACACTTACTTGCACTGTATGGACATGGACATTTTGTATATTACGTACGGCAAATTCACAGATGGTTACACGTGGAAAATAAATTGATTCTGTAAGTTCTTCTCCGTTAAGAATTTTCTTAATTAATTCAACACCGTATGAAGCAAAATTGTGACCCAAGAAGATATTTAACAAAAATAATTGTCCAATAGAATTGACAATAAATAGAAGTTTGGTGACGAAAAAAAGAATTAACAAATAGGAACCCATTCGACGGCCAGGTACGCAGAGCATAAATGCGAGAAATCGACGTATGAAATCGAAACGTTTGCGTTTTCTTTTACGCATGTAGACATATTGATCAATCGATCGAGTTAAATAAGTCATAATCTTATTTCGGTCTTCAAAACGATCTGCTGTTTGATAATTTAATGCAGCATCGACTAAATTAACTATATTAATACCTGATTTAGCTGATAAAGAACGCCACAACATTCGTGGCATATAAAAGAGGACAGCTTGAAAGAGGAGGATGAATGGTGTCCACTGGTAATACTAAAATTTGACGAAGAAAACGATAATTAACAAAGATGTTATTTCAGGGTGTTTTTCTTTCTGATCAATTACCTTGACAACACGAGTCTTTTTCTTCGTTTCGTCTAGAGGTAGGGTTTCCGCTGCGGCAACATAATATGTATTAGATACCCAACAGATATTGTTCGAATAGACTTCGTAGGAACGTGTGAAATGTCCTGGTACCCAACAAGCAATATGATCGGAGGAGAATTGTTTATTCGAAACGATTATTGAAAATATGACTAAAATAANTGTAGACGCAGCAAGAATTTAACATTATTAAATGACGACTACTATCCTAGCTCTACTATAAACTATGAAATCCATGGAGAATGCCTATCGTCATTGGTTCTCTTCCATAGATGGAATAGAGTGGGAGAGAAAGTGAAATAGAGAGTAAAAACCTGACTCGATTGATTAAGATCAAGGTCATTAAAAAATTGCTGGTCCGATGATTTCATATCAAAAGAGATTGACGAAATTCCATCAGTTATTTAATATTGATCAAATTGACTTAGTAAAAAAGTAGATGAAAACTAATGTATACATACCATTTGACTTTTGTCAATATCAATCAGAATTGTCGGCTGATTTCATCATATGCTAATTTCTAATAGAATGTGTATGTTTTTTGACTTACGGCCGTATAGATATCTGACGGTTATCTAAAATGACAACAACAATAACAACAATAATAAGACTAATAACAGCAAAGAACCAATAAAAGAAAACGGTGCCATTAATATAAAATGGGTACGAATATTAATCGAGACAAAAGTTCCGCGCAAAATATCAAGAGAAAAGTATATCATCCGTTAGGAGACAAATGGCATCTTCAAATGCAAAGTGATCGTCCTTATATACGGTGTTCACCGAGTGGAAGAATTTTTGCACTAATAAAGCTATTCATAGTATGAGAAAGCTTATAACAACTCAATGAATCTTCCAAATGATGTAACATGCATCAATCTATGATGCCTTATTTCTTCTTCTTCTTCTTCTCATATGTATTTCATCATTGTCTCAATCATTCGTTTCCATCTTTCATAATGGTACAGTATTATGTTAACTATAAAAATAAACGATGAATTCTAATATATACATGGATCTAAGTGATTTTTAACTAACGTTGACAACAATGTGAAAGGAAGAAATTTACTGTCAATATTACATCTATCCCGACAATTTCTATAAAGAATACAGTTTCCGCTTTTGATACAAGTAGAAGCAGAGCAACAAAAAAAATGGGCAAAGTAGAGCACATCTTTGCTTTAGACATTATTTTCTTTAGCTACAATATTGCTCATAAATAATAGCTGAAACTGAACGTTTTCCTTTCTCTCGTTTTCTCTTCTCCACTTTGGTGTCGTTCAAGTGGTTTGCCTATGAATTGCTCATGCACGCATAGCGAAACAGATCGATATATATTTTTTTTGAAGGCTGTTATGATTACCACATCATTTTTTCTTCTTTTCCTGTGGATTTGGACGCGTATAAACGAGAATTGTAAAGTAGCATTAATAACAATAACAGTCAGAGCAACTGTTGGATTGAACGAAAAAAAAACTATCTATCTAATTCCATTCAATCTTTGTGTGAAAAAGCAAAAAAGTTCTCTTTCTCGTTTTGGACGAGTCTTAAAGAACAGTGAGGAAGCAGGAAGTGAGCATCCCGTCGTCATTCGTCGACATGTCATTTGAATTAGATACTTACAGTTTGCGTGATGTCAGTGTGATTGTATGGGTGAGAAAAAAATTCCTTCTCTGGTTAACATCACTGAAAACAAATGTTCGATCGTTACACTAACGATAGAAAAGGGGAGAAGACATGCGCATTAGTACTCAAACAGATCCGCCGCATGCTTGTTTCGCTTTGGAGAAAGAGAGAGAGAGAGATATGCAAAGCGAGAGCATATAACAACAGTGAGTGTTTCATGTTGATTGTATTATTTGCACCATCAACGAGTTGCAAGGCTTGTTGTGTAGACGCAGCAAGAATTTAACATTATTAAATGACGACTACTATCCTAGCTCTACTATAAACTATGAAATCCATGGAGAATGCCTATCGTCATTGGTTCTCTTCCATAGATGGAATAGAGCGAAGGGGGTGAGAAAAATCAAAACACAAACAATCATAACTGGTAGATCACTAAATCGAAGAAAATGAGAAGATGTCGGAGAGAAATATTAGAAGGAAAGAAAATCGAATGTTTCTGATCACATCCGCACGCGAGCACACGTATACACATCTATAAGTATCGAAAAAATCTTCATCCTTATCTCTAGAATATTATTGAATCTGGCAAGTGAAAGAGAAAAACCTGATCTGATCAAATGTTGTAAGACATCGAAAGTTTACAAGTACATAATGCAATCAACGACGAAACACATTTTCTCCTCCCTCTCTCTCTCTCTCTCGTCGATCATCATGGTTTTCCTTATTGAAGGGAAGAAATCTTATGTGAACGTTGACCTCTCTGAAACCAAGAGAAGGCACAGTTTCGGCAAAGCTTCACACAACTAATCATCTTTTTGGTCATAATGAAGTTCGCGGAATGGGAAAAGATGCGTCGAAGATTTCTCCTTTCATCTTATTAGAGAACAATATATATAAACTAGAGATGATTGGCATTTTCTAATAAATCCAACGAATGATAAGAGAGGCAGATGATGATACTCAATATTCCCAGACGGACAACTATCATTATCAAGGCAAACTGACTATAAATGTCGACTTATATTGACACAGCATGCCAATACACGTAATATCAAATCTATGCCGTTATCATCTTTAGTAGTCGCGCTTATGCTTGAAAGAGTATCTTAAACTATTATCAAGATTATCATTAACATAAACGAAAAGATATTTACCGATGAAAATCAACTGCAATCTTAATATATATTTATCGGAAAATTGCGTGTGTATGATGTACACGCATGTTATTTCGCGTGATAGAAACAAAATAGACAAGAACTGTTATTAATAAATATCTAATTGAATTCTAGATCACCTATTCTCTCGATACAATAAACATCCTCTTTGATTATCACACGAATATAAACGATCGATCAATTCTTCGATATCCATTTCACGAACTATCTTCATTCATGATTTGTTTCTCAAGAATATCAATCTTACTGTGTTCAATTACATTCTAGAGATGCAATACATACCATACGAGAGAGAGATATGATGCCACAACTTCTATCTTTCCTACCCCTAGACGCGATCCCAATTGTAGTTCATCATTAATAAACATTGAGAGGGCATGAGTGAGTGAGAGGAAATCAAATATTTGTTGGGAATAAATACGAACACAGATGTGTTAGAAAGAATCTTTCTTTCACTTTGTATCGTGGGCATTCATTGAGTTCCATGTAACATAATGATGTCGGTGAACAAATTGCAATCAAGCGAATAATACTGACCGCTGCCTTGCACAAACGCGTTGCAGACCAACAAAATATCACGATTGTGCCGTGCAGTAGACTATAGTGACATATGATTTGTTGTCATCATCACTTTTCTGTTAACGTAACGAATGATCAGTAGACATTTGTATACATATAAATAGGAAACGAGAAGAAGAAGAAGAAGAAGAAGAAGAAGAAGGAAAGGGAAATGAGTAAAAGATCAAGAATAATTAATTCAAAGGCTTTTTGTCTCATTTTACTTCTAATGGATACTTTATGAAAATGGCTGAATTGTTCATGGAAAAAGTGATTTCTTTTCTGAACAAGTTTCCTGTTTAAAAAACTCTTCCATCTCAATTCATTTAAATTTCAACAATCGAAGAAAGTGACACGTTTCACCAACACTCAGGCGTTGCCACTCGCACATTATATTTATAACTATCCATTGTACACATCAATAATCGACCCTAATGATCACTGTTAGACATTAATCGAGATAAGACTGTTTACAAAATAAACGGCAACTTACCTGACAGGATTAATCAACTCGCATGTAAAATTGTAAGTCAATCACTCCTGTGTATGCATCGTTGAAGTTGTGGTAATTCTATTTGTACCAGTTAGAATATTGATTTTTGATTGGCAACGGAGTGAAGAAAAAAAAATGTAGCAGGACAAGTCCTCTGAGAAAAAGAGATAGGAAAGAAGAAAGTAAAAGGAGACGACGACGCAGAAAAAAGAAGAATATTGCTGTCTAGGAAAACGATGATCAGAAATCATTTTTCCTCTTCTCTTTCAGCAAAGTTCATCGCCACTAGCCATACTTATACTGTACCCTACTAAATATTGTATAGAAAGCAGGGGGGAAAGAAAGAAAAGAACAAGCGAGATGACAAGGTGTTTTCCTTTCGTCTCTGTATGCACACATTCCTCTGTGTCTGTTTGTTCCAGAACATACACATCAACAACAACAAACAGTGATATAGTCTGTCTACAAGCCAATCTTGATAGAGAAAGGATAACTCTAGTCGAACGTGTGAGTAACAGCAACATCATTACCCTTCGCTTTTCCTTCTTCACATCATCTCTAACAATCGACGTCATATTAATATGGGAAACAGATAACTGCTGTTACCATTATTATTATTACGTAGACAATGATTTACTTTGCTTCTCTATATATGATTAAATCGACAAGATCTATGCACATTACTCACTTAATTCATGTGTGTGTAAACAATACTATGCGAAAAGAAGAAAGTCGAAGTCGATTTCGGTATCTATTTAAGGAAGACAATGATCGTTTTTCTGTCCTCTATATTCATCGTTGCCGTCATCATTTCGAAATGCATTCTCATCAGCATTGCTTTAGGCAAGTATTTTGTATCTAACATGTCAGTATGTAGTGCAATTAATCGAACGACATTAGAAATAGACGAGAGAAAAAGGGTCGGAAAGAAACAAAATCGAAACGAATCGATTTAGGCTAAACAGGAAGCAAAGAGTCTTCCTTATTCGTCGCCTTCATTGCCGTATGTAAATAGGAATCAGTGGAAATGATTGTTTCCAAAAGAGAAACTCAAACAGACAGACGCAAGCAATACATAAGTATAGGAGGAAATCGAAGAGATGAGAAATTAATGTTGTCGTCTGCGTATTTGATTGAACTCTATTACTTCCTCAAATTAGTTCCTTCTTTCTCGCAAAACGATCAATAAAATGATCAAGTATAAGTAGAATAAAGAAACAGAAGGAGAAATGTTTACCGCACCTGGTCCTAATACTTAGACAGTGCAATATTGTGAACAAGAAAAGACTAATTGTCAAACTTTCATCGATGTTGATAATTAAAGAAAGAGTTTTATATGAAATTTAATGTTAAATTGCAAAAGTGTCAATCTATTGCTGATCTTCTTTTGTGTGATAATAACTTTCTTCAATCAAGTTTGTCCCCCGCAAGCGAAATAATTTTCTAAGAATAAACTTTCAAAGTTAATTAGACGGGAATCTCTTGTGAAACAAAAAATCCAATAAATTGGCCAACATTACCACTTCGATTAGATTTTATGAGCTCTCTTCAACAGAGATTCAGTGCTAATCTATTGAGTACATATGAAACAAAAAAAAGGAAGAAAATTCTTTGGCATGAAATATTTATTAGATTGAATTACGTATAGAAGTCTTGTTGAGGATGTACAACCTCACGAGAGACTTAGCTCATCGTTAATATGAAGAAAAGAGTGTTGACGGTGAAGTACCAAGTTCTACCTTTGTACAATTTACTTTCTATTTTCGAAGGAAAACACCTTTCCTTGGAATTAAAGTATCTCGATGAAATAAAATACATATTTTCAATAAAAACTGATTAAATATTAATTAAGTAGATAAATGAGAATTTGATCTCTGATCAATAGAGAAGGTTCCATTGGGATTGACCATAGACATTATTACTACGAAGAAGAAAAAAAACCAATATTATCACGAAAGGCTCATGCAATAGGCCTTTTATTCATGAAGATTTGAACACCAATTTCTGAACTTTGCAAAGCCCAGCCGTATGGATCATTGTCGAGGATTTGAACTGGAAAGTATCATCAACCTCCTGTTAATCTAAGCGATAGTTATAACTTCTCTCAGCATTTTCGAAGTTGTGGAAGATTTTTGCGATACTCTTTTAAAAGCTTGAAGAATCGTTGTAAAACTTTTTCAGTAAAAAGTGTCGGAGTCGAACAACTTGAACTTGACATCATTTAATTTGAAATGTAGAAATTTGTTTACTACGGCAAAGAGTTGAGTGAGTTCTTGGATGTAGCATAATTATGATCATATTTAGTAAAACTAGAAGGTTCTATGGTCTAGTTCGTTTGTCTATATGTCGCGTCACTAGTGCGTTCGCTAAAATTTCATTACAAAAAGAGTCGTGATGTGTCTCTCCAGCTTATTGCACCATCTATATTCGTAAATAGTTAAGACAATTGTCGCTTTTGCATTCTATGATGCTAACGGTAGATATTATTATTTTTTTATGTGACAATGCTTATATTGAAACGATAAATATTCGATCATTGTCATTTTTCCTCCACGTTTGTCAAGTTTTGAAAGAACGATTTCGACCTCAGAGCTATTCTCTTTCTTTGCCGTTGAATGAATACATTCATCAAACCTAGTCAAATATTACTTCGTGTAATCCGTATAAACGTCGTCGAATTACCATCTAGCTCTTCTTCTTTTCGTGTTCTTCTTACCAGCCAAACAAAGCGTTTTCACAGCACACAAATTAAGTATGTTATCAACCCGTCTTGACATATGCATTTTCTAAACTAGATAATCAAATATTGATTCAAAGAAAATAAACATCTTTTTCTCACGAAATGCTTGATCTTCTTTCTAGATTAAATATGACTGGTCAAAATACTCAAGAAACCAAACCATTATTCGAACGTTTACCACAAACGATTGTACCAACACATTACGATTTAACTATTCAACCACACTTGAATACGTTTAAATTTAATGGCGATGTCAATATCCATTTGAAAGTAGGTGTTGTTATTGGAAACTGTGCTCATTATTTAATATACTTCCTCTTTTTCAGATCAAAGAACCAACGAATAAAGTTGTACTTTACGCAAATGAATTAGAAGTTGACAACGCCAAAGTTAAATCGAATTCGAACGGTAAACAATAGAATTGAAAGCGCGCGGTTGACCTTGCCTTGTTTTCTCTAGACGAACAGAAAGGTACAGTCGATTATGACAAAGAAGGCGAACGCATCACCGTCAACTTCGAGAAAACGCTCGAGGTAAGGAAATCTTTTTTCGAAGAAGTATTTTCTCACTAAAGATGTGTTCATAGAAAGGTGAATACCAGTTATTTTTAAAATTTGTTGGTGAGATTAATAACCGCATGCGTGGTTTCTATCGCACAAAATATACTACACCCGATGGTAGTGAAGTTCGTTATGGAGCTAGCACACAATTTGAAGTAAGAACTCGTTTGCAAAGAATTCGAACGTTTATTTTGATATTCACCTTAGCCTGCTGATTGTCGCCAAGCATTTCCATGCTGGGATGAACCAAACTTCAAAGCTACATTTGACATCACAATGATTACACCCAAAAATCTTCGTGCAATTTCAAATATGGTAAATCACATGTGCAGAAATTAGGTGAATTCTAACATTGTTATGATTTAGCCGATCAAATCGGAAAGTGACTATGCAGAAGATAAGGAATGGAAAGTAACTAAATTTGATCGCACGCCAATCATGAGCACGTACCTCGTGGCTTTTGTCGTTGGTGAATACGACTTTGTTGAAACTACTGATTCGAATGGTGTTAGTATGAAAGTTTATACACCAGTTGGAAAGAAAGAACACGGACAATTTGCCTTGGATGTAACGTATCGATTTGAGCCAGTCCTCGTTTTCAAGAAAGGAAGTTCTGTGTCGGTTTAGACTGGAGCTAAAATTCTACCATTTTATGCTGATTATTTCAATATTAAATATCCAATCGCGAAAGCCGATCAAATCGCCATCGCAGATTTTGCTATGGGGTAAGGAAACTGACTGAAATCGAAATTATAGAAAGTTTGTTGTTCCCTTTTTCAGAGCTATGGAAAACTGGGGCGTAAGTGAACTAATTTGATTCTTTTTAGCTACATTGTATTATATTATTTTATCTGATCATTAGTTGATAACGTACCGTGAAACAGCACTTTTAATTGATCCAAAATTTTCTTCAATGGACACACGACAACGGGTTGCCATTGTTGTTGCTCACGAACTTGCTCATCAATGGTTTGGAAATTTAGTTGTATGTACTTTAATGACGACGATGTAGATCGTACACGATATGTTCTTTGTCTTTTAGACAATGGATTGGTGGACTGATTTATGTAAGTTGAAATAGATTTGTTATGTTTTACGAATCAATGGTATTGTTACAGGGCTCAACGAAGGATTTGCAACCTGGATCGAATATTTAGCTGTTGACAAATGCTTTCCTGAATTCGATATCTGGACGCAATTCGTTGCCGATACATTCGCGCGATTTCTCGTGCCGGATGCGTTGAAATCATCGCATCCAATCGAAGTACCAATCGGTTCGTAATCCAATCTCATTTTCATCGTGTTCTCTATTTCGCTCTATCGTTAAACAGGTCATCCAGCCGAAATCGATGAAATCTTTGATGCAATCTCATACTCTAAAGGTTCATCTGTTATTCGTATGTTACATGATTACATTGGTGATGATGCCTTCCGCAAAGGTCTTCATAACTACTTGATTGAATACAGTTACAAGAATACAGTGACTGAAAATCTCTGGTCACACTTAGCTAAGGCATCAAACAAACCAGTCAACGAAGTCATGTCATCGTGGACGCTTCAAATGGTATGCTGATGCCGTTAAACATATAACAAATTTACTAAACATAAAAAACATTTTCTTGTAGGGTTACCCACTTGTAACTGTAACTGAAGAACAATCAGACAAAAAGCGTGTTCTCAAAATAAAACAACAACGATTTATTGCTGATGGTAGTGCAGATGATGAAAATCTTCAATGGAAAATTCCTATTACTGTTTTCACCAAATCCAATCCAAAGAAGATTGCCCAACAGGTCCTAATGGATAAGCCTGAAATGACGATTACATTGGATAATGTTACTGAAGATGATTGGGTTAAACTGAATTTCAATTCCATCGGTCTCTATCGTGTTAAATACGAATCCAAAACATTAGCGCGTCTCAATGAACCCATTGCTAGCAAAATAATTAGTCCACAAGATCGTCTGATGGTTCAAAATGATGTTGCTGCTCTATGCAATGCTGGTCATCAGTCATTTGTTGATTATTTGGAATTATTACCATCATTCAAAGATGAAGATAACTTCACCGTATGGAAATCGATCGGTAAGAATCGAATTCGATGAGTCTCGTTTTGAAAAATTGAATTTTAGCATCGAACATGGGTGATCTTTCATCATTACTTGAATATACAACTTATTTTGATGAATTCAAACGATATCGTTTGAATCTCTTCTCGTCGATTCAAAAGAAACTTGGTTGGGATGCTAAACCTGGCGAAGATCCACTCTCAGCTATGTTACGTCCAATGATTTTGGGTATTGTCGGCAAATCTGGCGATCAAGATGTGATCAGTGAAGCTAAGAAACGCTTTCAACGTCATATCGATGGTGATTTAATGGATCCCAACATTCGCGGAGCTGTTTACGTAATCGTTGCACGTTATGGAGATGAAGGCACACAAGAAGAACTTCGCCAAGTACGAACAAAGCAGTGCAAAGATTTCTCTTGTATCTCATAGCAATTCTTACGTTTAATTTAGTTGTTCGCTGCAGCAGACATGACCGAAGAAAAAGTTCGATTACTCCGTGCTATGGGTCAAGCAATTAAACCAAAGATTATTGAAAATACATTGAAATTCATTTTTGAAGGCGTAAGGATTTTAGATAAGAAGTGATCGAACGACTGAACTTGTTTGCGTAGGATAATGTCCGTATGCAAGATTCAATCTCTGGTCTTGTTGGTTGTACGTCAAGCCGCGACGGTCGAGACTTAGTTTGGAAATTTTTACAAGAAAACTGGAAAACACTTGTTGAACGCTTTGGTGAAAAGAGTAACTTTCTCATTGCTTTCGTTGAAGTAACGAACAAATAGCTGTATATTCGTTTCTCTCATCATTCGTATGTTTTTCTAGTATGGTTTATCTGACTTCGCCGATGAAAAGATTGCTAGTGAAATCAAAGCATTCTTTGAATCAGTGAATACACCAATTATTGCCCGACCAGTGAAAAAAGTACTTGAAACCATTCATATGCGTTCGGAAGTTCTTAAACGCGATTCGAAAGCAATGGAAGACTTTTTAAAAAAACAGCAATAATGTGATTATTTGATATTCAATATTCAACTTACTAATCAAGAATAGAAAACATTCGTAGAACGTCAACAATCATTTTAATTTAACCATTCCTTGTTTCATTTATTTTATTCAACATATTTCCAGTTCTTGTCCCTTCTAGTATAAACACACGTTCTGACAACAATAAAGTCTCGAAGAAAAAAGTTCATCGAACAATAAAAATAGACTCTATCAAAGCATTATCTCATGTAGAAATATTCTTTAACATTGATAATGATTTATCGAGGAAATGAAGATGATAGACGATGCGGAAATTTCCAATCGTATGGAAGATCGTCATTGAATCGTATTGTATTCAGTGCCACTCGAATTTCCAGGAATATATCTTCTTCCGTTCTCATTCGAATACACATAAAGACGTCATTCTTTTGTATTCGCGTTCAGCACAAGTCTAGCCTTGCATTTTCACACACACATTCATCTAGTTTTTCCTATTAATTGTCAATCACATATAATAATTTTCGTCAGTCCAAAAGAAAGAACTACTGTATGAAAGTATCTAGATAGCTAAACTGAACCTCGACATGATCTAGATCATTGAATTAGTAAGTCAATTTCCGTCGGTGATTCGTGCTCTTAAAACTTTGCCTGCGGAGAGTATAGTCAATATCGATATCAATCAATCAAAATACGTTCGTCATATCAACACATAAACGCTGCTGTCATCGTATGGCAATTGCGTTAGGAGAATCTTCATTTATAGAACTTTATCATCTCTCAGCTAGATAAAGAATTTTCATGTCAACGGAAGACAATGGTTTTAATCAACGAGTCGGCCACCTGCTGGTTGATTCTTCTACAGAATTTTGATGAAATTATTCATTCCATACAGAAAATCTTTCTGCATGATATATAATCGTTATTTCATTAATTTATTCAAAACATTACTATTTGTATCGAATTACCAATGTAATATTAGAAATAACAAACGAGATGACATCCTTTGGTGTCGACAATAACCTTCGCGGATCTATTTGGCAATGATTATCTGTTTTCATCCAGCTTATGTAACGGTAATAATGGATTGATCGATCAAGAGAAGTTCGCCCGTTTTGCTCCAAGTAAATCGTCGACATCTGTTTCTAATGATGCTGTCTTTTTCCTGTCAACTAGGTTATAGTGACATCTATCAGCAGATCGAAAATTAATCAAGGAAACTATCCAATCCAGACGTATTCATCTTCTCTTTACACACACACGCACGATTTTGTTTTTTTGGTCTCTCGTTTAGATTTGAACAATCCAATTTCATTTACTCATTTTCGCTTGTCATCATGTCGGACAAGATTACATTTTTCGTGCCGTATCACACTGGTTATGCTCATGCTGAATTGGTTCGTTCGTTTTCATCTTATACAGATGTTCATTTATTTATTTATAAATGGAATCCGGCACGTCAGCGTGTCCAAGAGCATTTTTCTACTGAAAATCGAATCTTTTGCCATGAATTCAGTCTCGACAACATTCTCGCTGAGATCAACAATGCAAAGCATCGAAAAGTTGTTTTTCTCCTAACTGCCTCTACCAATTACTTATTTGGACAATTACAACTTCGCTTATTTCGTATTCTACAACAATATATTCCATCAATAATTGATGTTTATCCAATCGGACATTGTATGTATGGTTGTCAAAGTTGTGCATATGCTTATACACACTGTCTTCCGATAACATTTACAAATTACATTCTAACGAAAGATGACGAAGTCCAATTCGAAAGAGACTTCGAAATTCTCGTTTGTCCAAGTTATTCGTTCCAAGGTGCACCATTTAGTTTCCTCTCGAACGAAGAAATTATTCAATATCTACTAACGCTGAAATATTCTCATGCAATTAAATTACACCCGTTGGCTTTAGAAAGTGACCGACATCCATTTTTGTCTTTAACTGATTTAGAACGTCAACATGTGCAGAAGTTATCCGAATCCGTGAATGTCCTTCGAAATAACCAAATAAGCACGTTAAAGTTACTTGAACATGCGCGTGTGATTATTTGTGATTCGAATTCCTCTATTCCATTCGAAGCACTTTACTTTCAAGATAAAAAATATGTGTTCGTTTACGAAACGGAAAATGAATATGACGAACAAGATGATCGACAAAATTATTTTCATAAGTTTCAGACTGCGAAACAACTGAACGATTTAATCGAGAAATACGTTCATCAGCAACTCGAATGTAAAACAGAGAATAGCCATGAATTCTTTTTAGAAAAATACGACGAACCGACTGGAAATGAAATTGAACAGTTAGCAAATGTACGGCAATGGACAAACTTAGACGAAGAAGAGCCAGCCGAGGAAAATTTTGATAAGAATGAAGTCAAACAAGCCGTTCAAGAAGACTTTAAATCAATTTTAACGCCCATGGCGTTGTATGTACTAGGTGATCATACAATGTCTCAAGTAACTGAACTGCTTTTTAAAGATGATCAACAACTATTTGATACAATGCAAAATAATGTTGATGAACTTTAGAATTTTGTTGTTTTTCTTCTAGATGGTTAATGTAAATGGCATCATCTAGTGAAAATGATGATGATTCAACTTTCTATGACGCTAATAGTAGTTGGACTGATATTGAAGTAACCAAGTAAGTCATTCGAGTGACTGAAAAACACAAAGGCGTAATTACCCGAAGTTCTACGTACAGAAATGTCATGCGCGAATCGTCTAGTACTTTCTCTTTCGTGTTGATCGCATATGTTGATGATATATAAACCTTCCATTAGTAAGAATAATATTGATTCTATATTATTTACGATAGGTCTCTTCAACAAGATCCGCGCTGGGCATTGTTATCAAAAAGCGACTCGTCAAATAAATCTGTATGCACTAATGATGGAACTAATAAATCCTATCGCATTTTTATTGTTTCTCTAGGAACATTTGTATACGATTTCATTAACAGAAAATCAATTGCATGATATCGCACGACGAGATAAACTTCGACGGTTACGCGCACAAGAAGATCATCTCGATCGAATAAATCAGAATCAATTGACCACACCACTCACATCGCCAACGGACTCGAATTCATTACTATCTTCAATTCAATCGAAACAAATCGACGATGAATTATCGATTCGCGAAGACTCATCAACAGCACCCGATCTCCTACGAGATCATATAGACAATGAACAAACACGTCGACAAAAAAAAGTACGTTAATATTTATTTATTTATTTATTGATGTGTTTTAAGCGTCATTCTGTTGAAAAGTTTTAATTATTCAAGCATAAGGTCACGTACTTCGATAATGAAAGGTCTGACTTTCAGTCATCTCCTGCTTCTCTAACGGCAAATAATATTTGATTTACTCAGAATCTGTCAATTTTTCAACAAAGAGCATTGATAAATAGCCACGCTATGTGTGACTTTAGGCTTCATTTTGTTTTTCTTCTAGCCATCAATTTCATCAACACCGAAACCAACTTCTGTAAGTGCATCGCCTGCCGTACCACCCTATCAACAGCAACGATCATTACCCTATCCGACGTTACCAGTTATTTCCAATACACGTAGTACCGGTGATTACTATTCCAAAATAACGAACTTATCAGCAATTAGTGAGCCAAATATAGTGGAACTCAGTCTCATTGATCGTAAAACCAAGTTCGAAGACTTCACTAATAACAATCGAAAATTGATTAATACTCATGAAGACGATAATCTCCGACAATCGCATATTCATAATCTAGACAATGGAAAGTATCTCTCTATCGGTGATGCAAACCCAATGACGCAGACAATTCTTGAACGTGTTCAGGGTAGTGTTAGTGCTATGACATTGCGTCAGAGCTCATTGTTAAATAGCTCAAATACGACCAGTCTTCTTCGGCGAAATTCGTCGGAAAACAATAATATGAACGGAGGAAACAATTTAGATGTGAATATGAGTCGTCAACGACATCAATCCAATGGCGAAGAGGACGAGGATGACGACAATGAATCGACGTCATCGGAATCCTCAAGTACGAAATCGAGTCATACAGCACCAATTTCATCCTCGTCATCTTCGGCAGTTAATAAATCATCAATGGCCGCCGTACGAGCAGCATCATCATTATTTCACGATGGCAAACGACAAATCTCACGCCTAATGAGTCGAAGTTTTCTACGTAAAACTGGCAAAAAAGCAGTTCAACATCATATTCATGACATTGATGAAGAAGAGGAAGATAGCGAAAGACTACTGATAAACGATGGATCAAATGGCGACTTGAAATATAAAGCATCAAGAAATCTTAAAGAACCATCCCAATTTGATCGAACACAATTACTACAAACCATTGTTAATGCTCATAATGGACCTATTTGGTGTATGAGGTACGAAAACAAAACTCTTCGGTCGAAGTTTTATTTTGAAAAAAACAATTTTCTGTCTTCTAGATTTTCACCCGATGGTCACCTGTTGGCTACAGGCGGTCAAGATAGTCTACTTAAAGTTTGGGTACTAAAATCCGCTCAACCACATTTCGATGAATTTGCGCGTATGACGGCAAATCCATCGAAACAGCAAAACGAAATTCTAACAAAAAAATTCGATGAATTCCATCAAACGATATCATCCGAACAGTCTACGTCGACTATCAACACCAAACTTGGCCTGAACGAAATGCAGGCTCCGCTCTACGCACGACCTTTCTGTGAACTTCTCGGACATCAGGCGCCTGTTTTAGATGTCGCTTGGTCAAAATCTTTGTTCATTCTCTCGTCATCGATGGATAAGACTGTACGATTGTGGCATTTAAGTCGATCCGAGTGTTTGTGCTTCTTTCGGCACGTGGATTTCGTCTCGGCAATCGCTTTCCATCCTCGGGATGATCGATATTTTGTGTCAGCGAGTTTAGACGGGTAAGTTAAACAATCGAATCGGAGCGATTTTTCTATTTACCGTAATAATATAGCACGATACGAAAAAAGAGTGTAGAGAAGTAGGGATAAACAAATGATCGCAGCGCTCATCAAGGTAATCAAATGAAAATCCAACGCTTTTGATTAAAACGATTGAATGCTCATGTGAATGAGACAATAAAATCAATGCTTTTCGCTCTCATCACGATATAAATATTTTTAAAGAAAAACAACGTACATTTCTTGTCGAATTAAACTTATTTTGTTTATCGATTATTCTAGACACGTGCGTTTATGGAATATTCCTGACAAACGTGTTGTTTATTGGTCGTTAATTCCTGCTCAAGCATCATCACAAATCACAGCGGCTCAAGCGAACCTCATCACTGCAGTGAACTTTTGCGACGACGGTCGAAAAGTAACTGTCGGAACATTTGATGGCCGATTTCTACTCTACACGGATTCTCTACAATACGATGTACGTCGAATTTCATGTCTGTTTCCGCTCTACATATATTACATACATACCTTTTCAGACGGTCATGAATATTGGTGATAAGGATGGTAGTCGAAGTCACCGTTCGAGAAAGAAACGACGAAAACCATATAAAATAACAGGCATCGAATCGATGAACTCCAATAATTCGAAAGTATGAAGAGAAAAGTTAAAGGAAAGGATATTTACTAGAAATCTATTCGAAGGTGTTAATCACGTCTAATGATTCTCGCATACGTCTCTATGACATTCGTACGAAAGAAATCGAACGTAAATATCGTGGATATTCCAATCAATCCAGTCAAATTCGAGCGTCATTCAGTTCGGACGATCGATATATCATCAGGTATGTTCCATTTCACATCACTTCGGCCCTTACTCTCTGTTCTGTTCAGTGGTAGCGAAGATAGTTGGTTTTATATCTGGAAAACGGAACCGAGTAGTACGATAAATCCCAATGGAAATAGTAGTGCAAATGCAAAATTAACACGAAAACAACGCCGCCATTTTGATCGTGCCTTCGAACGAATTCGAGGTAAAAGATTTCCTTGTCTGTAGTGAGAATCACCGATGATATTCTAGTTCATAATACAATGGTGACATCAGCCATATTTGCACCGAATTCGAACGCTATTATGGATTATTTATATGCATCCACATCAACCGACAATTCTTCCTTAACAAACCGTTCAAATAATCTCGCTCAGTTAGCTCGTACAGTTCCATTGACCACTCCGACGTCGAACACAAATCGAACACGTTTAATTTGTGTCCATGCTGCTCCAAGTCCAATGGAGACTCCGTCATCCACCCCATCCTCGTCCTCATCATCGACAACGAATAGTGGACCTGTCTATGTTATGGTTACAGCAGATTCGAAAGGACAATTGAAACTTTTAGTCAATCGATTTCATCGTTAGAAGATAAATCAATACTTCTTGTCTTCTCATTGTGATAAATTTTTTATGATAAACTACTATCTCTTTTTTTTTCGTCTCTCATTTTATGAAAATATTCTATTAATAATTCAAAATCTGGAAACAGTGATATACGTAGAAATCGCCTTCTTTGCCATCAATCACAACAAATGCTACATGACGAAATTCATCTTATTAATAGCGAGTCGTACATGACAGGACAGAATGTGTTTCATATATCTTTCAAAACTATTCCCTAGCTTCTCTGTTAATTGTTTTTTTTTTGTCGCTTATACGATTATCCATTTACGATTTTTGGTCAAAGATCTTCTTTGATTGAAAATCAAATTTGACTGCCATTCGACTTTCTCTTCCGAAAAAATGAAAATCCAATTCGGATTGATACCACCCACGAATATTTCGCATCAATAATTTATATATAGACTTGTATGTATTTTACATTTTGTGAGATTCGTCAAAAACAAAACCAAAATGCATTAGTTGAGTACCGCTTGGGGAGTAAGAAAATGACATGTTGTTTGTGTGCAACAGGCAACAGCATGCAAAGTATATTTTGCTCGTGGTATCGCATCATTAGAAGTCAATAGCAAAAATCAATCCTTCGTCTTTATTTAGCCAGCACCACATGTTTATATCGAAGAGAAAAGCATTTGAAAGCAAAAGCTTCTCGTAGAGAACACTTAAATGTTGCATTAAACAACAACAACAATCATTGCTCAGATCTATCTCTGTCCTTGTATTCGACTTCGAATGATGATCAATCAAGTTCTCCTTGTCAAATATTGATCAAAACTTGATTGTTCTGACATGAGTCGAGTTCTCATTGTTTTTGTATTCATCTGCAAGGTTTATTAATAATCTCACGCGTTGTACGCAGTATTTTTCTCCGAAGACGATGCAGTAAATAATGACAACAGGTGGTCGGTCTCAGTTGATCTTCTTTCATTAATTTCTTCGTGCACCCCCCCCCCCTTCTCTCTCTTTATTGATCCATCTGGCACCCATCTACGACTAGTGACAATAATAGTTATATTTTTGTTATGATTATTTTGTTTTTACATCTGTATATATACATTCACTCACTTTTGAAAAAAAAGGTAAATCAAAAGACGCGAAGTCATGTATAAAATGAAAGCTTGTGCAGCGTTATTTCTCGTAGATGAATTGACGTCATCGCGTGTGTATTTTCTGTTGTAAAATCACTCAAGGGCCATAGCGTGGAGTATATTTAAAAAGTACGAGTCGAAAACATCGACAACATCGATGTATGTGTATGTGAAAGGAAAGCGAGCATAACGATACATTCAATCATTTAAGCGACAAACAGCAATCAGAAGAGTATTTTAATTGTATGGCATATATATGTATGTATGTATGTTTAGTGTGTTATCCTGATGAGATGCGAGAGGAAAAAAAGGGAAAAGAAAATCAATGTGTTACTGCAGTACGATGTTATTATATGTCAAACGAGCAAGAACCTTACCTACGTCATCAGCAACAACGTCGATGCCTTTCTTTCTTTCTTTCTTTCCTTTTTCACTCGCGCGTTTACTTGCCTCGTTTTTTCTTCTTCTTCTATATATATTTGTGCTCGTGTGTGTTCTGTTACATATTCAACTGTACTAAAGAGTAAGAAAAGCAAAGAGAGAGAGAGAGGGAGAAAAAAGAGCTATAGCAGCGTTAGTGACGGCGGCAATACCGAAGTATCTATCATCACATCATCATCACTACTATTCTTCCTACATACTAACAATGGAGTGGAAATCATTTTCCTCTATGTACAACGTTTTTTCTTCTTTCTGTTTCTTCTCTCTCTCTGTCATTTACTCCTCCAAGATGATTCTCTTGGAATCGCTACGATCCTATCTCTAGAAAGTTAACTGACCTCCTATCTCTGTCTTTACATCATCGATTAATTATCCGCACCTGCTCTTTTCCTGTCTCATATACTTATTCCTATCATCATTTATCTTCCAGAAAACGAGGTCAGATAATAAATCTCTTTCATTAAATCTTATATCTCAATCTATATACATCGAGATGTGTATACATAATATGTTAGTAAGAATAACTTCTTTCAAATCGATTTTTCTTTTATGTAGATATCAATTTGGAGCAAATATATAACACACCTTTTGCAAATATATCATCATGGACAATCACTCTCTTAATCTCTTTGCTGTAAATAGTCGAGAATGAATAACGAAAACAACGACATATCAAACCAATCAAACATTCGATATTTACTGGTCACAGCGAATACGGGAACAATATTTGAAAAGGTACTTTAATTGGGAATGATTTGTACAAACGAGAACTTCCTTCTTTCCTCTCTTCGTTTTTTTAGCCCGAATTACTGACTGCATGGGTGATCGAATTTGCAAATGTAAGTAATGTAGACAGACTATCATTTATCATTACTATAAAAGAAAGAGAAAAGTAATGTCGTCATCGTTTTCATATAGAACAAAAAAAGAAAGAAAAGAGTCGAGTAGAGCAAAAAAACCTCGAAGAAACTCAATCATGAGAATAGAAAATCAATAAAAACAAAACATTAAGGATATTAATTCTGTTACAGAAAAACGAAAGAAGAACTGTCAAAATTTCGTTTTATCACCAGTTGTGTAGTTAAACCGAAGTTTTCTTATTCCTTTCTTTCCGCAATCACAACAACAATCAATTGCATACGATGAACCACGGATCTGTTGAAAGAGCTCATCAAATAATTGACTTTTGAAATCATCGCACTTGCTGATAGTCCTTTGAGGAATAACCTTTTTTGCCTGTAAACAAAAAAACAACTTGTACTTAATTGAATTACACCGGGCAGGTTTTTACTTCACACTGACATTGGCAATCGATAAAGCATGCTTGAAATTTATCAATAACAATTGTATCTTTTCGTATTTGTTTCACATCAATCGAATTCTCATCGCGAATTGTTCGATTCTCAATTGACTTGTCCTGACAAAACATCGCATCAACATCGGACATTGTGGAAGGTTTATCCACAAAGGTGCATCGATCTGATGCCTGATGTATGAAGACCTGTCTGAGCCAGTGAGGCATGAGTGTCATGCAACGAGAAGTTACAAAAACGAGAATAGGAGAGGAAAAAACAATGAATCAACATACGAGCAGTTTTTGGCGCATTTTATTTAATTGTATTCTAGCTTCTGCATCAACATCCATCCGATTTTATTGCATTACATTGTCAAGAAGTCGGCGGAAAAGATTATGAAAGATATATGCACATTCTTGATACATTCATCAAGTAAAGTTGTTCTTTTCATATGGAAATTTACTCAAGCGACTCGATTTTCCAGGAGTATTTTACAAATCTCGGAAATTGCGACGTCTTTTACACGTTATCGTTTATACTTCGATTCGGATTATACTTCTCAGGATACATTTACAGTAAATATATCGAAAGTCTTTCACTCTGATTGATACTCATTCATTTCTATTCAAGGCTCTTGGTTCAGCATACTTCATTCGTGAAAATATCCCCATTGAACAATGGAATTTTACAAGTAAAATGTTCCATCTCGATGCAATATCGAATCTAGTTTGAATCATCGATAGCTTCATCATTTCAACAAATTTCCGATCGTCAGATTCACACTGGTAACTTGATCAATGCTCAAACGCTTCGGAAAGAAAAATATCCTCGTGAATTTTTTCCTGAAGTAATCCTTTTCCCTATCAATTTCTATTCATCCTGAACTACCCGCATGCGTTTTCATTAGGCCAAATGGTCTAGAAAAGGTTTCACTCAAACACGTTGGTCAATCAATAATTTGTAAGTCGAATTCTTCTCCAAAACATCATCTCACACGTAATCGTTATTAGTATTTTTGATATGATCAATGTTCATCTTTTCCATGACGCATCAAACATCCTAGCAGTTGAACAAAGTCCATCAGTGTATAGTATATTTCGAAAGAATGCATTGCAATACACTCTTCAACGGTAGTGAGAATCCTTTGTTTTCTCGTCTCTATCCGTTGCATTTAGGTTACCATTGAATTCTTCGGATGAATCTGTGCCGTATGTAATATTTGGTGATTTTAATTTCCGACTGGATACAAAGCGTTTAGTTCAAGTAGGAGATTGGATGATGAGAGAGTTTGTAATATTTGTTTGCTGATTAGAACTTTATGGAAAAACGAAATGGGTCTATTGATAAAATCAAACAAGGAAATACGGATGAAATTTGCAAAATTATCATCGAAAATGCACAAACTAAAACGAAATTATTGATTGAAAAGAAAGAATTCAATCTTCATGATGATCATGACACGTTTTTTAGCAGTGAAATTCAACAGGTAAAGTTGTCAAGTAACAAGAATGCTGAATAAGATCATTCCTTATAGTTTCAAACATATGATTGTGAACCATCGGTATTCACGGATTATTTATATGAATTCGAAAAGAACTTTGCACCGAGGTTTGTTTGAAACTACTGAAAATTTCTCCTCCACAATCTAATCTTTCTTTATTCACATACAGTTATCCATACAGTGAAGAACAACATGAGCCTCGAGCTTACTTACGTGCACGTTGTCCAGCTTGGTGCGATCGGATTCTACTCAATCATGTATTCAAGAAGTCTGTTGCTTCTGAGGTATAGTGTTTGTTTGTTTTGTGTCCAAAACAACATTTGGTTACACTTCTTCTCATCAATTATGTTTAGAAAACTCAGCCAACATACAATGTAATTGGAGAAAATGTTTGCATGGGCGATCATAAGGTTAAATATTTCACTGGTATTTCATTGGATATTTATCTAATTATTTCGTTATTTAGCCTGTTTATTTGGCATTAACAGTTGACTTGGTGCAAGGTTCGTCTACTTCCCCATCATCTTTACCCGATAGTGTTTCTCTTTCTCCTTTACCTTTTTCTACTAATATCGAAAACCGAATATTATTAACTAATCACACTGATAATATGATTAACCAACCAAAATCGCTTGTCACTGTTACGAGAGATGCTCAGACGAAAATGAGAACAGATCTGATTGTAAATGAAACGCATTTATCATCAGACAACACCGACTCTTTCAACGTTCATGATTATGCATTATTTATTCAACCGTCTGTTTTACCTCAATGGTGGCTTGAGAAACTTCAACAACGACCTCCAAAATCGCCGAATACGATGAACAGTAGTGGCAAGTTGTGGACAAAAGTTCGAGCTATCACATTTATGACAACATTAGCTCATCGGACAGGCTCGTGGTACTCCGATGATCGAACGGAAATTTCACCGATGGACGAAGAATTATCATTATCAGATAATGATGAAAGTGTGAACACACCTAATTTCGATTTCAATGATATTCAGCTTGATACCAAGCCAGACTTGGCTATTCCATTACGTCGATCATTTAGTTCGATTGATTGCATCAAACATCCCGAACGATATACTTCTGCTATATCACGAAGTCGCTCGACTACACTGATTAGTACGCCTGAACTAACACCGATAGATTCTCCTGTCATGGAACCATCAGCAGCAGCGCCGCCGCCATCGTCATCATCATCATCATCATCATCAGCTCCGCCACCCTCGATGTCTCCATCATCACGTGTCTATCGTTTCCTACATTGTATTGTACTGTAAATGAAACCTTCAATCATCTGCGTCTCTATGTAAAGTGTAAGTAAACACGAGAGAAAAACACGCGACACAGCTACGCAATATGACAACTTTAACCAAAATCACAATTTCAGTTGTCTTTTCCTCTTCACAGCTGCCCACTACATCCCTTTCTCTTAACAGTGACCGGCTGATTTTGATTTCATGCTATTCTGTTTGGTGCTTGTCTCTCTCTCTCTTCTATTTTGTAATTTCATATTGAATACACACAAATACTTCTATATATGTATGCCTGCCTATTTATAAATAAGATAACAAACGATCAAATTACATTGTGTTTTTTGTTGATCATTGCTTGAAGAATTGATATTCTTTCTTTTTTCGCACGTTTGCATATTTATGCACCGTAGGATGATTAGTTCGAACGGTCTTTTTTTAATCTTTCTATTATTCTAGAATAATTGCCATGATAGCGAATGCTAAATATAACATATATTGCCAGGGGTAAATAACTGTTTATAGGTGTTGTCATGTATATTAGTTGCTTTGATTCTGTATTTGTGTTAGTGATTATTCTTCCGCTAATCTGTAGTAGTGTTCGCATTTTTATTGCGATTTGTCTTTCTAGGTACAAATGACAATAGCCAAACGATTCAAAACATGACATCTGATAATCATTCAATCGATTTCAACTCATCGCAACCGACAAATCATTCGAAAATACAATTTAATGATTACTTCGAGAAGAAAGAATGTTTGAAATTAACATCGACTGATACAAATGATAACGTTCAACGAACAGTGCTTGTCCAACATAGGTTTCACGCAGATATCAAACGAACATTTACTCGCTGGATACGTGAGACACCGGTGTAATCTTGATCTGTTTTTCTTCGTCTTCGATCATTCGATTTCTCAACTCATCTTGTATATTAGAATCTCTCTTTCTCTTGCTCTTCTTTCTTTTTCTATTCCTCCTAGTCTTCTCCTTTTCAACAGCAGTGAACTTCACATCGTTTTACATTTTTTGTTTGTGCATGGATATTTACAAACAGTATCAAACAAATGAATAGACAATATATTAATATACAATGTTTTCTTTCTCTTCTCTTTTCTTTTTTGATAAACTTAAATTCAATTGTCAAGTAATAAAAGTGTTTCTTTTTTACCTTTATTCCGTCTCTGAATTATTACGAACTTTGCGCGTTTATCTCTAATGAATTATTAATCATCAATCAATACTGACAATGCGGTAAAATGTTAATATTCCAACGTACGAATGGAATACCAATGACGGAATAGAACTCGTTTAAAAAGAAAATCATCCGATGATGTCGATAACAATCAACAGAATCCTCTTCCGTATCTCTTACAGTTTATTTTGTCATTAGAAGTTATTTTGGTGATACACATTCGAACATCTGGCTAAGATTCTATTAACAACAGACGAGATTACAGATCTAGTTAACAAATAAACAATTATCTCCTTTGTATAAATATCTTTGAGAAAAAGAGTGATGCTTTTATCTAGGTGCACGGTTTGTTTCCAATAGCCAAATGTCTTCGAGCTTCAATTCTCGATGGGTTTCATTGAAAAGCGACATCAATTATGTTAATGACTGCCGCCTCGGTCTAAAAGAGCTAAGTTTTTCTTGCCGCATTCGTTTGTAAAGTTAGTCCGCGAGGGCACTCTCTTTGATTGGCATAGTTTAGCGTAAGCATGAAAGAATTATGAAGGATTTATTAGTTCGTATGACGATCGAATTTTTGTTTTAATAGAAAAATCAAATGAATACAACAGAACGAGGTAGTGAAAAGGTCAAAAGAAGCAGAGAAACAAAGCCAGGTCAAAATAAACAGTCGATTGACGTCAAACACTTCAACTTTCTGAAATGAACATATCGTGGGATATTTATTTGAATGGATTGTCTCCTAAACCGACTACTTTTCGGCGAACCACTAAAAGAATAATGATCGAATCAACATTTTAGTTTGAATAAGAAGCATTCTTACGTAATCTCCCAAAATCATCATCATCATCATCGTTATCGTTGCTAGTAGATTTCTCGTTTACACGCTGTAAAAGTTTCTTCTCAAGTTGCTTTCGTCGCTGAGAGATGAGATTTTCTTGTTTGACAACTTGCAAATATTCATACATTTGAATTTCAAGTGGTGTGTTTGAACTCTGCAATACAAGAACGTCATATTTCTTATTAGGAAAAAAAAATTTTTCCCCACTTGTTTAAGTACATAAGCATCATTAATAGATATTAAGAATAGCGCAGCGATGAGTACAATTGTTATTGCAGGAGCGTTCATTTTTACTCGAAGCTTTATCTAAAAAGAAAGAAAATACAAGTGCAATGGGCATTTCCTTCTCAACCCATTTTACAATAACAATCTATCAAAAATAATTTTACTCAAATAAGTTATCGTAATATCTCTAAGTGACACAACCCCATTGAGGAAATAACAGTTCTATATCCTACACATCTATCAAGGTTCACTTCTTAAATAGTAGCTTTCATATGTCTGAAAAATCAGTTATTTCCCTTGCTGACGTCTCACTACCTCCTACACACTTGCATCTTTCGCAGTCAACCAGCTACGACAACTTCGTTGTGTTTGCTTAGAAATTGTAAATTATTATTCACGGAATCTGACGTTGGAAGGCATTAAAGACATGTAGTCTCCGACAGTTACTTTTCTGCAAGATTACAGGTAAAAATATGATATTTTGTTTCAAATGAGTAGGATTATATATATTTTTTAAAATAAATACGTGCTGCATCTCTTGCGTCGTTTAAAACTAATAGAAAAATATGTGACGACTTGTCTTCGCAAGTACTCTAATGACGTGGAATGACTAGAAGAATGCAACTTCGATCGAATATGATTGAACAAATAAAAGAAGAATAAATGTCAACTAGATTGAAAGATTGCTAGACCTTCAACGGAATGGAGAAGACAAAATAAAACATCGGAAGTCATTGTTATACGTGTGCGAACGAACAATCGTTTACATAAAATACGCACGTGTGTCAATAGAATATTATGAAGCTGATCTGATGGAGAATTTCGTTCAATAGGGTAGACTCGAAAGACAATGATAACTGATTGAGAAGATTTCTTAGTTCGACGAACAAATGGCAACACAACGAGTGACAACGTCTGATGTGAAAAATAATTCTCACGTAATTCGGCGGCCTATGAGCGGACGTAAGTTAATATCAATTAATTTGTACTCACCGTAAAAACTTACTTCGTCTTGTGAAATTTTACCAAAAAGAAACTTCACTGTTGATGTCGAAGAAGAAGAAAAAAAAACGTTAACTACGCATTCATAATTCACGGGCAGTTTATTTATATAGAAACTGTAATGTCGTTGTTCTTCGAATATGTCGATTATGAGTCTATTTATTAACTAATTCAACTTGACGTATTCGCATATTTACTCAAACACTCATTGTTTTTTATTTCTGCATAACGACATCAACTATTGAGAAATATCACGCGTTGACTAATCTATCGATTTGTCTTTGCCATGTATTGTGGTAATTAACATTTGAGAGAATTACCTGACTTTTCTACTTACAGAGTTTTGACATCATTTTATTAAAAAACAAAGCGTCTGTTCAGATATTGAAATCATGTTGAACAAATACACTTCCTTTTGCAAATGTTCCGATATTAGAAACTAAAACATTAGTAGAAATCAAGTCTTCGGGGAAGTGCTTGGTTCGATGGTGCTATTCTTTTTGTGCGAACGGAAGAAATGGTCGATTGTTTTTTACAAATCAGTAATAGAAATGAGTGGGAAAACTCTGAAGATCATTTGCAAGACATTCTCATAGATTTCGATTATGAGATTCACTTGAGAATTGTTTAATGACATCTATTGACATTTCTATATATATGACGAAACGAGACGATGATTCTTCTCGATTATTGTTATTGGAAGAAGAAAATGATTATGAACAGTAGAGATTAGTTCAATGATCTGTTATTTAAACGTTTACAGATGATACACAACGACGTCAGCCGGCAGGCGGGTTACAATCATCTAGAAGATTAACGAGTCTAGCTACAAGTAACGATTCAGATACATTATTTCGTATTCGTATGGCACCTCAATTTCATCGAGTTGTGTGCAGAACGCGACGAGATGAATCAGAAGTTAGTCCATGTATTAAGTAAGACTTTCACATATATTTGTTCAATCCTATCTTATTTTTCTAGATATCTCATGTTTAGTTTCAATATTCTCTTTTGGGTAAATGACAGCGAATGTGTAAAGTTGAAAAAACTGTTCAATTTTTCCTCTCTTTCATAGGTTCTGGGATTTCTAATCGCTGCCATTGGTATTTATGCTTGGATTGAAAAGGACACATTCGATAATTTCGGTCGTTTAACAATGGGTGGAACCTTATTCTTCGATCCAGCATTACTTTTCGTACTCGTTGGAATTTTCATGTTCTTCATCGGTTTTGCTGGCTGTGTTGGCTCGTTGAGAGAAAATACCTGCTTATTACTTTTTGTATGTTATCACCAATCTGTTCCTTTATCGAGCCTTGGTTGTTTTGTAGTTCAATTTCGCTTTGGTGATCATATTCCTTGCTCAGCTTGTCTTTGGTACATTGGTATTCATCTATCGAGAAAAAGTGAAAAACGAAGGTGAAAAACAGCTAATGGTTATGATACAAAGTTACCGTGACGATCCTGATTTACAAAATATGATCGATTGGATTCAACGTTATTGGTTACATTGCTGTGGTGTGAACAGTTTCCGAAACTGGGAAAGTAATACTTATTTCAATTGTTCGTCAAAACTTGTTGGAAGTATTGAAGCTTGTGGTGTACCAGCAAGTTGTTGTCGGGCAGAATATTTTCATGTGAGAACGACATTGAACGGACTGATCATCTTTTTTTCTATTGAAATTTATCTTAGAATAACAAACAGTGTGGCTATGGAACGTTAGAAGCATCCGCGGTAAGCTCTTTACAAACAGAGTAAACGAAATTAGATGGAATTTTATAGGGAACACATATGATCTACACTGACGGATGTTTACTGAAAGCTTCGCAATGGTTTGAACAACATATCATACCTGTTGTAATAATTATTGCTATCCTTGCTGTATTACAAGTAAATAAGCAATAATACGACAATTTTTCATCGGAATGAAAGAGTCACGAGTCTAAATAATCCTTTTGATCTTTAGATTCTTAGCATTTGCTTCGCACAAAACCTTCGTAATGACATCCTGGCTCAAAAAGCGAAATGGGCTTGGCAGACGCATCCAATGGTGCATTATTATCGAAATTAGTTTAGACTTTTTCTCTTTCCAAACTCTTAAATATAATTAGTGTTCGAAAACAATTGTAATCATCATTTATGAATCTTTATGTATGTGTGTCTTTCATTCTTTCTGCAATATGTATATATGAGTTAGAAAGGAATAGATTTTTATTTGAATAAAATCTGAAAATGCGCATATACATATATCACAATAATTTGGTTTATGAAACTGCTTATTATCCTCGCTGACAAATATTTTATGGTATCATCAAAATAGCTTATATCTACGTTCCGAAATGAAGGAAAGAAAGAACGACTAGCTTTTTAAAAACGAACAAGCTGAACAGCACCGATTTGAGTGGGTAGGTGAAAATGGTAACGTGGACATAAGTAAAGCAAAGATATTAAAGATATACCTCTATGCCTTGAATGATATCTAATTGTATTCGTCACGGCTTATTGATTTAGTAATACTCGCAGCGTCCTGACTTATTTTGTTCAAATCGGTGTTGTTGGTCCTTGTATTAACAATTACAGATTGTTCTAAAGTAAATGTATCTATATAATAGTCAAAAAGATCATTGAAACATCTTTTAAGATTCAAGCAGCCACTACTATTGGACATACCGATCGATTTTTTGGTCGTTGTGTTCAACGCTTTGGGTGTTTAATATCGATTTAAGTATAGCGAAGAAGACACCATGAGGTTGTGATGAAAAAAATATGAGAGCTGAGATGAGAATGCAAGAACGCACAGACATCATTATATATTAGTCTGTCAAAGCAATAACGAAAAGGTAAACGCCGGCTCTACGCACTAGGAATGTAAAGGAACCGGTCATTGCACCAGTTACTATCTTTTTCTGCTATCTCTTTGCGTTTCTACACACCTCTTGAAGTAATGTACGTAAACATTCTAAAGAGAAAGAGCGAGAGAGAGAATAGGACAAATGTGTAACAGAATGCATCACTTCTATCATAATAAATGGAGACATAATAAATTCGTATGTAAACTTATTCAGACCTTGGTCAATAAGCTCGACTAAGATGAAGAATCGAAGGGAAACACGAAGAAATTCCGTTGCAACTAGATCAAAAAAATTTTTAAATAGAAATTATCTGATTTACACGAACACTACCAAATAAATACTCGAGCATTAAGATGTTAGGATAAAATTTTATTTTAAAGAATAAATGTTTGAATGAAAAAATTATAAGGTTTCTTCCTCTTTTCGCGATCGTGTGTGTTTCGTCTCCATGCTGATACTCGGCTTGAATTTCCATAAATCGGTTCGTAATTGTTTTGATGCTTGTTTATTGAACATGGCTGAAGCTGGAATATGTGAAGCAGTAACATAGATATAACCTTGTTCATCTTCAGAGAATGTATCGGGCCAAGAGAGACGTTTATCTGTTAAGAGAACTTCATAGGTATTGCTTTGCAAATCTCTCACTCTGATTGAATCATCTTGAACTGAACTAACGTAGAGAAGATTTGGTTGCTTTCGACTTATCCATAAACCATCAGCTGGTCCGTTTTGTCCGACGATGGCTACATGAGAAGAAAGTTGTTTACTCGAATTAGATGAGTGAAGATGAGATGTTGGAATTGAATACAGTGTTTTGCCTTGAATAGCTTGCCAATAAAGAGTGGAACCATCGATGGAAAGCGCAATGCCATCTGCTGAAAATTCAACACCACGACCGTCGATTTGACGAAGTGGTTGTCCATTGTACTTGACTGATCTATTTGATGAAAGAAGATAATAATTATCAAATTTGCATGAAAAGTGAAGATAGGAAAGTATACACTGTTTTATCTCGTTGAGTTGATGGGTGTCCATGCAGAACTCGCCGTGCTTTTCCTGTTTTCAAATCGACGACAACAATAGCTCCTGTTGCACCTGAGTCAGTTATATAAGCATATGTACCATCTGGTGAAAAGCGAACATCGTTTAAGTAGGATCCTTGTGGTGCAACATCTTCATCGAAGAGAATAGTTCGTTTCGTTTGATTGGTGATTAAATCTATTTCAACAAGCTTTGGTCCGCCTTTAATGATAGGGCCGAAAGCTGGAGCAGCTGGATCAAGTACGTAAAGACTATCTTTGAAGACCACGATGCTTTGAACACAAACGAAATATTTCGAAGAATCTAACTTCTCTTTTTGTGCGTTTCGCCAAGAATTCCAATTTGAATTTGGTGGATATGGTCCGATGGTGTCTTTTGACAATACTTCAGCCACTGAAACCGGTGAATCTTCTGTCCATCGTGGAAAGTTAACAAATATGCGACCAGATGTTGGATGTACACTTACACCAGTAACCTGATGATCAAATATTGCAACTAATTCAAGTTTTGGGCTGGACTTTGTTTTGCAATGGACCAGGATGAAATTACTAGTTAAAAGCAGACCGTATAGAAACAACATTGTTGTGCCAATGTCGATATTCCTCGAAGAGTCGACAAGTACAATACATCCAGCCAATCATATGTTTAAAAGGGAAAGCACGTGTAGATTAAGTGCGAATAGTGTGTCTCATCATTTATTAAGTATATATATATATATATGCAGAAAAGAAAAGTATAAGTATGATTATGTATAGAAAGTTCACATTGATGCTTGATTAGGAGCTTTCGTGAGAAGATATTCGTCACTCAATGTGCCATCAGAAAACAAGTTCAAAGAGCGACCGGATGTTTTATCGAAGATCCAATGTGTCACTTGAAGGCCGTCAAAATCATAAACTGGATTGCTCTGGTGATATTTAATTGGCTGTTTATTTTCAAAAGCTGGTATCGACCATCGACGATCGTCACCATAAAGGTGTCGCAATGCAATTCGTTTAATTCCTAACTGTTTTGCAATGTGCAGATAATCATCCACTTGATGGATATTGTCTTCTGTTAGGACACAAGAAAGTTTAATTGGAACATTGGATGCTTCTTTGAGAATGACTTTCATATCCGGCATTTGTTTAACGCCATGTAATTTACGGTAAGTTTCAGGTTGAAACGAATTGATCGACAAGGTGCATGAGTCGTACATGCGAAATGTTTTCATTTTAGGTACAGCCAGTAATCCATTTGTATGCAATGATATGTGAACATTCGGAAGATCTTGACGTAAACGATTTAATAGCTGCTCTTCGTATTTGTAAAGTTGAGGATCAGTCCGCGTGCCGGTCAAAATAATTTTCGGTGTTTTAGACTGTTTCATCAGAGAAATAAATTGATCAAGATTATTCAATGCTTGACTACGTAAATTATTTGGGGTTTCCACTAATTGATGACCAATACAAAATGGACACTTTTGGTTGCATGGTCCTGAAAATAGAATATTGCCAAATTCAAACGGTTTCGATGTGCTAATACGAGATAGTGTTGAAAACGTTCGGCGTGTTTGATTTGCTGGTTGTTGAGCTGTTTGTGAAGCAAGAATCGACGTTGTCAAAGGAACTGTTGAAACTGGTGGTGTTTGTGGCGTTGTTGGAATTATGCGACGACGAACTGGCGTAGTTGTATCGGGAATAGGTTGATATGGACTTTGCCCCTGTTTTAACGCTTTGACTGGATCAACTAGAAACTGTTCTCCGCCTTGAAGATTTAAAATATGATTTTTAACAGCTGGTGAATAGAAGAGGGCGACAACACCACCGAAACATTGTTTGCCAAGAGTTGTCATTTGTAGTCGCTGTCCTTTTGTATCGTGTGTCATTAAACCATTTTCAACAACAAATTGAAATTCAGTGGGGAATAATTCTTCCAGCGGAATTTTGAAACAATCTTCGAACGCAACAAGATCAATTCCACCATAATAAAAGCTAACCGATGCCATTTTAGCGATTGCTGCTTCACGCGACAAATGGTACAAATCTTGTACTGGAATACGATTTAATTCAACACTACGAATATATTGCTGCAGTTTTTTCGTTACTGCACCTAAATTGTACGACAATGTGTAATGACTGAACGATTGCGCACCAAGGCCGATGCCAATGTAAGGAACAGCTTTTCGTACTCGTTTATCTAAATAGTCCGAACATCCCGAATTGCCTTGCACACGAGAAAATGTGTTTTTTCCTGTTAAACCGATGTAACCCGATTGGTTTAATAGTTGCCGAGCTTGACCTTCTTGTCGATTGACTTGATCCAGTTTAACACGATCAGCTAAGTGTGCCATCGACGTACCTTTATATCTCATACGATATAAAGTTATATGTTCAGGTTGGAGATCAATAGTATCTTGAACAGTTTTTAACCATGGATCATCTGTGCGTGATGCACGTAATGGAAAGCCATACATAAGATCAATATTAAAACTTTTGAAACCGGCATTGCGTATATTTGAGACTGCTTTAGCAATATAATCAGTGGATGCGTTGGCATCGTCACGATTCATTTCTTTCGCTTGGCGAAAATCGGTCGTTTGTAAACCCATGGAGATGCGCCGAATACCCATATCATAGTATGCTTTGATTTTGTCTGGTTCGTCTGCAGCTATTCTGGGCGTTGTTTCTATTGAAACTTCAGTTGTGCTCCAATCCGTTTGAAATCGTGATTCGACACGCTTCATTAATTGCTCGATATGTTCGACTTTAGCCATGGACGGAGTACCGCCCCCAATGTCAAAGCCAGCCAATTTCTTTTCGGTTGTTTTCAATAGATTTGCATACATGTCAAGTTCAGCATAGAGCGCAGCAAAATAGTTTGTTTGAATGTCCACATTTCTACCTTGTTTTGGATTAACAACTGTGTATTCGCAAAATTGACAGCGTGTTTGGCAAAATGGTACATGAGCGTACAACATCATCTCAGGTAATGATCCATATGCTCCATAATAAGTCGCTTGAATGTCGTGTTGATCACGCAATCGTTTCACTCGGTATGGTCGGATCGTTGTGTTGTGAGCAATGGGAAATGCTGTATTACATATATGATGATGTTTCATACCGGCGCGAAAGACATCTTCAGCTGGATATTGTCTTTGATCGGCGTCGGTTGATTCTTGCCATGTAAAAGACGACGAAGTTGATACATTGAACGAACGAGATTTTGAAGGGAAAAGAGATGTGGATTTAAGCAATCGATGAGAAATGTATTGACGAGCTGATTTAGATAACATTGCTTGTTCTGTATTCGATGTGAGTTAAGTATTACAGCAACGTACGTTTTATAGTGACGTGTATATAGGTTGAGAAAGGATTGCACAACCAGAAAGCAATGCTCACTTCAGAAAAGAATCACCCATCTACGCCGAAATGTTATAACTTGGCAAGAAGAAAAAGATTCAGGCTTTTATAGACGGCTAACTGTGTTGTGCAATTTCCTTTTTCAGTCAGTTCGACTGTCATGTTGACTGAGTCATTCAACTGATGACGTGTTGTTAAAAGAAAAAAAAACATGTGTGTTGAAGTAACTAAGAGTCAGTATTTTTGATAAAAATTAAAAATGCATCCCTTATCAGTATTCAGAATTATCATTAACATCGCATTTTTTCTTTCATTCCCGATTGAATTTTACTTATTGTATTGAGTTATCACAGAAAGACCGCCTTCGATAGTCGAGTACATTCCGTTAAGAAGGGATCAAACGATGACAATTGTTTCTATGTCAAGCGAAAAGAAAGCATAGGTGAATACATGCGTAGAAGATGGTTTGTTTTTGAAAAAAAGTACGTAAATATCGCGATATAATGTAGGGAAAAAACAAGTGATTAAGAAATAGTTTTCATTATCTGTGATGACAGAAATAACGCCCAGCATGATTCATACTCATTCATCGATGGCCATGAGAATGAAAACACAATGTTGATCGTAGAGGTCAAGTCAAGTGATTATTTCAAAGAAAAACAAGATTTGAAATGACGTGAGAAAACAAATATTCTCAGTCAAAGATTAGCTAGAAAACAAATCACTATTAAACAATGATTCTTGAAAAATAAGACCTGATTCTTTTTTATACATTGATAGAAATTCGAACATCTGTCTCAAAATAACAATTAACAATATCGATCATGTGAAAAATTACTCATTATTCAACGAAGAATTATCTATCTTATTTACACAACAAAACAGATTATCTGTTGTCTAAACGTTTTTGTACTTTGGTTTTGGATGCTTTCGGAGGAGTTCTTGACGTCGGCAATACTTCATCGATCGGCCTAGTCGTCGAACAATTTGATATGAACGACAACGAGCTATCCGAGTTAAAATCATCGGTATGACTGGGAGATGATAGTCCTAAACAAATCAATACAAAGTCATGTGAGAAAAAATTCAGAAGAAAACTACCGTTCAACAATGCCAAATAATCGTAGATTGTTTCGTAAAATTTTTCTTTTTTATAATAGATTACTATCGATACTTGCACATGTGTTCTATCTGATACTGAACACGAAGGCATTCGAAAGTAGATGACATTGCTCTGTACTACAAATTTGTCTATTTTGTACAGAACATGCGTATCTTGTTCACAGAGCTCAATCGATACATCAGGTTTCGTGACGCGACCTTTTAAAATAATAAATATGATTTCACCACCAGTCATCGGGCCATATCTTGGTCCTATATGTTCGATGGATATGTTACCATAGCCTACAAGATAAAATTCACTTATGGCTTTTCTCCCCAAAAAGAACTTTTTTGAACATTACTCTCTGTCATAATGTTGGAGTATTCGGTACTACCAACATCGTAATGATATTCTCCACATTTATTTCGAAAAATTCGTGTAAAACGAAGCATCGATTGATAGAGTTTGCGTTCCTGAATTAATTTCTTCGTAATATAATTGTCTTGTTTACTTTTAATAAATTCGATCATAAGGCTATGACAAACATCAATAGATCGAATGAAGTTTTTTCTTCCAACATTTGAAACTTACGATTTACAACCATTTACGAAGTCATCATTGGTCAAACGGAAGAATACTTTGTTCGGTTCATCTGATTGTATATCTAATGGTTGATCTGCAGATGCTTTATTATTAAGTGAGTAAGGATGTGGGTTTTTAAAAACGTCAACAAGTTGTATTTCAATAATATTTGTATCTGATTCACGCGCCCATATTTGAGGTACCTGTGAAAGGAAAGAAAGCCCCATTTGCGCTGCATTCGAATTGGATTATATCCTGGCTTACGAAAATAGTTGGATATTCGGCATCGACACTCCCTTCACATCGGATATAATGTGCGGATGTTTTACTCTCATTCTGCGTTCGAGGACGGAATTTTGCACGCGGCTGATGTTTTATTTGAATCTTCGTCGATTGCATTAGATCTGTCTCAGCGTCTTGAAATGAAAATCAATTTAATTAAGTTGACTAAGGTGAAATGAAACGTACTTAAGTTTGTCAAACACATATAATCATTTGATATTTGCGAAGGATTATGCGACATATTAGTTTCAGTACACTGAAAATAGCGATGTTTTAATTGGGTGTCAAGACTTTTTCCTTTATAACTTGCCAGAATATGTGTCGATCGATGATCCTCAACTACAAAGAAATGAATTTCACGTATTTCGTGTGACTATAAAAAGTGTAGAATGTTACCCTCCGTACTTTTCGACGTTGTATTGTTGGTATATACCAAGCGTTCCGACTTGAGTACGTCTAAAAGTGAGTAATAGGAAAAAAGCACAAGATTCTTTCCGAGCAATTACTGTCTGTACGTGTTGTTGCAGTTGACATGGTGTTTGTTTGGGGAAATTGAGTAAAACTGTTCGAATCTAAAGATGAATTACAAAAGAAAAGTTTGCTAATAGATATAAATTGATATTTTGAAAATTACTTAGTTGGAGTAGAGTTATGTCGCCCGAAATACGACTCATTTGTGGATGATTATTTATAAAGTTCATTGTCTAATTCAAAACAGTCTCTAATGATCAATCTAAAAGCAAAGAAAACTTGTCAAATTATACATGACTCTTGAAAAATTTCAGGACAAATTTTATGTTAATTTGTTCTCTTTTTCTATTTGATATGATTGTCTGTTTACACATGTTTTGTTTGTCATGTTCTATACAAACGATATACTTCTATTGAGAACTACAACGAAAGAGCGACAAATAAAGTAAGAAACGTGCAAGATAAACATATGGAGCATCTGCAAAAATTTATAAAAGATTCTTACTCAAAGTCACTATCTTATTCAAATGACGTATCCACGCTGCTAAACTTCTCACGACAAAAATGGCTCTTTTGACAAGTATTACTCGCAAAGCCGTACGATGAATAACACGATAAATCACGGTATGAATGTTGAATATATACACTTTCATCATGTTTTTAGTCATTTCTATCGGAATTTTCATTATGATGCTAGGGACCAAACCCATATTTTCTCCCATTTTGCGGTACGCGAATGAATCTTACAGAAAAGGAAAGGAAAAATCCAGCAAACAATATGTCATTGATGTCAACAAAGCATTATCACCTTCTCTTGTTATATTCCTAAGAAAAAAAAAGAAACAATTATTTATTATAAAATCTAACTTAACTGCAGATCATTTTCGTATACTTCAAAAGTAGGATTAGAAATGCGTCAGTCCAGTCGCGGCTGACTCAGCATCAGTCGGATCGATGACAACTGATATTTCGAAACGTCAACCAAAGTCGGGCTTCGCGAGAAAACAACGAGTAAATTCTAAGGAGAGTAATCGACCATTCTCAATGTTCAATAATTGACAAAAATCTGATCGGATCAACTCTCATGTGCGCGAGACAGTAAATAAATGGGACATATGTTTCGGCGTTTGCATGCAAATCTCGAACGAATTACCACGTTTTAATCGAAATGTCGACTTCCACCGTATGCGCCGCTCGATTTAACACTGAATAGTGATGATAATCATATGCGTGTACCATTAGACCGATTGATGATCACCATACAGTGTTCCTAATCTGTTGATATTCCCCAAGTCATTTGAATCATCAACGTATTGTCCTCGAATGCAGTCGTAAAACTCACTCAATGGATGTTTATCGGACTTAATCTTTATGAATATTCCTTTTAAAACTTTTATATAATTAAATAATGGATTTGTTTTATGAGTCGAAACAATATCGATTGATATTGCGTTTTAACAAATAGAATGAATACTTGTAAAAATATCGCATGTTTCTACTCATTTACCACCCCACGGCTTACTCGATTCCTACTGAAAATGTAAATAGAATCAATATGAGTGATCCCATTCACAAAAAGTGCGGTGAGTTCACTAAAAAGCTCTGTTTCGTCTTAAGCATTCGGCACGACAGTATGCATAGGAGCAGACAACGTTATATCTTACGAATAGATGCAACTTCCGATCGTCTTTCAATTGATCTCTTTACTACCCATGCACTTTTACTTGAGTGATATGATGACAACTACATGATGTAAAATGCTGATTTATACTTTCCTTAAAAAACACTGTACTTCTAATCTACTAAGGGGTCGTACAATCATAGTGCTCACAAAATATGCCGCCGACCTGCATGGAATCATCATTTCAATTAACTCTATAGAACAAGTCAATATTCATTGGTGAGAAATCTTCTGACCATGATGGTTTTTTTCCATTGACTAACATGTTTGTACAATTTTGTTTTTCGCTTAATACACAGTTGGCGCTATTCATACAGAACACAAATATCCGTCTCAGTTCTGGGATAAATTTATTCCGACTGTAGGCAAATATTGATTAAATCAAGTAGATGGCGTATGAAATAAAATGATGTCATGTTTTAACGCAGTACGAAAATATTTGCACTGTGATTCATCTGGATATTATCAACAAAGTAAATTTTTTCATGAGAACAAATCACAACAGGTAGGCATTCAGAACAGTATAAAACGGTTATAATTTGTTTTATACTGTTCTGAATGTTCAGCAATTCACTGCTTCAGATTGTGCGTTGACGTTTCATTGATGATGTTTGTTCGATATTTGACGTAGTACTTGAACCAGTAAGTTCTGGCACTGGTAATGAACTATCACATGAGTGAAGTTGATCTGTGTCAGCTGGCACTGACATCTTCAATCCGTAACGAGATACTAACACTAGAGTACAGAGAAAAATCAATGAGAAAACAAATGATTTTAATTGTACTTACAGTCTATATTTACATCATACACATACCGAGCTTCATAAATCGCGTTTCCTTTGTAAAAAACGATGATTTTTGCTTCTACTGGTTCGAGTAGTATGGATGGTAATGCAGGTGTCAGAAAATGTACCAAATTTCCCTTCGTAGCAAACGTCTCAATGTCATGAGTCAAACCATGTTCATCGACGACAATTTTAAAACTCAGTAGTTTTCTATCTTGAGTTTTCAGAGCTTTGAAAACCACATGGACCAACTGATTACCACTCATAGGCCCATACTGATGACTGATATACGCAACAGAAATATTTCCATATTCTATTAGATTATTACAAACATGAACAGTATGCTGTGTTTATAAACAAAGTCTTATTTGTTCGCACTTTCCGCCATTGTACAGGTGATTATCGAAGAAGTTTCATCTCGTTGATATGTGTGATTTTCATCTAAGTATATTCGTGTGAACCGAAACATAGATTTCTCCCATTGTCGATTCCGAACAAGTTCCTTCGTGATTACTTCACTTAGTTTCTGCTTGACAATTGCAATTCTAAACCTATATGTGAACAAAAGCGTTTACGTATATCATTATACAGTAATAAACTTACATTTTCCAACCTTTAGCAAAATCTCTAGGAGTTACATGGAAATACAGAATACTCGAACTGGTATTTCTATCGATCCAAGTACGAGATGTATCACCGCTGTTTCTAATTGGATATGGATGAAGCTCTTCGTCAATATCTATATGAGCAACTTCAATAATATTTTCAACGGACTGTTGCTGCCATTCTCTATCTACCTGAAAGGACGAAACAATGAAGATATCTAATGCTAATTACTTTCTAACATACGTAAATCGAAGGGTATTTGTCTGAACTGCCCTCTTTAGATTGTATGTAGCAAAGTGTTTGCTCCATCTCTTTTTCAGTACGTGGACGATATGTAGAACGCGGCTGACTTTTAATTGTAATTGTTTGTGATAGTGTACTACTACTTTGATCATCTCCTATAGAACAATTCAATCGTTCGTTGAGTAAAAGTTGTCATATACGAACTTTGTGATGTGAGAAGTAAATCGCTGTTTTCTTCATCTCCACTAATCCCATGAAAATCTAAATCCGCTAAAACAATCGTATACTAAGTGTTTGAAAATTCCGTATAAAATCATAATCTTAAAGTAGCGTTAAACCTACACTTGTCGGTTGTATTTATCATACTATTGATATCATTTCGTTCGTCAGAACTAAATAGGCGACTGAAATGCTCTTGTAGATCAGAATTTATCTTAACAGAAGTAATCAACTATGAAAAATACGCAAATAAACGTCAAACATCGCCAGGAAAGATCTGCTAGCATACCGCATTTGGTCCTACAGACAATAGACTGGATTGCGATTGTTGATCACTATCTGTAGCTGTTCTATCAATAATATGACATTCTTGTTGATGCATAGTGGTGATTTTAGAAGTTGATTGGAATCTGTCTGAAACGTCATAACGATTTATCACATATTAAATAAATAATAATTTAGAATGGAAAGAAAAGTCAAACTGAAATATATCTATGGGGTGAATCAGTCAATCAACATCTGTTAATACGAAACGAAATTTCCATGCGTTTATGTCTCGTTAATCTTATCTTGTCATTTCAAGCACTTAATCAATTTACCTGAGAGATTTGTTCGACACGAAATAATCTATGATTATCAAAGAAATCACGAAAATGTTACGAACAGATGTGTCATATGCGATGTAGTTCTACTTCATATATATAGCTAAATATATATATACGATTCATAAACGGGACAAGAGCAAGACATGGAAATCTCCATTCTTTTCTTACGTCATTCTATTTTCTTTCACCATCTTAAATACGTCGCGAAAGAAAGGAATATAACAAATGTCTGTATTCGTCATATCATATTTGGTAAACATTCAGGTGGCCCTTTATGGATTATACCTTGCCTCAACTATGACAGGTTAGTTACCTCAATCGAGCGAGACAAAACCACGTATATTGTTGATGGTTTTTTACCATTGTAAAGAACAATCGAAAATGGTATTAATGTTACTTTTTTAGCACTAAGTTAGTTTTTATATTAAAAAGCAACGCTTTGACAAAAATCTATATTCACACTGTATGCCGAAAAATAAATTGTTCCAGAGAATGGTTTCTAATTAGTGAACTAAAGTCCGGAGTGAAATAGTACATAAAGAATAAAAAATGCTGTAGATTGTCATTTAAGCTTCGTACTCAAACGTTTCGTTGTACGTTTGGTAGTCGGTGATTTGCGCGTTGCCGTATTTGCAAGTATACCGGTTCCCGTGAGAAAATCAAAAGGATTGAAGCTGTCTGAGAACGACGATGATGATGATGACGGCAACGATTCATCTGTTGTTGTAGGTGATGAATCATTCAGGCGAAGTTCAGCAAATTCTTCTATTATATAATCAAAAGGATAATACTGAAACTAGATGAATAATGGCATACATACCATCCAACGATTTTTTGTATAGATATATGGTTTGGGTTAATTCCTCATTTTTGCAGAAGACGACGATATTTGCCCGTATCGTGTCAAATTGCGGATGAGGAAAAGCGGGCATGAGAAAATAGACTACATTGCCATTTTTTGTAAAGCTTGTCACGACATGGCGCCAACCAGTAACTGGTTCATTTATCTCAATTCTCAAATCAGCCTTGGAAAAACGGCCTTTGAAAACCATATACAACATTTCCCGTCCTTTCATCGGCCCACATCGTGGTCCCATATGCTCAATGTCAACATCCCCGTAAGCTACGATATTCTACGAATGTTACGTAGTATTCAAAATCAATTTGCCTCACCTTCCATCATAATGCTCGAATATTCCACACTACCTTCATCGCGCTGGTAATCACCTTTTCCCAATTGAAAAACTCGTGTGAAACGAAGCATTGACTGGTCCAATTGTCGCGCTTTTATTAGTTCTTTAGTAATGACTTCATCTTGTTTGCTTTTAATCAATTCAAGCATAAATCTATCAATACAACACCAATTTAACTTTCCAATCTAAACAGTGATGAAAAATACTTACGTTTTGTACCCATTACGGAAATCTTCGTTCGTCAACCGAAAATAGAGTATGTTCGGTTCGTGTTGTTTAAAGATCATCACGTGATCTTCAAGCGTGGGTAAACTATTCTTGTTGTATAATGTATACGGATGCATTTCTTTATCGATGCCAACCCAAGCGATCTCAATGAAATTAACATCTGCTTGAAAATTCCACTCCGATGGAATCTAATTGGAGTCAACGATAGATATGTTACATTAGCAAGTCAAAAACATACTGCTATGGTTGGATATTCTGGTGTTACACCTTCTTCACATCGAACATAATGTGATGAGTTTCGACTTTCGTTTTGCGTTCGAGGACGATACTTTTGACGTGGCTGGGCCATGATTTGGATCTTTTTCGTCTCATATGTATCGTATTCGATGGCTAGTCGAGAGTAGACGATAATGAAGTTTTTCTGGCGAAAGCTGTGCACATACTTTGTTGTTGATATACATAATCATTGTATACCTGTACTGAAGCACAGGGCTGACAACCGCTGTAATCTGAAACGATGGGCAAGTATTCTTGGTATCAGAATGATCCAGATGTTAAGAAATTGAGCATACCTAAATACTCATCAATCGGACCAGCACACGTTGTTGTCGATGGTTGTCGATCTACGAAACAATTCGATTAGATGCGTACAAAATGAGGTAGTATACTCTTCTTCTTTTGTGAGGATGCCGCTGTCTGGAAAATATTTTGTTGTTGGTCAAGAAAAGCTTGTGCATTGTACGAATCTTTAAGCAAAATTACAAGTCTTCTAATTTGTCTATCGATTCAGTGTCTTACTATCATTTTCTTTTGCTTCAACCGGTGAACTACCAACACCGACAGATGCTATGGAATAGCACAGGTATTGCAAGCTATGTCGAATCAAATAATCTACCTGGTTGTGATGCGAGAATCTCGGCAACATCAGTCTGTTCGAAGAGCAATCTTTGTTGAAATTGTTCATCGTTTATACAAGCATCAAGAATGTCAAAAAAATCATCGGCGCTAGTTGGTGTTTGAAATGATTGCGTTTCGGCAGTATTCGTAACACGAGCTATGAAAAGGTAAATATTGGAAGTTAAGGACAACCACAAATAGAAGAGAATAAAAACGTCTCATATATCTGCTTTGCTTTTCTCTTTGCGCAGACAAAGACAACGACGTTATTTTCATGATCAAACTTACGATCACTAGCTGCATTTATCAAAGTATTGATGCTACGTTGACCGATATCGCTATTTAACTGAAGATCGGTTGAAATGTCACTATCAGAAGGGTTCGGAAAGACCGAGCAGCTCGAAATAAACTAGGAAACACCGACAGTGATAAATAGACAAAAAAAATCAATAATTGATCATACTTTATCAATGTCAAAATCATCCAAACCAGTCTCATCAACATGTGATGTTGGTTGTGGTTCACCATTCGATGTCATTGAATCAGTGCAGTACTCGAACCAGTGATCCGTATCTTATAATTTGATGTGCTCTACAAAAGGAAATAGATCCTTGTGATGATACTGTTCTGATAATAATGACAAAAATATGTTCGATTTGTGCGTAATGTCGTCCTTCTGCGCATATTAATGATACTCGACTAGACGTGATCTTCAGAGAAAAGAGAAAAAACAAATGTTGTGTCGTGCTTTTGCGCACAAGCATTTATCGTTTATTATTTTTTTCTATTCTTGTTTTTCTCTTCTTACATGAGAAAATGCCTCGCGTTATTTTAAGTACTTTCATCTTACTAAATTGCTTTTTTTTCTTCTTGTTTGTTAGCGTAGACCGCGTCAGCATCACAAGAATGGTTAAAAACCCATGATGTAAATTTGAAAAAGGCTTAAAGTGCACTTCTCCGCCAATGCCGCCATTACTCGAGACAGTCAAAGAAGTTAGACTATCTTGATATATTACACGCCAAGATAAGTGGTTAATTTCAAAGAAATGAGTGCGGACATGCTTCAATACTTGACCCCCATCTCTACGTCCTGCTTATACTACTGAGCCCAAATTAGTAGACATAAAAGGCGATTTTGGAAAATATATAGTATTCATCAGGAATGAGGAGGTGCTAGCTGGTGTTCGGGTTTTATATTCAATGCAATATATAACATTCTGTTTATATTGATCAGTTTAATACACAAAAACGGTGGCACGAAAATCTCGAGCATCACTACACCACTCAGAGATGAGTGGATCAAGCTTTTGCTTTTACTGTTTTATTACCCGTTTATTTAAATGAAACATATCGACTATTATAGACGTGTCTTAGTACAGTCTACCGGTGATGTTATCTAACGATGTGTCTAGCGCAAAATTATCAAGTATCGACTCTGGCATCAATATCTCAACCTTTACCCAGATGAATCGAATATAAACTATGCAAATCCGAGGAGATATTTACTTGGATTCCAACCGTGAATAAGCTGTATTTAATTCCGTCTCATTCAATTAAAAGATATGCAGACCTAGTTGGGTTTTAGATTAAGACAATTCTCTCCAATAACGTTAAAAACGGAAAGATCCAAAAACAAAACAGTATACGATTAGGTGGATGAAATTATTAATAGAAAAGCTCAAGAGCAATGGAACGTTTCACGTTCTGATTGAACGCTTTCGGCGTATTTGAGCAATTCAATCATAGTTAACTTTCCTTCTTTCATGTGAATACGTGAAAAGAAGAAGCTATTATTTTAGACTCATTCGCTTTTGATCAAACAAAAAATAGGATCTAAGTTGAATCGTATTCACCCAACCATAACAAGGCTTCATTCATTTCAGGTAAATCTCGCTCTTAGAATATTTTTTGATTAATGATCGCATATCGACGAGCGACTAATAAGACAACACAATATATATATATCACTTATTTAAGGCTTCGATCAAAGACTGCAATTCCACCAATATGTATAGCATCATAGTGATGAAATGAAAGGGGGCTTTCAGTTTGTTGATGACAAATTTTAAAAAAAGACAATTTTTATAGAAAAATATTCTAAATTAAGAACAATAAAACGTATCGTATAGAAAAATACAATGAATAGAGGCGAAAGACAAATAGAACACGGTTCAAGATACGATCAGAATTACTGCGTAAGTGTCACTGATGTAGAGAAGGAAATGATGCCGAAAACAGATTTTCAAGTGCCGCATTGAATGTTAATATATAAAACAATCGATGTGGAATTGTTGGCGAAATTAAAACTTCGACCATTCGATAATAATCTGCTGGAGACTGAAAAAGAAACATAAAATCGAATCAATGCAACTCAAACATAGTTTTATTATGCATTTACATCAATTTTGATTTTATACAATTGCCAAAGTGTTGCACCGGTAAAATGGCTCAATGTTTGCTGAAAACTAAATTAATCAAAATCAAAGTCATTTTCATTCCAATAAACATCAACGATATCAACTTACACTTCAAGTTTTTCCTTATTCAACCATTCGATCACATCATTGGCTGACCAGTCATGTACATTATGCGAATAGGACCATGAACTGTGCATTGTGGTCGTTGACATCTGATGATCGATATTCATTGCGCTTGTCGAACTGCTTTTATCTGCACCTAACGAAACTCGGATCGCTTCGATTTCTCGTACTAATAAAAGGCATGCTTCGTCGAACGGAAGTTGAGAAAAGTCAATATGTAATTTAGCACCATTGATTATGCCGAGCCATCCCTGAGAACGGTAGCCAGGCTGCATCAGCATGGGGATAGAGGCAATATTTCGTTCAACAGCATATTGTGCTTCTATCAAAGAAATACACTGAATAAAAAGAATGAAAACAAAAGGAAAGTATTCGAACCTAAACGACAATATTGATTTTGAAAGTATTCTTCGTTGATTGCCATTAAAACGACAAATGAATTTTCGACAGCTGTTGCTATGGAAGTAAGAACGTCACCAGTGATATTATCTCGGTCAATCCAGACAAGATAGGTGCGATTCTAATAGGAAGAAAGATTTCAATAAAGACAATCAAATTGAAAAACATTTTCTAACTTTTAAATATTTCGATATTTTCATACATATTGCTCGTGTAGATTGATCATAACTTATCATGATATGTCCAAGATTATTCTTATCTTTTTCCACAATTTCAGTAAAATCTAATGATATTTCAGATGTGTCTGTCAATGAATCTTTACTTGTCGATATATCTAAAGAAATTTGATCAAGTAACTGAACATTTGTGTTAGATGAATCTACCGCCACTATCATCATCATCATCATCGTTATATGGTACACATCGACTATGACTGTAATGAAGCACCGGTCGTTGATGATGTTCTTCTACCAATATAGTTTGCGTATCTGACGTAACTGAAGAATAATTTTCTTCCAATGGACTGTTTGATTGAACGATTGAGATAGCATTTGTTTGATTTTCTCCGGAGTCAAGGGACTCTATAAAATATTAGTTTATTAAACGCAAGACATCAAGCTTTCAACGAACCATTGATATTATTGACATGTTTGGCTTGTCTTTGACAAGAATTAATACCTACAAAACAAAATTCGATGAACACACAATTTCAATAACCAAAATTGGTTTACTATCATCAGATGCCTCTGTCGCTTGTTGATCTTGAATATCTGATTCGTTTGCACTGTTATCTAAAGACATATTTGACTATATTTCTTTCATTAAATGATTTAGTCGGTAACTATTAACTCATTCCTCAGAAGATAAGCGTCTCTAACGAGAGTAAATAGATGATTCATGATTAGATTTATTCTATTATCAATGATCTTACTTGAATGATAAGAAAGTTCAGCAAATTTTTGCAAACCATTCGTTAGATTTAGCATACGCTGTTGATACTCTCTCTGCGAAAACGAGCACTATTAAGTAAACAAAACGTGTGGATCGTTTTAACGACAAGAAAAACAAACATCGACAATACCTCTAAATCGAAATAATCTAATGTACTTGAGTCGCTGACATGCGGTGTCAGCAATGGAGTTCTATAAACTAAAACAAAAAAACGTTTCTCATTAGATAGCTGACGAAAAGGTCCATCATTTCACTTACGCATATGTTCACTCTCTATTTCGTCCATTGGTGGTGAATACGCCATGAAAAATGAATGCGTCTGACCAACCTTGCCTTCAGGTTGGAAACTTGTTTTGTTCTGAAATGAATGAGATAGAAGAAACACGCTCGTATGCTTTAAAAATTTCTTCGTGTAGGTAGAGAAAAACGAGTAAACTACAAGAGAAAACAGTTTATCTTTCGTCGTTTTTCTCTTCGTCAACAATAAAATACAAATGACATGACCATTAAAATTGCTCGACTTTAATGATGACATGCTTTTTCACTTCGAGAGAATCTAATGGAATAAGGGCGTGAGCACATTTCCATACTTTCTCAACGATGATTCCAGCAAATATATATGAACAGTGAATATATGAATCTCTGAAGCAAAATCATGTTCTTTCGTCATCTACAAGTATCTGTCTGTGTTTATTTGTTGCTTTGAGTGAATCATTTCTCTTCTTTTTTTCGTTGTAATAACAATTCGTGTAGTTACCAACATCTAATTGGTGTTCGAGATAAGTGACACCTATGAAATCTTTTTGTCGCTCTATGAGTTTTTTCGTCAGTATTATATGAAAACTGACCTGTAAAACCTAATTTAAATAGAGTCGTTGAGAAAACGATATATGTAGAGATCAAAGGTGGATATATATTTGCTTAGTGTTGACGTGCAAAAGATAAAATGGGAGAATTTCGAAACAAAAAACAAACGCCAATTAATGAAAGAAAAATAACAGAAAAACAGAATCATTAAGATCGGAATGAAATATCAGCGAAGACAACGAAAGCACCTAGTTCACAATCACTCATCGCTTTTTATCATCTCGAATAAGAATAACAATGAAAAGAATTAATGTCATGATAAATATTTTGTCTAAAAAGTCAAAATAAAAATAAATGTGGGGGAGATTCACAATTACGGGACAGTCAAAACTTCTTGCGAATAAAGAATATCGCCTATCAGGAGCGATTTTAAATTAAAATTTTCGGTTCGGGAACACTCTCACTTATAGCTTTATGTGGTAAAATAACACCACCATTGATGAATAATTCATCTTGCACAGTCACATCAAGACCGAGCACACTCGTATTTTCCATGCGAACCCATTGACCAATAGTGCATCGCCAACCGATAACACAATTAGCAATCCATGAATGACTTTTAATAAGAGAATCAGCAAGAATCGTACAGTTTTTCAAACAAACTCCATCTTGGACGATGACTCGTGCTCCAATAACAACATTTGGACCGATGCGACAACGTTCGCCGATTTTAGCTGTCGGATCCTATAAGAAAACGAAGTCTAGTCAAAATTTACAAAGATCAAAACAATGAATCTTACCACAAGAACATTTCCTACAGTACCATTTTCATGTGATAAACGATCAGGACACGAATGTCGAACATGGTTGAGGTAGAGACCCATTCCAGTTAGATAATCTTTGGGCTGACCAACATCCATCCAGAATCCTATCGATGATATGATACTGACTTAGGACATGGTAAGTTACAATGTTTACCTTTAAGTTCAAATGCATACAATTGATTATTACTTGCCATAGCTGGAAAAACTTCTTTCTCAATTGATGTTGGCCGAAGCTAGAACAAATGTGTTATTTGAGTAAATAATTCTCGGGTAAATTACTTCAATTCGGTCAAGTATTGCTGGATTAAATATATAAAGACCAGCATTGATTTTATTGGACACATATTCGCGTGGTTTCTCGACAAATCGGTCAATTTTGCCGGTATTTTGCTCGTAAACAACAACACCATATTTCGATGGTTCATCGACTTTCGTTACCTTGAATACGATCGAAGGATATCACAGATTGTCTGTGATTGATAATGAAGTCAATCTACTTACCACAATAGTTCCTTCACAGCGATGATCCTTATGAAATTTGATCATTTCATTGAATGGAAATTCACATATTACATCGGAATTGAGAACAAAAAATGGTTCATTATCTGTTCGAAGATGATCACGTGCTAATGCCAACGGACCGGCTAGCAAAAAAAAACATCCAATCAAATAAAGAAACCTTCATCACTACTCCCCACCTGTTCCTAACGGTTCAGTTTCTTGCGAAATTGTGATCTTAATTCCTAATCGTTTCGCTTCGACTTCCATTTCTCGTTGAAGCATATCAGATAAATAACTCACAGCCAGAATAACATGCGCCACGCCAACCTAAAAACTAACAATGAACTCGATTTCAAACGACAAATCGAAACATACTTGAGCTAGGGCTTCGACCTGATGCAGAACCATCGGTTTATTACAGAATTCTACTAATGGTTTCGGTTTGGTAAGTGTCAACGGACGTAAGCGCGTTCCATAACCACCAACAAGGATAAGCGCTTTCATTTTTTTTTATCACGGAAGATGTTCCTGCAGTTCTTCTATCTTTAACTAAAATAAGACATGGTACAATTGGTTTTATTTCATGATTTTGTATATATGTCTATTGAAAGAGAGAAAGAAAGAAACGAGGACGGAAGCCGAGTTACAAAGGGAAAATAAGTAGCTATGTTGAAAATTAACAATCTCAGGACTTGTAACTTATATAGAAGTGAAATGTGTAAATAATACACTTCCCGTGTACAGAACGAAACAGAACGGTAGAGAGAACGATGATTGATTGTAAACGATCAAGAGAAAAACGAAAGGAGAAAAATTACCAAGCAACCATATGTTATATTTATATATATGTATGTATAATATGTATATGTCTTTAGTCTGACATAAGAAAATAAATAGATATTCATCCTACTGTTCAAAGCAAACGAAAGAAGAAGTGAGAGAAAGAGAAAAAAACAACATCACAAATATAAAAAAAGAACAAAAAAAACCATTATTTGTCTTTTGTATAATTTTCATTTGGTTTCACACTGTCAATTACACGATTAGTTATCGAATCAACAACTTGATCAATACGTGTTTTACAAAAGAAACATTCATTACTTGTCATGAAGTGCGTATTAATGCATGACCTATCAAAAGAAAATATTGCCGACCGAATGTGTATATTAGAAAAGGAAATCAGATGACTTACAAGCACGCTTGATGTTTACATGGTCGAAATTCTGCTTGAATCTGATGTGAATAACAAATTATACACATTGAATCATCGTTTTCATCGGATGCTGTCGTTGTCTTAGCTAGTTTTTGATATGTATCATTTAATTTACGATAGAATTCATCAAGTTCATTCGCTTCGGATCGATTGATTTCTGGTTGAGATATGAGAGCAAAACGTAATGATGACACTGAACCTAAATCAGTCGTTTCACTATCAAATCCGTAGATTAATCGACGAAGACATGTTAGATCAAGATCAGCTTCACTGTGAATAGCACGACATACACGTAATGATCTATTCAAAAACATGAACTATGTCATTGCGTCAACTTCATCAATTCCAGTGGTCTACGTACGTTTCTGTACTTGTTCGATTAATTAAATGTACTAAAATACCGCATACAGCTGAAAATATTGGATATGGATGGATATTGTCCAGTACTAAACGAACACAATGAATGTATATGTGTTTTTGAGAAGAGTAACTGACGAAGTGCTTTTACCTGACATTTTCAACCGTTGAATTTCTTCTAAAACATAATTTTTCGTTGCCAAACGATTGATAATTTGACTGAGTAACTATTCAAATAGAGAGAATGATGATTTGAACTACTTTTTGCAAAATCAATCAATCAGATACTTGAATCAGACGTATGAGTAACATTTCCGCTTTAGGTACATGTTTATCCAGCATAACATTCGGTGCAACACATATGGTCATTTCAATTGTACGCAATAAACTAACGGTAACATCAAAACACGTTGAACATATCTTCATTTGTCGATGTTCAACTGTTGGCATATAACGGGATTTAGTTGGTACCAACTAATTCAAATAGAAAGAGATTAGCAACAAGACGGACATTACCAGATTGCTTTCTTACGTCTTTTAACAATCCCATAAACTCTGAAAACGCCCAATTCAATTGTCCTAATAAACTATTAAGAAAGACAATGGCATCATCGATATTTCTCGATAAATGTCGTCCAATTTCCTGTTGATATTTGATCGATGGAGATGGATCTATGTAAGATTTTTCTGTTGAAATGTCAATATCACGTCTTGAATTTCTTTTTACCTTGAATTCGATCTTTTCTCAAACTTTGCAAAAATTTTGATGGATATACTTGCGAATAACGAAAGCCAAAGCCGCAACCTTTCCAAAATCTTACGAGAATTAAATTCGTCATTGCCCATGGACGATTCGAATACGGAGTCAATAATGCTCGAATTAATACTGCTCGATTATATTCTCGCATGTTTTCTAAAGCTCGTAGTGAGCCGGTATAAAAACAAAATGCACTTAACGATTGAATGATATTATCACGAACATCTATTGATAACAGAAATGATATTTATTAAATTGGTACGATGATGAGAAGAAGAATAGTACCTGTATTCACTATTCGTGTATCTTGCATATGATTGGCAACAAATTGTACAAAATCTGTTGCAATTTCTCGACTGATAACCGAATCTACAATAGAGAATACATTCAATTCATTATGTTTGTTTGTTGATTTGTTCGTTCAATACCTTCTAATGGAAAGTAAACATTGAGAGCGGTAAATGTGTTTAAGTAGATATCATTGAGGTAGATTTCTGGTACAAAACTAAATAGATTTCCTGCTTCGGATGAAAGTTGAAGTGTTCGATAAACACAACGATGTAGAATGACAACATCACGTCGTTTTTCCTAAAAGAGGAATTCCGAAGTTGAACAATTCCGCATAAAACAAACAAAAACCACTCAATTACATGTGAAAATACATTGATTGTTATCCATGCTATTTTTCTGGTTAAATCTTCTGCTTGTTGCTCGAAGATTTTCTTTGAGCGAATAAGTTCATCGCGAATCTCCGGACAATCATCCCGACAATTAAGCAATTTATTATCGATATCAGTTAACGATTCGGTATACTCTCGTAAACTGTCAATCACTTCAGCGACCTAAATTTACAAATAACTAGGAGATCTGTATGACTTCATCGAAGCTTACTTTAAGATAATGTTTATGTACACCGACATGATAGAGAAGAATGAGTCCATCAAGTAATTCCGTTAAACTTTCCGAACCAGTGGCATTTAATGATTTCAAACTTCCTCCGAGTTGATGTCGATAGCGATCACTTCCATTAACAAAATCCGCTAGAAATAGAACTTTATCGGTGATTTCCGTCACTTTCAAACAACATACACATGTCATCGCGTCGAGATACTTGATCTGATAAGGTTCGTGCAAAGAACGATGATGTTGTCGATGCTGATGATGTATTCGATGCTCTCGCTCGTTTCACATCCGCTAAAAGATAGTCATGCGATCAACTCGCGCATGTTGTAGCTATTGAAATCTTACCTAAATATTCTTTTTCTAAATGACTCTGTACTCCACCTAGTCTTTGTAAGTTGAAATAGTCAAAATTATTATCGATGAACTTTTGACTTGGAACATAGGCGGCATCGAATGGTAATGAATAATCTCGTCCCTCATCCATCGATTTCACTTCATGATACTGATTCCAATAGAATTCTAAGACTTGTAATAGACGATGAAACAAATTCCTTATTGTACCAGGTTGATAATTATGAATCTACGAAGAGAACGCCTTTGAAACGAGAAATTATCAAAGAAATTATATTACCGGTGATTCGGTAAGATTTTCTTTAAGAAAGTTTCGAAATTTTGTTATGAATAAATATTTCGACGATGGTGGACGCTGCAGAACATCCGATGGATTCAGCAGAAGTTTCAAGATTTCAATCTGAATATTTTCAACCAACTTAAGATCATCTTTCAACTTTCGACATGCTGGTAGATAATTCAAATCTCGTTCCAAATCATTCTAAACAACAGTCATTCTTATCGTCTTCATCAATTACAAGAAATATATTCACTTACGAAATTTAACTTCTTTGTCGACCAACCATCCGGAATAATCTGCTTGAGAACATCGCTATCTGGTGGTTTGATATCGATAAACAACGGCAATTTCACTCTGAGGAAAAAGATCGATTCCAATGCAAGTTTTCTCGTATCTTCATGTTTGATTAATGAATGTAATAAGTACAAATATTGTTTTTGAGAATCAAATGTTAGTAGTATAGGTTCAAAAAAATAGAGAACATTTAACGAAAGAAATAATTGAGTGAAAATTGATAATAAATCATTTGACTAAAGAAAAGAAGTGAATTAGTTTCAACCGGAAATCAATGCAAATGATTTTACTTCTAAAAATGCCCAGAAATAATCAAGACATAAACATAGTTCAATCTGCTCATCGTGAATAGACTCATGATTGAGTTTTAGGAGCATAGAAATCAGACATTGTTGAATAACGTACGGCGAACCCTAGAGCAAAAGATTGTTTTTCATTAGAGCAGTTTGTGTAAAACGAATAAATTAAGTGAAAATTCGAAATTTAGCAATAATGTATGTTTTATAGTATGTCGAGACGTGTGACCTTGGTAAAGAGTTTGTGTCAAGGTTGATCTCGAGTCGTTTTCCGTTGCTTCTTCGATTAAACAGACGTCAATCGGTTGAGAATCTCGTCATGAAATGAAAATTATTGCCCATAAATTTGTTTCCCTTCTCAATGCTGAGGTTCGATTCACAAAACGATCAAGGTTACCCCGTTCGTCAAGTGCATGTTTTTCAATAAATCCAGTCTGACTAAGGCAAGGAAAAGAAATCCATTATACACGCTTTTGCTTTTTCATCAATAAAATGTCATTAGTTCTGTTTGATAGAACTTCGATTATCGACAGACATCTTTCCTCGTGTTAACTAACCAGCAGTGGACAGAGACGTTCGATGATTTGTTGAGCGATGATCATTAGAACGGCTTCATTTTTGGAGTCGGATATAGTGCGAGGTTGTGGCAGCTAAAAACATAATTGAAAGTCATTCGAGGAGAAAATCTCCATGAAACGAACTTTTAATGCATTTGTCGTTTTGCTTGAACCATTGAATCTTTGGTATTTTGCAAAATGAATCATCTGTTGAAATGTATTGAACAAAAACTCAGCTTGGTCAATGTGTAGTTGGGGTTTTTCGTCAATGGGTAAATAACTCGCAGTCGGATGGCGAAATGGTGTGGCGCCAAAGTTGATTTTGATACGTTCATTTTGTGATAAAGATATCGCAGGAAAATAAGCAATACCTTTTCCGCAGGGTACATTTTCGAATGCAATTCCAAGATCAACACCATTTCTACAAGAGTTTTAGAACATATACTAAAGGAATCTTTCGCTCTATTATCATTTACCGTTTGAATGAAATGGTTCCTTCATCACAATCAATTAAACATGATATGACATCTCCAGCTAGCCAAGGCTAAAATAGTTTTCAATAGAAGAAAATGGAGTCATTGATGTTTAGCGTGAATCTCACGTCGCCATATTTGGAATTTTGAACATTCCATTTTCTTATGCGTCCACCGTCGTAAGAGAACGAAGTCCAAGTATCGCCAACGCCGATTTCTTGTGAAAAATTGCATTTCAGTGTACACCAACCGAACTGCATGACGCCACGTGTTTCAAGTAAGACTTCATACTGCCATTTGCCACGAAAAACGCAAACATCGGCTCGAACAGTATTGAAACTAGCGATACCTGTGTACTAAACATAAATCGAATGATATCATCGATTTATTTTCTGAAGATTTTCGAAATTTTACATCGTATCGTGTACATTGAACAATTCCAGTTGCTCCATGTACAATTAAACTTGTTGTCGGAGGTCCAATGCGATAATCTTCGTAGTCTAAATCGATCAGTTTTCAATATTTCACATGAAAAAAGATTGTTCTATTTACTAGATGGAGGATGAGGACAAGATGACGCAATGTCGGCTAGTTTGTTATCGAGATATTCTCCCACATCACTCAATTGATGTGGAAATGAATGTCTAAATCGATGAAAATGTCACTGTTTAGTTTCATCGATATTTCAACGTACCGATCATTCAAATTATCTTCATTGCCATATGGTTGCAGAGAGTTTGTAAAAATTTGCGTTAAGATATCGTAAACATTATGTGTTGCTGTCATGAAAATAATTCTTTCACTTTTCTTGATTCTAAATAGAACAGAAAAAATGAATCGAAAAGAATTTTTTCAAATACTAAATAAAACATGTCAAAACAATTTTGTTCTCATGAACATCTATGAGATGAAGGGTATAAGCAAGGAATCAAATCATAATGAAGTCTTCGATCATATGCTTTTTCCTTTGTGTCAAACACTGACATCTGTCGACGCGTACATTATATTGAATACGTGAAAAACTTTCTTTGCCAATAAATCGTTCAGTGATATAGATTATTACAGTCTATGAAATCGTATTTAAGCAGATATTCATTAAGAAATCAACGGGTTTAGTGAAGAGAAAAGATATTTTCTTTCAAGAAGAACTCGTGTACAAATTAAGAACAGAATCGACTCAAAGATTATCGACACCCGTTCCCTAAGAAACTATACAGACGGTATGTTATTCGCAATCTATTTTACGATACATTTCTCGCATATTTTTACGTAACAAAGTATGTTACTACATTCTACAAAGCAAGTCATTGTTACATCTATTGGTCGCACTAGCAGATGGAATAATAATGATTGATATTTACATATACGAGATTAAAGATTATTTCAATCCATTAATACAGTGTATCAATCCTGTTGCTATTCATTAACATTGTGTTACTTAATAATTCACTCTTTGTTTGATATATGTGTGAGAATGTAGCACAAAGACAAATATAGAATATCAAACTAGATTTATGTTATTTTATTTTATTTTAATATAACGGAAATGTTGGATCGATATCTGTATGCCAAGCTTGAAAACCACCTTCGAGATCCTTGAGTTTCTCGTCGATATTATCAATATCAGATAATAACTCTTTCAGTCGTCTTACAGCTATTTGAGAATCGTTTCCACGCCGGCAAACAATGACAATCTGATGATTGTTTTCGATATTTGATCGTAATTCAGTACGTAGTTGTTCATCATTCGTATTGTACAGAAGACGGTCCATGGGTAAATGAAAGGAATCTTCAAATCGACCAATCTCGAGTTCATGTTCAGGTCGAACATCGATAATAAACGATGGAGATGAATGGGACAAATCGATTGCGGTAACACGTTCTCGTCGAGAAAGAACATTCTTTCGACATGGTTGATCATTCGTACATTGACCAGCTGGCGGAGGTGCTGGCCGATCAACAATGCTTGGATTGGTTCCACACACAGCACAGGTTGGTTGTCGATGACGTAATTTGATTGTTCGAAAACTCATCGATAGACCGTCGACAAGTAACATTCGATTGCATAGGACATCACCAATTTTGGTTAAAAGTTTAATTGCTTCTAACGCTTGGAGACTTCCTAGTGTTCCACAAACAGGACCCAGTACACCAACATCTGAACACGTGGAAACTGTTTCAGCTGGTGGTGCTTGAGGATATAGACATCGATAACATGGTCCGTTCTTTTCCAAGTAATTCCAAACAGTCAGTTGTCCTTCGAATCGTATTACACTTGCTGATATAAGTGGTTTGTGTGAGAGAACACAGGCATCATTGATTAAATATCGTGTAATGACATTATCAGTACAGTCAAGAATTACATCATAGTGTTTAACTATATCGAGAATATTTTCCGATGTTAATAGAAGATTGTAGGTATCGATCTTGAGAGAAGAGTTTATTTGCGAACAAGTTAACTGAGCAGATTCAACTTTAGTCTTGCCCACTGTCGATTCACGATGAATGATTTGTCGGTGAAGATTCGACATATCAACCTCGTCATGGTCAACTAAACCAAGCCGGCCGAGACCTGATGAAGCGAGATAGAGAGCAGCTGGTGATCCTAAACCACCGCAACCGATGATTAATGCAGAGGAATCTTTTAAACGTTCTTGTGCATGCACACCGAAATCAGAAAGAATCAGTTGACGAGAGTAACGTTGTACTTCTGCATTAGATAACGAATGATTTCGAACGATGTTAGTCATCTGAAATTACAATCAGTTTTTCAACAGATGATTCTCAGCGTACTTTTCCAATATAACTTTCTCATAAGTTTTATTTCATTGATCTCGCTAGTATGATTGAACTAATTATCAATTGAACAAAATGTAACTCTCGAACGGAAGAGAGGATTTGTGTGTGAGTGAAGGACATGTCATTGTTATGTTCTTCACCTTGAACTTTCAAGTGATTGCAATTTAAATCCAATTTAACATAAGAAGTAGAGTATACTGCAATGCAACGTAATCTTTTACATCCAATCAATGGTCGAACATTCGAACCATTCAAATTCAATGTCGACAGAGAGGGCTTTTACCCATCATTTCTTCGAATATTTTATTCAATTGATCAAACGAAAATTTCCTGGAAAAAAATGTCTTTTTATTTCATTTTCTTTTTCGATTTGTCATTAGATGGTGCCACATATATCCTAGTCCACATCAACTTATCTCCTGTTCGCCAAACGCTTTCGATCTGAGTCATTGGAAAGAAAAAGAAAAGCAAAAAAGCACGCGCTCTACCTACACCCACGTTCAGTATTTATCACATTCAGCTCGATACGGATTCACCTGCATTGTCTTTTCTCGACTGGTAGATGCAATCAATATTCATCTCTGTTTAGATAATCATTTGATAACTTCACACATCACACGTAAATCCATATATAATTCTATTCGTTTTTCTTTTCTTTTCTGACAATCCCCACCCACTCAAGGTATAGTAATGTAGACATATCAAGTACCATTATTCAACAAACATTAGATATATACTATAGTATAGTTGAACCCACTTCTCACATTGATTGATATATTCAAAAGGTGGGAATTCTGATGACGTAACACCTGTCAAATATGTCCTTTGTGCTCAAGTAAAAAAAAGAGTTTGTGTGTACATATTGAACAACAAATTACATCAATGTGTGATTTTCAATATGAATATTCAACTGTTCAATTTTTTTCTTCCATTCTTCGTTTAATACGACTCCACCCTTCGTTTTTTCCCTTCTCTTGCTCTCTATTCATCATATTCATTTGTAATATATACATATACACGTATAATTCTTTGGCTATTCTTATATTTGATTCAGATCATTTACATTTCAATTTAATCAATGTCGGACAATCGAAAAAAATCTCGACGTCGTCGATCGACTGACGAAGTACCTGAATTAACGCCGATCGAGAAATCTATTGCAAAACACCTTCGTTTTCAATGTCCAACTAAGAAAGGGATGCTGATGGGTATGCAAGTTGTGTATTTCAACGGAACAAAAGCTGTGGAATGTCTTACGGAATCGAAATGGTCATCGATAAGCACTAAAGCATTAGCTGGTGAATCAACTAAAGATAGTAAACATCCTGTTTGCTTTTCATCGAAGCACGATGCTGTACAGGTAAACTCGAAAGACAAAACTTTCATTGAATTTCACATAAAGAAACTTTGGAATATTCTTAGATGCTCCGCAAATTTTTGGACAGTGAACTGTTTCGTCGAGTAGTTAAAGTTTATAAGGAAGACAAGTCTTCCTCTGAGCAAACGTCATCGAATACCGCCGGTGATACATCTCAATCCAATACACCTCGCGCTGTGAGACAACGGAAAGCGAAAACAACTACGGCAGAATCAGCAACTAAAGACGAAGACACGAAAGAAAAAGATAAAGCAAAAAAGAAAAAGTTCAAATTCGAATTGCACGACGATCAATTGTTCGTTGATTCCCCGAATGAATTCTACGTTTGGATTTACTCTCCAACAACAATTAAACAATACGTCATGGGTGCTTTACTCGTTATCGGCTGTATTGGTGTTTGTCTGTTTCCACTATGGCCTACTGAAGTGCGCACTGGAGTGTATTATCTATCCATGGTACTGGCCAGTTTGCTTGGTGTCTTGTTATCCTTGGCTGTTTTTAAATATATTCTATTTGCCGGTGTTTGGCTTTTGACATTAGGTAAAATTAAATTCTGGTTGTTACCAAATTTAACCGAAGATGTGGGATTTTTCGAATCATTTGTTCCATTATACACGTTAAATGCACCGACAAAACAGAAGACGAGCAGAAAAGCAAATGAGAGCAAGAACGATAATGATAACGACGATGAGGAAGACAAACCGACGAATAAAAAGGAAAGTTTAAATGAAGATAACAAACAAACGCAAGAACCGAACGTTACCACTCAAGCTGAAAGTGACCACGATGATGAAGAAGACAAAGAAAAATCCAGTAACCGGTCAAGCTCGATCAGTGAAAGTGAAGATGGTACTAAACCCGCCAAATCCTCCGATGAAGATTTCGAAGTTCTTTCCAAAGATGAATTAGAAACGAAATAATCTATTGCACTCTCTCCGCACACGCTTACACGATGTTCTTTTCCTTTTCTTTTTCAACTCATGCAATAGATATCTATACATATTACACATTTGACGACGTCTTTGTCCTGCCTTCATTTCGTTTCATTTCATTCATTCTTCTTCTTTTTCTTCTGTTTGTTTCCTCAAGTTGAACAGTGTGCGGGGCGATTAGTTTGATTTTTCTGGCTATTTCATTCTAGCAACATCTTTTATATTGCTCTGTCCGTAATAAGAATCGAGAGAGACAGAGAGAGCGAGAAAAGCGTGTTTTCCGATCTGACTTTTGTCTTCTACTTTGGGTGCGAGAAAATCCAGAATATTCTTGATTGTTTTTGATTAATAGAAAATAACATCATCTGTCTATTGTTTAAATTTGTTTTTCTTTTGTTCCTGTACACATTTATCTCAAACATCAGGTCTTCACTATACATATATATATACTTACATATATACATACTATTGTTATTTCCCTGGCATATGTTAATCGGTATTTCTTATCTCTTCCGAAGAAACAAAGAGCGTTCGTCACTCACTTTTCTTGTCCTTCTTCTTGCGTCATTGTTTTTGGTGATATTTATACACGCACACATATTCGATTTTATTCTGTTTAAAAAAGCCGAAAGAAAAATTTTCATCTTTATCGATCGAATAATAAACAAAAGATAAATCATCATGCATGCATTATTACAAAGTCAATGTATAATTTAACCTTGAGCATCATTGAAATCTACTACTATACTGATGTCTTTTGCAATCGTTTGAATCTCTCGGTAAGATTGCGCTCGATGAAAAGGCTTGACTTGTTTATATTAGTCGGTATCGAAATGTCATTTATTGGGAAGAAAATACATACAAAAAAAAGAACAACACAGATATGAAGGTTATTTCAGTCACTGAAGAGAATATCTACTCTTTGAACGTTCAAATGATTTTTTTTATCATCTCTCATGCTGACTTATTTCCGATGTCTCTTCGTATATCGTTGCTCTAAACAATATTTTAGTGATTCTCATTTTTCTTGCAAGCGAGATAAGAAGCAATCGACGGAAATTCACCATTGCTGTTTGTTTAACACAAGTAGGATAAGAGGAATTCGAGCTGAAAGTGTGAAAATACTTGAACATTTCGAGAGTCACGTATTTATATATGCACACTGTATGAACATCAATTCAAGACTTACAGTTACTGATAAGAACATCTAGAGACTGTTGGCAATTAGGTTTCATAGCAACACAATTAATGATGGTTTTTTATCATCAATCAAAAGCTCGAACTTGTCTATATCAATATATCTGTTGTAGACAACGCGTCTTGGACAAGTCAGACAATATAATTAGTAAATTGAAAGTTGTCATTGTGATTGTCCTTGTTCCAGTCTGATCATCGTATCAAGATATTGTGGAATCGCCGGCAGAATCAGGCACACCATGAAGGACATCTATCGACTTCACTCTACTATTCCATCCAATAAAGGTTCTTCAGTAAATTTGCATTACTGTGTAAATATATCAATGTGTATGTGCATTGCGAGTGGCGTAGAAGGGCATCGTCTTTGTATTTCAAGAAAGCGTACGGGAGGAACATAGCAATCGTTTATACTCGATGTACTCTCCACGTCTATCCCTAGCTTTTGCTTTTACCTGTATGAAATATCACTGATCTATCTCGTGTTATATTTTAGAACTACTTTACCGACTTCAAGCGATAATTTATCTCGAACAAAAATCATGACTGATCAATTAGGTATTGCTTACGGAGGTGCTTTAGGTATGTAATGACAAACGAAATAAAAACTAATATGCTAATGCTGGTTTTTCTTAGTTGTCGGCGGTCTTCTCGGTTATCTTCGAGGTGCCAGTATCATCTCTCTTTTCTTAGGTATGTGAAAACATTTTATAAAAACTCACTGGAAAATGATCCCTTCAATTTAGGTGTCGTTTTGGGCGCTTGGACTATTTACAATGCCACTCGTCCTAGCCGACAAAATAACATTGCTAACTTGGCAGTAAGTGTCGCCTTCAACGGCAACGTTCATGAAGCCTCAAATGAAAACTTTAAATATCTTGTTTTAGATTGCTGTGGTTCTCGGTGTTGTTATGTTAATACGTTTCTTAATTTCTGGTAAAGTATTTCCAGCACTTGTTATTGTGGTTTTATCTGCTGGTCAAGTGTATCGCAATATGAAATATCTTAAATGAAACCGATCAGAACAAAACACATCTGTGTGTAAAATATTGAACTTGTTTCTCTTCCTTCTATATAATCTGGCTGGTTATTCGTTTTATATTTTCTTGGTTCTTGACTATTACTACTAGTCTTCTACTTGATTAACTTCTTTTCTCACATAGACGCATGTGTAACTATGTTGTCTTCGGTTATATTCTTGTATCATCTTTATCGCTTCTCTTCCGAAAACAAAATCAAGCTATTTTCTTGTGTTGTATCCGCTTTTGACTATTTGATGAAAAAACTGAAAAGCATTTATTTAGGTTTGTTTGATATCACGTCTTCTCTAGTGCAATAAAGTGACTTTACTGAACGTATGAAGTTGATAGTCTTGCGCTGTCCGGAGTGAAAGTCGAGAAATCAAACAAGATATCGAATTTCCGTCTAAAAAAATATTGCAATTAATAGTTCTTCGGATTTTGTGCGTATGCGAAGAGGAAAAAATCGTTTTTGGATACTTAGAGCTATGGCAAATAATCACGATCATTTAGTCGAATTGTCAAAACACATGGATGATGAGGTTCAAATCTGCACTAAAGTGATGAATAACCAATTAATATAACTTTCGTTCTTCTGACTCATTCTGGAGAAACTTTTCACCTGATTAGTGCATTGATTGAATCAACCATCGAAAGTTTTCTTTTCTCACTCTACTAAACTGCAATACTGTTGAACAATTTACAAGAAATGAATTCAGCGGTGGTGAGTGTCTTCTTCAATTTACGTACAGAAAAGTGCATGATCTTAGCGTTTTCCAACATTATTGTTTTTTCGCCAAGATTTATTGTTTTCTGCAAGTGTAGGCCGTCTCAGATTGATATATCCATCTTCTCTTACGTTTGCTCGGTATCTAATTATCTCGCGTTATCCATATTTTCTTACGATACACGATGCAGATAATCTATCACACACATACAATTTTCATTTTAAGATTGTAAACATGAGGAAAAAAATTTCATGCGGAAATTCGCAAATCTAACGTCAGTAATAATCATACCACTGATCCAGGCATTCGGTTCTCTAGATTGTAACTTTGAATGATATAAATGGGAGAACATCAATCAGATAGCATTTCACAATGGGATAATCGACAAGGAGTATAGAACTTCGATGCTATTGGTTTATAACTATCTCAACAACGCACGATGAGCATTAGGTGTATTGATAGCTAGTTGATAAGATCAATACTGTACGTGATATATATATACATACATACGCATGATGTTTTCCATTCATCAATTGCAATACATTGTGCTTAGCTGCTTATTCCCTTCATTATGTCAAAGACCTTCGAACCGTCGAAAATAAGTTCAATACTGCCAAATCGAATCATGAAAAGTAAGATAAGTGCTCTGATTTTGTTATTCACCGCACATTCTTTTTATTGACAGTGACGAATATCACTGCGCAGATGAATATGTAAGACCAAAAAAGAAAGATTGTAAATTCAAAGCAGAGGCGTCATCTTTTCATTCTTTTGATATCGTTATCACTAGAATACAGCGCATGACATTCAACCTACTCTCTTCTTTTCTCTTAAATTTATTCATAATTCGATAGCTTTCTATGTAAAAACGAGCGATTTCTAGAAAAGTGCTTTCGATGTATCCATCGACCGCAGACAAATATATAAATATAAGAGAAAGAAATGGATATTCACTATTCTTTATTATTCGAAATAAAAGATATTCGTCTGCAATAAACAGCTGTCACATTGCCTTGACGCGTTTAAAGGAAAAAGGCAGATAAGCGACGCAACAAGAAAATTTCGTCATTTTATACAATAATATCTATCTAGAACCCATGAGTAGCACACCAATCCGTAATACAAACGCTCGTGCTCATTATAAAGTAACAAGAACAGTAACAGGCCCCGATGGAAAGACAAATACGGAAACGATCGAGATGTACGATGACGATGCGGTCAAGGTAAGTACGCTAATGCATAGTAATAGATACGATGAGATTATCATTGTCATTTGTTCATCTTCGATTACAGTTCATGCATAATTTACGTTTGAACCGGGACGAAGTTCCGGATTTTGATCGATTCGGTTTTCGTCCATTATCCGATCCGACTAATCTTCCGCCATTGGAATCACGTCATAATCAGCATCATCGAAGTATTCAATCATCGAAACCAATACCCGTACGATCGTCATCATCCTCGTCATCGCCATTTTCAGTTGCACCAATCACACCAACACCGCCGAAACGTTCATCGGCTCCTCAAAGCAACAATGAATTTGTTCGCGAAGCATTACAAGCTCATAATGATTTACGACGACGTCATGGCATCGAAGTACTGAAATTAAACGATGATCTATGCAGATTAGCTCAACAATGGGGTACAGAACCTTAAATGATGTGTATCTCTTAAAAAAAGATCTTTCTTTTAGCTAACCATCTGGCATCAACTGGAACACTTGTACATAGTAAGACTAAATACCGAAATGTAAATGTTGGCGAAAATCTTCGTTGTCAGTCGTGGCCAATCACAGGTGAGTTCTTTTCGTTCCATCAAACAGTTGCTTATATCTTAATACAGGCCAAAAAATGACGCAATCGTGGTACGATGAAAATACTAAATACGATTATCGTAACCCTTCCTATCAACCAGGCACCGGTCATTTTACGCAAGTCGTATGGAAAGGGTCACAGGAAGTGGGTTTCGCCCAAGCACAAGGTACATCGATGATCTATGCAGTCGCAATGTATTATCCACCTGGAAATTATGTGGGCGAGTTCGATCGAAATGTATTTCCTCCACGTTAAAACTTTCTTGTTTACTACAAAACATTTAACGCACTTTTTCGATGTTTTATTCTTATTTTACAAGAATATAAATGATCAAAAATACAAACAACGAGAACAAAATAAGATAATAGTAAAGTTTCCAACTACCAGTTCGAGAAATTAGTTTCACACGGCGTTGAACTTGACCCACACGATTCGTCAACAAACTCATCAGATCTGAATGACCTGACAATTCTGCTGTTGAACGTTTTGTTTCATCATTTATTGCTATCACAATATTTTTGAGTCGTTTTACTTTGGTACAAAGTTGGTTCGTCCGTTGATCATTCTGCTCTTCTATCCACGAATCAGTGCTATACTTTGAATACATATTTGAAATATGCTCATTTCCTATTGCAACATTATAAGTTATGAGACACGTCACACATGCCACGTTCGTGTTCTTTTTCCTCTCCAATGATTCATTATTACAAAATCATTTTTATTACAATAAGCTCTCTCTTTCAATTTCATAGAATAAGAGAATGATAACAAGAAAGGAGAAAAACAGAAAAAACGAAAATGTAAGCACACATCGAACAACAAATAATTGTAGTAGTAATTGATTATTGTCATAAGTAATAGTAATAGTAATAGCACAAAAGAAAAATGAAATTCGAAAGAGAGTGCTCGTTCGAGTAAGAAACAAAAGAAAACGCATCGAAAGAAAGAAAAGAAAACAGGTAACGCTGTACAAGAAGAGCACACGAATGAGAACACATGGCTGTGATCATTTAGCTTTTGCTCTTTTTTGTCTTCTTCTTTAAAACAAGTATCATCACAACACTGAACAGACGACCAAGAAACAAATATGAAATTCACAAACAAAAAAAACAACAACATATATTTTGCATGTTTAGTTATCGTTTTTTACAATCTGGTTGAAAAATGAGGAATGTCATGGGGCTGACCAGCAGCATGGGTCGAAGAGTGAGAAGATTTTTAGCTTTTTTTACTGTTCACAAAAGTAACAAAGGACGGATGATCACAACTGTCAAGAGGACGAGAGAGATTTTTGCTTTCGAGTCATTCAGAATGAAATAAGAAAGAAAGTACAATGAGATTATTTCCCGCTACTACCACCAAATAATCGTCTTTCTTTTAATTTCGTCATACTAGATGAACGCAATCGATTTCCACTATGCGCTGAGTGTTGAAATGTGATCGTTTGCTGTGCGAGAAGTCGCTCTCGTATTCGATCAAGTTCAGCATGTTTGAGTTCTTTCAATTTCAGTTTTAAATGATCACGATCTTTACTTGACTTTATTCCCATAGCCTAAAACCAAATGCTCAGTCATCGATTCAATTTCGTCCCAAAAGACATTCATACTTTCATCTTCGTACTATCCAGTACGAGAAGCTTTTCACCATCGATATTTCGATTGAGAAACATCGGAATAAATGAGGTCATTTCTTGCGCTGTTAACCATTGAATACACTGGTCAGATGTCCAATCTTTCACTTCAACAAACTGGAAGAGCAGCATTCAATATTCGACACGGTTTACTTTGCAATCTTACCTGATCAGTAGTCGTTGTTTTCGGACTTTTTGGCGAATGCTCTGAATATGGGAAAAACAATCGAATATTGTTCATTATGGTACAAATAACGTCTCTTGTACATACTTGTTGTCTCTTCTTGTGTGGGAACTTTGATATTTGACGTTTTGACTTCTAGATTCTCATGTTGATGATTGTTTGCTTCATCAAGTAACGGATTCGATGAACGTTTTGACGGCAGATTTCTCTGGCGTGTTTTCGCTATTTGTGTTTTATCCATCTGAATGCTATGGTTGAGTATTGGACTACGATCGACTTCAAAATCTGATTGAGTAGTTAATTTCGTACTTGACAGCTTGTCTACAGTCGATGATGGTAGTCGAACTGAGGATGTTGCGGACGTATTTCGAGCTGGCAAACGTTCAGTTGAAAGAATATTTTGACCGGAACTTGTACGCGATCGAATTGGCACGCGTTCGGGTATATCTGGCGGTCGTAAAACAGCACCCTCTGTATTTGGATTAGGTAGCTTCGTGGCACGTGTTGAAGGATCCTTTTGTATTTTAGTGTTAGTTAACATTCGTTCCAATTCTTCGGACTAAAATTCATAATTTTGTCTTTAGACATTAAACATCAATTGTCGGCGATACGAACTTTTTTAGTCAATTCCACGATCTTCTTTTGTTGTTGTTCATTTTTGTCCATCTGATGAGTTTGTTGTTCTCGTAGATCAGTTTCGCTAAACAAATTAGAAATAAGTCAGTCATTTCAATGCAAAGATTATATATTCACAAGAAAATCAAATTATTTATATGCATAATGAAATTATATGGATATCTTTTCTAAAGAGCCTTCACCTTCGTACGTACAAAATTGATCTTTTGTCATTCGAAAACTAAAGACGAATTTGCAAATGAAAGGATAACCAGTTTTACATACCGATCTTGTAGCTCTTTGATAAGTTTTTTCGCTTTCAAGTATTTCTCTTCGATATGCTCGAGATCTTTCTTTGTTTGTTCATAAATTTTCTAAATTAGAACGGATTTACCCGTGAAATGATCCTTTTCATTCATGATAATCTACCTGATAATAATCTTTGTCTTTCTCAACATTTGCCAATGTTTTTTCCAATGATTCGTAACGTTGTTTAAGAATCTCGAATTCGTTATCATTGGATTGTTTCTCGGACATTGACCACATTTGCTAAACGAAAGATACACTTACGAACGAACAAATATGTTCGATTTTCATTCATACCTCGTAATTTTTCTCATGCATTTTAGCTAATTCTTGGTGAGTTGAACTTTTAACTGTATCATCATCGTCAAATCTATCTTGATCATTCAATTCTAAATTTGAAAACCCATCTTCAAGTATGTGTCGTTCACTATAAGTGTCATGATGATGTTGTAGCGCTCTTGACATTTCGTTACGATCTTGATCCATTTGTAACGATTGCTGTATCAGGCGAAGAATTTCCGAATTTTCAACATCTTTCTCACGACCAATAACGAATCTAAAGTTGATTTTCGATTCATTGGTGAAGAAAAGCTTGAGAACATTCGATATTTACCTGACTAAGCCGGAAGTTGATTTGAGTACACTTGTAGCGTGTGTATGTGTAACGCCAACAAGCGACTTATCATCAACCTCAATTATCTGATCGCCTATTTGAATTCTAAATAAAAAAAAACGTCATAAAAGTAATCTCAAAAGATTTGACATCGGTCAAATAAAGTAACAAAAGAAGGACGAATATCACACGTCATAGTGTTGATTAACGATAACGATTTTATTACACATACCGGCCATCCCGAGCAATTACACCCTGTGGATTGAGAGATTTAACAAAGATTCCCAATTTTTCTAAGCCACTATCAGCACCAACACCCATACCCAAAACACTGAAATGGAAATTATGGAATTAGATTTCCGAAAAACTAACAGTTCTATTGAGCATACCTGATTCCAAGACCGTCAGGACCTACGAAAAATCAAGACTGAGATTGAGAGATTGAAAAAGTCAAGGACTCACCTTTCTCAATTTCAACATTGAAAACGTGCATTTTTTCAATTCGTTTTTCTAGTTCATATTCAGCTGACGCAGAAAATGGATCAATATCATCATTTCGTCGATTATATTCGCTTGGTGAATATGTTGGGTATACCTTAACACAAAATGAGCTACATAAAAATTCCGTTTTTCTCTAGAAATAACCTTACTCGAATCGGTGCATTGCTGAATTTAACTCTTCGAGTACCATCGGATGATACTGTAGTATCTTTTTCATCATTATCTGCTTCCGGTATACCTGGCTTCTCGTAGAAGATCGGTGATGATGATGTACTAACTAGAGCCACATTTTCCGGTTCTAAAATTAATACATTTATAACAGATGAAACAATATAAAGGAGGAATCATTTATTATTTACCATTTAACATTGGATTATCGATCCATTTCTGTTCTTCTTCTACTCCTTCATCCTCTTCATGCTCTTGAACAATTGAATTCGTTTCCGTTTTCTCTTCATCTCTAAGTGAAGATTCCTGTATATCACTTTCTTGAAATGATAATTTCGGCAATGAAGATTCAATTGTTGTCGGTTTGATAAATACTGTATTCAGATGATCCATACGTCGAAGAATATTCGACGGTAAAATCGACGCTACAATACGATTGGCGATTTCTTCATTCGAGGGTTTTGCATTCGTATCGTTTTCTTCACGTTGTTGTTTCTTTAATTGTTGAATGGCGTCAGCCGGAAAATCGTAGTGTTGATCAGAAGAACTTGCATGTTTACGGTTCACCATTGCATAATGAACGTCTTCGGTAGTGGTTACAGCTTCTGTTACCGATGGAGGTGGCGGGGCCGATCGATGAATAGGAATTGAAATAAATGATCGCTCTGAATGTGTTGGCGATGATGCTGAAGATGATGTAGTAATAATTTGCACAGGAACTTCACGAACACGACTGGTCGTGAGATCCGCCGTTTTTGTTATATCTCTCATTTGTTGCTCCTGTTGTTGTTGTTGCTGCTGCTGTCGATGATCGATAATAATATCAGGAATATGTTCACTGTTTACTATCGATATATATGATTGTCCATTATGCATTAAATCTGGTTGATAAGTTTCACTAATGAATTGATCATTGTGTCTGTTTGATTTGGTGCTTGTTGATGGGATAATTGTACGGGCTGCTTCTTCTTCTAATGTCTGGAACATTTCTTTAGCTTTACGAAATCGTATGGTATGATCTTCGTTGGTGGAGTTCGGTGGTGGTGGTGGTTGTGCTGCTGCTGCGGAGTTTTCACTCATTGCTAACGTTGACATTCCATTACGCATCGAATTCATATTTAATGCATGATTATCTAATATACGAGGATTGGATAAACTTCGACTCCGTTCGATTATGGTTGATGCTGACGTTGTAGCTAATGGTAGTTGTGGCATTGGTGGCGATAAGGAATTCTCATCAGCTCCGTCCGCAATGCCACGTGATGGTGACACAAGATCTTGATGATGATGATCAGAATAACGTGAACGATGTTCGCCTGGTTTCAAATCATTCAATGTTAATGCATATTGTGTAAATACACTACGTAATCGACTAACATGACCGATATATTTATTCGTTGTATTCGGATTGTTACTATTGCTATTGTGATTATGGTTATTAGTATTATTATTATTTGGTGATGTTCGTGTGTGATGAATTGTTGTGTTATTATTAGCATCAGCCGTTGGCGAATCGATGATAAGACTTGATGCTGATTCAGTATGGGTAAAAAGAGAAGGTACAGCTGGTTGGATGAGGATATCTGCCATTTGTTCTTCTCTTGTGTTCTGTTATCTCAATTTTCTTCGGTTTAGTTGCCCTCTTCTTGTTCTTTGTCTATAGAGAGTAACAGAAAGCAATGTGTTACTAATGTTTACCGCCTGTCGCAATATTTCTCAGCTACTTACCAACAACCGTCCCACCTATCAATCACTAATAGTAAGCTTGTTCTCGTTGTTCTGAAAGAGATTGATACCACAAAGAGTCAATGAAGGTTAACCAAGACATGAGAAACGTCGATAAGAACGAGTCAAGAGAAAATGAATATCTAAATAAAAAGATGATTTTACATGAAAAATGCAACTTTCACTGATTGTGATCAGAAAAGACACTGCTCAATTACAAAAGAACAAAGAGAAAGAAAGATTTTTATCGATAGACGACTGCATCAAACTATGAAGAATTTTTCTCGTTTAGTAGAGAAAAAAATGAGAAATAAAGAAAAGAAACTGCCATCCAAGTGGACTAGTCTTTCTTGTGTATTTACAATGGAGGGACAAAGAACTGAATGAACAAATGTCCAAGGACAACAAACATCAACGATGAAGAAAAGAAAAAAACCAATCAAATGCGTCTTTTCCCTTTACATAATTAATAACAATGACGGGATCTTCTCTAATATCATTGATGTTTTACACATCACAGATTCACTCGAATTTTCGATAGAAAAAAAACAAATCGATTATGCTGAACGGACATCCGTCTGACCATAATTGATCGATAGAATCGCCGTCAGCGACAAGCAATAACTGTGTGTGTGGTCGCACGTAGTGGGAGAGAGAGAGAAAGAGGGAGGAAGAAAATAAACATGATTGGCAATTTGTTGGATGAGTACGCCAATCATCAAAAGTTTTTGTTTTACTTCAGCGATATTAGACTCATACGACCTCTACCTGCTGCACCGATGACGTTTCAATAATTTGTACGATAAGAACTTTTAATTTGTTTAGTAATTATCTTTTCTTTTCACAGAAGTTAAACACCATAAGAGAATTTATTCCATTTTATAACATGAGATGTTATTTTTTGCAAAGGTATAAAAAAGAAGTAATTACGTAACCTTGATTTTTCCTCCAAAACACTTTTCCATCATTGTCACATTTTTCTTCGTTTTTTGGTATGATCATCTTCATTCAAAACTATTTGCTTACTTTCCATCTTATCTCAATTTGATGTTATTTTCAGCTTTTCTATTTATAGCCTTCGTATTAAGTTTCGTGATACCATTTGGAGTTGAATTTTTCACTAGGTCAGCGTGCCCTATTTTTAGCACCCTGCATAAACGAACAACGTTTCGGCTCTTTTTCATCATTTGTCAAGCTTATTTTGGTGCTGTATTATTTCCATTAGAATAAGTATCATTGTTTGTCTTCTGCTTCTTATACTAATACCACAAATAGATCTTATAAAAGAAGAAATTATACATGTCACGAGAGCATATTGCGACGTATGTTGTTACTATTAGTATTACTCGAAGAAATCGTCAATCTTGTTGTCAATAGAGACTTTTTTTTCAGGAAAAAACAAACGAGTATAAAAATAGAAAAGAAAAAAACCGAAGAGAGAGAGAGAGGGAGCGAGCGAGCGCGAGAAAAAGAAAGAGAATCCAGAGCTTTAGTTATATCTCATCTTTTTTTTTGTGACGTCCGTGTAGTCGCGAGGAGAGAATACGAATGCAACTCAGGTCGCTACTACGAAAACATGAAAGAAAATCTCCTATGTTGCAAGATTTGGGATATTTTTAGCAACATCTCGTTTTCTCTCTCTCTCTCCTCTCTTTCTTTCTATTCTTTTCTTCATCCTTTCTTTTTCATTTGATGCATGTGCATTGTGTCAAGATATGACAACAGGTCGTTCCGATTGCGTGTGTGCGCGTTTTTCCCTTCTTCTTTATACGAAAGCTACTCTTTACACATGACTAGTTTTCTGAAAATGAAATTTTCTTGAGACGTAACTTCTATTTTTCAAATAGTATTCTTCGGCTTTTCCCATATAAACACAATTCAAATATATAAATCTCTTGAAAAGCTACTCGTCTATGAATTTTAATTCATCGTCATGGCAAATGTGAAGATTAGGAAAAGACAGCAAGTTTTTATTTTCTTTCCTAATGTGTATAAAACGACCTTTGTCGTTGAAAGAAATAAGAATGTTGCGTACATTGGCAATCATCGCCTTAGATTTATGCCTGAAGATTCTGTAATCGACAGAAATAGAAAGAAAAAGAAAATAGAATGCTTGATGAGTGTCTATATTGAAAAAACAGGAAAGAAATACACATCGTGTTATTTAGATTCATTTGCTAGGCAAAAAAAGAGAAAAGAAAGTAACGAAAGAGAAAAAAAAACAAGTTCGATAGAAAATATATTCATTCATGTATTAATCGATAAAAGAAATGAAGAAGCAAACAAAAATAGATATTATTTCGAGACGATACCTTTCATATCTACTTATTATATCTATATATAGCTATGTATATTACGAAACAGACATTGCCAATCTTCTCATAATCAGCGAATAAACAAATATTCGAACAGGTAATGACAAAAAGCAAAAATGTGCTTCAAATTGATTTAGCTCTTTGGCTTTCTTTATGAAAAGAATGCTCATAATTAAGGGGAAAAAAATATTCTTTTCCTTGTTATTTTTGAACAACTAACTGGCAGATTGTCATTATTCTTTCTTTCTTTCTTTCTATTGCTCTCATTTTCCGTTCTTCCCGTTCGTGCAGAATTTCATGTCTTCTTGAGACGATTATTATTTTTGCTGGGCTATTCATTTATTTATTCTGTTTGTCTTTTTCTCATTTTCTTTCTCTTTTCCCCTACTTCTATTCATCTGTAAAAAAAACAAGAAAAGACACAGAAAAAGGTGCATATATATATATATATACGATGTTTTTCCCCCCGCCGTAAGGAGAAAACAGATTTTACCTATATGAAAAATATTGTTCACACGCCAAGAATAGAATCAAATTCAGCATGTCATATTACCCGTATATTTACACATTAGAGAAGCGATCTTTTCCAACATGTTTTCATGCGAAAATAACGATTTAAAATAGCTTTATTGATGAGGACAGGTATAAGTACACGGACGACAATCACAGCAGCCGTGCGAAAGAAAATGCAAATAACATGGTAAATGATTCGATAATGTTTTGTACTTTTTGGTAGCTGGTAAAAGTGTATAGACACTAGTAGAAGAAATACATGTACGACGTATGTAGAGTATCGTGACTATTACGTGATTGAAGAAGGTTCTTTACATTTCGAATGTTTTTTTTTGTAAGTGTCTAAGTATAGAAATATCGAATCTTTCACCACATTGGCAAATTGCGTTCGAAAACACTCGATGAATATGATTGATTGTTTGATTTTGTCAATGAAGAAAAAAAAAACATAAGTGGTAAAGATATTTAGAAATTTTCTTATTAATTATTAAATATTAAACGGTCTTTGTTAACTTTATTCATAATATGTTTTTGTCATGCTTCATCTTTATTTTTTTCTTCTTTTATTTATTTCTTACTGCTGTTTTTTTTTCTCATTCATCTTTTCTAAAAAAAAAGAGCAGAATAACACACAGACGCATAAAACGAAGAGGAGAAGAAGAAGGCGAAGAAGAAAACTACTCAAAACCCCTAGTCAACTGACAGGCACAGAGATAAAACAAATGACTAGCAGCATCTGTAGAGAAGTGTATCGTTTTTCTCTTTTCTTTTCTCTATTTTTATTGTACTTGATTACATTTTCACTTAGTCAGTATTCTTATTCTAGACTAATCTAACACAAACGGAACAAGCCTTCATGGTTGATCTCTGTCGACTTTCGTCATTAACGACCAATGGTTCACTTGGTTCTGTTAATAATAGTAACGATTCAAATAATGGGAGTCAAAATTTCTTTCCATCATTATTCGTATGTCAACGGAAGAAGATCGACATGTACTTTTTTTTGAAAGAAAAATTTTGTCTTTTCTTAGCTCCCCTACTCACGGTTGATAGACCCTGAGCGACAAGATCCAGTCACTGTCGCTCTAGCAGCAGCAACGGCTGCAGTAATGGCCTCATCAGCAATGGAACGGACACGTCTCGAAGAAGAAAAATTACGTGTTCATACGAAAGATAAAAAAGATCAAAGTATGTTATGATAAAATGTACTCATTCATGTGCGCGAATGTTGTTATCTCAGGTGCAAATGCATCAGCTGAAGTGAAAACACATTTGAAAAGTTTTCTTCGTCGAAAATTACAAAAAGAAGGAAAACTCGAGTAAGTTCAATTCGAATTTTTATCAAGTGAACGAAACAGGCTCTGTAGGGATGAAGATTCTATGGAAATGTTAAGACGATTTCAGTCAGAACCTGTCCTTGCCAATCCACGTCGTGAATCAGGAAACTTTAAAATCAAATCTGACTTACGTCAAAGTATCCTACATCGTCATCGACACATTACACCTATGTCAGATAAACGCCATCCGGTTCGTTCAACACCTTTCGCTCAACAACATCAACAGCAACAACAACAACATACGAGTAAGTTTAATTTTCAGCAGGAAAAATGCCAAAAGCAAAACATAAAATTTACATTAATATTCAAGAAAGACTATTTTAAGCCGAGAAGGAGTGCTCTATTTTCATGAAATTACACTCGAATGAATATAGCTACATTTGACATGATAAGAAACATTGTTTTTCATTACGTGTCCTCGATGTAATTAGTTCCCTGGAGTTAGTGACATGTCATAACTTTATTTAAGCCGTGTTAAATCAGAAAACATACAAGAAGCTATTCTCTTTTTACTTTAAGTTCCATCAATTCCGATAATGTCATTCGATTCTCAGTCGTCCACAATACCGCACCCAGAACAATTGTGGCTTGACTTAAATGATCTTCAACGTAAACTCTACAGTTGTTATTCGACCGGTAAACTTTTCCTTTCCTCAAAGAAACTATTCAATTGAAATCTGTTGTTGTTTTTTCCTTCTTCTTCTTCACAGGTTCACTTTGTGGAACAAATGTTATTCAACCTAAACATTTAAAAATGACACATGACAATCAACATCGAACAAATATTCTCGGTCCTAAACATTTCATCGTAGAAGAGGAAAACGAAGCGTTGTTAGCTAAAGAATTAGAAGAAGCCAAAATTCAAAGTGCACATAATAGTCATAGTTCAATGCACAGTAGTCAACCACATATGTTCAATTTCACATCCAATGATTCATCAATTAAAGCTTTGAATGTAAGACAGAGGAGTTGCGAATCATCTTAAGCATGTTTTCTTTTCTGAATAGTTACCAAGTGATCGTTTAATGTTACATTCCAAGTCATTATCATCCCTATCAGCATTAGCACCATCAGTCGATGAAAAATTAAAACGATGTCTTTCAGGTTCCATACAAATGCGCTTTACTACAGGTAAGTTTTCAATGGTTTCGTGCGAGATGATGATTGAGCCTACTCTATTTTGCTTTCAAGGGATTGTATACGACGATGAAACACTAAAACATGAATGTTATTGCAAACGTACAGATCTTCATCTTGAAAATCCTCGCCGTCTACTTGTTATTTATGAACAGTTAAAAAAATCCAACTTACTAAATGATTGTGAACTTATTCAAAGTTATTGTGCAACTATTGATATGTTAACCGATTGCCACAAGTAAGTCAGTTAAGAAGAAACTCACTTGAAAATAATCGTCTTTCTCTCTAGTCCTACACATGTATATCTATTTGGTTGTGATCCACGACAACGCACACAACAATCATCGGCATTACTAACTGAACGACTAAATTCAATTGTACAACTACCTTGTGGTGGTTTTGGTATTCACGATGATGCTGACACAATTTGGAACCAAGCTTACACGGCACGTGCTTGCCGTTTAGCAATTGGCAATACGATTGCGTTGTCAAAATATGTCGTCGACGGCAAATTAAAGAATGGCTTTGCCCTTGTAAGACCACCAGGTCATCATGCAGCGCAAAAACCGTTAGGTTTCTGTTACTTTAATACAGTTGCCATAACAGCTAAATATCTGAAAAAGCACCGAAATATCGAACGAATTGCTATTGTTGATTGGGATATTCATCATGGCAATGGCACACAAGACTTAACCTACGATGATCCGGATATTCTTTATATTTCATTACATCGGTACGATAATGGAACATATTTTCCCGGCGGTGGTCGAATTGAAGAAGTTTGTGAAAGAAATTTGTCGCATAGAAACAAATGTGACTTGTAATTTAGTGTGGACGCGACGCTGGCTTAGGTAAAAATATCAACATAGCTTTCTCTGGCGAACCGCAATCAGTTATGACGGATGTCGAGTATCTCGCAGCATTTAGGTAGGTCATTAAATCGGTTGAATTTGGGAGTTGACAGAAACTAAACGATGCGTTTTTCTATTAAATTGTGTAGAAGTATTGTCATGCCTACACTGCAGCAATTTCAACCTCAATTAGTTCTTGTTTCCAGTGGGTTTGATGCTTGTATGGGACACCCACATCCGCTTGGCGGTTATGAATTAACACCAACATGTAATACTAATGAAACAGAAGTAGTTTTACAATTTCGCATTTCTCATTTTTCTCTCAGGTTTTGGCTATATGACAAATCAACTAATGAAACTTGCTGATGGAAAAGTTGTATTAGTTCTTGAAGGTGGCTATGAATTAAATGCATTGGCTGAATGTGGAAAAACATGCGTGAAAACTTTACTAGGACATGAGGTAGGACTTTGTAGTTCGATTTGGAGCTGAACTTTGATTTTGTACGATCAATTCCAGGTACCATCGTTTAGTAAAGAAACTCTCGAAGCCAAACCAAATGCACATGCGGTACGGAGCTTGAAAAACGTTATAGAAATCCAACGTATGTTAATAAATAGCATGACGGAAATTACCATTTTGTTTCTTTTGTTTTTCTTTGCTTATTTACAGGTGAATTCTGGTCGTCACTTGAACAATCTAAACATTTAGTTCCTATGTCACATAAACAAGCGATTATTTCGTGAATTACAAAATATTTTTCTCGTTCCAGTGCACTACGCAAAGAATCATCATATTGATGTTATTGGTTTGCTCGTGACGGTAACGATGATGTGTATAAAACAGCACACATCAATAAGTTGTTTCCTTCCTTTCTTTTGTCAACTGTATCTCATGATGTTTAACCGGTAAATTTCTAATTCATCTGTTCATTTCCCTTTTCATTTTTTTTCTTTCGTCAATATTGTTGTCTATTCGGATTTTCTTTTTCTATTCGTTTATTTATTCGTATTCTCTTCTAAAAAACAAGAAAGGCAAACTGCTAAGCAGCTGTATGTGTTTATTTTCTCGTTTTTTTCTTCAACAAGAACAACATTGTCTCGGAAAGACTAAGGTTGTCTTCCGTTGAAATTCTATTTATTTTTGTCTTTTTCATGCTGATATGTGTTTGATTTTTCTTCATTCTCTTTCTTTTCATTGTCTCGCTCAACATTCATTGCGTTAAATATGTAGTTATGTCTTCAGCATATTCTTATGCATTCATAATTACACTTTAATAATAAAAATATCAACGGAAAATCGACAATTTTCAAGTTCTTGCAGTTCATTTGAATAGAAATATGAAAAACTTTGATTATGAGTTAGAGAAGTGCATTGTGACTTGGCGTTTCAATGAGAAATCCATGTTGGCTGTCACTCAAAAAAGAAGTATAAGCGTCTATAGACACTTTATTATGTTAGTTGAATAGGTAATTTTGCGTCAAATTGCCTGAACTTCTTTAATGGTAGTTATTTTTAAACTAAATATGAAAACATTAATAATCTGACATGAAAACTTTCATATAGAGTTAGATCGCCTAGTAAAACGTTCCCTCGAAGAATAATAGTGATGAAAGGAATTTTAATATGTTTAGATAATGTCGCAGCAATTTGTCAATTTTCTAAATTGTACTTTCTGCCCTTCTCATTACGCTCTTCTATTTTCTTTTCTCTTCGTACTGCATATCGTGAGACGTAATATTCATTACGATAATCTGCCTTCGGTAGATATCGCGTATACAGTTAGCCGTCAAACTTTGTTTTTGACAAACTTGGCTCACTAACAAGAAAATGTTTATCCGCCAGTAGTTATTTACAATCGTTCGTAACAAAATGAAACAAAATGGATCATAATTGAAATGATCTGTAGAATATATGCTCGATGTTGGAAAAAGAAAGACAATTTGAACGTCAAAGAAACTAAGGCCGTTTTATATAAGTGGCTCACAATGTTTGATCCAGTTGTAGATTTATTGCATGATGTTTAAGAGCAAGGAAACATTTTAATGCTGTTCGAGTAAACATAATGGAATACCTGGAGAACGGAAGAGAACTTTGAGTATAAAAATGTTTCATCAGCTATTTCTCGAGTAAAATGATTTGTCGAGTTCTACAAAATTTTCATGTTTGAGGTTGAAAAGTTGAATGAGCGACAGCAACTTGACGGGAGAAGAGTGTGTGCTACTCGGAGCTCGAATAGCCACAGTCGTCACCTACATTTTTAAAATAAACCTTTAACTGTCGGGGAAAATCGTTCTTTCCCCACCGTTGAATATTAGATGAAAACAGAATGATTCTAATTTTGCGAGAGTGCATTTTTACTGAACGGCTTGAAGCCGAACAAGATTTGAATATCACAACAGTAAAAAGATCTGTGAAAAAAACTAGTCATGATTGAAGCGTTTGGTTTAACGATAGATCAAACGAATAACAACCGTTCCGTAGTAGAAGCTGAAGCTTTAAATAGATACGGTTGTAATTAACATATGAGAGTAAAGAGAACAGCTTTATACGATAAATTTTCCGGCTACTAATACTGATTAGTTAGCTTGAGAGATCTATGGCGCAGTATTCTCGCGAGCTAAATTCCTTTTCATGACAAGTTATAAAATAGATGATGAAAATGTACTAAAGGTCGACATGTTCGTGCAATTCATTCGTATCTCGCTTGATAAAATGTAGAACACTATATGGCTTGAAGTTTTAACTATGTTGAGCAGTTTGAAAACCATCTGTCTGCGATATGAAATCTGTTTGCGCAATATTATCTCACTCCCATAAGTATTCCTATTTTCACAAAACTGATGAGTGGTTTATTTTTTTATTTATTTACTACAAAGGACTTTTTTTTAAAAATCTCAAATAGAAACATTGTCTAATGAACTCTTTGATAGTCATGTCATTGTTTATAACAAATTTAAACTTTACAATCCAACATTACACTTGGACGTGATTGACACAGACGTCGTGTTCGTGATTCCATAAGAAACTGAACATTGAGACTTGATCGACGAATTGGTGCTAATGACTGTCGTGTGCATGAATTTCTTCGAATTGTAGCGACTGCTATCATCGGTGTTGCTAATTGAATACCTGTATGAGACAAATAGTTATCATTTTTTTCATAAAGAAATACACAATTCAGGATGTACTTCGTTCTTTTTTCTGGCATTTTTTGATTATTTTAATGGAAGTATAAATTAGAATTAGAATAGAAATGCTCACACCGATATAAAAATAGATTTCATTGATGAACTGAGTATGAATTGATTCTAGAAATAAAGAGGATTGTTAATGTTTCATCATGGAGAAAATGAAAAGAGACCTCTTCTTTCTATTTATATTCAACTAAAAGGTACAGATTTGTCTTCTTGTTTCCTTATATAGAAAAAAATTAACTCGCTCAAAATAAACGAGAGGTTTCAAAATTGAGGACGAATAGACTCATATGTTAACATCTCATTTTGTCCTTACTTTCAATCGGATCGTTTTTCGTCAATGACATTGATTATTAAACACATCTGTCGTGCAGATAATAACGAAAAAAGAATAATTCAATGCATTCTTTTGTACTGCGGCCATTAACAGAGACATTTGCGCATGAGAAGTGAAAGAATAACTTTGGCACAGTTAAACAAGAATCTCGCGCGAATGCCAATGAAAAGACAATCAGCAATTCGTCTCATAAATCTTCAGCATAACAAAGGTTACAAGCAAAGAAAATTTCATGTTTTTTTTATTAATATTAAATTACAGAGAAAATCTTTGTTTTTTAAATGAAGATATTTCATGAACAAACGAATGTCAGTCTTTGACCATTAAGAAAATCCGATTGGTTTCTACAAAAGCATAACAAAACAGTGAGAGAATATGACTTAAACGAGTAATCAACAGTACTTAGATATCTTTGTAGTGCTTTGACTATAGAATCGACAATCTCATCTGCATTTAAAGTTTTCCCGTTTATGGTATCTTGATTGTTGTTTTGCTCGATAATGTGTTTGACAACATTTTCTTTATCATTTCGTAGATACATACATAATTCGTAGAGTTGTTCTTCGTAAAGACCCATTCTGTGAAGTAATGTTAGTTTGACTAGTGTTGTCATCTCTGGGAATAAGAAATGAGATTTGATATGTGTGGGAAAAAATTAGTGTTGTTTTATTAAACTTACCTGATGGAACGTGACAATACTTGCGAAGAAAATGATCAATACGTAAGGCTGTAGTAACATTATGTTCGAATTTTTCTTCCTGAGACGCTTCAGAAAGAAAAATCGATTGCCGTTCATCATAATCATCGCTAGAAAATGACAATTCCACTAGAATAAACAACGGTTACCAACTGTCAGATCGTTTCAAATCCTTTTCTCTTACTTCGACTAGATCCATCACGATGTTGTCGCTAAAAATTTGAAGAATATTTTTATTAGTAAGATTACGTACGTTTCTCGAAGTTCATTTCTTACTTTTCGAGTAGCACGACGGTTTTGTACATCCGAACTCTGCCATTCCGCACTGGATGAAGATGATGAGAAATCATTATTTACTGAAACGAAATTATGATTAAAAAAATCACAAAAGGATAGTTTACTGACCAAGCCCGCGAGCACAATGTCGTTCGGGCGATTCACGAGATACTTGACGCATTTGCTCTATAAGTGTTTCTATATTCACTCGAACAGCTACACGAATATTGGTCGTGCCATCTTCGAAAACATAATCCACACTTGCATTACTGAGCAGCTTTCGACTTTTTCCAATCTCGGCGAATACATCCACTTTCAACAGACATGTGGCAGAATCAATGGAAAGGTCAGCAAGTAACCGAGCCATATTTGAACCATGCGCTTCGCTGATCATATGAATAAATTCGGTGCGGCAGTTTGCTTTGTATATTTCTTCAGGAGCAAATGTTGGTCTGAATCTGTGATGAGGCGAGAGAAACATTTTGCTATGATCAGAAGATATTCACAACACACTTCATTATATATGCACGATGGGAATGCAAGATGGAGTGAATGGTCTTTCTTGTGTGACTATTGTTTGAACTATTCTGTTAAATCCCGGCCAATTCAAAATATTTTCGCTAGATGACAGTTACAACAGTATATCGTGATCGAACGACTCAGACGGACGAACGTATGTATGTATGAATCACAGTTTGCATAATGATATGGACAGAATATAACAAATTAGACTGAATACTGAATAAAGAGATTCGTCACGGGTAAACAAGAACAAAGTGTTTTACAAGCGTGTCTTGAGCAACTTAGACAAACATTTCCATACGCTAGATTAGATATTGTAAATAGACGTGTTTTTGAGATGATAACCAACTTCTCTGTGTAAAGCAACAAGAAAAAACTATCGTGGGCACGTTGAACCATATCGTATAGATGCATTTATTATTCAACTCTAGCTTCGCTCGTTATTAATCTTATTTTCAGTTTTATAGAAAATCAAAAAGCTCTATTGGTCATTTCAACTTTGCTGTCGTACGCCAGCAGGAACAAAATTCCAAACGCTAGCAATGATTTTATCACTAAGCCAGGCTGGTGACAGATATAAAACAAAGAAGATTAGCTTTCCTTGCCATCCTGGTCGATAGTGAACCCAAGGCTTAACTTTCATAAGTGCGTGTTCAATGGCTCGTACTACAGTCAGTGGATTGTCTGCATGGATCATGAATGGACTGTTAACTGCTTTTGTGATGTTTTTGTTCAAATAATCAATTCCCCAACGTTGTTGAACATCAGTCGAAAGTTGATTCCAAACATCCCTCCATGTTTGCTCATAAGTCTCCATCATAGGCGTTTTCAAAGCACCAGGTTCAATCGTACTGACGCGTAAATTCCATGGAGACATTTCTCGACGAAGACAGTCGGAGAAAGCTTTCATTGCATATTTCGATGCTGAATAAGCTGACGTGTTTGGAAAAGCAAAGAATCCAGCAGCCGAAACAACATTTACAATACGCGAATCACGTTTTTTTATGAGTAACGGTAAAAATTTCTTTGTCATGTTCACATGTCCAAAATAATTAACATCCATCACTTTGCGCATCATTTGCATTGATGTCCAATCAACACAACCATGTGTCATTATCCCAGCATTATTCACTAATCCATATAAAGTATCAACTTTTCCCGTGATCAAATCGTATGCTTCGTCAATATCTTCTTGTTTGGTTATATCTAGACGAAAGACCGTTGCACGCGAAGAAAGTTTTTCTTTGAGTAAAATGATATTGTCTTGGCGAAGGACACCAACAAAGACATGAAAGCCTTTTTTATCAAGTTCAATAGCTGAAAGATAACCGACACCTGTATCACAACCACTAATCAGAACAGATTTATTTCGTGGATCAATGGTTCGTGAAAGGAATAAACATTGGTACAATCGATAGATCAAATACAGTGTAAGAAGACTGACAAAAATTGAAAACATCGGAGTGTGGCCTTTCTAGAATATAGGTTACATTTAAACTTGAAATGAATCACATCTAAACAAACAGGAGAATATGGTCCGATAGATAATATTTTATATAAAGAAGGACAACGAGTTTCGTTCTGTTTTGACAAATAAAATAAGCAGATGATAATCACGCTTTGTCTTGGTACATGTTTTTTATGCATTTTGATAATATATTTATGGTCAATACAGAATAGTTATAATTATTTTAAATCTCGCCATATTCCTGGACCACCACATGAATTTTTCTTCGGCCATTTACGAACTATATGGTCGACGAAAAGATATTCGAAGCAAATTCAGGAATGGACTCGTAAATATGGTTCGATCTATGGATTGTACGAAGGAACGCGACCTTTGTACATCGTATCGGATGTGAATTTCCTTCAAGAAGTTTTCATTAAGCAATTTTCATCATTTCATTCACGTCGAGTTTTATTCTTAGCGCGAATGGGCATTGGTACACCGGAAAATCTTTTCGGTTCATCAGGTTCAACATGGAGACGCCAGCGTCTCATAGTTAATCCAACATTCTCTCTGAATAAAATGAAATTAATGCTACCTGTTGTGAATGAATGCATCGAGATTCTAATGAATAAACTAGCCGGTCTCTGTGAAACTAATGAAGAATTCAATATTTATGATATGTTCCAACGTATGACAATGGACGTCATTTGTAAAGACATGATTTTCCCGGAAATGATTTGATAAGCTTTTGTTTTTCGATTGTTTTAGGGCGTTCGGGATTTGGGATTGAAAGTGATATGCAAAATGATATTGAGAACATTTATTTAAAAAAATCAGCTGAAGTTATTGAAATCAATTACGATAAATTGTTCATTGTTCAGCTAAGTAATTTAATGCCATTTTTGAAACCGCTTCTGAAAATAATTGTGCGCTGTCATTTGAAATTTGTTCAAACAATTCGAAAAAAAATCCCCTTGATCAATCGTTTTATGGAAGAATTAGCTCCATTTTGGATTATTAATCAAGCGCAAGAAATCGTCAATTATCGTCAATCGAATTCAAATGAACAGAAACGTATCGATTTACTTCAAATGATGATGGATGCAAAAATATCGAACGAAAAGGATAAAATCGTACGTTGGAAACAAAGCATCAACACTCGTTTCTAATTTAACTCTTTTAGGAAAATATGGATGAAGAAATTGAGCAAAAGAAGTTATATCCGCATGAAGTTGTTGGAAATATTCTGATCTTTATGATTGCTGGCTATGAAACAACGTCAACAACATTGGCTTATTGTACTTATGTTTTAGCTACAAGACCAGATCTGCAAGAGAAGCTTTTCAATGAAATTAATGAGCATCAAAATGCAAAAGAATACGAAGATGATTATGATTTAGTTACAAATATTTCCTATATTGATCTTTTTATCCGTGAAGTGCTCCGAGTTTTTCCTATCATAATACAATCAACATCGAGAGAATGCAACAAGACAACAACAATATGTGGCCATCAAATTGACGAAGGTCTGATAAACTACTCTCTTTTAAGAAATTTTGATTTTAATATAGTAAATAGGAAGTGTTATTCAAGCTGATATTTTAACGATTCATTTCGATCCAGATATTTGGGGTCCTGAAGATCCAAACGAATTTATACCTGAACGCCATTTGACGAAACGACATCCGGTGTCATGGATGGCTTTTGGCGTTGGGCCAAGAAACTGTGTTGGAATGCGCTTTGCTATTATGGAATTGAAAATGTGTTTAACACGTCTTTTGACTGAATTTGAGATTTTACCTGGAGAGAATTTAGAGAAATATTTTAAACTAACTGAATTAACTGTGATTAATCCTGAGGCAGTTTTTATTAGATTGAAAAGACGAGATAATTGATTTGTTAGAATTATTAATATATCTTTAAATTTTGTGGTGTCTGCCGTATGACAGAATCTTTTTTCTTAACTAATAAAGAAACTTATTTGAACTTTACTATCCGATACTACAGTACTATGTGACTAGTTTGTATGTCCTTTAAATTGACAACTGAAGTAGAAAATCATTTCACCATTATCCTCAAGATACGTTCTATCTATATTCTAATTAACATATATAAATCTTTCGCTTCCTAGACACATCGTTAATTTTGATTATTTCCAGCTCAATTAGACTGTTCAGAAGTTTTCGATTTCGATCGAATTGTATTGCACTAAGAAAATTTTTGTCTTTCAAATTGCGTCGTTGTGGATCACATCCGACGCGAAGAAGCATTTCAACTATTCGATGTCGGCAACCTCTGACCTTGAGACAAAGCTGAAGTAGAAGATCATTTCCGTCGTCGTTCAATTGAGAAATCAATGTTGGCGATAGCGTTAATATTTTTTCCAGCAATTCACGCTCCTTTTTTCCAACAAAGTAAATACCAAATGTTTGTCGGTGAACCAGCTGGGAGAAATCTTCTTCTCTATCAACATTTTTCGCCCCGACCGATTCCCAGTCATATGATTGACGAGCGCTCGATTCTTATCCGGATCGCTAAAAATGTCCTGCGTCCATGGATAATGATCACAAAGTAACAAGATCAGATCAAGACAATCCTTCTTAATGAGATTTTGTAAAGTTTGTTGAATGATATTCCATGAAAGATCGTAAGAGATGCACGCTCGTACGATACCTTCACTAAAAAGAATTTTCAATATTTCCAACTAGCTAATTCGAATGAACGAACAGGGACAGTATTTCGGTAACTACTTGATTTTGACATTGAAAAATAAATAGTGCCAGACCGATCACCGCTCGATAACAATTGATGTCAGTAGAAACGTTACATGTTAGGTAGTGAATACACTGTAATTGATAAATCGTCAGAAATAGGAAGTAATCGACAACGATAGAACATCCACCCATCCAGGCCCGAGAATTGTCATCTTGACGTTGATCCAAAAGGATATGATTGAAGCGTTCGTTCAAACCGAGATATATTCGTAGTATATCGAAAACATCACCAGAAAATTCCATAACACTCATAATAATTTCATCTGGTAGACGTTCGAAAGCCAACGACATTGTATCGTGACGTGTGTTTGTTCGCTTTTCAAAAGCACGTGTTATGTTTACCTGTCTTTCTCTGACCAACGTCAAAACTTCACCAACCATGTGTGTTAACATAGAAAGACTTACTACTCGTTGTGCAATTATCATTGTGGGTCGTGAATCGTAGGAAAGAACAAATAACTTTCATTGTATAAAAGGTCGATTGAGAATTAGTAGAAAATCCACATGGCAAAGAAGAATCAACGGATTGATTCTGACGACGATGCTGCAATACGATCATGCGTCGACTGGAATGAAGACTGGGAGACGGAACAAGATATTCGAGCACAATGGGATGAAATTCATCAAGCAATTCATCAGAATAATGCTGAACATCTCGACGACCTTCTTCCACCGATCAACTTATATTTTAGTAAAGAGAAATACTGGTCTTGCAATTTCTATCGTCGAAAATATATTGGTGGACAAGATATTCTTCTGCAAGCAATCATACTTCAACACTCCGCCTGTGTCGATGTGATTCTTGATAAAATCTGTAGTGGAGACTTACCTTTGGACATCGTTGATTACGTTGATCTTCGAACTAGTCGCTCATCATTGGAAATAGCCTGTGAAAGAGATGATCTGGATCTCGTTCGAAAACTTGTTGAACGCGGTCATGCAAGAGCATTGGCTTCTCGAGCTTTCTTCATTGCATTTGAACGAGGAAACGAAACGATAATGAACTGTTTGGCCGCTCGATGTAATGTTCAACAGAAAGATCATCTTGGACGAACAACTCTTGATTACGCCGTTCGAGCAGGATATATGGAAGTTATCAAGACTCTTATTTGCCATGGTGAAATCGGAAGAAACAGAGTTGGATTCTCTCCATTGATGCTAATGGCTCATTGTAACTTGACTTCATTCGTAGATTTACTTTTCGAACGATTACCATATCAAGAAGCTGTGGATGAATTGGTGTTACTTGCTTGCCATTATACTATTGCAGGCGATGTGCCAAATTACCAAAAAGCATTTGATTACTTTACCAGAGGTTTAAACGAAGAAGAATCAGCACAAGTCATCACTCTTAACGAAGCTTACGAGTGTCGCCGAGAATGTCAGACATTGGAGCAGTTGCTAGCGATACGACATGATGAGAATGCACTGCGTATGCACGCCTTACTTGCGAGTGAGCGAATTTTACTGCGACTGGGTGACATTGATCTTTTGTTGAAATTTATCAATCGCCAATGCAATGTCTATCGACGTAGCGAGTCATTTCATCGTTCCCTTCAATTACGTATACATGCTCATCAGATAGCTCTGTATACTCAAATCGATCGTGACATTTTCTTAGAATGGCATAGAAACCATTTTGATGAGCTTCTGATAGATCTGAGCGAAGCATGGAGTGAAACGGATACAGTACCGATTGGTTCGATTGAAATGGTTGCGACCTTGCTACTCGATAACGACGAATGCTATAATTTGCGGCACACTTTTAATCTCCTGGCAACAGTCGTTAATGTAAGTTGTTTGCTCATCTGAAGGCTAAGCAATGGGAAATAATTTCTTTCTCATTTTTACAGATGATTGAAACAGTAAAAACAAACAGTCATGAGCGTCGTTCACTTCTTGCTGTCGCACAACGAGTGGTACATCATAATACAATGGGACGCAGTGTTCTAAACTGCTATATTCAACGTTATGCAATGGACACTTCCGTTCATGAACTGCCACTCTATAAGTAAGTTGCACTCTGAAATTTTCAAAATGATGGTATCAGAGACTTTTGTCTTGTTTGTAGTGTCTCAACATTGTCAGTTATTCAGTTGATGATTCGATGTGGTGCAAATGTCGATGGGGCCAGTAACGACAGATCCTCTGTCCGACCATTGCATGTAATTGCGACATGCTCCGATATTGATATTAGCAAGCCAGTCATTGAATTACTTCTTTCTCACGGCGCTCATATTGATTGCATTGATGGTAGAGGCAACTTACCATACGCGTTAGCTTCAGAACCGGCTATCAAAGAGCTTCTTCGCCCTACTCGTAGCCTGTCACTCAAATGTCGATGTGCTCAAATTATTGTGTCCACAAGAATCAATTATCAAAACTATCTTTCTTCAAATCTATCAAGCTTTGTCAGATTGCATGTCGCCACAGAAACAAACTAAATCCGAAGTTGTAGCATGAGAGTAAAGGTGAACAATTATTAAATTAAGATCATCTTCTACCGGGCGAGAATTACCCCTAATGATGTAAAAATGCATATAAATGCGTCGGATAGCTGTATAACAAAAGACTAAATTCATTTCAACCTAAATCTAGTAAGTAGATGATACGTAGAATTTTGTATGAATAAATAATCATACATGTTTAACTCGAACACAAAGTTCGACTATTAAACTTTCAACTTCGAGTTTTCAACTTTTAAACTTATAAATCTAAAACTCGAAGCTTCGAGTTTTCAACTATTCGAGTTTTCAACTTTTAACTAATTGGCTATTAAATATCCAATAGCTAAACGATAATTATTAAACAACTAACTGATTATCAATTATTAGCTAACTGATTACCAATGATTAGCTAACTGATTATTAATTATTAGCTAACTAATTATCATTTACTAGCTAACTGATTATCAATTATTAGCTAACTCATTATTAATCATTAGCTAACTGATTATTAATCATTAGCCAACTGAGGGTGAGGGTGGATGTCGGGTGAGGGTGTGGGTGAGGGTGTGGGTGTGGGTGTGTGTGTGGGTGTGAGCGATGGGTAGCAGTGTAAAACTCGAATAGTTGAAAACTCGAAGCTTCGAGTTTTAGATTTGTAAGTTTTAGAATTCGAAGGAAGTTTTAATACTCGAATCGAGTTAACGATTTCTACACTACTCGGATGTGACTAAACTACAGTTAAACTCACCCTCACAAATTGCGATAGACAGCTTATTCACGCTACCATTGATCACCATCTTAATTTTTTATTCTGCAAATCAAATTTTGAAGATATATATGGTTTGTATAAGACCAAAACTACATCCAGAAGAATGAAACCAATATGATAGCCGTTGTTACGCGAAAACGCCAATCACATTGTTTAATTCAATCTCAAATTGATTTATTTTTCGATGTGATCAAGCCTTACTTTTTCTTAAACAAGAAAAGTGACTGAATAATAGTATTTGTTTACAAGACAAATTTGATGGATGTTTCATATGATCCAAATCCGACAGAATTAATTGCAAATGAATTACACAATGCCATTCATGCTACTCTGCAAAAACGATCACTCATATTGGTTAATTTACCTTTCTTGTCTGCTTGCCCCTTATTCTATTGGATATACATAACCATCATAGTTTACACCACATAGATGATTGGATGGATACATTAACTGAAAATGAAGAATAAACAACATCGGTCGTTCATTAGTGTTTGACGTGACGATATTATTATGGACAAAGACGTGGCAATCACCCCAGACAGACAGAAAAAAAATAAGACGACCTGAACCAAACAAATGAATGAATCGTCGAAAAAAATCATTTACGATAAAACATAACGACGATGGGCCAATCGGACGTCTTAATTCACCTTTAATTTTATTCACTTTTCTGCCTGTCTGAGCCAATATATGTATATATGAGTATTATCAATCTGGTAGAAACAACAGAAGAAATTATATTTTAAATCATGAGTGAATTTATTACTGAGAAGAATATTAATATATTTGATTTACCACATGAAATGTTAATCGCCATATTCAACAAGTTGAATAAGATCGATGTATTCTATTCAATTATAAATGTCAACCAATATATGGATCAAGTAATACTCGATCCTCTGTTCATTCGTGATTTGAATTTCACCAGAGAATTAATGCCGAACAACACCTGCTCAATAGAAAATCATATTCTTGATAAAATTTGTGAGAGAATTTTACCCAAAATTAATGATAAAGTGAACAAACTTACTCTTGAACCAATTTCAATAGAACGTATACTTTCTAATCTTGAATATCCAAAACTTGATTGTTTATCACTTGTTAACTTTCAACAAGAAATATTATTAAAATATTTTACAGGTAGATATTTTCAAATTTTGATAAATTATTTATTAATTATAAATGAATATTTTAGATGAAACATACACAAATATTCGTCATTTATTTCTAAATCAAATTAAAAATCTTCAAATAGGAACTTGTGATGAAATATCTTCGGAATTAAATTTATTTTCCACAATAATATCTTCATGTAAATATCTCAATGAATTGGATCTCTATCAAATTTTCAACGATCGAGGTTTAGCAACTTCAATTTCCAATCATTCATTAACAAGTTGTTCATCGTCGAGTTTAATTAAATTAGAAATATATGTTAATACTTTTGAAGATTGTCTTTATCTTCTTGATGGACGTCTTCCATGTTTATCAACATTAATTATTCATGTACTGAGAATTGTCCCTTTTTCGTCACATATTGACAATACAGTAAATAATGTTTGTGCTTATTTCTCATATAATACGTTCTTTTTCTTTTATAGAAAAAACTTCCTAAACTTAAATGTTTCTCATTAGCATCTTATCGTGATACAAAAATGTATGATAATCAAATTATTCCATTGCTTCAGCGAATGTCGAATCTAGAAGAATAAATATTATTTCTTTCGGTCATTAGAAATGAATCCACTTATATCGATGGAAATGATTTATATGATAATATTTGTAATTATATGCCTCGTTTAAATCAATTTACATTTAGTATAACTACATTTATTGATGATCTCAATAGAAATATTTATCTTCCATCGAATAATGAAGTTCAAGCTAGTTTTATTGGAAGATATAAACAAAAAGTTGGCTCTTATGTTAATACATGTCCATCAAAGATGCAAAGTGAATGCCGTGTTTATTCACTTCCATATCAATTCAAAGAATATATTGATCTATCTAATGCTTATTCAAGTAATAGATTCGATAAAGTTCAACATTTAATAATGTGTGATAAAAAACCGTTTGGATACGAATTATTCAAACTTGTTGCACGAGACTTTCCTTTTCTACGTGAATTAAGTGTATGTAATACAAAAGCACAAGAAAAGAAAAAACAATCATATACTTTGATTACATTTCATTATTTAACAGCACTTCGTCTTAGTGCAGCACATGTTGATTATGTTGAGCAATTTCTTTTGACGGAAAAAACTTGTTTACCTCGTTTATCAACTCTTACAGTTGAGTATGAATCATTAGCAAATGTAACAAAGAATTTTACCAATGATGCATCTCGTCAAAATTGTGCTCAGTTAAAACGACTTTTGATAGAAGAACCATTTGTATGTCCAAAACATTTTCATGAATATTTTCCTTTATTGTAATATAATACATATTTTTGTTTCTATTAACAATTTGTATATCTCAATTCTAGGAAATAAAATCAACACCAAAAATTAATTTCGTTCACATTTATAAATCATTCTATAATAGTGGTGAAATTCTTTTTATCAAAGTTTAAGTGAGAATGGACCTGAGGATCAATGTTAATGGATATGTAGATGCAGTTGGATCAATTCTCTATTTAGATTGTACTTTGCATGTTATAAGACTCAGTTGATTAAGATATAATCATTATGATGACAAAGAGCGCTCTTACTAGAATGCAATTGTCGGTAAATCTACCGGACCTTCAAACAATGATTGATGGTGCTACATGATGAATTTCTAATGAGAAACCTGAATCGTATCTCTTGTTTTTCCATCCTGCCCATAAGGTTTTAATTACGAGTATTATTTTCTTCTCTGTCATCATCAAATCTCAACGTCACATGAGACTACGTCCGATTTGGCTGCAGAGAGAGTTTTTCTTCGTGTCTTGCCAATGCGGGAAAGAAGATACCTAAACAATATTAAAAATTATCACTTCAGAGGATTTGCATTCTGAAAACATCATAGCTTCCTCTCGAGAAAGCAGATCATCTACGTCACGAAAAAGCAAAAAAAATAACGCGTTTCAATGGAATTCTTTTTAATGAGAAAAGGCGAGAGAGAAGAATTCAGTAAAAATAACTTCACATTCCCGCCGCTAAAACAACAAAAACATTAACACGTTCAGCAAATTCTCAACCTTTCAACTTTTACTCTATCCAGTATTAACTTTTAGATATTCCAACCAACACCGAATGGTCGCGTTAAAACCGTTGTTGCTAGGCATAGCCACCTTTTTTGGATTTGCCGCAGTGGTAGTGGTCCTAGGCCTCATTCCTGTATATACAAAAAGTAATGCTACCTCTACTACAGCCGCAACTACAACAAGTACAACCACTTCCGTGACCACTGTCACAACAACAACTACCTCAATTACTACCACAACGTCGACTAATGCAACGTCCTCACTAGTGAACACGACAGCTGCCACCACCGCCACTGTAACGAACACAACATTCTTCACAAACAACACAACGTCAGTCACAACAATCTTTAGCGCGAATACAACAGTAACATATACCAACAGTACATCAACAATAATGAATACAACCGCAACATCGAACAATATAACATCATCCATCTCGAATACCACGGCCTCCACCACAGTTCTCGTAACCAACACAACTCTCTCTCCCGCCAATACAACAGCTGCGTGGATCAACGCAACATCATCCATCTCAAATACTACCGTTGCGACTACAGTTCTCCCAGCCAACACAACGTACGCTACATTGAATACTACAACCACATGGAACAACACAACATCATCCCTGTCGAATACTACAGCTGCAAGTACAGTTCTCCCAGGCAAAATATCATCTGCTATATTGAATGCCACAACGATATGGAACAGCGTAACATCATCCACATCGAATACCACGGTCGCAACCACAATCCTAGCAACGATCACCACTGTCTCCACAGTCAATATGACATCGGCATGGAACAACGTAACATCATCCATGTCAAATAGTACAGCACCAACTACAATGCTGCCGGGGAACGCAACGTCTGCTTCAATGAATTCCTCAGCCGCATGGAGCGCAGGAACATCATCAATGTCCAATACTACAGCACCAACTACAATGCTGCCGGGAAACACAACGTCTGCTTCAACGAATCCGGCAGCCGGATGGAGCGCAGGAACATCATCAATATCGAATACTACAGCACCAACTACAATGCTGCCGGGAAACACAACGTCTGCTTCAACGAATCCGGCAGCCGGATGGAGCGCAGGAACATCATCAATGTCGAATACTACGGCACCAGCTACAATTCTACCTGGTAGCACAACGTCTGCTCCAACGAATTCCTCAGCTGCATGGAGCGCAGGAACATCATCAATGTCGAATACTACGGCACCAGCTACAATTCTACCTGGTAGCACAACGTCTGCTCCAACGAATTCCTCAGCCGCATGGAGAGCAGGAACATCATCCACCTCCAATACGACAGCACCAACCACAATTATACTTAACTGCACAGGGTCCGCTCCAATGAATTCCTCAGCCGGATGGAGCGCGGGAACATCATCAGTGTCCAATACTACAGCAGCAACTACAATGCTCGCAACGAATGCAGCGATTGCTGGGATGAATATAACGGCAGCCGGAACGATAGTAGCGGTGAACTCAACATCATCGGCAACTACAGGTGTGGCAATTAACACAGCTTTTTCTGCAGTGAATACGACTGCAGGAACAACGGTCGGTGCAGGAAATACATCGGCTTCTGTGATGAATGGTATAGCAACCTCAACAGTAGTAGCCCTCAACTCAACGTCGGCTGCAATGGGTACAGCACCAGTGGCAACAATAGTAAGTGCTACAGCAAGTGCAGGAGGAGGTACGGGTAGTACTATGGGAGCATTGAGGAGTAATACAGTGTCACCGACTGTAGTTGAAACGATGAATGCAATGTCATCAGTGATAAATACGGTGGCGGTAACTACTGGCACAATAATCAATAGCATGGTTGGAGCTACGTTAGCAGGTACTAGTGCAGTAACTTCATCGATGGAAGCACTGACAAATATGACAGTAGCAAGTACTGTAGGAATGATGCAAACATCTGTTCCCAGCGTAACACCTAGTGGTGCCTCAATGGGGAGTGCAACATCAGGACCTACAGTAATGGCAATGAATGTATCCGCACCCTCAACGGTATCCCCTGGCGTGGCAATGGGAGGATCAACGAATACAGGTCTATATACTATAGCTGCAAGTACAGTAGGGCAGTCTGTGAGCGTGACTGCTGCGAATAGTGCAACAGATACAGCGACTAGTACAATGCATACGCATTCTACTGATGCAACCTCAATGATAATTATGTCAAGTACGCCATATTCAATGTTGAGTTCCCCAGGTAGAAAAAATTGTTCGAAGAGAGCTATAAATGTGTTGAAGTCTGTTTAGATTACGGTATAAAAACTACTGTTTTACCAACTCTAACGGGATCAACATCGGAAATGACATTAAACCCAGTCACCGTGGTTTCTAGTCTTGGTGTACTAACAACAACAGGTACGTAAAAAGTGTAGTTCTTATGTGTAAGCCTTTATTTCGGTCATATGTAAAAATAACTACAGTGTACGACAAAAGTTTAAGCGATTTCGGTTTTTTCGCATTCTTTTACATTTCCATTTTTTCATTTTTTTCCTATAGTAAGGGATATTAATTTGATTCAGACGTTGTTCTAGGTGGTACGTTACTACCTAGAACAACGTCTCAATCAAATTAATATCCCTTACTATTGAAAGCTTTTATTAAAGTTCCAAATTCACATGTCAATTCACAAAATAATAGTAAAGAATTTCTCACATTGTGTACATCGCCTCTACATAACAAAGCTGATTATATAATTCAATGGATTGAATTTCATCGATTAGTTGGATTTCGTAAATTTATCATTTCGGCTTGGCCAAATGAAGCGTCCGTGCGTCACAATCCGTTACCTAACAAAATACTTTCACATCACTCTGCAATTTCCAGAGCTTCGAGCTAACAGCACGAGCTATTCCAGAAGGTAGTTTGCAGAATGATGTCTTAAATCCGAATCGGTAAAACGTCGTGACTCACAGACAAAATGGCTATAATTACCTGGCCAGGCCAATTTTAGAAGTTTAAAAGTTCAATACTCGACTGGTCTTTTCGACTTATACATGTACGGCACGATGGAAACTGAAAGCTAGAAGATTTGGGACGATTTTTGGCATTTTAGAGAAGGAGGGAGAGGTCTGATGGAAAACCATTCTATTACAAAATTGTAGAGCGCGTCGAGTTCGACTTAGAAAGTTCACACGATCGAAGCAGAACCAGAAATACTCGAATCGGAGGCTATGATATCCTACGTCTTTATTGTCCAGTATGTACCTATGGTACATTAAAGGTATGGACAGTGAGATTTTAATACCGTATAATAGGTTTAAAGTAACTTTCTTTTAGATAGTCTCATAGAAAAAAGAAAGCTCTATTTTTCTATGCTAGTTGCTCAAACTTCAACTACTACATATACTGAACGATAAAAATACGATCTGATATAACCAGCCGAAATAGATTTTATAAATAGTTTAATATTATTCTCTTAAGTGAAGTTCCATCGAATAGTGTAGAGAGATAGAGCTTCTTTTTCTCTTTAAGAATATATAAAATAAAAGTTCTTTAAGGCTTATCATAAGAGATTAAAGTATCACTCTACGAACTTTTGGTATGCCGTAAGTATACGTAAGTGTCAACGAAGAAATTTTGAATATATTGCTATCTGCCTCTTCTATAGTTTTTCGACACGCAAAGCTTTTAGTACAGTTATGGCTCAATTACCACTGGATATCTTCCACTAGTCATTCAAACATTTGTCACTTTCAACTAGTTACATTCGAGCGAACCTTATTTTTTGAAGGTCGGTGAAAAGGATTTGCTGCATTTTTATTGTGCCTCACACTTTTCGTTAGAGAAGGACAGCGCGAAAAGCTTTTTTCCGGATAATTTTTCATTCTACCAACACGGTATACTCCTCACGTGCACATGTAAGAAGTTTCATAAAAAATATTATTGTGAACTACTTTGGTTTGCACGCGACGGGCTTGTTATAAATGCTGTCGAACATGACACTCTGATCATTATGTTGGTAACCAACTGTAAAAAGTGAAATGAGTAGTGATGAAGAGCGTGAATTACTAATCAGTAATAAGACAAAGTGTTATGATGCCTCTGAGCATCATCCACGTCAAGCATCTCGTCTTGAATGGGCAGAATCGTCATGGACTCGATGGTTCCACTTGCTATTATGGTGGTGGGTAAGTCCAGTTCTTTCTTTCGGATATAAGCGAGCATTAACAGATGATGATTTTGATAATTTACCTCATGATGATGAATGCTCTGTGTTGTTAAATAAAATGCTTATGTACGATTGGATGAAAACTACAACACTACCTGTAATTGCTCAAGCTTTTTGGAAACAGTTTGTATACGTCGGTCTTCTACTTATTCCGTTGATGATAGCTCGTATTGCGCAGCCGATACTTCTCCATCACATTGTTTCTTTTATTGATAATGATCAACAGAATTCGTCGATAACATCGCCCATCGCTGGCTATTTTTACGCCATTACACTGTTTCTTTGTGCACTTTCCCAGATACTGCTTTACCAACAATATTTTTTCCGATCGGCGCGAATCGGATTAAGGATACGCAATGCACTAATATCACTCATCCATACACGTTTATTATCCATCAATATTACATCATTAAACGAAACTACAGCAGCTCCGATAATCAATTTAGTAGCAAATGATGCAACAAAATTTGAGGACTTTAGTATGTACTTCTCTTACTTATGGGATACACCGCTCCAGGCTATTATTGTATATGGCATCCTTTGCTGGCTTATTGGACCTCTTCTTGCATTGTTTGGTTACTTAGTATTGGCCGTATTCATAATCTTACAAGGAATATTTAGTCGACAATTTAGTCGATTTCGTGAGACTACAATAGTATGGGCTGACAAGCGGATACAGGCGTTTGAAGAGATCATTAATGGATATCATATTGTCAAAATGTATAATTGGGAGGAGCCGATAAAGAGACGTGTGTTGGAAATACGTCAGCATGAGTTTACCAGTATTCAATATGCATCTTATCTGCGCGCGTTCAATGTCGCTCTGTTCTTTGCGATAATGCCGATTATGGCATTAGTCACATGTGGTGGAGCTTTTCTTATCAAGAAACCGTTACATAGAAACATTCATCAAGTACGTAGTTTGCAGTGCCTTTGAGAACAAAGGGGTTGCATGTCACATACGATCACATTATATTAGATCTTCTATGGATATTCGACCTTTTACATGACCATAGTTGCTCTCATGCTCGTCTCTTCGACTCTACTAGTGATGACACCGTTGATAGTGTGCTGATATCATCACTTTCTCCTTCTCGTTTTTACCTTTCTACTCTCTTTCTTTCTCTCTCTCTCGCTTGAGTAATCCTGCGTTGTGTATGACATAAACAAGATTGAATATGTGAAATAGTTCAATCATCATTGCTATCGAAGGTGCTGATACGTTACTCTTCGTGTTTGCCACAGTTTGGTTGTTATATTGTGTCCCTGGTAAACGAATTCGTGTATGTCTCTGTTCAGCATGAATGTTTTCGATAACCAGCAACAACAATTTTGTAAACGCATATAACTTTAACAGAAGGGAGGCGCGCAGTCAACTATTATAATATGTGCTAAAAAGCAATTAATGGTATCACTTCAGTACCATATTTAGTCTATTCAATAGCATGAACGGCGACAGCATATATGAGCAAATGGCAAATGTTTTAATAAGACAAGCTTATAATTTAAAAAGCGAGAGGTCAAAGTTTCGAAATAGCCCATGTAAAACATATCACATAAAAATCAACTAATTTGTGATTATAATCGATTTACGGTAGGGAAAACCGATTAAAATGCCGAGCATTCGATTTTTCCGATATAATTTTCTAATTTTAATATATATGTTGCTATAAATCATTGAAAATCGATGCTGTTTCATCGCTTATCACCAATTGCATTCCTCAGAGTCTGATAAAATCAATTAATAACTTATTTCATTCACCAGAATCAGTTCTATTCCTAATCAGTTATCATCGAATGTACAAGAAATCAGTAGTATAGCTCATTAACTGTTAGAACTATATACATTAGCAATGTTTGCGCTTTGAAAGATAACCCTTAGACAACAGTTTAGATTGCGTAGCAACTGGCATTTTCTGACTTTTGCTATAGTTCTTTTTTATATTCTTATGTGAAAAACATTGAAGTGAGCAATAAGTATACTTTATTGTATGCATAGTATTGCTTGATATTTGAGATCTGTATTAGCATTGGCATGAACCCCGAAAGTTTCCAGTTTCAATAAACAGTGATCAATCATTTACTAGTAAGAGTTTCTCTTTGCCTAAGGACATATTTGATGCCAAAAAAACAGGAAACAATAATTTTATGAAATCACTATTTCTTTAAGTTTTAGGTTCACCCATAAACAAGAATGAACGGTAAATAATTAGAAATAAATTTTCATCTTCATTCACAAACAATGTGGATGTTAAAACAATCGGTAAGAAATAGCTCAATGAAATAGCTGTCCTTTTGTTACAGATCGATTCACCTGTTCGAATCAATGGGGGATCACAATTTATTTCACAAATTGTTCATAAATCATCACCAACAATGAATCGAGAAGTATATTGGAATCAAAATATACTGTATACCAACCGTCGACAAAGTTCTTACTCTTTCTTCTCCCACAACGCCCATGACTAATTAAAAGAATGATTATACGATTGTGATAGAGATTACAATGGAAGAAGGAGCTGTATTGAATGCACATGATTGCAGTAGATTTAAATTGATTTAAAATTGGCCTTTAGTTTATTAAAAACCAATTTGAATCATACACGCTCAATCGATTCTCAATCGATAATACAGAGATTAAAAACCGAAGATAATCAACTTTTTTTATTATAACCAATCACCCACGATTATAATCGATTCGAAATGAAAAAAAAATTGATTAAAGGTGTATAATTTAAATCGATTCTTAATCGACTATTAAATCAATTATAATTTGGTTTTTGTCTCATTTTTTTACATGGGAAGTGATCAGGTTGCATACAGAGAAAGAGTTGATCGCATCATCTTCAAATTCTTTTAATTTTACAGAACTTAATTGGACAGTGATGAACGATTTTCACGCAGAACGAATGAACTTCTTGTACTTCAAAAGTCCACTCTCTTTCTTTTAATTATTGTACATTAACAACCAGTATCAGTCATTAAAACGTTGAACTCTGGCGTCAACTGGCACTCGATAAGGTAAACAGACAAGAGGTTCTACATCTTATAGTTATTATTTGTAAATAGTTCAGCTAGTCATAGTATATTGCTGCTATTCGTGCGTCTAATCAAACAGAGATTAGAATATCGCTAAAGGTATCGGAAAGCAGTCGATTATTTCTTTCTATACAAAAGCAAAATGGCGTCAAATATTCTTCCCGTGTTAATACGAATTGCTATCTCATGCGCACTGTGACAACATTTGTGTATTCATCAATTAATCTTTCGAACACAGATAGATGACTCATGTATATATTATCATCTTCTCCTTTCTGTTCATTATATCTATGCATCTCGTCTCATAGCGAGTTCATCTTCATCAGTTCATCTAATGATTCTTTTCTCTTCTTCGTGTTTCTCTCTGTCCATCTCTTTCTCTCCCTGTTCTCTCTTGACCGATGCGCTCAAAAGAAAAGAGAACAGAGGGAACGAATATAAAAGGAAATGTTTGGTTGAAATAAAGTCAGTCGAATCACCTTGAATAAAGTTTGTCGTTACACGCACTAAAAATCTAGAAGTAAATTATTATATGTGCTGTTTTCATTTATTGTATGCTGTATTATTTTTGTAATATAAAGTATTGTTTTAAGGCATTTGAAACTAGCGAAAGTAATTTAGGCTTTCAGTCTTCTTGGTCACTCTTGTTTTTATAAGTAGCATTGCAGTCGGTGCATTGAAAAGAGAATAGATGGACGTTCATTGTGGTCTATTAGTGTGTTACGTTCTTTTTTTTGTCCTAAAATTTATTATTTGCAGGATTTCACCATAAGGACGAATGTAAAATGTATCTTAACGGTGAATACATGTTCCAGCAATCCAGATTCAGAGAAATCACAGCAATAAAATCATATGCTTAATATTATCGAATAGTCCTGCAAATCGCGTTTATGCTGAACGGTAGTCTCGAATGTATTATCTATATACTACTACTTAATACCATGTTTCATAGTGAAGACTCTTGTGTATTGCTTTCATAACCTCGAATTCATACCACGCTTTCTGACATACTATTCGGAAGGAAGCATAACGAAACAAAAGCGTTTCTCGTATGTGTGTGATTGCGTGCCTAAGTCTCCTTTATGAGTCTTCCGTTTGCGAAAGCTCTCACTATACGCTAGATCGAATTCGTTCATTCTACGTATTTTCCAGTTATGATATGTTCTGAATGAAATTTACAAAATACTATCATTCTTGGATGTATTATTTAATGCGATTCGTCTATTTAAAGCACCTATGGCAGGCTTGGCTGACACTACTTCGTCTTTCTTTCGCTTATGTCCTTTTTGTTACTTATCTCCTCTCAATTTCGTTTCTTCTTCTCTTCTCTACTCCTTTTCATAGGACGATGTTCTCTTGTCTACGGTCGGGGATCTCCTTTATTTAATAGATCCTTCTACATTGATTTATATTATGATGTTTTCTGCCTACAAACAGGGATTCTCTTTGACTGAAAGGTGCTTCTGTATCTTTTTACAGTGTATTATTCTCTCACATTTGATCGTGAATTTTTTGGGCAGACGTATCAAAATATCGTCTTTTTGTTATTAGAGTTCAGTTCCTCCGTGCATAATGCTTTCTATTACCTGTTATGATACTAAAGGTAATGGGCAAATGGGTTGATATACAAACTAACTCAGAAGTAGGGAAGAGTACATTCTTCTAATTCTACTTCTACGGACTTAATCACAGCTATCAAGCTACTTCCCCTTATTATTATATCGTCCTGTGGTTAATTTTGTCTTAATGTATTATTCTGTTTACTGTTGAAATAAAAATGTGTTCCATCAGTAACGTATATTACATGCCATCATAATCTTTCTCAACATTGTCATCCAATTTTCATGAAAATATGGTTCAATACCGTCAGATCAAGTTTGTTGCATGTACAGGGTTTTTTATATCACGTGTTCTTCGTAAAATTATGCGATCATTTTCGTTTCATAAATATGGGTTCTTTGAACTCAGTTTAGTACTGACAGATGCTCTAAGCTAAAAGATACAAATCTATATTTTTACTCTTTGTAGCTAATATTTCTCGTGGTAGTCAAACTGTTATAAATGGTTTTTAGGCTTAAAAGACAAATACTAAGATGAATTGATAGATTAACAAAGTTCTTCTTAGATACTGATTCCAGTAACTTTGATAATTGAATCCTACTGACTAAACCAAGTACTTCGAAGGGTAAGTAAAAGAAAAAATGATGTAATAAGAAGAGCATTTATTATGAATACACCACAATAAAATGTTGCTCAGATAGAAGATTACGCCAAAGTGAATGCATAATGCATAAAAAAAATTATACTACAGATAAGGATACAAGGGAATACATGGTACAAATTCTAGGTTCTGGGAATAGTGTATATCACTGTAACCGTATATGTATCGCAGCAAGAAGAATACCAGCAAATGATAATACAACTTCTAGTTGTTCGTGTGCATCTCTAACATGTCGCACATATCTGCACAAAAATTTCTCCTGTTATCACAATCACTTTCATATATTCGTGTCTTTATATGGTTTCATGTAAGGTGCACGCACAGCAAAATTAAAGTAATTTTTCGATTTTCACACACCATTCGATAGAAAATTTCACGGCGGTCGAAAATATGTGTGTGTCTTGCTTTTTTAAAACCTCTTTTCTGGTAAAAAAATTGAAAACAATTGGTGCATATTAGAAAGAGATAGTTTGCTAACTTTTTGTAGCTTCTTCTTTTTTTAAAAATATCTTACGATATATCATCTTCTAACTTAGTTTTCCTGATAGATCATGCAAAGCTGAATTAGAAACTGGTCTCAAACAATTTCCAGGCTCAAGCATTGGTTCATAAAATGGCTTCCCAAAACCGATACTCAAAAACTAGGACATAATTTTGCAAGTCTGTCAGACTTTTGTTTAGATGAGTTAGACGTGATATTGTTACTCGATTAGATGCGCGAGATTCGTTACTTTAAATCTATGGAGAGCTTTCCCGAGAATTCCTTTCTGTTGCCGAGAAAAATCGATTTTTCTAGGGACATCTCAAAATCGGCTAGGTAATTTTTTTTGCCATTTTTTCCTGTTATCGCCTAAGGTAATTAAAACATACCCTAATAGGTTAAAACTGATGCTTAATTTAACGGACATACTTCTGAGATCTTTTGAAGGGTTTCTGGGAGGTTTTGAAAGGATTTCTGGGAGGTATTTCTGCTACGATGGGGTAGTTTACTGAGTTTCGTATTTTACTGATGGAACTACAGTAAAAAGAAAATATTTTGCGTCCATAAAAGCATCTACGGATGCCTTTATTCGCACATAGTAACAAAGAAAATGATATATGAAAAAAATAGGAGAGAACTATCATTTTAAAATCATAAACTAGAGATTTAAGTTATTGTTAATAACACGTGTATGACTTTTAACGGTTCCTTCACATTTAGTACCTGGTTTAGCTAGATCTAAATTTGATCCAAAGGAACTTCACGATAAAAGTGATTTCTGGGAAAAAATGCAGGTTTTCCATCGCAAACTGAGCTATATGGTCTTCCAAAAATCCTTCAAAAGATCTCAGAAGTATGTCCGTTAAATTAAGCATCAGTTTTAACCTATTAGGGTATGTTTTAATTACATTAGGCGATAACAGGAAAAAATGGCAAAAAAAATTACCTAGCCGATTTTGAGATGTCCCTAGAAAAATCGATTTTTCTCGGCAACAGAAAGGAATTCTCGGGAAAGCTCTCCATAGATNGCTAACAGCACGAGTTATTCCAGAAGGTAGTTTGCAGAATGATGTCTTAAATCCGAATCGGTAAAACGTCGTGACTCACAGACAAAATGGCTATAATTACCTGGCCAGGCCGATTTATAATACAACTGACACAAATAATCGTCTTTTATCTATTCTCAATACTTATTCTCAAAAATATCCCGATGTCGTCGATATTGTTCAATGGAATTTCTCGCATCTTGGTCTTACTGATGTTTTCTCAACACGATATTTCCAAGTCGAAGCTCTACATGATTGTCTCATACGCTATGGTGATCAGTCAGATTGGTTAGGAATGATAGATCTTGATGAATATATTATACCTCTTCCTCCGTATGAAACTATTCCTGATTATATACATGAGAATTACGGTCGACGTATTATTGGATCGATCAATCTTTGGAGTCAATTCTTTTGTACGAAAGATACAAATAGTTATTCGCTGACAGAGAATGATACAAATCGTTTGACTATCGAACGATTTACATATCGAGCAACAAATTTACATAGAAGCGGACGTGAAAAGTATTTGTATCGACCGCGATTTCTTCAATATTTGTCGATTCATCATCAAGTAATTGGACTTTCTAAAGAACAACCTTCAAATAATCACATTCGATTAGCTCATTACGTATCAATGAATGGACTACGTGTAATGCCTGGTTGTGAGAAAAATAAAGTTGTAGAAGATAAAAGTATTCGTGATCGATTTGCGAATCGAACAAAAACTGCGATAACAATTTTAATGAAACATAATTAAAAATAAAAACATTAAATAAGATTAGTGATTATTTTCTTTTCTATTATATTGATTATATTTTGTGCTTTTGATTATTTTAGATAATTGAAATATTATTGAAATGAAAAATCGATCAATGATCATTTTATTTCTTATTATTGTTTTGTCTTTTTCTGTCTTATACATGCGATCAATAATAAATTCTTCTCTCAAACAATGTACCATTATTTTACGAGAACGTAGTGGTCGACTTGGAAATCGTTTGTTTATGTTTGCTTCTGCATATGGTTTATCACTTAATCAATCATATCAATTATATATCGATTCAGATATTATCAAAGAACTGAATAAATCATTTAATATTAATCTATCGAATCTTATATCAAAATCGAAATTCAGTGATTTGAAGTTTGTCAAGAAAATTTATAATCATTGTACTTATTTCTCTCAGATTTTCTCTTCAAATTCTTCTTCAATTCAATTATCAGGATTTTGGCAAGTTTATAAACATTTCTATGGGCATAGAGAACAAATTAAACAACAATTAACTTTTAAATCGTCAATTTTCCATCGTATTAATCATTTTCTTAATAAAACTGTCAATCGAACTAATTCGATTATTATAGGTATACATATTCGTCGAGGTGATTTTCTCTTAGTTCGACGAGTATCATCCGATAAATATATCTTTACTGCAATGTCATATTTTCAGTTAAAATATGTTTTAGTTAAATTTATAATTGTATCTGATGATAAATCGTATTGTCAACAAAGATTTGCTCATCAAAACAATGTTTTTATTACACCAAATTCATTTAGTGCAACGGATGATTTAGCTTTATTGACTAGATGTGATCATCTTATTATTACTGCTGGAACATTTGGATGGTGGAGTGCATTTCTCTTACATAATCAATTCGGTGAAGTTATAAGTGATTCTAAAGTAGATGGTACACCAATTGATGCAAATTGTCGACGAGAAGATTATTTTCCACCTTGGTTTTCATTTTTAAATAATACAAATTAAATCTTTTTCAATAAAATAATTAGAAAAGAACATTTCTTATTTGTTTAAATAATCGATTTTCTCATTTTATTTAGAATATGGTTGGTAATATTACTCATCATCGACATGTTAATCGCTATTTCGCCGTCCTACTGATCATTATTATCGTCGTTTGCATACATAAATTTCATTCAGCAGAGGAAGCAAAGAATGAAAAATCAATCACGATTGTTACTGCATATTTTCCTCTTGAAAAAGCTACATTCTCAATCAGAATATCTTCAATGGTTAGAAAACCTCTTCTCATTCTGTCAATCACCGATGGTTATATTTACTAGTGTGAAATTTTATCCAATACTTAATCGATTAAGAAAAAATGGAACATTACCATCTTATTTTATCTTGGATTATGAGACTCCGTTAGAAATGCCTCCTATTAGATCGCTTATATCTACTTTTGAACAACAATATCGCATTGATCCTGAACGTTCTTATCATTCGATTGATCTTTATGCTGTGTGGTGCGCTAAATCATTTATGCTTAATCATACTGTCGAACTCAATCCATTTCAAACAAAATTTTTTCTTTATATGGATGCTGGAGCATTTCGATCATCTAAATACCGTTTTCAAGTGTGGCCAGATGTGCCAACTCTCAGTAAGATATTAGATAACAATCGATTTCTTCTTGGATTGATCGCTCCACTTTCTCATCAATTTTGTCCTCTTGATTATAAAACGACCAATGGTCCGGTCAAAAAAGATCTAATTGAAGCTGGCTTTATGGCTGGTTCGATTGATGCGATTCGTTGGTGGACTTCGGTTTTTTATGAAACAATTCATAATTATCGTAAAGAAAACTTTTTCATTGTCAAAGATCAATATATAATTAATGTTATTGCATTAGTTCACTCAAATCATATCAATGTACTTCTACCATTTCGAAGTTCATGTGGAGATATCTGGTTTGCTTTCGGACCACTTTTTGCTAACAAATATGAAAAAGAAAGTTTGTCATATTCGAATCATTGTCGAATAGAGAATGTATCAGAACTCATAATCCCTTTTGAAACTGTTTGTAAAGATGAAAGAAATCTTATTTAATTTTGAATTTTGTAGATAATTATTCATATTCAATCGATGGGAATACAACTCAAACATTGTTTACTTTTTGCAGTAGCTGTCTTATTGACTTCGACTGGAATTCATTTGCTTCGTCCATTATCAGTGGTGATTGAATATAAAATAAAGAAATGTGATTACAATATCACTCCTGTTCTTCGTCCAATGTGTCAACGTGAGGAAAGAATAATTTGTGATAAACTCGATCAAGTAACAATTTATTCACCATGTTTTCCATCAACTTTACTCGATTCCGAAGTCGCCTGTCATGATAGTTATTCTTGTGATGAACAAACAACGAGAATTGCAACAAAAAATGTCCCGATAGACGACGTATCTCGAAAAGCATTTTTTAGTGCTTTGTATACCGACAATAATTTCTTGGAAGGAGCAATGCTATTGGATCATACTCTCAAGAAATATCATCCTCGTTATCAGATGTATATAATGCATTTTGAAAATGCGTTAAGTAATCGAACATTATGTTCTTTACGACAAATTGGTTGGATACCAAGAGTGGTAAAGAAGATTCCACCGCCTTTGAAAGGAACTTGGTCGCATTTTATTGATCAGTTTACAAAATTAACATTATGGAATATGACAGAATTCGATTCGATTATTTATTTGGATACCGATACTCTTGTATTAAATGATATTTCACATTTACATGAACTTGTAAGTGATCCATCTCGTACAAGATTTGAATTTGCAGCTGTCGCGGATAATTGGCATGGGAAATTTGCTTACCATTTCAATGCTGGAGTACTTGTTTTACATCCATCTACAAGTGTATTTAATGAATTAATTCGAACAATGAGTTTACCAGGTAATTATCATCCAACAATGGCTGAAGAAGCATTTCTCAATGCTTTCTATCAACTTCGATATTTACAATTACCACTTATCTACAATGTAAACTTGGCAATGTATCCGGCTTATCGAGATCTTTGGAAAAGACTACAACGAGATTTTAAAGTTGTTCATTTCACACTAGTCAAACCATTTCTTAAACAATCAAACACGGCTTATGATGTTCCTCTAAAAATTTATCAAGACGTTCAAGATGAATATTCGAAAACAAAGATACCTCATCAACTAAAAACAATATGCAACTGATGTTCGATAAACTGATCAAAAGTGATGTGCTGTGGATTTTTATACTGGAAATAAAGTCGAAAAATACAATAGATTAGATATAAAAACAGAAGTTTTACCGTCAATTGATATACTCTTCCCAAGATTGTTTCTGTAAGGAATAGCAATTCTTTTTTTTCTCTCTTTTCGGACGTTTATCGGTACACGACAAGATGTCGACTTCCATTTCTATAGCAAAAAGATGTTCTGCACGACTAATAGTATTTTTTATGTATCTTTTAGAATTCTTTGTTTTATTTTATGAAGTTTCCTTCTAATATTCCATTTATTCATAAATTTATCATTCATGATTCGACACTGTGGTTTTAATATTTCTGGACACATGAAATTCTATTGTCGTTTTCTATTACAAAGAATCATCCTCACGCTATTAAATGAATTTTCAATCGACTGAAAAGGATCATTTTGAGATGATTTGTGAACGAGCTCAGACTAAACAAGTGATCTCATTGATTCTTTCGGACGAAAATGATACACTTGTTCAATCCAAACGGTTCTTATTTTATTTTCACATCGAACAATTTACTTTTTTACCAAATATAACATTAATGCAAATTGACTTTTCTCTGTTCATTAACATCTTACGATCGATTTTCAGATCCAACATTCACTAGACAATCAGTTTTCGATCACATCTTATCTCCTCCTCGGCACATCTATTTCTTTAGTGAAAAAATATCTTTCATCGATTCAATCTGCAAATCTTCGATCAAATACGCTCATTTTCCATTTTTCTGAATGTGTTTTTCTTAACTGTAAAATTTCTTTCATTGTCTCGTCAATTAATTCGACTTCACATTAAAATTCGGACGCGGTACACTTTGTCGACTAGTATTTTTTGCCGACAGTTACGTTTTACCAACAACTTCTTCTATCAGCATAATCTTAAGAGTATCAGTCTAAATTCTACTTTATAGTCAACACCGCTACTGTTATCGTGATTCATATCCTCACCTACACTCTCACATTCATGCTCACCCTCAAAAATTAATTTCGTTCACATTTATAAATCATTTTGTGATAGCAGTGAAATTCTTTTTGTTAAGATTTAAGTCAGAGATAAGCATAGGATAGAAAAGGCTGAGTGAAGGTGAACTGGGAATGAACTCGAAGATCGATGTTATCGAATATGCAGATGCATTTCATAATATTTACATCATCAACGTCGCATTCTATCCAAAAGAAAGTGACTCAATTCTTTATTTATATTGTGCTTTGAATGTTATTAGACTCAGTTGGTTAAGATATAATCATTATGATGACAAAGAGCGCTCTTACTAGAATGCAATTGTCGGTAAATCTACCGGACCTTCAAACAATGATTGATGGTGCTACATGACCATGTTCACCTAATGCACCAATTTGTCAAATGCCATCAATGTTACGACGAAAACGAATGAATTCTAGTCTATCAGATGAACTGTCATTATGATTTTCAACATTTTGTAATTCTTTCATAAATAATAAGGAGAAAAAAGAAATCTAAATTGCATACTATAGAAAAAAAGGTTTTAAAAATCCTGGTGAACTTATTCATATTACACTTCGTGTTCAATGTATTTAAGATAAGTGAAATATAAAGATGACATAATGTCTAATGAGATAGATAGACACTTAGCAAGTATAATGAGTAATTCAGAATAAAATGAAGCAAAAAGTACGTAAAGATCACTAATGTGTTAACGTCGTATGCATTGTTTTTTTGTTGCTAATTGTCCATTCAAATGAATAAATCTTGCTTCTACACATTGACATTTACCTTTAATTGTGCAACTATTACCACAAACTGGTGTTATGTTAGAATTGACACATGAGCCATAAACATAGGCATTCATGAGAACGTGATTGACAACAATCAGCATCCAGTGTACAATTTTGAATTGCACAGCAACTAGCAGAAGTTGTTGGAACTGTTGTTGATGGACTTATGGTACTGGTAGAGTTCGAAAACACTGGTATCGTTGTCGTACGACAATCTGATGATGATGGATTTGTTAAACAAAAGATAGTATTATTACCACCAATACAATATTGTGATTGTGGATTATAACAGATATCAGAGCAGAGTTGATTACCAATAGGACATATTGTACTATTTTCACTAAAACAGACCTGTGTGGTATTATCGTAACATTTTCGTTCCGATTCGCTGACATTGACTTTTTGATTGTTTAATACAGACGGAATAATAATCTAATAGGTATTGCTTCCCACATGCATATTGTACAGAACAAAGTGTACCATTTCCACATGTCAGTTGCGATGAGTTATAACAGTAAAGATCATATGGATATATGAATTTAAAATAACTGTTAGCTTTTACATTACAAACTGATTCACTATTGTTACATACTTTTGTATTGTTATAGCAATCTTGTAAGTTTGAATAACATATACCATTACAAGAATTAATACATTGGATGGTAGAACCACCGCCTGAACAACCTTGTGTGTTCGGATCGTAACAACCAACTGATCCACATGGTGACCGACCACCACGATACGTCAAAAAATTCATGCCAGCAATCAATGCAATAAGTAATAAATTAATAAGGATCATCGTGTAGTAAAGAATGAGATTTCAATATAGCAATATTCTGATAGCAAAAACTGCAAATATTTATATACAACTCCCCTATCGACTAGTTTTTATTATTCATTATTAATTTTTTATTATCTGTCATAAAACCGGAAGTAGAACATAATTATTTACTGCACTATTCATGTATTTAATTACTTACCTATTCAATAAGATCCCCCATGGTGATAAAAGATTTTGTTTCGGAGAAATCTTTTATCTGGAGTTTCAATTCTTCAGCACAAGGTTCAACAAAAAGCTTGTTTCATAGTCACGACCATACTGTCATTCAATATCATTAGTTTAGATTGATGCTTACATTTCTTTGACAGAGAATGTTGAAAAGATCATATGTCCGCATTAGATTTAAATGTAGTTTCTTATATGTATAAAACAAAATATAAACGGGTATTAGCATGCAAATTTATGATTAAAAATTATTAACAAGTAATGCTCATCCGTTGGATTCGCTGACTCTTTTCTGAAAGACTTTTCCGAATGCTGAACACATTCAGAGACTTCGAAAGAGAAAAAACGCACTGCGATTGCTACTAGTGCTCAACTGAATCATGACACTATGTCACACACTAGAATGAATAGGATGCAAAAGTCTTTTTAGGAATCAGACCGATTAGCCATTTGTCAGTGGATAATTCTCCAGCACTAACTATATTGACTGAAAAATTCTTCGCTCAACGGCTAGTCAGACGGCCACTCGCGGCCAACCATTGACCTTTGTCATCTGTTTTTCTATTTTCACATCACGCGCATGGAAATTTTCATAAATGGTTTACTAAGTCACTCATAGACGGACGATATACAGTAGACTACTTGAAAAGTTTGAACATTCGCCTGTGTCTTCCAGCGACAAACCGATTCTTTTCTCTCCTGTCAACAAAACGATACTTTGTGGAATATTTTCATCGAGGAATATCCATTCGTCAAATCCTTTCCAAAATTATCTGAAGCCTGGCAAGGTTATTCTAAGCGTACACTTTAGGATTAATCTAGCATTTAAACGCCTAGTCGTTCGTCGACCTCCCTCCGGTCGGTCACTCACGGCTAGCCGTTGCCATGCTGTCCCTCTTATTCCTTTCGCCTTCGATCGACTTTCAAACTGAACGATTGAGTTTTCTTTCATTGTCGCTTCTACAGTCATGATCTTCCATTCATTCGACTACCAAAAGAAACTAGATAAGAAAGTCTTATTATATGATTTGCTTCGAAACGAACATCTTTCATAGTGCTGCATGTGTTCAGAATACTGTTTCTACAGTCCACGCGTCTGTAATTACTAAGATGGAATTCCACTGACGGGTATATCACTTTGTGAACTACTTCTACTAAATTCCCATAAAAAGACATGATGTATGTAGCCTACAAAGCAAAGATGATACTAAGCTCATATCACTTTTTCGGATTTCTTCAATTAGAAACATCATTATGTACAATGCATTAGATATTTTCGTGTAAGTTCTTGAGCTACTATCTTTGTACGCATGATGTCTGTGAATAGCGTTCAGCTCACCGTCTTCTAAAAAAGATTTCAGAACAGATAAAGAAAAAATATCTCCTTTGTACAGAGAAAGGAACAAGCCCAGGGTCAGCGAATAAGACGAAATCCACACTCAACTTCGAATTTCCCAACGTCAGAAACCCTTCGGTCTACTTTGACAATGGATGTTAATAAGTTGTGGGTAGTTAATGAAAAATTAATAATTAATTAAGCAACACTAACGTCAGATTCGAGATCCCCGACCCCGACTACCCTTCGGTCAACCCTTACTCGGCAATGGAGAAAATTTTCATTACTTAATTAGCTAATTAGATTTTGGAAAACTGACATCAGATTTGAGATCTCCGACCTCGATTACATATGGTGAATCATTCCCGTATGACCATCGTGAAGTTTTCTTTGGGTTGTTGTAATGACAAACTGGTTGAGTAGCTGACCGCTTCTCACGGTATCGATGTTTATTGACTACTCTACATGACCAGAATGTGTCTCTTTCAAAATAAGACACGCGCTTATATAGAGAAGAGGAAAGAGAGATATGACTCGGAGATAGTATGATACAGAGGTGAGAGAAAAAAGAACAGAAAGAGATGAACGATATCATTATCGTTACAGTTGTCAAATGCTGTAATCTGATAGGCTTGGACAGAGAGACAAACTTTTAGCATTTCGAGCCGTCGATTTAATCGCTGTATAACCCTTTCTTTCAAAAAAGAGAACTTTCTTTCACATTTTCAATATTTGCATAGCAGTAATCGCATTCTCTACAAGCATGCTTTTCTCGTTCTTCGGTTGTTATGCATAAAAAAGATAACTCTGCGAATGCAGTAGAAAGAAGAAAGAACACAAAAATCTATCAACGAAGTTACTCTTTTTATTGTGAGTTAACCGACACAGCATCAAAGCAGAGTGTGTGAAGGCTATAACAACTAGGAGAACAATAATCAGAACTTTCAATACAGTAGACAAACGGTCGATCTTCGAAAGATGCAAGACGTCGTTGTGATCTGGCTCGACAATCAGATTGATCATAATAATGCTGATTGTCTGTTTACAATTTCACAACTTGAACACATTACTGACAATGTCACTACATTCGCGGATAATGATGAATGTGTCGAATATATACTCAATTGTAATGACCATCAAGTCTATCTAATCGTTTCTGGTGCACTTGGACAATATCTTGTTCGTTGTATCCACGACATTCCTCTATTACACTCGATTTTCATCTTTTGTCAAAACAAATCATATCATGAACAATGGGCTAAACATTGGAACAAGATCAAAGATGTTTCCACTGATATAATATCACTCTGCCAAGCCATTCAGAACTCGTTTCCCCAAGCTGAGCCCACTGTCACACCAATCAGTTTTGTACCATCTGGCAAAAGATTGTATCTGCTCAATCCATCTTTCATGTACACACAACTCTTCAAAGAGATCTTGTTAACGATCGAATTCGAAGACAAACACATCGAAGAGTTTGTCAGGCATCATCCTGGACTAATCACTCTCGATGGTACACATTCTAATGATTTTGAGCAATCAGTACGTGATTACCGTGCAAAGAACCCCATCTGGTGGTATACAAGAGGTAATTCCTTGCATTCCATGCTCAACGATGCACTAAGAATCATGGATGGTGATGTTCTTGTTCGAATGGGATTCTTCGTCACTGATCTTCATCGCAACATTGAACAGTTGCACAAAGAACAGTTTGTTAACACATCTTGGAGTCCTCTTGTGTTTACAGTATATCGCGGACAAGGTCTATCTCACACAGATTTTGGAGAACTAAGAAACACAATAGGCGGGTTGATGTCATTCAACAGCTTCTTCTCTACCAGTATGCAACGGGACGTCTCGTTATCCTATGCAAAAAGTAACGCAGACAATCCCAAGTTAGTAGGAATTCTCTTCACAATAGAGGTCGATCCTTCTCGGTCAACAACACCGTTTGCCTCAGTTGGGAATCATGGCCGTTTCTTACAAGAAAACGAAGTTCTATTTTCAATGCACACCGTGTTTCGCATTCATCACATCAAACTCATTGGCACTGATCGCTCACTTTATGAAGTGAATATCTCGTTGACTCTTGATTCTGATGAAGACCTACGCACACTGACCGATCATATTCGCCGCGAGAATCATCTCGATGGTAAAGGTTGGACGCGATTAGGCCAACTGCTCATTCAGTTGGGTCAACATGAAAAGGCTAAGGCGATTTATGATACTTTACTCAACCAAACATCAGATGAAAGTGATAAAGGATTGATTTATCACCAACTTGGTCGTATCCGACTCATGCAAGGCTTGTTTCAGGAAGCCATAACATTCTATGCCAAATCACTTGTGCGTCTCGAAAAATCATTTCCCGCAAACCATCATGATTTAGCCACATCCTACAACGACATCGGCTTGGTATATGACAGGATGGGAGATTATCGAAAAGCACTCGAATACTACGAAAAAGTTTTTTCCATTGAACAACAATCACTTGCTGCAAACCATCCTGATTTAGCCACATCCTACAACAACATCGGCTCGGTGTATGACAGTATGGGAGATTATCGAAAAGCACTCGAATACTACGAAAACGCTCTTTCAATTCAACAACCATCACTTCCTGCACACCATCCTAGTATAGCCAGATCCTACAACAACATCGGCTCGGCGTATGACAGGATGGGAGATTATCGAAAAGCACTCGAATACTACGAAAAAGCTCTTTCAATTGAACAACAGTCACTTCCTGCAAACCATCCTGATTTAGCGACATCCTACCACAACATCGGCTTGGTGTATAATAATATGGGAGATTATCGAAAAGCACTCGAATACTACGAAAAAGCTCTTTCAATTCAACAACCATCACTTCCTGCAAACCATCCTGATTTAGCCACATCCTACAGCAACATCGGCTCGGCGTATGACAGTATGGGAGATTATGGAAAAGCACTCGAATACTACGAAAAAGCTCTTTCAATTCGACAACAATCACTTCCCGCAAACCATCCTGATTTAGCCGCATCCTACAACAACATCGGCTCGGTGTATAATAATATGGGAGATTATCGAAAAGCACTCGAATACGATGAAAAAGCTCTTTCAATTCAACAACCATCACTTCCTGCAAACCATCCTGATTTAGCCACATCCTGCAGCAACATCGGCTCGGTGTATAATAATATGGGAGATTATCGAAAAGCACTCGAATACGATGAAAAAGCTCTTTCAATTCGACAACAATCACTTCCTGCAAACCATCCTGATTTAGCCGCATCCTACAACAACATCGGCTTGGTGTATAATAATATGGGAGATTATCCGAAAGTTCAGCTGTATTGTGAGCGCGCTGTTGAAATTGGTAAGTGTTCAATGTCACCGAATCATCCGGGCCTGTTAACGTTCGAAAGAAATCTGGAATGTGTTAGAAATGGATTGCAGCACTCTTCTTTTCGTGCTATAAAATAAAATTATCTATTACCTTAAAGTCACATGTCATCGGATAACTTTTCAGAGAAGCATTCTATCGATATCTTTGCATTAGAATGCGCCGAGAAGGTCTCCATGGGTGAAGTAGCGATAGGTTGACACATTGAATGTCTTTAGATAATGGGCATTGCCAATATGAGTTATGTTGGGAAGGATAAATCTCACGATTGAAGTCGGTGACGTTTGGCAAATCGTGTCCGAAGTTTATGTTGAAGCCGTAGAGGCCGTTCTATAAAGATAAATTTGTTTAAGTTTTTATAGGTACTATTGAGAATGCAAGAAATGAGCTCCTGGTAAGGTGGGGTCTGTATACTTGCCTATGCGAATTCTACTGAAGGGTGGAAAAGCGAGAGTTCAGACTTCAAATACTAATTGAAGTAGATGAAGTCTTGCTTTTCCTCTTAGGATTGTCAATGACTCGATTCTGAATGGAAAAGGGTTTCTTATTTCAGACGCGTTTGAATGCATCAACTATTGAAAACACGCCTAAACGTGTTAAGACGCGTTCATTGTGTGTTTCAGAGTTACGTAACTTGTATTGCTCTACTTTAAAAATAAGTTTTAATATTATCGAAAACAACGATCATATTGCTCAATCGTGAGTAGTTATAAAACATTTCATTGCTCCCTTTTCTGAAAGAAAGGGTCATAGAATCATAAATGGTCATGAAAATACATAAAGTTTGTTTGCTTGTTTGCATAATCCAATCAGATTGTAGCATATTATAAATCAAAGATTGACCACTGATGAGGTGATCTGGATCCAAGATCTCGAAGCTGTTGTTGGTTTTTCAATAAAAATATTCTGTGCGGTTTTTTTAGGCAAAGGACGATTTTTTGCAAGGAAGTTTTTTTGTAGGCGAGTGTTTGAAGCAGCAATATGTAGAACACAATGAAATAGTTGATTAACGCCGGATTGTTGAATATTCATACACATCAGCACATTGATAGTATCACAATTATACAAATGGCTATATTACACAAACATTATCTGATACTTACTGTAATGACAAACTGGTTGAGTAGCTGACCGCTTCTCACGGTATCGATGTTTATTGACTACTCTACATGACCAGAATGTGTCTCTTTCAAAATAAGACACGCGCTTATATAGAGAAGAGGAAAGAGAGATATGACCCGGAGATAGTATGATATAGAGGTGAGAGAATAAAGAACAGAAAGAGATGAACGATATCATTATCGTTACACTTACCACTCAAAATAATACTCCGCTGTAACAACTGTTGTTTTGGACAGTCACAATGGCACAAAGTCGGTGATTTTTCAACAGGCAATCGTTTGATTCATTCTAAAGGGATTCTAAACTAGATGAAAGAATGAAAGTTGGACATTAACGGCTAGCCGCGAGCGGCCGACCGACTAGATCTTGATTTAAAGAGTAATATTTTAGAGAACAAATTTTAGCGACGTTCATATAGTTTAAGGATTCTTTGGAGCCTTTAACAGAGGGCGGTATACCTATGTAAAGTTCCTAGGTTTTCGATTATGGATTGATTTTCCAGAGTGGATTTCTTTTCGGATAACATCTTCATCTGAATAAAATGAAAAAAGGAAAATACATGGAAACGGCTAGCCGTAAGTGGCCGACGAACAACTCGGCGTTTATTTGAATTGCTTAGAGGAGATAAATTAATTGAAAGTAAATTGATTTTTTATTTTGAGTAGTTTGAAGAGAGTCGACGAATAAATTTTTATAAACAGTGTTCGTTTTGTTTACGTCTTTAGACAAATAAATTGAAAGTAATCTGACATGAGCGAAGCAGAAAATGAAAGAATGAGCATAAAAGTGACTTCAATTCGAAGTCGATTAGATTGATATCTAAGTGAAAGCTTTTGTCTACTACTTCCCTAATTGTTTCAGAAAAGGGTCAGTGAATCCAATGGATGAGCGCTACTTGAGTAAAATACCATGTGTTAAATATTCATTACCTGTTCTGACAGAAGATTTATTTTCCCGGTCATCTCTATGCACTCTCACCGTTTGTTGCCTCAAATATCGTTGACTGTACCAAATAATGATCATCTTTTTGATCGACAGATTTATAAATCAGAAAATATCTTGAATTTGATGCTGTCAGAAACTTATAAAGAACGATGATCATCATTAGCTAACAGCAAGAATCACGTGAAGAACCGATATTTCTTTACTATATTTAGAGAAACAGAATCTATAGTTAGATACAAGGCTTTGAAAATGATCGGTTATCAATAGATGTCATATTCCTGTGATCTTGATTCTTCTCTGAAGGAAAAACTACGCAGTATTCAATCAAGTAGGTGCTACCCGATTGTTTGATTGACCGAAAAACAGCATTTTTATCAAGATTTCTTAATATGAAAGTTGATAGGATAAAGTATCATAAAAGGCAACAAATGCATAAACTCCACCTTATGGAACATAGAACCGATCTGTTAATTACATCTCTGATCAAAACAATATCGAAGAAATGAACATCTGAATGTTATCTGAACCTTTAGTGAGAACAAATCTATTTCACAGGTATAGCATCTGACGAATTCTGTAAAATAGAGTGATATATTGTTCGATTTCGTTGTTCAAGAAGCAATCGTACATTAAAATTCAATATTCAATTGAAGGCACATAACTATTGCAAATCCTCATGCGACAGACCAGAAAAATATTCCAGAGTAAAATGCAATAAGAACAGTAGAAGAAATATGACTATGTGGCAGTCTTGAAAGTAATTTCCTATCATCCTAATGAAGAAAATATATACTAATCTAAGTTGACACTTGTCAGATATGAAAAACATCCAGACGTTAGTAGAAAAAATATGCTGGGTACTACTCGGATGTAACAACTGACAGTAACTATTTGATGCGTAGCTGCTATTTGCAAAAAAAAGATTTTTTGTAAAGAGTATCGAATAAACAAGCATTGATACTTGGCTTCACCGAGTAAATTCTAATCATTATATGATTGATAAGACATGACTTTTTAACGTTATATGAATGTTCGCATTAGGCGTCGAATATTTTCCTTTAGGGCTTGAAACTGATTCACTAGTTTGGCTTTAGATTATCATTTTCTGTTTTTATCCAATATCACTTGAGTAAATCGTAATTGAAAATAAAAGCTTCCCTGCCATATTTTCTATTTAATCTCACGTGAATAAGTATCTATCGTCAAGACGACGTTGTCGCAGATTTGCAAAGACGCTTGTTGATGGCATGTTTTAGCAACCAAATGAAAGTAATCATTAAAAAAGCGGATGAACGTCTAATGAGAAACCTGAATCATATCTCTTGTTTTTTCTTTCCTCTCCAAAAGTTTCTAATTGCGAGTATTATTTTCTCATCTGTCATCATCGTATATGAACGTCACATGAGATTATATTGGATTTGGCTGCAGAGAGACTTTCTCTTCTTGTATGGCCGACACGGGGCCGGAGAGGCCTTATCAATATTAAAAATTATCACTTCAGAGGACTTGCATCCTGAAAACATCATACCTTCCTGTCGAGAAAGCAGATTTTATACGTCGCCAGAAAACAAAAAAACAACCCGTTTCAATGGAGTTCTTCTTTTTAATGAGAAAAAATGCGAGACAGAAGAAATCCGTCAAAATAGCTTCACATTCCCACCTTTACAACTAGAAAAAAATTAACACGTTCAGTAAATTTCTCAACCTTTCCACTTTCACTCTTTCCAGCATTAACTTTCAGATATTCAACGCAATACGGAATGGTCGCGTTAAAAACTTTGTTGATAGGCATAGCCTCCTTCTTTGGATTTGCTGCAATAGTGGTGGTCCTAGGCCTTATTCCTGTATATACCAAAAGTAATGCCACCACTATCACAGTCGCAACCACAACTACTACAACAAACACAATCGCTACCTCAACCACTACCACAACAACAAATGTTTCGCCTACTACAACAGCGTCGACTACAGCAACGTCTACACTAGTAAACACGACAGCCGTAACAACAGCCCCCTTAACAAACACCACATTATCTACAACCAACACACCACCAGCCACAACAATAAATACGACAGCAGCATCGAACAACACAACATCATTTATCTCGAATTCCACGATCACAACTACCGTTATCGCAACGAACACAACCCTGACCTCAGTCAATACAACGGCACCAACAACAATCACACCTGCCAACTCCACATCGTCAGCGATTACTTCCCTTCCAACGAACACAACCCCAGTTACAACGTATACCACAGTCGCATGGAACAATGGAACATCATCTGTGTCGAACATCACATCAGCAACTACAATTCTGCCAGGTAACACAACATCTGCCACATTGAATGCCACTGTTGCATGGACCAGTGGAACATCAACAATGTCGAATACTACAGCACCAACTACCAATCTACCAGGCAACGCAACGTCTGCTACATTGAATCCCACAACCGCATGGAACAACGGAACATCAACGATGTCGAACAGTACATCACCAACCACAATCGTACCCGGGAACACAATCCCGGCTACAATGAACGCCACAGCCGGATGGACCAGCGGAACATCATCCATGTCGAATACTACAGCACCAACTACAAATCTACCAGGAAGCACAACATCGGCTGTAATGAATGCCACATCTGCATGGAGCACTGGTACATCATCCATGTCGAATAGTACATCAGCAACTACAATTCTGCCAGGCAACATGACATCTGTGACAATGAATCCCACAATCGCCTGGAACAACGGAACATCGACCATGTCGTATAGTACATCACCAACTACAAATCTGCCAAGAAGCACAACAGCAGTTGCAATGAATGCCACAGCCGCATGGACCAGCGGAACATCAACCATGTCGAATACTACAGCACCAACTACAATTCTGCCAGGGAACACAGCATCTACGACAATGAACGTCACTGCTGCATGGACCAGCGGAATATCAACGATGTCGAATAGCACAGCACCAACTACAATGAATCCCACAACCGCATGGAACAACGGAACATCAACCATGTCGAATAGCGCATCAGCAACTACAATGAATGCCACTGCTGCATGGACCAGTGGGACATCAACAATGTCGAATACTACAGCACCAACTACCAATCTACCAGGCAACGCAACGTCTGCTACATTGAATCCCACAACCGCATGGAACAACGGAACATCAACCATGTCGAATACTACAGCACCAACTACCAATCTACCAGGCAACGCAACGTCTGCTACATTGAATCCCACAACCGCATGGAACAACGGAACATCAACCATGTCGAATACTACAGCACCAACTACAATTCTGCCAGGGAACACAGCATCTGCGACAATGAACGTCACTGCTGCATGGACCAGCGGAATATCAACGATGTCGAATAGCACAGCACCAACTACAATGAATCCCACAACCGCATGGAACAACGGAACATCATCCATGTCGAATAGCGCATCACCAACTACAATGAATGCCACTGCTGCATGGACCAGTGGAACAGCAACAATGTCGAATCCTATAGCACCAACTACAAATCTGCCCGGGAACGCAACATCTGCGACAATGAACCCCACAGCTGCATGGACCAGTGGAACAACAGCAATGGCGCATACTACATCACCAATTACAATTCTGCCAGGCAACACAATGTCTGCTACATTGAATCCCACAACCGCATGGAACAACGGAACATCATCCATATCGACCACTACCGGGGCAGCTACAGTTGTGGCGAGCAACACAGCTGTCTCTGCAGCGAATACGGCGACGGCAACCACTGGCACACTGATGAATAGCACGGTTGTAGCTATGTTAGCAGGTACTAGTGCAGCTAGTTCTACGATCGGAACGGGGGGAAATATCACGGGAGGATCTACAGTAGAAATGATGGGAACATCTGTTCCAATCGTAACAGCTAGTAGCACACCAGTAGCGAGTACAACGTTTGAAGCTGCTGGAATGGAAATGAATGTATCCGCCGATGTGACAATGGTAGGATTAACGGATACAGCAGTATATACTACCGCTGCAAGTACGGTAAGGCAGTCTGTGAGTGTGAGTGCGGCAACAGGTACAGCGACTAGTACAATGCATATACATTCCATTGAGGCAACATCAACGATAATGATGTCAAGCATGAGCTATCCAGTTCTTAGCTCCACAGGTACGAAAAATGTACGTAGAGAGATGTAGATGTGTGGAAATCTGTTTAGATTACGGTATTAAAACTACTGTTTCAGCAACTCAAACAGGATCAACATCTGGAATGACACTAAGCCCAGTGGCCATAGTTTCTAGTATTGGTGTACTAACAACATCAGGTACGTAAAAATAGCTAGAATATTCAATAGTGAGAAAGTCTGACAAATAGTTGTTACTTAAGGCATGCTTGTCGAATGTAACAAGTATTAATATTGTGAAACACAAATATATCTCGGGTAATTTTGATCCTAGTAATACCCAACATGCTTATAAAGAGATTTCGAGCATAGAATCAATTGAGTGTTATAATGGTTTTGCTTTGATATATGAAACATTCCGAGATATATCGATCGTGTATGACCTTGATAATCAATATTTCTCTATGTAGATTCTAAGTATTCAACTGACTGAGATATTCAAAAGGAAAACCTTTTTTTGATGAAACTCAAATCATCTATTTTTATTCAATAGCTACGGTATTATCGACGATGAGTGCAACGTCCCAGTCTACTTCAGCCATGAAAACAACCACTTAAACCATTCACTTCGTTCTCAATTCACTCAAAATCTCTGTGTTTTTCATTGTTCTCTTCGCTGTGATATGGAATTTGTAAGAATACACGCACTCGCACGACAAAGAAACAACGAAAGTAGCAATCATCGGTTATGTGACTGTTATGTTCGTCTCATCTTTTTTCGTCGAACAGATGTTGTCGCCAACTTGTGCATTGCTCGTGCTCACATCACTATTCCGGAAGAAGAGATATGGATGTATTTTGGATGACCTCTGTCTGTGCGTAGAAAAAAAAGACGAGGAGGAAAAGAAGAGGAAAGAAATTTGAGCATATATTTTCTCTTTCTCTCATGTCTGTGTATTCGAACTGATGACGGATGTTTGTACGGTGAGTGAACAATAGATTTTTGAGTGAAAAAGAAAAAGCTTCCAACCATCATCGATCGATGGAAGCTATTCAAACTGAAGACGATATGAGTAAGTGTACTTTTGATAGATTTTGTTGATCTTCTCTAAAATCACAATGTTTGCATTTGTTCAATCATGGAATTCAATTGTTCGTTGTTAAAATTGACGAAAGATACGAATCATAATAAATGCCCTAGATATGTACATACATGATGACGAATGAAATTTGTCATTCTACCTTGACTTCGATGTCAAGGCTATTTGCTGTATGTATTAACAGTAAACCTTGCTTCATTGATTAATTATGTAAATTAGATATTAATTGATTAGTTAGTTAGTTAAACATTCTAATGCCAATTTCTGTTCGTTCACAATGAAAGATGACGTTTCAAAGACAAATATTTGAAATAGTTGTTCAGGTGCGACATGTGAGGATGATTGGTTGTTACTCTAATGATTAGAGCTCGTTTTTTGCTTAGTGCTTATCGCCTGCGGCTTACAAATAAACGACTATAGCATCCATTTTCTACCTACGAATGAGCATGAAAAAGAAAATAAAGAAAAGGTATTCGCCACTCAAAATTTTTACAATAGAAACTGTATCTATACCTAGCAGCAGTCATAACTAATCAACCAATGTCCAAATATAATCCATCCCTGATCACATGCATGAGCGACATATAGTGTAGAGTAATCCTCTGTCTGTCTCTCTTTTTCTAAAGCCGAATATGATTGTTTGTTTCTTCTAATTATACTCAATGGTGAGACTCCACTTGAGAAATTTTTAATAAACGATGGTAAAACATCTGTTCACAGAAACAAATTTCCTTGCTCTGATTACATGATTATATAGAAGAGGTATGTATTATTAGTGATAATCAAATTTGTTTGAATATTCTGGTCTATCTATTCTGCAGAATATACGTCAGACAATCGAATCAGACTCGCTGAAAACGTCATTTTGTTCCTTTGTTTTATCTTTCATATCATTATCTGAGAAGATTTGTATATATGTCTGCAAATTTTATTACTGATAAGAAAATAACTAAAATCGAGAGCATGTTCATTTATTTATTGAATGATGTTCTCTCAAACGTATATCTTTACCAAAAGATAATCAATTCACTTGAGTGATGGTTCACTCTATAATTAGTGAAAGGTCGCCAGTTGATTGTTTTTCCTTGATACCATATATTCATGTACATGCATCTACCATTCGTACGTATGCATGACTGTCTGTCTACTTCTCATGTTCTAATTGCATGCGACGACATCCTTTGTTCATAAGGTAGATGCTTGTCCATTCATTCTCGATGTATATTAGCCATGCAAGCTCTTTTTTTTAATCAACCAACTAAGTATCGTCGTCAGAGTGGTGCTCGTCCATCGACAACGGTGAGAACAATCATCGTCATCATCCTCTATCACTCGAGTTACCCACTTGAACAGCCTCTTTCCTCTCCTACTCGTCGTTTGTAGATGGCCTAATAATACTCGATATATGTGTATATGTATAGTTTGTTCAGTATGAAGTAACAGCTGACCCCCTTAAGGCCATTTCTCTGTTCCTTGTCGAACGTTCACACGTCAAAAATTTGCCTCATGAACATTTTAATTTGTAAGAGTAGACATGGACTTCAAAAGATAAGACAATTGAAAAACAGTTGACCGTGAATCCGCCGATGAGAGATATGAAACGATAATCAGGAAAATGAAGACGTAAGTGTCATCTACGATTGCGTTTTATTTTCCTATTCAGACATAATCAGAATATCATCATTTCTTCTCGTACAATTACATTGAATTCTATTCAGGTGCAGTGAACAAACGTGTGAATCTTTACAAATAGAAAGACGAGATGATACATGATTACATCATTCTTCGAACATAAATAAAGAGAAAGAGACAACTAAATCTATAGTCGATGTCTTCTCATCGCCGTCAATTTCAATAAGACTGCTAATCAACGAAACGATCTTCTATGACGCAAACACACTTCATTTGCTTTGACTATTCTAGAAATATTTGTTACTCACTTATACAAACTTCGTCACAGAAACTAGCATCTTTTTCCTTTTCTTTTTCTTCTTTCTTTTTTTTTGTTCATGTTTGCATATGAAGAGTTTTCGGTCGTGCCAAGGTCTGTTTGTTCCGGTTTGAATAATCTTGCCTTCTCTATTTCTTTCATTAACAAAATTCAATTTGTTCCTCTAAATACATGCATGTGCTGGTCATCGTGAGAAAGCAACGAACTGCTATTCCTTTTCAGCAAAAGGTTATTCTCCCAGTTAGTATCATTGCTTTCTCTTCGTCACTGTCGATGTCGTCTTCTCCTTCTTCTTCTTCTTTTTCATGTTCATGTGCTACAAGTCATCGTTTTCCGGTTGATGCTGATGGTGTCTGTTATTATCCCTCTACTATGCGTCTTCATGCTCTTCTTTTCTATCTTCGTCGTTCTGATGACGATTATCGACGACTAATTGTATATGGTTGTGAGCGCAAAGCAGAAGAGAAGAGCAGAGAGGCAGAGAGAGAGAGAGAAAGAATGAAAGACGGGAAGAAAAAGAAAAAAAAGAAATAAGCACACATACACCCAACATAGCTGTTCATCGACCAAAAGAAGAAGGAGAAAGCAGTGTGCGTCCACTACCATCACCGACCGTGTCGAAGAATTGTTCACACGCACGTATATAGAGATTTTCTTTTCTTCTTTTGTTAGTGATCATCTTATTCGCATATCTCCTTTAATATTCATGTTCATCTAATTATAAAGTTGCACACACACATGCACATAATATAACAATGATGTAAGACTTATCATATGTAAGCTTGTCTATCGACTTTGAAATATAGACTACTGCATTTTTACTAGTCAACCATGACGATGATATGTCTGTCTGTGTTTTTATTCTTCTTTCTCTCTCTCTCTTTCATTTTCATTGTTACTCCCCTTTTCCCTCAGCTATGATCATAAAATTGACTTTTTATATTTCCTTTTCTTTTGTATGTCGATTTGAGTTCATCTAACATGCATGAAAACGACTCATAGTACATCGATCATTTGCCCAGTCAACAGCATTCTGCAATACGAAAAGATTAAAACGATGACCAGTCATCGATCATATTTTATTTTAGACGATCTCTCTACATGCGCACACACACATACATTTATAGAAACGATGTAGTCATCAATCTGTGGGTGATGAAGATGTCGACTTAATAACGAGTTTCGTGCATGGTCGAACATTCTTCACCTATATAATGATGCACTCTCTCATTGTTTCTTTTTCTCTCTTCGTTGTGTCTTCTTCACTGTTCTCTCCTCGGTTTTTTTTTAAAACATGAAAGAACCGAGTGAGTATCTATGAGCTATGAAATGAAACAGATGAATTCCGGTATGTGTGTGTCTTTGAAAGAGAAGGAGAGAGAAAATAACTTTCCGCTTGTTTGTTTCAAGGTATCTTATTTATTCACATCGCGTTCATTGAAACATCAAATAGATTATAAACACAATTTATATAAACAGAACCTGCTCTCACATCTTCTTCTATTTTAGTTTCTTTATCCTCCAATTGTCATTTCTTTTCTTCTCGCGTCGTTTCTTTACGCTTCATGCAAATATTGTTTGTTTGAGTAACACATAACACTGTTGCTTTCGCTCGTCGCGATGAGCTGTACGTGACTTTCCAATTGATCAACAAATATTCTATCTTTGCCTTGTCTATTCGCATTGCTCATACGCGTCTTATTGACAAGCGGGAGAAAGCCGCAACAATGTCGGCATCAGTTCAATCACAGACAGGCATATTGCATGTCCTGACTTATGTATGTATACGCGTACATTTTTCCGATAACGCTTATTGTTATTACCCCTGTTGATAAATGCCCGCTTGCACAGACATTTTTCATCTGATTCTCTCTTTCTCTTCTCGTTTTCTTTCCCATATTTTCTAATGAACTGAAAAAGAAAACGAAGAACTCGTTACTGTAGGATGAACGTTGAGTAGTTGTAATAATACGAGCAGTGCTCGTAATTCTTTATGATCCAGTTTAGACACAAAGAGAGAGAGAGAGAAAGAACCCGAGTAAAGCCTAAAGCGAGCGATAATGTTTATATACACGGAAAAAAGCGTTCATGCTATGTTCACTATATTATTGCATGAAGACATTCTCATCTTTATTTTTACTCTTGTTTGACATTATGCAAGTAACCTTTTCCTACATATTTATGAATAAATGGAGCCATACAAAATGATGCACCCCTACCTATTCTCTCCCGTGGCTCTGACTAATAGTTCTTCGATTTCCGTTCATTCTTACGCGATCATCATCATAATCAATCTAATTTGCTTTTCTATTCTAGATATGTTAGCAGCCTTTTAATACACACATTGAAGAAATCCAATAGAACTACGATGAAAATATTCTGCGCATTATTTGTTTTACTTTACACTTCAACAATATCATCACTTGAATTGAGTAAATATTTATTTATGTCATTTTTCTTCATCCTTGTTTTCGTCTTTGTTTTTAGAGAAACTATCCAGTTGTCAAACAGCATTGGGCATGCAATCAGGTTCGATACCTGATTCGGCAATTTCCGCTTCGAGCAGTTACGATTCTAATAGTGTTGGACCAAAAGCTAGTCGGTAAGTGAATAATACCGACATGTTTCAACGTAACAGATGGAATTACATCATTGATTTTCATCTGCTCTTTTCTCTATTCTTGAGTACATCAACAATAAGACATTGATGACTACTCATCATTCACTTGTCATTTAACAGAAGGAGAGCCTTGTTCATACATAGATGATGAGAACATCCCATGTAACTTCTGTGGAAAAAAAAGGAAAAGAAATGACATGGAGAAAAGAATAACATATGAAATCTATCCCTTAGGCATCCAATTGCATGACAAAAAGATATATATTCCTTTCTATTTTGTCTCTCTAGAGCTCGTACTGAACAGTATGGTGGAGCATGGTGTCCATTAAATCAAATAACGTCAATACTAAATGAATGGTTGGAAATTGATTTCGGAAATCTAACTTATTTAACGCAAGTAGAAACTCAAGGTAGATTTGATAATGGACGAGGCAAAGAATACGCCGATTACTACATCTTGATGTACACTCGATCGAATCAACCTACTAATGATATTAAATCATGGATTGAATACAAACCTCAGATCATTAGTAATGACGAGTTGAATTCATCATGGATACATGCTAATCAGAATACATACATGGGAGAAATACGGCCATTAAGTATGTTAAAATTATTCAATTGTAACATGAGATATTGATTTACTTTCTAGATCCACCCATCGTTGCTAGACGACTTCGATTCTATCCTGTTAGTAAGCAAACTCGAACTGTTTGTATGCGCGTTGAAGTGTATGTAACATTCACTTGAATTTAAAGTAAACCTATTACATCTTCGTATTATTCTTTAGTTATGGTTGTTTATTTTCCGATGGTATTGTTTCATACACAATGCCACAAGGCCGAACGGATATAAATTCATTAGGTGATGACACGTACGATGGAAAATACATTCCCGAAACGAATATGTTAGTCGATGGTCTCGGACAATTGTCTGATGGCATCACAGGTTCGGAAGATATGTCATTAGTTGATGGTCGACAACCATGGGTAGGATGGTCAAATGATTCGAATACACATGTAACAATAATATTTCAATTTGATTATATACGTCAAATGAATCGTGTGACAATCCATACGAACAATGTCTTTTCGAAGCAGATTTCACTATTTAAAACAGCAGTAGTCACATTTTCTTTAACTGGTGAACGAACAAGTTATTCAAATGCAATTATATCCGAACAAAATCGTGACGAATATTATGAAATTGCTCGTCCTATATTGATTCAATTGAATAATCATGTTGCCAAATATGTACGATTAGATTTATATTTTGATTCCAAATGGCTTCTAATCAGCGAAATAACATTTGACTCGCAAATTTATAATGAGAAAATTGAAACTAAAAACGAAGATTTATTTATGGGAGATCTTGCCAAACAGCAGCAGCCTTTATTTGATCCGATGAAAATGATGACAGATCAACGCAAACGCAATCGTAATGTACTGCAAACGACACTATCAACTGAAACTACAACGAAATCATTACCATCAACACATTTCTCCAATCTAATCACAACGGAACTATCACTAGCGTTCTTTATCGGAGCATCGTTGGCTATTGGACTTCTATTACTTGTTTCACTAGTGTGGCTCATACGACGAAAGAAAAAACTTCAATTTCAAAAGTAAATTCATAAAATATTTCGAAAAAGAGTATCCTAATAGTATTATTTTTTAGATTAACAGAAAAACCATGCAATAATTCATCATGTTATACTTATCCAACGTTACCAATCCGCGAATTTCATGATTTGAATGCGCCGATTACTAGTGCTGTTGATGATCGCGAATATGCTGTGCCTGATATTAACTTCTACTCTACATTTGCTCATAGTCCACATTTAAATCATCACAAAAAATATATTACACCTCTATCGTCTGCCTCATCCTACACTTGTAGTCCACGACTAATTCGGCCGGCAAATATTAACTGCTACCCGACATTAAAGACTCTTCCATCTCAACATTGTTGTATTCATCAACAATATTTAACCATGCAGCATTGTCAACCATCGATAACAGTCAATCCGAATCGAGTTTTACCTCCGTCTGTCGTCGATGAACTTGCTACGATTGAAGGTCCTTGTGGAAATAGTTTAATGATGAAATTCAATTCTATGGTTGATACTCAGTTAATAACTATCAAAGAGATCAATTCTGATGATATAAATATCATGGAAAAAATCGGTGACGGACTTTTTGGAAGTGTACATGTTGGAGAAATGAAACTGAATGGTGGTGAAAGACAAACTGTTCTAATTAAATCCTTACAAGAAAGTACAGATGAAAAACAAAAGTAGGTGTTTTTGTATCGTGAAGATCTCTATAGTCAATTATAAAATTTCTGTTGTTTTAGATCGGTATTTTCGAAAGAAATTGAATTATTGTCACTGATTAACGATTTTCACGTATGTTCACTATTGGGCGTTTTGAATAATCAAAGAACAGTTGCCATATTCGAATATTACTCACTTGATCTATACCAATATCTCCGTCAACAATTGATACCAATGGATAGTTGTTCAGCATCGAGTTTTCTTCTCTCCTTAGCTTGTCAAATCGCGTCAGGAATGAAGTATTTATCATCAAATTCGATTATTCATCGTGATCTAGCCACCAGAAACTGTCTAATATCCACAACCAATCTGCAGATACACATTACAGATATTGCCATGATCAAAACCGACTATGCTAATGATTATGCGCGTGTAGGACGTTTGCAATCACGCATACCTCTACGATGGGCTGCATGGGAAACCATATTTCTCAATCAATTCTCATTGAAATCAGATGTCTGGTCGTTTGGCGTGACACTCTACGAAGTCTATACCTACGCTCGTCAACGGCCTTACCATGCACTGACAAATGAACAACTCGTTCAACAATTCGCTTCCATATCTCAGGGACAAATAGCATTGAATCCGCTTGTTTCATTGCCGAAACCGGAATTATGTTCAAAAGAGATTTATGACATGATGTGTGAATGTTGGCAACGAGATGCTCAATATCGTCCATCATTTGCTGATATTTATACATTTTTGCAGGGAAGAGCATCTGGCTCCGCCCCATTGGTCACAACCGAACAATTGTAGAAAGGAAAGACATCAATTAGTATTTCTATAAACGTGCAGAGTTTTGCGATTATGTTAGTTTTTTATTTTTCATTTTGTACTTGCGTGTGTGTGTGTGTGTCGCTTCAGTCAGATTTCTTATTCGAGTTCATGTATGTATGTATACGCGTGTGTTTGTAAATAGAGATTATCTTGATGATGACGATTATGAAATAATAAAAATCTTGACAATTATTTGAACTCTCTTATGTGCACAAGTGATTGTGAGTTTTATGGATTAGGATATTATCTATTAGAAATTATGTAACATACGCATCTTGAAATATTCCTCGACAAGCCGATGTTGACTGACATCTTGCGAAATAATTCTCATTCGTCAAGCAAGGAAATGTCAACAATCTGATAAATTATCATCATAACATAACGAACGAAAAGAAGATGTTTATTTCCGGATATTGAACATGACTTTCAAAAAAGAATCCAACGAAGAATAATGTTTAATTGATACGATCTAACAGTTGTTCGAAATAAGTATCAATGGGTAATCATCATTCGGTAAAACGTGAATGCTTACATGAAGCAATTCGTCGCAAAGACGTGAAGAAAATCAAACAAATTATCTATAATAGTGACTCAGATTTTATTAAAAATGATTTCAAATCACTTGAATTAGCAACATTGTACAACTTAACTGAAGTAGTCGAACTTCTTCTCAGTCGCGGTTGTGTACCAAGAGACAAACGAACAGCACGTGCATTCGATCTCGGTAATCATCATCAATAATCATATCTCGCATCTACTTAGTTACTCTTTTTTCTTTTAGCGGTATGGAAGTGCCATAAAGACATTGCTACGATGTTTTTAAAAGCTGGTATCGAGTACAAAGGACGTAATCAATTCAATGAAACGATACTATTTGTTTCCGCTTGTGGAAACAATTCAACTCTAACAGAAATGCTTATTGAAGGTGGCTGTGATTTGAATGAATGTACACGAAGTTGGACTGCTCTACATGTTGCTGCTGCTAGAAATCATGATGAAGTTCTACGAGTACTTGTTAAACACGGATGTGATTTAAACACTCGAGATAGAGACGGTAGGAAACAAACGAGGAAATCATCTCGTATTCGAATTATTGGTTCTATTTCGAAGGTTTCAATGCACTAATGCTTGCAATTTTAAATGAGAATATGAAAAATATTAAACTACTTGTTCAATCTGGATGTACAATAAACATCGAAGAATTGTATTCAATACCTTGTCTCGCTAAACAACTGGCTAAATATCCCGAAATCGAACGAATCCTTTGGAATGAATGCACACGTGTTAAAAATCTCAAAGAATTATGCCGTCTTCGCATACGAACGAGTTTAGGACAGCGTACCTGGAAGAAAACATCACAGTTATTATTACCAACACGTCTGAAAGATTATGTCGCTTTGAAAGAGTACTTTGTTCTATATGGTGATGAACAACAACAACAACAAATAGCTTCACCACCAACGAATCTACATGCAATTCAATCATAACGTTTTCTTTTTGTATTCGAATGTATTTTATTTTAATAACTAGTCATTCTGAATGTTGTAAATTGTTTTGATCTGATTTAAATATATGTACTGAAAAATTTTTAGATAAAATAACGATGGCAACATCGACAAAGACAGTATTACCCGCAAGTACAATTGAATGGGCGATGTGGGCGAACGAACATGTATTAATAACCGGTTATATGCTTGGCATATTCAGTATTTTGACAATGATCTTTCGTTTTTCATTATGGCAGATATCTATCTATGGATTCATTCTTTCGATAGTCATTATTGTGATTGAATATCCACGTAGTGGACGAATTGTCAAGAAATCAAAAGCGCGACCTTTTCAACAGTATCCATCGATCTTATTAACAAAATTAGGAGCATTTGCTCGAAATTATTTTATTCGATTTGCTGCATATATTCTACTTAGTCTACCATGTCTTTTTCTTATATCGACCATTACGCCAGCTATATCATTGATTATTGGTGCGGCGGCGTACGGTTTAGCAGCACTTTATCAGGAACAATGGATACCTGTTGAACCAAAATCAACAGATGATGCCGTACCAATGCCAACACGACCACCGCCACGTGAACCACTGTATCGCGCTCCACCGACTGTTTGATATTACTTTATTTTGTTATATTACACTGATTATTTTGTACGGTTTTATTAATTGAATAAATTATTTTGTTTTATAGTTTTAAAAAATCTGACCTTTTTATTCATGTTAAATATATATATGTATCTGACTGAATAGAGAGAAAAAAGTTTTAACTGTATTTAGGAACGTAGTGCTTTTGTCCATCTTTGATAATACTACGTGTATGCATTGTTAATAAGGAATTGAATTCTGCACTTGACGTGGTTAAACTCGTTAAGAATGGTTCTAATTCTGCTAATGTCCAAAGATTTTTCCGAGTAAATAATGATTTGAGTCTAAAAATTGATAAGATCATTGTTCACAATCCCTTCGATTCAATCAATCAATTACCGTTCATCAGGTTTTTCGCTAAGTGTATCCATGTCTATGTAGGCAATCGTATCTTCAGAATGAATGACATATCCTTTTAATTGCTCGAGATCAATTGAAAATTCACTAGGTACACATTCTCTCCAACATGTCATAAATTCGGATAATTTCATCTACGAGAAAAGGTCAACTTTAATGCAATCAATTCGAAATATTGCTATTACTTTCTCTAAATTTCGTAGTAAGTCCAGTGCATAATGAATAGATATTGTGATAGCATTTAAAGCGATTGAATTCCCTATAAAATGAATTCTGCTTACGAAAAATTCGCTAAATCGCTTACCCTCTGTGGAGATTGTTCCAATTTGTTCTAGAAATTGCTTGGCAACAGATCTGTAATCATTATTATTATCGAAAGGAGAAAAGAAATGTTTAAGATGAACATTTACTTTGGACACATTTCTTTCATTTCCGACGCACATTTATCAATTGGAATATCATCTTTTGACCAATCATGAATTGATATTAACGAGAGGATGTATTCGATAAGTTTTGTACGAAAATCAAAATCTAAGAGCCGTAAATGACCTAAATAAAAAGACGATGACACTATCAAATAGATTTCAGATTAACGAACCATCAACAGTAATCGCATTGAGTTTTTTTAAATACGCATCGATGGCTTGGTCACTTGCTTGAACTTCATTTTTCAAGTCATTCACAGTGATCTGCATTGAAGAACAAGATAAATATTTACCATAAAATGAAAGTAATTTAATACTTTTCGTGCCAGACTGTTCTCATCATCATCATCAAACCGACCTCGATAGGGATTTTCTTCCAATAATTGCCGTATACGTCTTAATTTTGGTACGCAAGGTGTCAATTCATATTTGGCGTGAAGAATTGAATTGACCTGAAGAATTCTTTCATCGCGATTCCAAAAGAGAACTCGTTCGGTTTGAATTACTTTTAATGAAACACATCCATTTTCTTTATTCGATAAGGAAGAATCGAGTGGACTAGCAAGTAGTAGTGTATTCGATGTTTCAGCTGTTTTCATTTCGAAAATTTGATCTGATGTACATAATGTCGCAAAATCGTCATGCGTGCCACGAATGACTAGTCTAGATAGATGATTGACAAAGAGAGATAACTTCGAACGCAGTTCTCTTTGAAAACGAATGCGTTACTTTTGATTCTTATCTAATTCTTCAATCAATGCACTGTTCACTTCCATCAATCGAATAGAATCATCTGGAAAGTGTTCACCGATCGTCAATTCATAATACACTGGTTTCAATTGTTCCGTTGGTAGTCTGGCATCAGCTAATAGTTTTTGTACATTTTCGGGGAAATGTGTTATCTCGTCGGTCATCTTATCGATCTGGAGGAGAAGAATTATATCAAATCTGACTTATGGAAGAAGTTTAAAAAAATAGAGAATGACGCAAAATTTCATATAAAAACAACAGCGAAAATTTCTTTTTTTTTGTCTATCCTGACTAGTTATCTATGCTTTGGAATTAACAGATACACGAATACAAATAACATTCAAAATATAAAGTAACGTTGAGCTAATGGTAAGCGAGTGGCGAGCGGTAATGATTCACTGACAGTTTTCTCTCCATCTTTTTCGATGGTGATCTGACCCGTTGCTTGATCCACGTCAACTTTTGGTGTCTGTTCATTTCGAACCATATGCAAACGTGTGATCATACGAATATCGTGGACGGCTTCGACATGTTTGCATATACCATATGAATTTGATGCACTCAGTTCTGCACATGCCTTAATAAACAATGGAGAATTGTCATTCGTTTCAGGATGAAACAGAAAGTTACTTTGGAGACGAATACGATGGAATTAGCATTTGGACTTCGACCAACAGCGCCGAATTTTTTTCTCAAACAAATCGGCTCGGGTTTGACGTCAGCGTAAACACCAAGACCAGATTGAGACCAGGATATTTGGCCGCCTTTGATGATCATTTCTGGTTTCACACCAAAAAACATGGGCTGCCAGAGAACAAGATCAGCCATTTTATGTTGTTCGATCGAACCAACGACATGAGAACAGCCGTGCGTTAATGCTGGATTTATTGTATATTTAGCTATATATCGTCGAACACGATTATTGTCGTTTGAATTTTCCTATGAAAGGAAAATATTGACTTGAGTATTTCGAATCGACCAAACTTTGTTTTCATCATACTTTGTCTTCGGATAAATAGCCTGTGATAGCTTTCATTTTGTCTGCTATTTGCCATGTTCGTGAGACGATTCGACCAGGATGACCACCTGACTACAAAGAACCGAACAAGTTATTGATCGATGCTCCACTTGAAATATTCTTAGGTTACTTGTGATGATGATGAAATAATACTAATTGCTCCAATGTCATGAAGGAGATCTTCTACAGCCAGTTGTCTTTGACTCTCTCTAGAGAACAAAGTATGCACGATTCATTTGAATATCTTTAAAAGTGAATAGAGATTTCTACCCAGGTTGACGATAAACAGCTGCTTTGTTATTACATGAGGTTATGATAACATTTGGTTGTTGAAGTAGATCAAAGAAGTTATTACGAGCTGCTGCTGTTTCTGTACATGGAATGAGAACAACACGATCACGAAAGATTCCAACAGCATCTGGAGAGCTATAAGCTTCTCGTAAACTATCAAAGTCAGCATGAACCTGAGGAAGACAAGATCCAGTTTGAAGAATACAGTTTCAGCTAGATAAAAATTTGTAAACTCACGCTTATATCATGAAATTCAGCAACACGCAGGCAAGTATCGATAGCCGAAGGCGTCGCTCCCCATCGTTCATCTAATCGTAGGCTATTTAAAAAGCTTGCATATAATTCAAAATCATTTTTAGATAAGAGAATTCGAACCCAATGGCACCAGCAACAATTTGATCTTCAAGTTCTTTTGATAAACCTTCAGGCTTCGATGTATTTCCTTTGCCATAGAAACCGAAGTTCATTGGATAATCATCTGTTGCCTGAATCATGTGTTTAATATGATTCGGGCCAGGTGTAGCCATCGTCACGCTACCATTCATTCCTGTACCACCACCGAACATTGTTGTTATACCACTCATCAACGCTTCGGTGACAACATCAGGTGAAGTAAAGTAAGCGCATGGATCAATCCCACCAGCTGTTACGATTAGATTTTCGCCTTGAATTACTTCTGTTCCAACACCAATAATCATGCCCTGAAAAAAGAATATCATGACGAGTATATATCGATAAGAAAACTTAGAATAAACATCTTCATGCCGACATACCGCAGTAACACCGGACATTGTCTGAGGATTACCAGCTTTTCCAACACCAGCAATTACACCATCCTAAATAATGAATGTCGAAGTTGAACTGTACATTTTAGGAAAATTACTTTAATGCCAACATCCGCTTTCACTATACCAAGAACGGCATCAATAATAACAACATTAGTTATGACTGTATCCAATGCTACATCATTTCGTGTATTTGACGCTTGACCCATACCTTCCCTTAAAACCTATCAAATTATTTCGTATATTCTCTAAATAGTATCAGAAAAAAATTTCTACAAACTTTTCCTAGACCAAAAACACATTCTTCACCATAAGTGGTTAAATCATTTTCAATTTGTATGATTAAATTCGTATCACCAAGCAAGACCTATACATATATAACAGAGAGGACTTTCATCATTTGTATACACTCAAATGCGCATTACTCGATCGCCTGTTGTTGGTCCATAACGACCAAGATACAAATCGCGAGGAATGGGATATTTAGTTTGACGAGAATTTGCCTTCTCGATACTAGTCTTTTCATCGACATGTAGGAAATTATTTTTTCGTAGATTCTTTTGATTCTTCTTCAGATTTTCATCGCTTACAGGACCGTCGAATAATCCGTTACCACCATGAATTATCCTAAGTTCAATGCAGAAATAATTCACCGGATTCTACATAAATTCTAATTGTATTCACCTTTGTCCACCAATAGGTATGAGTGGCACTTCTTTTTGTTCATTCGGATTAAACGTTAAGATATCACCTGCAGGAATATTCTAGCAAATAAATCGAATGCACACTAAGAAACAATAGTAATCTTCTTTACCAATCGCATTCCATAAGCGAGTGTGCGATCGAATGCTAGATGTCTATTTGCTTCAACGAAATGGAAATGGCTTCCGATTGATATCAATTCGCTACTTTCGTTTGAAACTGTGATGTATATGCTATCTCGATCAGCATTGATAATAATCGGCTGATTGTCTTTTAGGAACATTTCACCTGGATGTGGTCCTGTTTCAGTATCATTTTCTTTCTAAATAACATAGGCAACATCAAATATATCTTTCGAGTTAAACAAATGTGCTTTACTTGAAATAGATCAGGTGATGGAACTGGTAGGAAACTTCCATAAAAAGCTAATTCTAAGTCACCTGTATCATTACATATTGGATTTCGAACGGTCATCTTTAACGAAATCAAATGAAAATAAAGCTAAGTGAGAATTCACAAGTAACTTACGACTTTCACACCATCTGGAAATGTAGCTTCAAGATTAATTTCTTTGATCATTTGTGAAACGCCGTTTAAAACCATATTTTTTCCGAGAATTTTCTTAGCCTGTTGTTGAATGTCAGTTAAACTAGATTTGCCATCGCGGATGAATTCTAAACACTGTGTTGATATAAGTGCTACCGCTTCTGGATAATTTAAACGTAGACCACGAGCGAGTCGTTTTTGAGCCAGTGAACCTGCATAACTAATTTTTAAGTTTTCAAATTCACGTTCAGTTAATCGCATGATCTGAAAAAGGATAATAGGACAAATTAAAAGATGTGCTAATTTTTCTTCGATTTTATTTGAGTTTTTTCATGAAATCTCGGTTAGCTTGAAGACTTTTATTTGAAAGGAGAAAACGTAATTGTTCACGACTCAAACCCGATGCTGTCCAATTGCGTTCGCGTGGATAACGATTTTTAATATCGTTTGATATGATTAATTTCATACTATCATAGAATTGGTTCCATTCGTTAACATTCACTTGAGAATTCTCGCCAAGTGCGAATGCTTTGGAAAATTGTTCTCGTAATCTTTCGCCGAGATCACGACCTGTTTTCGATTTATCAATTGGCCATTGTTTAAACAGACGTATTAAGTCGAAGTATAGTTGTGATGCGGTACGTTGTGCCATTGATGTACGTCAATGAATAAAGACTTTGTATGGAAATTAGTGTGGTATATTGTCAGAGGAGTAAAATGTCGTTTCTTTCGTGCAATTAAAAGCAGATGCACTTCTCACCAGTGACATCTATATTTATACGATTAAATGAAGAAAAGCCAGAATTTTTGTTTTTGAAAATAGTTAGTAGGTCTTTTTTGAACATTCATAGCGGTGTTCTGGTCATGAGGAAGGTGCGGTTTGATTGACAGAGCACCCTGAAAGAGGCTATCTCCAAAGTAATTGGCGTAGCGGTGCTGGTGCTTGGATAGATATACTGTAAGTTAGACCGCTGCCAGTAAGTTGTTCTTTAATATATATCAATTGAATCTCAACCGAAACTACTGTAAAATAAAGCATATAAGGCAAGCATTGCTCTCTTTTTCATACTACTGCCATTAAATTCTGGCAAATTGATGCTTTATTGAATGTACAGAGATGTATCTTGGGCATTATTTTGTTCAGTCGAACTTGAATAGATTTTGGCAATAAAGATCTTAAATATAAATATTCTGACAACTCGGAGATTGATTAAATCGATACAATAATTCGCGGATATTTTTAATCTAGTATAGAGTGCGCGCTCCTTAAGTTACTCAATTTAATAAAGGCAATAACATAGAAAAGAATAAGAGAAAGGCAAAGTATGTAGTTTTTCATTGTCAGCGTGTGTTCAAGTATAGAAAGAAGAAAAGTGGTTCGCGTAGTTCGTTCATCACGGCTACATATTATATACAATACAAAAAGGGAAAATGAGACAATGTCATTAACACGATTTCGAATGGGAGGATGTTAATGTACTTTGCCTTCTTCCATTGCGTACGGGATGGATTGACCTGGGTCTTTGAGAGCCAAGTCTTTACTCAACGACCACACAAAAAAGTGTACGTTGATGATTGATAATAACCTGTAGCTGTTTTCCGGTAGCATATTATAAAATGGGCTGAATGGTTTCTTCATCGTCGGTATCACCGGTTGGATTGTGTGCATGAGCCACCTAATTCGGCTTATATTATAAGTTGACTCTCGACAGACTAATCTCAATTCGAATTTAAATAGATGTCTGTATCAATCTTCCAATAAACGAATAGATAGGGATACGAATAGATTTAGTTTCACTTACATACCAATACCCTCATCTCGATTGAGGGAGGGTGCCGGGTGGGTTTTTACACGCATAATTATCAATACTCTAAACCATGTGCTTGATGAAGCAAAACAAATGCCATTACATGATGCTTCATTAAGAGAATTAAGAAGTTATTTAGAACATATCGATATTGAAATCAGTCTTGGAAACTTATGTTGAAAAGCTACAGGTGATGATCATATTCGATGAGTATCTCTTGCAATTTTGATCCTGATTATCATAATCGAAAAGTATCTCAATTTTCTCAACAAATACGAAATCTAGGAAGACTTTATAATAAAGATAAAAAAGAAACGATGCTTACAGGTAATGATGAAAAACCTTTGGATATTTTTTCAATATTTTGTGTTTTAATTCAAAATAATTTAAAAACAGCAAAATTTATTTACCAAATCGATATGAAAATGGCGATAAACAAATTCTTAGGGAATCTCTTTTAAAAAATGAAAAATATCGAAGAATTTGTATAAATAGAATTAACAATTGTTCAGAATACGAAGAAAACTCATCAAAGCTTTTGATTTTTAGTTTAAATAATATTGAAATATTAAATGAGTTGTTATCTTTAACAATTTCATTTGCTCATTTAAAACAAAATTATTCTTATGGTTCATTGAAATGTTTTCGAACGTTAAGTAAATTATCAGAAAGACATTCGAAACTTTCTGGGCTTGATTTAATCAATTCATTTAATTTTGATGATAGAAAATCTCTTCATTGTTGATTGTAGATTAGAAGAAATACGAAAATCAGAATGAAATTTTCATTTTCCGATGGATTTATAATTATTAAATGTTTTTGTCGTTTTTTTTAAATTGAATCAATTCATAAAGATTTGTCTTACATATTCAGAATAGTTACGTCGACCTTTTCCAAGAAAGATTCATTTTAATAAACAAAAATCTGGAACTTCATTTAATCATATTGATTTTTTATAATAATTGAACTTTTCGAGAAAAGAAAATGATAGAAAATCATCTACATATCATTTATTTGACAGATAATTTTCTTTTGCTTTGATTGCGAAATCTTTTCTCAATTATCCTTCTTTTTCTTTTGACGCAGCTTGCTTTGAATACATCTAGTCTTTGTAGTGTGACTAAGGATGTTTGACGGGATAATCAAGTTCGTTTAGGATAATATTGCTTTGTATCTGATACCATACAAACAACATGAGACGTGGGCGTTTTTCTTGTAAAAGATTAGGTATTGTCTTGCCTATCGTGAAACAATACTGTGATGCCGTTGTTGTAATAGCATTAGACTAAATAAAAAGAATATCGACAATTTCTCTAGTGTCGAATTTTTTAGTCATTGGATAGTTTGTTGGTTTGACTGGTGTAGTTGTTTTGCGTTCAACATTCGTTATGGATCTTTATTTCATAACTACTACTAATTAATCAGCTAATGCTGATTGTTATACACGACGTTGAACACAGTATTCAGCGATAATATTATCTGCATGTTCTTGTGAAGTTCTAATTCATTTTCTTCGATAATCAATTACGTGAGTATGAAATTCTAACACAACGTGTTTGGCTGAGTTCAACATCGCAACGAGACATTGTTGCATATGCCTGATTCTTTGCCAATTGGCCGTTAAAGAGTCGGAACTCATTGAAATCTGTCATGCTGCTAGCTTCACATCAATTGTTCGTCTATATAGATTTCCGTTGTGTGTATGATCATTCTGTTCTAGGACTATTAGCGCTCTTTGCTCGATAGATGTCGTTACAGTCTTTCTTTCAAAACTTCATCATAATTGGCCAAATGTTTGACGAGAGAAGCAGAAGAAGAACCTTGGATAGCTCAAAAGAATGTTTACTTATTTATTCCCCTTTTCACATACTTTTTTGGTGATAGTAGAAGTTTTTGCTAATCGATTTCAAAGTATTCTGTATTCTTCATCGTTTCGCTCTATTTCAGATGCCGAAACGCGTTCACAGTGTGAGTGATCGCGACGAAACTGGATCGACAAGTGATCCTAGTGCATCAAAACGTTCTCGAAAAGGAAACGAAGATCATGAAATTGTAAGACAAAGATTTTTCAGAAGAGGCGCATTTTCGTCTCAATTTTCCTTCTTAGAATGAACGATGTCAAGAATTATACGATGCATTGCGTGCTTATAAATCTGCAGATGGTCGTACCGTTTGTGAAAATTTCATTCGTTTACCAAGCAAAAGGTATATAATACAGTTCACACATCATTCTTATCGAAAGGAACACTTGTTTAATTCAGAGCAAATGCAGAATACTATGCATCAATCAAACAACCAATTGACTTAATTCGCATCCAACAGAAAATTCGTACGGATGAATACCAAACAATAGAACAATTTATAGATGATATACAGTTGCTAATAAACAATGCAAAAACGTTCTATCGGGTAAGTCAGAATACTTTCGATGCTAATAATAGCATATATTGAATAGAGAAACTCAAACGAATGGCGTGATGCAAATAATTTGTCGAAATACTTGAACTCAAAACTCAGCGATGAACAATCGAATCATAAACGTCCACCTAAAAAAGTATGATCAGTAGTTTCATAACCAAACGTGACTGTTTTGTTCTAACAATTAGAATAACGAAATTGATGCCGAAGAGTCAATTGGTAAAAAACGCCGTCCACATCAACAATCACATGATACATTATCCAATGGTGCAACAAACATAAAAGCCGAATCCAATAATAATAATAATAATCTCTCGATTGATCCATACTATTTAGAAGAATTTTTCACAGCTATTTATAACGCGACTATAGAACAACGTGCCATGGTAGACATATTTTTATTTTTACCTTCACGAAAAGTAAATTGTTGTGAATTGAGCTGTATTCATAAATACACATATTTATTTGAAATAGCTTTACCCCGATTATTATCTTGTTGTAACTCAACCAATCGATTTGAAAATCGTCGCAACCAAAATCGACAATAATCAATATTCATCATTGGATGATATGGAAGCAGATTTGCTATTGATGGTATCAAATGCGAAAAAATACAATGATCCTAAATCTCAAATCTACAAGGTAGAATCAAGCTGAAACTTTTTCGGTGTTAACGCTTTGATAATTTAGGACGCAAGTGCCTTGAAGAAAATGATTACAACCGTGAAAGGTGAACTGGAGTCCGCTTTGAAGACGGTGAAAAATGATCGATTGAGAACGCGAAAACGTGATGTTCTTCTCTCATCTGAAATTGCACATCTGGATTATCCCGAAGAGCCAGATGATGCTGATATTATTCAGATAAAACCAAATGATGATGCTGCAGCTGACTCCGATACGAGTTCGTTGGGTGGTGAAGAGGATTCATTTCGACTTTTATACGATGCAGTTAAAAGCTATAAACTCGGTGCTCAAAGTCTCATCGATCCATTTATGAAGTTGCCCAAGAAACGATTTCATCAAGATTATTATGAAGAAGTCAAGCGACCAATTTCCATGTCATCCATTAAAAATCATATCAAAGTAAGTTTACATCCACTGAGCTAAATATTTCCAATGGATTTTGTTTTTACGTTTGTGCTACAGAAAGGAGAGTATGTTTACCTGGCCGATCTTGTCAAGGATCTGAAATTGATGTTTAATAACGCCATGCAATACAATCAAGAAAATTCATTGATATACAATGTAAGTTAACTGTATGATTAGTTTTACATATGCACGTGTCACTTTTGCTGGAAATATTGTAGAGTGCAAAGAGATTGTTGGATGTGACAATCCAAAAAGCACGTGAACTTGGCTATGATGAAGATGAACCGCGATTGAAAGAAGTTCGAGTTAACATTTCTGCGGTAAATCTCAATAGAAATGTTGGTTGTTATTTCATTTTGTAATTTTTACAGATTTCTGTGAAAGACGAACAGTTGGAATCACTGACGAATCATTACTCACCAACCCGTCATCGTTCTTCGCCGGCCGAAGCAACAAATCTTCATTCACCTGCTGTATGTTCGCTTTGTTTTCTAACATTAGTGCAATTCATATTTCTATTCAGGCTCAGCGAGGTCGTCCACCGAAAATACTTCAAAAACATACGGAGCAAAATATTCACACACTCTATACCTTCATTCGTGAATATCAAGTAAAGTTTCGAAGAAAAATCGGGCAATTTCAAAATGAGATTTTCTTTAGGAAAACGATACTGATTTAATCACACCGTTCCTTGAATTACCGTCTGCTAGCGAATATCCAGATTACTATGAATCAATAAAACAGCCTATCGACATGACAATGATAAAAGATCGAATGGATAAAGGACAAGTAAGTTGTTCTGACGAATGTTTCTGTGCACACAATTTGACATGATTTGTTTAGTATAAACGTGAACAGGATATTGTTGACGATTTGAATCGTATGCTTGCAAACGCAAAGTCTTACAATGCCGATGAATCTTCCATATTCAAAAGTGCATCTCGACTTAAACACGTTTTAACCAATAAATTCGAAGTTTTAATGAAGAAGAAAAAGAAATTTCTTGAAAAATACAACTCCAATCGAGTTATAAATAGCACAATACCAAAAAAGTACATTCATTCCATATCAAATGTTACTCTTGCTGTAACTCTCTTCTTCTTTTTCAAAGATCTTTCAATTCTCCGTCGTACAAAACATTGACTAGTTTGATTCAAACAATCAAAAATCATTCCGATCAACATGGACGAATCTTATCCACTGTCTTTTTAACATTGCCAGCAAAACTCGATTATCCAGATTATTATGAAATTATTCAACGACCCATCGATCTTAAACGTATTGAGTCACGACAATACACATCGATTCAAGAACTATCAGATGATTTACAATTGATGTTTGATAACGCATGTTTATACAACGAGCCAGGCTCGACAATCTATCGAGTAAACTACCGGGTTTTTTCATTGAAACGTTCTTACTCTTGATTTTATTTAGGATGCACTTTCATTACAAAACGTTTTTCTTGCTCAACGACGAAAATATATGAAAACACAATTCAATGTACAGAATTTAGTTCACGATCTACTCTGGGATTTATTCATCCGAACTTTTAACGCTGAAGTTTGTGATTAGTTTGACTTTTACTAATCATTCGTCTTGTTTCTTCCTTTAGGATTCACAAGGCCGTTTCTATACGGATTCATTCACTGACCTCTCTGAACAAGTAGAAAATGAACCGTAAGTGTGACATTGATGAACTCTCAAATTACTGGATTTTCTCATGAACAGATTCGAGATTGTGTATACATTTGATTTGATTAAACAAAATCTCCGGCAGGTAAGCGTAAGAAGCGAAAAGATTTGATTTACCTTCATTAATTCTGTTCTAGCGACGTTACCATCGGCTAGATGTTTTCCAAGATGATTTATTTCGTGTTTTTGAACGTGCTCGATGTTTGAGTAATGTTGATTCTCAAGTACGTAAGAAATATCTTGATAAACCGATGCTTATTTTGAATCTATGACAGATTTATCAAGACACAGTTCAACTACAACGATATTATATTCGACTTCGTGATGAAATCTGTGACAATGGGAATGTACTTCGCTCAGCGGCGCTTTTGTTCACTGAAAATCGTTTGCAAGAAGAGCTCACTCGTGAACGATTGAAAAAAGATGTCATCACTAACAGTAATCAGAACAGTATAACAGGCAATCAATCATCAAATGATGAAAAGAAGGATTCAGTATGCTGATTTCAAATGAACGACGTTTCTTTCCACTAAACGTCTCTCAAATTCTTTTTTTTAGTCTATGGATAATTCTTTGCCAACGGAAAACAGTTCGTTATCGAAAGGTGAAACTTATTACATTGGCGATTTTGTTTATACTGAACCAAACGATGACAAGAGTGAACCAAGTATTTTCTGTATTGAATCGTTTGAACGCAAAGACAATGAAGATCATTTTACTGGTTTACATTTCTATCGCCCACAAGAAACTTATCATGTTTCAGGAAAGAAATTCCTTCGACAAGAAGTTTTTCTTACACAAAGCGTGGCCAATATCCCGATGAGCAAAATTCAAGGTCTATGTCATGTACTGCACATCAAAGATTATTTCAAATACCAACCTGCTATCGAGAATCAAACGAACTGTTCATTAAATTTTCAAGATGTAGAGAAGGATATTTATGTTTGTGAATCACGGTATAATATCAAAACCAAAGGAGTGAAGAAGATCAAATGGTGGAATGTACCCGAGAATAAACGTGTTAAATTAATTCCAAGAGAAACCGTGCTTGAACCTGTACGTGAACAACTACCGCTGATGAACAATCATTTGCCACACCGACAATCGACGAGTGATAATGAAGTAAATTCCATTGAATGCATTGACAAAGTTAAAGAAACCATTCCATACGATTCGGTTATAAATGACAAGTTAAATGAAAATTTACCGGAAAGAAAGCAATTCTATGAGCAAATTGTTATCTCCTCCTCGAATTGTTTTTACAAGATTGGAGACTATGTTTACTACCAAGAAAATGATCAGATCAACAATCAATTAAACAAAAGATCCATTCTGCGAATCGAGAAGATTTGGCAAGACAATAAGTAAGTGAAAAGACATAAATGTTGTGTTTAGAGCAATTTGAAAGTGTTTCGCACTATATTTCAATATTGACATAAGAATTTTACTTAACAACGATTGTGTTTGATTCTATTACAACGACTTTCTTTACCAAGCAATCGAGATTCCTCGACAAATTTGAGATTGACTAATGATGTTTTGTTTGCCTTTCGCCACACAACTGTCGGAGCAATACAGAGAGAGAGACGAGTGTTTGCTAATAATTGATAAAATGCAGTTACTTCAGTGGTTACTGCCATGAACATCGCGACAATTTCTGCGCTAACAAAATAATTATAGGAAATGTAGGCGGAACTTTGAAGTTCTCTACATCCATGAGATTATTATATTGCGATTACAGATAATATATAATAATAATAATGTCTATTCTGTGTTATCATGGAGATACTACTGTTTTTTTTTCTTTATTATCGGTTGAAACCAATAGAAATTCACTGATTCTCTACTAACACTCGGCAATTTTAAAATAGTTTCTCACGTTTTTCAATCCTATGTAATTGATGGTGCTTATTATTCAATAGACACTCGAATGTCATTAGCAAAAGTATTCCGAAGAGTTATTTGTGTACTATTAACCGTTTTACTTTTAGTTCGTACATTATCAACGGATCAGCTTTTATTCGATCGTGTGACATACCTAATCGAAATCAATTAATAGTCACTACTAAAACTTCTTATGTGCAAGAAGTTGTCAAATGTGACAATTTAAATAAAGAAATCTCAGTTGACAATATCAAAGGAAAATGTTCCGTACTTTCATTGAAGCAATATCGCACTTGTAAATGATGCCTTTGATTAACATGTACCTTTTGTATAACCAAGAAAAATTGATTTTAGATCGTTTGACCGAGATTCCTGAAACAGACGTTTATGTATGCGAAGCAAAGTACATTCGCGATGATCACAGCCTTCGATCTATGACCAAAGGATTGAAAGTAGGTCGTACATATTTTCTTCGATTAATCTAATATCAATTTTCTTCATACTCTCATTCTCTAGAGAACGTCATTATCAATAAAAGCACTTGTCGATGAAATCTGGACTTTTCGTAAAGAACTATTGCTTAAACAAGTAATGAACATTGCTTTTTTTTCTTCCTTCTTTTGCTTCGTTCTCTGGCCTTTTTCTCTCCGTTCTTCGTCTCCCCTTCTCGATACGAAGGAAAGCCATAACTATGCATAGCGAATGCGTTTCTATCGATTTGCTCTTGTTAATCGTCGTCATTCGACGTCCGTGCCCACTTCTTTCTTTTTTCTTTCTCCTTCTTCGTTTTCTCTTTTTCTCTTTCGCCTTTCTTGCTTCTATGTATATGCGTGTGCGGCTGCTCGCGCTCGAGCTCGAGTAACAAAACAGGACGAGCGTGTACGCGTACATCGCCGCTTATTCTGTTTCCTTTCGACGTTGTCGTTTACTGAAAAATAACGCGACGGGCAAATATGAACACATAGAAAAGAGAAGAGCAATACAAAGTTAACTTTTCTTTTTTCTTCGTCCTGCTGCTGGTTATATCGACAAGTATACAGTGGTGCCGACGTTGTTACTGCTTGTCGACACAATTATTGTCGTTTGAATCAACGTATAGATATTATCGTGTGTGTGTGTGTGCGTGCGTGTAAAGCGGGATCCGAACGCGCGCAACAGAACAGAACTGTCGACGACGGCTTCCGTCCGTTCGTCGTCGTTTGTTTTGAAAAATCAGCATTCTGGAGATAAAACCAAAGGTAATGCGCGCGACGCGTGCATGTGTATGTGTGCACACTGGACGCCATGGGATGCGTTGTTGTCCCTTTTCATTCGTCGTTCGCTCGCCCTTGTTTTCTTTTTTTCCTCCATTTTTTCTTCTTTCTTATTTCTCGTACTACTCTTCGATTCAGGGTTCGCATGGCAAAACTGAGTAGGAATGATGTTACTGCACACGCAGCAAGTTTCGAGGTTAACAAGCAAAAAAGAACAACGTTTTACATATGGAATAGCGTAGGAGAAAAAAAGAAAACTAGGGCACGAACGACAGCTGTATTGTGTTGTTTTCCTCCGAAGACAATGTCATTGATTTTGAACTATTTAAATTCTTCAGGAAACTCCTGGTGGTCCGTTCAAATTGGTCGATGATGCCTCGTTTATGGGCGTGGATGATCAAACAAATAGTAATCATGCCAGTACCGTCGATGGTGACGAGCATCAATCGAATCAATTGAACTTTGAAACGGCCAACAGCAGTGCAACTAATACCAGTGCGAATACCAATGCTAATTCCTCAACCACACCAAATAAAAATAATACCAGTCGAGTAAGTCAATCAGTTCTTGAACATACGTTCTCACAATGAATTTCTTCGTTGTAGAAAAGTAGTCGACGTGGATCAGCAGCACGTGCACCTTGTGGATATCTCGTATTCGCAAGTGAATCACGAAAACGCTTGATCAAAGACAATCCTGGTATTCCGTTCGGTGAAATGAGTCGAATGATTGGCGATCAGGTACCAGAACGCAAAAATGTCGCACTGATTCGTCCACTTATATAATTCTTGTTTCTAGTGGCGACGATTGACCGCGAGTGAACGCGATATATACGAAGAGAAAGCACGCGAACGAGCAAGAGAACAAGAGGTAAATAGGCAATAAATGATAGAAACAAAAGATATCATATATACACATATATAGCAGGTTGTCAGCACACCGTCGACGCCAGTTGCGAATAACAGCATTACTCCAACAAGTTCCGATACACATACTATGCCAGTTATCAACCCACAACGAATTGTAAATGGTACGACTACTATTAACGGACACTATCAACCGAATTCTAATATGCAAAGTTAGTATTAAATGACGAAAAGTGTTGTATCTGACTAGGAAATGTAATATAGATGTTCATCAAATAAATGGAAATATTCAAACGATACAGAAACCACCAGCTGCTGCAATTGTTACATGTCCTCCACGAACACAACGACTTGTACACTCAGAAGCTTATTTAAGGTACTATTGTAAACATCGAGATATTTTATTTCATTCGTTTGTGTGTATATTTAGATATATTGAAAATTTAAAACCTGATAATCAATTTATATCTGATTGGCCAAAGCAATTAAAAGCTTCAATGAATAACACAACAAATGGAAATAATGCATCGCGAACATTACCATCCAACTGGCTTCTTAATGGTAGTCCTGGTCTTTATAATAATGTACATGAAGCATTATGGTCAATGAGAGATAATATGTGGTCAGACGTAATTCGCATTCGAAATGTCCTCTCGGATGAATGGTAATTAAAGACATGATCTTACTCCTTTGTCTGTTATTTAAACAAATATCTCCAACAATTGTTTATTACAGTAAAGATTTATGTATGACGGACTGTTGTAGAATGTAGTTTTCGTCCTGTTACTGGTTTGTTTCTGTTTATTTTCTCTCCTATACATATATATGTTGACTGTTTTCTTTTCATTTTCTTTTTTTTTTCTTGAATCTATCTATAATGATTCAGAATACACTAAGGCATATCAACAACTCATTTTATTTGTCTCTCGCCATGATACATTACGAAGATGTGTTGTTTGTCTCCTATCTTTGTTTGTGTGTGTTTTTATATGTACAGAGAGCATTATGTTACTAAACTAAAAGCGTCGAAAATTCAAACTATTGCTAGTGAAGATCAGATTTACGAATCATGGTCGAATGATGTTGTTAAGACTGCTATGTCTGTGTACGTTTTGAAACCAAAAATAGAAACGTTTGTGATTACTATAGATAACGGAAATTGTTATAGACATAGACGAAGTCCCTAAGTGGATTTCATTCGACATTATCTGTAAGATAGTGAGGGCACGTTGTTCTGAACACGCGTATCTTGTTTATCAGCATGTTTCAGAGAACTTCTGCAAGAAAACAGTTCTCAACTGTGAATATTCTCAATCAATATGTTTTCATATTTGCAATGAACGCATCATAGAAGACAAAACGGTTAGGAGGCGAAAGTTGTCTAATTGACTAAAAAAAAACCAGGACGATATATCGAATATACACAAAAAAATAATCATAATAACGTTATAGGATTTCAATGTAATTCTTGTTCTGGATGATGTTTCGATACCCAGCCTTGTGGCTTGGGAAGATTTGGATGATCGTCCCAAGCTTTTCTGGTTACATTTGGATTAATTGGACCAACAGTATCATAATAACTTAATGGATCACCATGATGTCTTTCCCAATCACGTTGCCGTGCTCGGTCTACGCGTATACGTCGAATGGAAACAAATAAACCAAATAAAACGCCAAGCAGAGCACCAATTACATAGTATTGTTTTCGATAATAAATATCCATATGCCATGGTGTTGGTAGACGTGCTTCGACAGGATCATTAGGAAAGTAATTTTGATAAAAGTCACGGATATTAAACGTAATTCCTTTCATCTCCGGCGTTTTCGCACGTGGCAATTCGTTGTCCGGTGGTGCGCGAAAGTCTGGATCTAACGACAATGGTGTTTGATATTGTTTTTGATCTTTCGAAGATGTATGGTGATCATTGGCTGTTGATGAAGCCGAACGACTTAAAAATCTCCGTTCGATTAGTTTCGAGTAGATTTGTCTTGATGATGAATACTTTGTAAGTAACATCGCGTCAAAGTGTTCGTATTGTTACGATTAAACAACGAAGAAATAACTGTGCTTCGCTTGTCTCGCCTGCGTACTCAGCTATTGACGACCATCTTGAATTCGAAGTCGTTTCAAGAAGGTTTCATTTTTATTTGAGAAAAATATCAAGAAAAAGAAAATAATTGAAGATTAGGATAATTAATTGAAATTTTCTAAAATAAAATGTTTATTTTACAGACAAAACAATGTTAGATGTTGAGAGATGATTGGTAGCGCCACGAGTAACGTCTGAGTCATCATTCGAGACAGTTCTTTCTTCTTTCCTAACAGACGATGATTCATTGGATATGAATGACATCAGATCCATGATGGTGCAGTTTTTCCATTTATATTCTTATTCATATTTAGATTCCTTTATTCATTTGTGATTTTTGTCGATATTATACTCTATGGAGCTTCCACACATCGGAAAGCATTGTTCAGTCGCATCATGCAATCGATTAGGTAAGTAACTCTGTAGAAATGGCCTGGATCTTCATTTTGATTGTATCCTTTAGATTTTCTTCCTATGAAATGCGATGCATGTGCTGCTGTCTTATGGTAATGCTTCCATATGAAAATTCTCTAATTTTCTGACAATTTTTTTCTGATATTTCTAGTAAAGATCATATTAAATATGACGAACATCGATGTCCATCGGCACATCGTAAAAACATTCAAATACCTGTATGTCCTCTGTGTAACCAAGCAGTTTCGTCGGTAAATCGTGATCAATCACTTGATGCGATCATCTCTGCACATATCGATCGCGATTGTAAGTCAGATCCAGCTTTAAAGAAGCGACAAAAAGTTTATTCCAACAAATGTTCATTGACATCGTGCAAACAACGAGAAGCAATTCAAGTCAAATGCGACAAATGTTCGAAGACTTATTGTTTGAAACATCGATTCCCTGATGATCATCAATGCCGAGGATTCGAAAATACCGGTCGAGTGATGAATCCCGCTGGGTCAGTTTTATACTCGTGAAAGTTTTCTTTTTAAACAAAACCTTTGTCTAGTGCTGCAGCAATCGAACGTTTAAAGAAAACAACTGCCAGTACTGAACAGAAACCAACTAGTGCTACTGCAACAACAATAGTAAGATTCTAATCGAATCAAATCGTTCTTTAAATGTGTTTGTAGAATGAAGATGAAGCGTTGGCATTAGCGATTAAACTATCTCTCAATCAAACGTAAGTTCCAATCGCATTGATCTTTACCAGATGCTCATAGTTTTTTTTTTCTGTGTAAATAGAACACAGGAGGATAATGATTATCTCTTAGCAAAAGCTTTACAAGAAAGTGAACAAGAAGAAGCTCGACGTAATAATCGCAATACAGTAAGTCTTGGATATTCCGTTCGATGTTTTCCTTATTTATATCTGTTTCAGCGTATTCAAACGAAAGCTTAATTGATAGTGGCAACATTGCACAGACTGTTATTTGTTTGACCTCGTATTCATGAGAGTATTTATTTTGTTTCGGTTAATATTGTATTTAAATAAAATATATTATTTTTGTATATGCTAAAAGATTTTTATGTGACTTGAGAAGCGATTATGAATGCAACGGTAATGATTGATCATTGAATCATCATCTTCACTATTGCATTGGAAAAATAGATATTGTTTTTAGTATGAAATTAGTTGAATATTAAGAATGTTCTAAAAGCTATTTTATTAAGCGAATAAAAGAGGTTAAAAAGGCACTAAAATCTTCCATAATAAACAATAAGAAGGTTAGATATTTGCACATTAGAAAAGAAATGTTTAATAGCTTCGTACGATTGCTAATTCACGATTAGTTGTTTGTAATTCATCGAACGTTTTACTGAAAAGTTTCAGTAATTTGGCGGAGACGTCTTCACGTGAAACAAATAATTTCGAGAGTTTGTGCTGAAGCTTGTCGTTCTTATTCAAATTTTCTTCTTTCCAAGTTCCCTGGAAGAGAAAGTTGTATGCTAGATGATACAAGTAAACAAATCTCACTTGAAAGCTTTCGTCGGTCGCCGACATGATTTCGTCGAGATCGTCTTGAGTTAAATTTAGAATTTTACTAGCAGTATTCATCGCCGAATCAAAGCCAGGTAATGTCATCGATAATGATTCACGTTGTTTTTGAAAATCACGAGCTTTTTTCAAATTCTCATTCATTTGGACATTCCGCTGGATCAGATCATTGAGAAGGTCCTAAATACGAGAATGAATTTTTCATTGTAGAAGAAACGATGAGCTGTCGGAGTTACGCGAATAAATTTTTCATATTCATTCGATCGTTGTAGTGTTTGATCCAGTTCCGATGTGATTTTCTTCAATGAGTCTTGACTTTTCGTATTTAATGTTAATAGTTGTTGTTCGGATATACGTCGTGATGTTGATAATTCTTCATTGAGTTGTTCGTTATGAAGACGTACTTGTCGAAGTTGCTGGTCAATTAAACGGTATTTGGTTTGGAGATCATCAGAACGAGTTTTCTATTGCAAATGAGGAGTTCAATTGGCTTAGTAATGAAAGTATTTTACCAGTTTTTGATGTTCATCGATTAGTTGAGTATGTCGTGAATCGAGTTCGTGCTTTTCACGTGTTATTGCTTGTAAACGAGTTTTATATGAATCGATCTAATAACAATGAATAGATATTTCTCGTATCAAGGCAATTCTTACTGATGCTTTCAATTTGTCTATTGTGTCGTTCAAAGCCTTCAATTTTTCTTCATCGTTCTATAGACATGAAAAAGTCAATGAAATCTAATTAATCGTGGACAACATACATTGCTTGTATTCTTCTCGTTTGCACGAGTCAAACTTGCTTCCAGTTCATTGATTCGATTTTTATACGTTTCTATCAATAAACGTTTGCTCGCTACGTCACGTTCAGCATGTGTTAATCTAAATCGAGAAAGTCAGATTAATTTCTCGAAATTTCTCGCACTTTACTTTTCAGTAATTGATTGTACAGTTTTTGTCAACAACTCATTTTCCGTTTGCAAAGTTTTATTCAGTTTTCGCTGTTGAGTTGCATCGTAGGAAGTATTCCGAAGGCGTTCATGTAAATTCTCTGCACTGTCGTTACTAATTGAGTCATGATTGACAGATACGGATTGATTGACTTTCAGTTTATTACACTCATCAGTAAGTTTCTGATCGAATGAGAAAAACGCATATCAGATTGGGATGAGAAAATGAACTACGAACTTGATTAGTTGTTTTGAGGATGTTAATACGACTTAATGTCATTGTTAAACGTTGATTCAGATGATCATTTTCTTCGTGAGAATTCGTCAGAGAACTCTGCAACTCTTCAACTTGTTTCCGTAGCGAAGCAATCTGAAAGAAAGTTTTCATTGAAAATACGTATCATTCGTTAGTCCTCACTCGAATCGTCGATGATTGATCGACAGATACAGGTGTCGAAGTTTTCCGAGTGATTTTCGGTAGAATATTTCGCCCATCTAAATAACCAGACTAAGATTTTTAAGGTTCAAAAGATAAGACTACAGACATCTTTTTCGCGGTAGTAGTTTGTCTTTTTGATGATTACATAGACTACACGATCGCCGTTGTCTTGGTCGATTAGACATCAGCGATTGATTTAATTGTTCATCGATCAATGTTGAATTCTGATCTAATAATAGTTCTAAGCATGTTTTGCTCATCATGGACTTTTTCGGTTTCTTCTTGATGACTCGACGATTGATCGTCGACGTCGATGAAGAATTGTTGAATTTTTTCTCGTTAGACTCCCGTTTTAGTTTATAAACTTGATCTTGTAGCGAAAGAATACGCAACTTGGCCTTTTTCAGTTCATTACTCAGTTGATTTTTCTGTTGTAGTAAGTGCTGTTTTTCATCGAGACATAAATTGTATTCAGTTTTCAAACGTTCTTGTTCGAACAGTAAACACGTTCGTTCATTTTCAAGTTCGTATAATTTTCGATCAAGCTCATGAATTTGCTTTATGTTTTCTGATTTGATAACGGGCGGTGGCGGTGATGGTTGATTATTTTCATCCTTCAATCGCTGGATTTCATTGCGAAGTTCATCGATGACGATGATTTGTTCATTGATTTCGACTTCTTGTAAATCAAGTTTTTCCTGCAAGCTTAAACTAAAGAGACCAATGAAAATATAGCTTATTTGTAATAAATAAAAGTGCTCATTACTTTTCGTTAGTTATTCGTGCACTTTCTCGTTTGTATTTGCTGATTTCATTCCAAACCTGATCGTCATCTTCTTGTTTCAATGCATTTCTTTTAACTCCGTTTGTTTTCTTCCATTGTTGATCATTACAAACTGAACAAATATTTCGCGTTTTCCGAATGGCTCTTCGATAAGAATAATCCTGTTTTGTATTGTTTTGTAAGATTTCATCGTCTGTATACGATTGTAACTCATCTTTCAATGATCGATATTGTTTTTGTAGATGTTTCAAGCGTAACCAACGTTTGTCGTGAACTTTCTTCAATGTGACAATGTGATCATCGCGATTAACAAGTTCTTTTTGAAGATTATGGAAACGGTCAGTTAATGCTTGGAATTTCTTTTGCAATTCATCGGTATCCAATGATGAACTATGAGTAGATGGCGATGTGGAGATTTTTCGACGAGATGATCTTGAAAGCGAAGTATTTCGACCGATATTTTCATGGCAACTTTGCCAACGACTTTCATGAGATAGATGATGACCCTTAGAAGATAATTTTTTGAAAGAAATGTCGAAGCAATTGTAACTTACTGGTTGCAGAGTATCCCGAACGCGATAGAGAGTGACTTTTAAATGTTCAATTTCATTGTCTCGATCTCGGATGATCTGAAAATAAAGAATTACGTTTCGAGAGGGTTGCAAAAATACTATGTTTTTGTTGAACTTACATTCTCCAGATTTATCATTTGTAATTTTAATGAATTCTCCTCAAAAACACCATCTAAATTAAGAAAAAGTACATCATCCTACCTAAGTTTATTAACTTTCTCCCTATTTACTTGTTTGTTTCTTTTTATTAAGATCATTGATTTCACTTCTATGTAAAGAAAAAGGATTGTATGAAGAAATCTTTGCATACAATGATTTACTTGAGATTAGTAATTGTTTGTTCTCGTTCTTCAATGATGGCTTTATACGAATCAAGTTTCTGTCGCCAAAGTTGAACATCTTCAATAATACGATCAAACGTCTGAAAAATATAGAGAATATCGCTTTGAATCATGGCGAGATGACAAACCTGAATTTTCTCTTGATGAATCGCGTTGACAGTTACTTTCTCACTTAGCTGTTTTGTTAAATCGCGAATTTGCTCATACAAACCTAACATTTCGTATACGTTCAATACTTCATCACTAAATTAATCTGAACTATTCTTACGTTCATTTTCAGATTGAAAATCATGCACCGTTTTCTCAAATGTTTGCACCTGTAATTGATGTAATTGTTCGAATGTACGTGTCTAAAGTTCACTTGTACAATAAACAAGGAAAAGTAAAGAATATTCTACCTTTTCGCTGAATTGTTTCAAACGATCTTCAAGACTTTGAAATTCGACATTGCGCTTCTTGAGTGTATCAGTTAAAACTTGTTCACTACATGTCAACGCTTGATATATTGTAGACAAAGATGTAGAGTAACTCTTACCGCTCTTCAAGTTTTTGAATGGAAGCATTTTTTTCTTGTATGACTCGCTGTAGTTTTTCAATCAGTTGCTCCCGATTTTGTGAACGGACATCATCTGTACTACTGTCAATCTTTCCTGACAGAGTGTTCAGTATCCTTGAAAAGAAAAAAAGATCATTTAATTACTTCTAGTAAAATTCGCATTGTTTTACTTGAATTCATTAGCAACATCTGCTATAATTGGAATACTATTTAACTCAGTCATCTAATTGAACATTGAACATGCGGTCAACACATCTTCTCATCACGCATTAACTACTTCAGTTGTCTTAGTGATTCCTTCTTTCCTTCTGTTAGGATATAGGTGTTGAATTGTGCACACTGCACAAGTGTGTTGAATGAATAGAATGAAGTGAAAGAAAAGGTATGACATACTCGCGGTAGTTGAAAAAATTCTCCCCAGTTTACTCAGAAAAAAGATGTGTGCGCTTCGGCAAAGGTAAATTTGTAATTATCATTTTTTACTAGATGACCGCCGTCTGCTGATCATAATAGAACTTTACTAAATGCCCTTGTTGACACGCCTTTGTCCGCACTGAGTGTATATATAGTCCCAATCGAGATTCTTCTCTCTTGTTAATAACATTTTTCTTCTTAAGGTACACCGAGTTTCTTCAATCAATTGAAAGTAAAACAGTTATATGTTTTTAATTGTTATCACTTGGAACTTCTCTTTCTTGCTCTAGCAATGCCACCGAAAAAAGGAACGAATTCCAAAATATCAACTTACAATACAGCTGAAAGTGAAAACGAAACAAATCACATGCAATTAGTCTGTTGATTTTGAACCATGTATCAATCTATTTAATCTTGTGTTCAATGTTTGTTTTTCAGAGAGATGAAGATGATAACGATCAGGAATCAGCTGAAAACTATGGAAAATCAAGTCCAAAGTCAAAACGTTCTGACGTGAGATACTTGTTCTTTCTTTCGATATAATTTTTCCATCATTTCATTTAGCATAAACAACATGGCCAGACTCACCGACGAACTGAAGCCGAATTACTTCAAGAAGAAGCAGCTGAGGTACGTGCCAAGTAACTCGTCTGTCTCTTGACTGTTTTGCTTTAGTTTTTGGAGCATGCTGACAAAAAGAAGGAAATGGCGGAAGATGCCGACGAAGAACGGACTGGTGGTTCACATTCATCAAAGAGTACGCCGTCCAAGAAAGCCAATGCTCGTGGTAACAAACGTCAGCAAGGTGGATCAGCATCCAAACAAGATGAAGAAGAAGGTACTATTACAATATTTCATTCATTTTAATATTTCTTTTTCGTTGCAGATTATACTGAAGAAGATGAAAACAAATCTTCTTCCAACAAAGCAACAGGAAAACGTGCAGGTGCAGCACGGAAAAATCAGAAAACTGATGATGATGATGATAATACTGGAAGTGAAAGTGCATCACCAAGCAAGAAAACTAAAGGTCAACCAGGTCGTAAGCCAGCTCGAAAAAATAAAACCGATTATCAGAAAGATGAAAACAAAACTGGTAAGAAATGCATTCCTATATTGATATCGAATGATTTTCTGAATCTTCCAGGCAGTGGAGAAGATGATACCGCCGAAAGTGAAGGTCAATCACCAATGAAGAAAACTAAAGGCACACCTGGTCGTAAACCTGGTCAAACAAAGAAAAATACTAAAGCTAAGGATACTGATCAACAAGGTTTGATTCATTCTCTGTTTGAAATATTCTTACAACGTATTTCGTTTAGTAGTTGATGATGATGACAACATTGAAGATGAAACAACGTCACCTAGTAAGAAGCCTAGAGGTCGACCAGGTCGTAAACCCGCTCGAAAAGGTAAAACCACGCCGAAGAAAGATACTGATCAAGAATCAGAAAATGGTAATTAATCGTGGAAAGAAGACAGGACAAATCGACAGGGTATTAAATTTCAGGTACTGGCGATGATAATACTGAAAGTGAACGACAGTCGTCGGCCAAGAAAACTGAAGGTAAATCAGATCAAGCAAAGAAGACCACGGCAAAAAAACGTACTCATGAACAAACTGAAAATGATATTGGTAAAAATCTGAATTCTTTCCTGATCGATTATTGATGACATCAGTTTCTTTTTAGTTTCCGAAGATAATGATGAAAATGCCGAAAACGACGGTCCATCATCGGCTAAGAAAGCTCGTACCAAAACCGCCAGTAAACAAACTCGAACAAAACCAACTACCGATCAAGAAATCGAGCAGGATTACGGTAATGCTTCCAAAATTACTGTCGTTTTTGCTTTGAAACGTATTGATTAACTATGTAGAAATGAAAGATGAAAGCGATGCAGCACTTTCCGAGAAAAAGACTTCAGCAACTCATCAGGGTAAGCCTCCAGGCTCGCCTAAAAAGCCACATGAAAATATTGATCTAGTCTCTGATGAACTCGAACTTTCCGAAGATGAAAGTTCAGCTGACAACGAACCAGCAAAACGATCTCCTCCATCATCAGCTAAAAAAACTGACACATCCACCAGCCGAAAACGCGCTGCCGAAGATGAACCATTCGATGATCGTACAAATAAAGAAGACGACACGGCAGCTGAAACCAATACTGACGATGGTGAATACCTTTTCTTTCCCTATTCACTCGATTTTGATTTCCTATAGATGCTTCATCGGCAAAACCAACGAAAACAACTCGCTCTGGCGGCAAAGCTCCATCATCAACCTCAAAAGCCAATTCAGCCAAGAAAACTAAAACCGGTTAAAATCACGTCAATGCCGAAGACACAAAATATTGAATTTCTTATTGATACTTGTATTTATTCTTTTATTGCTATTGTACAGTTCGATTTCTTCTGAGTTTTCTTAATAATGAAATATATGTCTTATGTATTTTTTTATATTTCTCATATTAATCCCAGCGTTTCAGTGTGGACAAGTGTAATTGACATAAACATGAGCAAGATTAACCCTTATCTTAATTCTATTTCTTTCTTCATATCACTCAAACGGAGAGTATAGAGTTCAATTTGTTACCATTTGATATCGAATTTAACCGGAAAGTGATCACTAATCTCAAGTGCTTGGTCTAATGTCATGCCAAATCGAGACTGAAAATCAACTGTTGTATTACTCCGTGATACGATAGCTTTGACGAAGTTATCTCCATTGATGAAAATGCGATCGTATGTACATGTTCGTCGTGTATTAGTTTTCACTTCATTGTTGATCATCCAAGTAAAATCAACAAAATTAATTGACCTACAAAATGTTTCTTTGTATATGCAATCGAAAAGTGAAGTTAATCTCTACATACCGAAGTGTTTCTTGACGCTTAGCAGAAATGTATGAGCAATCAGCATTGAAGTCGCCAATGATCAGAATTGGATGATTACTTTTCAAACTTGGTTTCTTACTGTCCGTCGCATCGATGACATTTTGTGCTAATGCTTGCGACAATGACGTCGATGCATCAGTAAAATAACGAGGATATTTAATAATAAAATCTCGTATGACACGACGCATGTCAATTAGTTCTTGATAAGCTGAATCTGGTCGTAAATGAACATCCATTATTGTAAAATATTTTACACCCGACGAACCTTTGCTCGTCACTTCAAATGTTCCAATAAAACTAGAAGAAGATTATTTAGAAAAGAAGATACAAAGACACACAAGTCGATATCTCACGGTGGTCGTTCGAAATAATCTTCTGCATCTTCATATAAATAATAGTTGATTAACTTTACACCTGATGTTGATTCACGATTGAAAAATATAAATTGTTCCTTTGATGATGATCGTCCAACACGTTCACTCAATGTCATCGTGTATGGTTTCGTTTTCGAAACTCTATTTAACGCATCAAATAAAACATACGGAGCTTTGATATTAACATCAGTAATTTCTTGGATCACAGCAATATCGAAATCATTTATGATCTTTGCAACAGTGTCTGTCAGTGTGACATTAGCTGCCTTCTTACTACCATATTGATGTAGGTTGAACGAACCAATTCGGACAGCCGATATGGATATGTCCAATATAAACATCAAGGACACGACGGACGTAATAATTTGCATCTTCTCACCGATATTTTTTATATCAAAGCAATACCTTTTCTCGATAGACGATGCTTATAATTTATAGTAGTGTTAGTTCTGTTTTTCATCTTGTAGGCGTCATCCTCGACAAAAAGCGAAGAAACACTAATATTTCATGAATCATTTCTCTTTGATTACACGATTTATAGGTAAGTACGAGAAAGGAGTTTGTTTTCGTTATTAATCGAATACAAAGCACTCCTTCAAGCTTCACAAAAATAGCAATTGAAAATATCGAACATATGACATTTTTTCTATACTTGTTAATATCGCGATTGCATTTCAATACTGTTTTCGTTTTTGCGATGTGTTTTATCCATATTGTCTTAAAATAGATTAAAGTGCGAAAACTCAATATTGGGAGATAAGAAACGCACTTTCTTCTAAATGAAGTGTCGATAACGGCGAGTTATGTGACTTTATACACATCGTCTTCGAATTTGAAACTCTAATTTTCTTTCTGAAAAGAAAAGGCAAGAGAATGGAAGGATAGGAAACGTAATGAAGGCAACTATAGGAGGAGATCGTCGTTAGTTGTCGAACAGAGGTAATTTACGAACTCAGATCAATCTTTATCTTCTTTCAAGTGTGCTAAGCGACATAATCTTATTGTTTCAGTATATGGTCAAAGACAATGCCATCGAGTTGCTTGTGATTTGCATTGTCTGAATATCGTCAGCAGTATTACAATTCTTTGAGAGAAGGCCAGCGAATTCAAAGGTGGAGTGCCACTTGTAGAATCATCAGACAACCGTTGATGTTCGACAGATGATTATACATATCCTCCGATATTTTGTTTATTATATCTCATCTCAGTCTCACATACGTAAAAATAGAAAAGAAAAGAAAACAGAATTCTTGTTGTTTGCTGTAAAAAAAGACCATCCTCATACACAAATCGTAGAGTGAAAAAATAGATGTAAAACAAACAAACAAACAGAACAAAGGTAATGAGATATGTGAAACAAAGAGAAGCGGTATGAGGAAGACAGAAACAGCAGTTATAACAGTTGGACATAAAAGAATTATACATATACAACAGACAATACACACATACATATGATCATTCGCCAGCAAGGAACATATTTTGTAGAACAGTGAAAAAAGAACACTTCGTTGTTCGCGTAAACGAGAGTATCTGGTGGAAGGAAAATAAAGAAAGCATCTACCGATGTACAAACAAGAAATGGCACGAAAATTGAGATTGGATAGCACACGATACGAAGAAAACCATCGGATTGATTTAGAAAAATCCAAGTGGTTTTTTTATATTTGTTTGTTTCCAATATGGTAAAGCGTAATATTCATCCTTTGTCATACGAAATTCTTTCTAAATAGACATTCATTGAACATTACTCTCCGTATGCGAACAAATGAAATATTCATCATACTTGAAAATCTTCATCCGAAAGATATGATTCGATTTTGGATGGATCAACACCTAGAAAACACAGGATTGTTCGATTTTTTCAATTTATTTCTTTTATAATTTACCTTCTGGTAGTGGACGAGCTCGAAGTTCTTCTATCGTATACTGTTCACGACATAGTTTCTTCAATATATCAGGCACTGAATCCTTTTGATTCACGCTTTTGCCTTCCTAAAAGAAAACAAATTGTACTTAAAATCGGATCATGTGACAACACACGTACTAGTTGATTTTGTTGTCGTGCTTTCATATGAACCGTCCATTTTGGAAATAGATTAATAAATTCAATTGGTTCTAAACCAGCATATACTATTGAACAAGGTAAATCAACAGTAGATGAACCAGTTTTCGCTAAAGAAAGAAAAATTTATGATTATCCAATTGGTGGAAAGATGATTTCAATTAACCTTTACAATATTCAACAACTGTACGCAAAGCACAACGACGTTCAGCGGTAAAACGCAGGTCGTTCGGTGCGCCAGCTTGAATATTAGCATTATTTAATTGTACATCAAGTTCATCGTCGGACAGATCATTCCAACCTTGCCATATGAAGATTTCTGAGTGTGCATCGACTAAACATAGTGCGGGTTGTTGAAGATCATATAGATCAGCTTGAGTGAATGGAAATGCTGAGATATGATTAGGAGAACGAAGAAGATACTGAATTTCTTGAGCAACAAATGGACCATGTAGACTCGATAGATGAAAGATTCGCATCGTTGCAGTTAAACTTGTAACTGTTCGAGCTAGAAGAGCAAACAATCGGTGTATTATCATCGTCAAATCGATAACTTACTGTTTAATAATGAGAAATATTTTCGCTGATGATTTGACTCAGGAAATATGTCCCAAAATAAATCTGTTTCATCACCTTCTTGCATTTCATTAAATTCGATATATTCATGTTTATCATTGAAATGAAATTCATCTGGACGTCTAAAATCAACAACAACAACAGCAATAATCGTCAAAATCGTTAATCTTACGAGAAAAAAGTGAACAAACCTTTCCCGAATTTTCATTGTTGATTTATTTGCTAAACTTTTTTGTTCATTCGTCGTTCCACACCCATGCCAAAGTATCATTATATTTGCAATATTGTTAATCAATAGAAATGATGTTCGACTACGCAAGTTACCATTGCTCAGATTCAACTCCCACCAATGAGTTTCGACATCAATCTCGCCGAGAAACACATAGAGATGCCAAGGCGAAGTTCTCGTTGGATTAGATTGATTACGTTTACCCATATGGATGGTTAATGTTCCATCAAATAATTGCAAAAATGTTGCTTCTTCATGATCTTGATTAACATGAATCTAAATTAAAATCATCAAGTTCAATTATCTCCTCCCATTCAATAAACAGATAACGATCATCTACGTACATGTGGACCTTTTTCTTCGTCGAGAAAGACGGTCATTAATGCTGAAATACCTTTCTCATTAGGACTAGCATTGACACCCTGCCATATCCAATAAGCAACACGATCTCGACCAGTATCTGTCTTTCTTACAGATGCTTTACCAGTTGTAATTGAATGAAATCCTATGGAAACAAAGTTTGTTGTCTGACAATGTCAAGCGACAAAGATTCGAGAAATAGTTACCTGATGCGACTAATTTGTATCTCCATCGAATGATATAAACATCATCTGTATGAAATTGTCCGTAGCTTGACTTATTCACCTCGTGACGTTCATTGTCACTGACATGCCAAACATTTAGTGAGATTGTTTGAACATCATGACCACGCAATTCAATTGGATCATACCAATGTTTTCCTCGTCCTAGACTTGCTTGCTCAAGAACCATGTTCACTGGATTATCTTGTCTAGCGAGCATCTTTTGAACATCGGCTGGCTTCAACATTTCAACGATGGACGGAGGCTAGAGAGATCAAAATTTTCAATTAATCAATCTCTTCGAATAACTCGAATTCATACACGTCTTGCAGATGGTATACGATTGACATTATTTGCAGCATCGTTAACCGGTTTAAGTTCTTTAAGATCACCAGGCCAATCGTAGAATTTTCCTTTGAATAGCAACGTTTCCACGTTTTGATTTTGTTTCCCAAATACACACCATGTTGGCCGTTTAGTACCCGTTTGACCTCCAGACTCATTTTTATCTAAATAAAAGTATAATAACAAAAATGATTACATTGAAAACAATGGTACCATCTAATGGTTCAAATGGATTGATTAAACATTCCGAGAAGTCGTATGGATCATTCCATAATTGTTGTGCTAATTGTAAACCTACATTACGTTTGTTTTTATCAGCATATTTGCCATTCCAAACATATAATTCTGAGCCGAAATCAAATACGAAGACTTCATTTGGATCGAGAATTTTTACTGATAACGAACGAAAACAAAAATCGTCTAACGGAATAAGCATATCATTATCTAGACGGTAGACACGATTTAGTTCCATAACATTCGCTTCGAAATAATCATCATCCGTAACAAGATCCATTGATTTGAAGTTTTCATCATCACCATGCAAAATATCAGCAAATTCAGCATAAATATCAGTTTCTGTATCATCATTTGCTTGGTCTAAGATAAAATATTTCACTTCACTGCGTAGACCGAAATCACGTTGTTGTTTCAAGAAATCGATCACATCCATTGTCTTCGCTTTTTCCAATGCATTGGCATAATGCCCAAGCCAAGCGAACACTTTCGATGGAGTGATTAACAAATAACAATCACCTTCATTAACCGAATCAAATATCGGATTAACCAAACGTAATGAACAATGGCGACGACCTTTGATTAATATCAACATCACGTCTTTATATGGTTCATAACCAAATGTTGCAACAGCTGAACGATCAATTTTCCGTAGATTGATTTCAGCGAAGTTTTCCGTCGCTGCCAATGCAGCTAACGCTTCTTGAGCAAGACCAGCATTTTCCGCGACTAGAATAGATGAAAAGTAGAAACTCGATTTTAACCAGGCCACACATTAATCGTCAAGTCTCGATACATNCAGGTTTAGGAGTATGTTTATTTTCAAAAGGTCGATTCCAATCAGTAAAAATTTTTGTTGGCATATCTATAAACAATAGAAAAACAAAGACAAATGTCGAGAGAGATTCATTTTCATTGTTTGCTACAGACTGCAGGAAAGGAGAAGCAAATTACAATACACGTCTGTACGTATGTCAAGCTCTAATTTATGTCCGGCATATGCATGTTTTATGATTCTATATTGTCGATGAAAACGTGTGACGAGAGAAAAAGAAAGCGAGAAAGAGAGAGAGAAAACAGCGGAATTGAGAGTGACCATTTGCAGACGCACTCAAAAGTAGTTAAATTAGTCGATGCTCTCGTCAATGAATTCATCTGAAAGAGGTCGACATGACGTCTCATTTCAACTTCTCCTGCTGTACATGTTCGATTCAATAGGCAAATGGAAGCTTACACGTACCTGTTTGATCTTGATTCGTATTGAAATTGTCGACAGCATCATGAAAAACATCGTCCATTGGTGGCGGTGTTGAATAAATCTCTTCGGAGCGGGAGTAGATTAAATTACGTCGTTTTGTCGTCGGTGTACCTGACGTTTGAGCATAAAGTCGTGAATCGATCAGCGATGATCCGGTTTCTTGTTCGTGTTCCATCAGATTTCGTTCTCGCTGTTTACTATTTGTTATTTTTATCGTTGACAGTTGTACAGGCAAGTTTGTTTTGACCAATCGACTTGTCTGGTCGGTTGTAATCTCATCCTGATGAATAGCATTCGTAAATCTCGTGCTTGTACCACTATTACCAATGTCGTAGTTAGATATTGCTCGTGTATGAAGGGAACGATCTTTTTCTTCCGGTGATGAAAAAACTATACGAAAGGAATGGATAGAATAGCAATGTTGGAACAACAGTTGATGTCGCAATCGCTATGACGAAAAAAGAATCAAGAATGGAAGAGAACAAGCAAATGACAAGGAATTCTCTCGACTATGAAATACACAGGATGCTACACTGGGGGCTAAAGGGGCAATCTCTTACACAAATATGTTTGTGCGAATAAGCAGAATGACAAGCTCGTACAACTACGAGAGAGATAATATCGACGAAAACATCAAGAGAAAAACGTTTAGAACAATTTATTACGATGTCCAATATCATTTGTCACATTAACATATCGAAAATCAAGCGTACGAGCGAAGTGATCCTCTTGGTTTTTTTTTCACTAATAGCTATTTACAGTAGAGACGAATATGAATATTTAATTTTCGTTATCTGTGGAGGAAAATATTCTCTTGTTGTTTTTTATTGCATTCCAAGGCTTCTTTTTATCATCAGCTAGCCTCGTAGATTACTGTGTTGTGTATTCTTCTAGTAATAGACTTCTTATCAACAGCTTTCCGAGGGTAGAAAAATATAAATAAAAAGCATATTGGTTCTATTTATGCTTATTTTGTACTTAGTGAATCTCGAGTTCGGTTAGATGAAGGTAATTGACAGTTGATCAAGGAAGAGAACGAACGGGTTTAAACGGGAAAATAATAATAATAATAATCTGTGTTAGCTCTTCAGTTGAAAACAAGTTGGTCTCGTTAGAATAGAATTTGATCACATTCTTGTACTTTCTATACTCTTTTCCAGATGTCAAACATTAATATCAAATAATACATAACTACAAGGATATGTGCAGAAAGGAAAAGCTCAGTTCCTTCATTTCTTTTCATTAGTCTAATAGAATTCGTTGAAATGTACAAGTCGATTCAAAAATCTGTTAGTAGATATTATCTTCCGGCTAATCATCTTCATAATTGCAACCAAACGTAGCGAAATTCGTGCTTTTATAGTAAGAATAAATATCAATTGAATGGCACACAAGAAGTGCATCGAAGAAAAGAGACGAGTCTGTTGTTGAGATAACACTCAGCGATGAATGCCCTTTTTTTGGCAAGATGTTTGTGTAGGTGGTCTTAACTACTTATATGTTATATCTATCTTTATATCCACTGTTAAATTCTGTGCAGAAGTCGATCGTATACTCACTCGGCAAAGATTTGTCTGATATGCCATCGGTTTTCGAGGTAGTGCAAAGCCTAAAGAGAAAAGAATACATTTAGACTTTTTGGCAGTTCAATTACAAATCGGGAATAAATGACAAAAGACAACTGTTCGCTTTCTCTGGCACAGAAGAAAAATTGTCGTTTTCATAAGATGAAATCTGTCTGTACGTACCAAGATCCCATGATTAGTGTTTTCACTAGATGGTTTAGAAGCGTAGTCAATCAGAAGCGAGTAGACAATAACACTTTCTTGAGTTGCACATGTTCATAAATCAACGTAAATGAAGACAAAGAGAAAAATGTTCGATTATCATCATCATCGACATCATCATAAGAAAAAGAATATGTGCACTGTACGCTATCGATGAGTCGTACTTTTTCCGCTTGATTATATAAACTTCATTCGTATAGGTCGACGAGTGGTGAGAGATGTTGACGACGAAGAAATGAGAAATCACAGCATATATGTACATATATCCGATACAGAAATTTTGATAAATGCAACGCATTAATATCTCTATCGTGATGAAGATTGTGTGGGTGAAGGGAGTCGAACACCAACGTCATCCACCGACTACCAATATGTCATCGATTTCTTCCTCGCTTATTCTTTTTCTTATTATCAATATTAGTCTCAGTTATTTCCCATTTGAGATTACATTGTACTCGAATCATTTCTTCACAAAACGACGCAATACAATAAATTCTCTCTTCCTTTCATCACTTTATCTTTAGATGAACATTAAAGACGAAGTGATGATATACTGTATTGAACATACTTAATATTGATCTTCTACAATTCATCATGTCATCAACATCATCGAAATAGACGAGAAATTCTCACCCTTAATCTGTTGCGTGGATAAAAAAGGAAAACTAATAACACTACTTGCTAACCTTGTAGTTCGAGAAAGACAACGATCGAAGATCTCATCTACTTGTGCGCAAGGTTTTCCTTGTGTTTTATCAATACCAATTCTCGTCAGGATAGGTCTAACGAGAAAAGCAATCAATATAGTACAATACACCGTTTTTCATCAAGGTTTGTTGCTCTTGTTCGTGAACCGAAGAAAACATATTGACCATCAACGCTCATGGTCGATATACAAAGATCGGCTCTCGAAAGAACATTATATGTTGAACGGAGTCCTAAGCGTCTATGTTTTTCTGTTTGTTATTTCTTGATCCTATCGATTGATTGACATGATAGCATTACAGATTTTCTGTGAAGAAACAAACAGATTGGTTCTTCGTGTTTCCAAAGGTCGTTGGTTTGTTATTGATTATGGCATCATCAAATTAGACCAACACAGCGCGAAAACAAGAAAACAGTATATGTATACGGAGAGAAAAAGTAAATAATAAACAATCATTTCGTTTTCGTTTTGGTTGATCTTATCGAAGAGAATTTTTCTAATCAAATTCCAAGTTTTCATACCACAGTAAGTGAAAAACAAAGAAGCAGAAGAAGAAAAAATCCACATTTTGAAAGACTACATAATAACAATGGAAAAAATCCAATGAGTAAAAAACAAACACACATGATAATGCACAGAATCATTCAATTTTCATTTTGTCATTATGTAGCGCAAAGATTTAGAAAAATGACCATGGGTTGCAAAAGACATATGTAAAATAATTGAGAGAAAAGACATGAAGTTGCCAAATTTAGTACGAAAATACAATGTTTACTGAAATAGAGTTATTCATTCAACGGCCAATTGTCCTATAAAGTAGAGGAGATGAATTGATGAATTTCAACCATAAACAGTTTCTCTAGTTGACAGCGACAACATGTCTGCATAATATAAATGTACAGATGACCCAGTCAAACTTCATATCAATCCACAACGATCGAGCACACATCATAATCGTGCTATCAAGCAAATCATCCATAAGAGGACAAAGGGGTAGAACACAAGTAAATACAAAACATGAGCATATAATTAGATTTATATGCATAACGGAATGTCTCGCTATCATGCAACGACAAACAACAACAACAAAAACATTTAAACTAGAGTTTTCTTTAACATTCATAACCATAACGATAAATATGAATGCGTATTACAAGCGTGAAAAGCATAGCAGATATCAAGCGATAAAAACAAGGTATAAGGGAAATCAGTAGGTCTAATCTGATGATGCATATATATATGAAGGCATATCGAGGGATATTAAAAAGTAAATTAGTTGCTGTCAACTAGGTATTACGTTTGTTTTTTGTCTAATGAAGATAAGAATCAAAATCTATGACTTACTTTCTGGGTTTGGGTATGCCACAAACAGAATCATCACTATCGAAATCAATGTTTGTGGGTTTTGATACAGCTCGTCGTGTATTTGTATTTTGATTATTGTATTTGTCAGGTAAATTTAATTTTCGATTATTAAATGTCATGGAATCTAATGATTTATATCGAAGTAATGTGTCTCGATTAATACGTTCAATATGTGCAATGGATGACGATGATGAACTAGATGATGATGCTGATAGATTTCCGTCTCCTCCGGTGATTAGATCACGGCTAGTTGAACGTGGTTGTCGATTGAGTTTGTTTTCTTCATTTTTATGCGTTGGTGGATAAAAATATGAATTGTTATTTTGAATTGTCGAATTTGATGGCGATACTGGTCCTTGATAGAGATCGGCACTCTTAGACCGTTTCATTTGTTTACGTCGTTGGAAACGGCGACGGGATTGTTGTTGTCCACCAAGTACCCGTTCATCTTGTTGTTGCTGTTGATCGGCGAGGGTCGAACGTAGTGATCCTTGAGATGGTTGATGAGCATTGTTTAATGAAGCATTAATTGCTGTTGTTGATGATGCAAATTCTTTCGGTCGGTAATGATATGAACTTGGCAAAGGATAATTATCAAACTGTTCATACGTATTATTATTACTAATGATTGTACTGTTACCATTTCGATATGCCGAAGACGGATTTGTTTCCTAAGAAAAGAAAGCATGGTGGATAATTTAATCCTTTTCAAAATATGAATAGCTCACCTTGGCTTGGTAAAGATCAATTTTTGTTGATGGGCGATATTTTTGCTGAGTAGGATTTAGTGATGAAGCGACACTGGCAGAACGCCCATTATACAATAGTGTCTTATTATTATTATTAGATAATTGATGCGATGAGCCATGTGAAGATGACATTGAGGTTGATTGAGGTGCTGGATAAGATGACGAACTTGAAAATGGTTGAAATGTATGCGATGGAGGAGGTGCAGGAACGGTGATAGTTTTAGCCGCAGGTGTTGGATACGAAGGGTTCGGCATAAGAAAATCGGATTGGCGGACATTCTGATGACGAATTACACCGCCAAGTGAAGCAGCTGAAGACGATGTTGATGTATTGGTGGGAGTATTTCCCACACTATTGAGTATAATACGTGCTTTAGCTGATGCTGATGTCGTCCGCGGCGGTGGTGATATATTGCGCGCCGTCATTTGTGTTGATAATGTTTGATACAACGGACGATTCATAGTCGTATCGATCGAATAGGGTTCGACTTTCGCTACATTTCTTAGACGTGTTGTTGAATTGGTCATTTGATCATGATCATTCAGATGACGAAAACGATATGTTTCATGTGAAAGTTCAGATGCTGGCATTTGATTGCTTTGATTTAGGCGATTGAGTGATTCAGTACTAAAAATACAGTTACAGAAATAAACAAACGTCGATCAATCATATCTTATATATAGATATAAAACAAAAGAATTACAATTATGTAATCGATCTAATTGCCTCGATCACTACGTAGCTAGGCACATACTATTCAAGAAGACAACGAGGAAATAGGACGAGAGAACTGATCGACAACTGACTTGCCGTCGAGCATCAGTGATAACAAATAAAAACTAAATCCTTCAATTTAACAACAGTCTAGAGAGAGAATGTTTAGATTCAATCACACTTCTAAGCAAACGTTGATGAAGAGAACGAGGATATCTGTTTCTATTTATTTTTGATTTGTGCCCTTTTCATTCTCTATCGTCCGTCGGCTGAGAAAAGAGAGAAAAAAACGAGATAAAGAATCACGATGCTGTTCATGTACAGAGTCAAATCTTGTCAAAAAACATATACACGTACGCAGCAAGCAAAGAAATGTACCACCACGACTACTTTATATGCTTATCTTTTATTCTCTCGTCATTCTTGAGAATAAATCTTTGTAATTCGTTTCGAACGAACGAAAGAGCTTCCGAATAGTTCTTTCGTTCGATCGTTCTTTACTTAGAACAGATGATTCGAAGTCAATTTGAACATGTACCAAATAATGACTATAATCATAAAAATACGCGTTGATACTTTTTGTATTTAGATGAACAGAAGACAGATGCTCATCCGATGTTAAGTATTTGTGCACACACATATACATATATATAAAGTGTGGCACGTACGTATGTGTTTGAATGAAATATGAGAAAATGTGCTGAAAATACGTAAATGAAGATTATTTATAAAGAGATTTATCGAAATTTATGTCAATCGCAAGAGATAGAGAATATTTGAATGTGACCTTGCTTGATTTAGTGTATTTTGTACGGTAACGAACAGCTGATAGAGATATACGATTAATATTTACGAATGTGTGAGAGGTATTATGCGACTAACAATGTCGAATACTTCATTTTCGTTTTGTTTTTCTTTACTTGAAGTAATGCAATTAGATTGATACTTATTTCATTGATCATTGAAAGAGAAAAAAAGAAAAACTGAAACACTCGACCTCCTATTAACGCCTCGAGCAATGTTACATATGGTCGAACTAATAGCTATGCATTTACTTTCAATATCAACCGGATTTTCTCTTCCTTCTTCTCATACATCTTTGTCTTTAGCAATTGGTCGCCTGTTTACAGTGTAAGATGAGATAGCTTTCGTACGGTCATTGGTTTGATGTGTAACTCAATCAGCAGTGACGTCAGTATGTTGAAAAACATGAACTCTGATGACAAATGATGACGGGCATATAAATACACTAGAGACTGCTTAGAAATAGAAAAACTAGTAGTAGTGGGCGACGAAATGATAATGGACAAGAAATCAGTCGGCGTCATTTTTGTTTCACTAAACTAGAAACTCGTCAATGTACTCGATCGGCTATACGTCAATCAAGGCCGGAAATTTTGTCATCTGTTCTCTTAGTTTCGATCGTATTGCCTCCGTTGATGAAGAACAGAAACTTTCGGCATACCTGTCAATCGTTTTATGACTTCGAAGAATAGGCCGTTTGATGAGCGTTGGAGTAGATAGACTTTCCTGAACAATTGTTGTCGGTTTAGTGATATTACCATTTGATAGTGGATGTTTTTGTGTTTCGGTGGAAATCGAATTTGGAAGTGTTGGTGCAAGTGATGCTGTTGAGGAGAATAGTTCATTTTTATTTAATTTTGTGTCATTCGTATTTAAACTGGGATTGAGATTAGATTCCACGGAATCAATTCGATGTTGTTTATTTAATAAAGCAGTCGATAAATCGATTGAAGACTTCGGTGTGAACAATCGTTGAAGTTTTCTAACCGATGAACCGTTGATAATTGGCGCCGAATTTTCATCAAAGTCATCAATCTCTGTGTTTTCGTCATTATTATTGATACCCATAGTACTGATACTTCGACCAAGTAATGGTCGATAGGATTCTTTTCCTTGCTGTTCATTGATTAGCATTCGTGGTGACGGAGGTCGAACTGGACAAGTAGTTGGCGATGATGGTGTAGTCGGAGAATACGATTCCAACTGTAGACGTAAATCTCTCTCTGATTTACTTATTGCAGCACAAACTCGTTTCGTTCCAGTGGTAATCAATGGCTGATAAGCATTTGTAGTACCATTCGCTTTGATTGCTGTTGGCGGTACAGGTGGATCGATTTCAATTCTTAGTGGCTCAGTTTTGTTTGATTGGACAGCGAGATCAGTGTGTGATGGTGGTAGAGTATATTTAGGAAATGTTTGATTTGGATTAGGTGTACTCGGTGATGACAATGGTTCTTGCTCATAAACTGCCTGTTGACGTTGAAGACGAGGCATAGATGACTGACGTGCAGGCTCAAAGATTTCATCTGCTGTCGATAAAGCACGTTGTGGTACAACTGAACGTAATGATGTAGAAACATGAGATGGCATCGACGATAAGGAATTTGGAGTAACTGTATGCCATATGCCACGAGTACTCTGCAGTGAACGACCAACTTTATTGCGACTGTCGGTAGCACTGTTAGTACTACTCGGATCATAACGACGAATTAAACGAAGTACATGTGAATCTGTCATATTTGTTGAAAAATAATCATTAACATCTCCGCTAGTTGAAGATGATGTTGGTGCCTTTGCTAATTCAGCGGCAATAGCCTCTATATCGTCATAATCATTATCCTAAAATAGGAAAAGATAATTGTACAAATAAGTAAATAACGACCTTGAACTAGTTATTCGAATAAGTCTGATGTACGTCGCGTGGTAGTTTGCCTTATGCATAAGAAGCAGATGGAATAGAGAAGAAGCTCGAAAAAATCTCGCTCGGCCATCTGTCTTCTTTTTTTCATACGACAAATAACTATGCGTCGATAAGTAAATGAAAGAAAGAGCGACAAAGAGAATGTAACAGAGAAAGAGCTATCGAAGAGAAGAAAAGAGAGAAAGAAGACGAAGAAGGCAAGAACTCTAGGCATCTTACATACATATATATATATATATAAGTATGCAAATACATACTGCTTATTCTTCTGATCAGACTGAGACGCATCTAAGAGTATATAATACCAACAACTGAGAAAAAAACGAGAAGTCAAAGCAAACTACTGTACTATCAATATTATCCATTATCATCTTGCTCTCGTTTACAATGATCTATAAAATAACGTATAGTTATTGATACAATGAGCACCGTATGTGCGACCATGAACTGTCTGAGCTTTTGTCCCTATTATGTACTCAATCATGTCTCATTCACTGTACAAAGAAAAATTTCAGGTAGAACGCGAACAAAAGTACACAAAAGAGAAACTTCAACTTGATTTACCGAGGAGGGTGTTAATGGTTGGATATTATTTTTCGTTCTCATGCTCATTGGTGGACTTAAATATTGAGGTTGTTTTTGTATGTAACGATAACCTCGTGGACTTCCGTTGATTATGTTCGGATGCTGATGCTGATTATTATTATTATTATTATTAATCGTCGTAGTAGATACTCCATTAGTTTGAGTATGATGATTGTTTTCTTTTGTTTTTGTAATTTGGATTGGTACAGATATAGGAGTTCTTTTTCTCAGCGACTCTGGCGTTGCTGATGCCGTACACGAAGAGGAATATGATAGCGACGACGGTATCACAGTACTAACAACCATTGGCGTATTATTATTACTGGTAACATTGACGGGAATCGAGCAAGGCAATACTTTCTTGAATAATGTAAAGAAGAAGAAGGATGAAGATAGACGTGCACATACCATCGAAGTTATTTGGTACATACCTGATCACGATTGAAATTATTCATCGGTGAGGGAGATTTCTTCTTGATGATAACCATCGGTGTTCCTGTAGATATCGTATTGAATCGTCGGCGACCGTTGATGATTAACGGACGGAAATCCATTGGTTTGACTTCAATATTTGACGTTAAAGGTGGACGAGCAGATCTGCTACTTTTTTCTTTCAGTGTCGCAGAAATATTTGACTTTCGAATCGACTTTTGTAGAGGAAGTTGCGCATATGTTTGATTGCTTACTGAACAGCGTAGAGATGGATTCGAGAGATTAATGTTTGTCAACGTGTGTCGCCGAAGTTGCTCATCAACCGAGAGGGGTTTGCGTTTTTTCAGTGTAAACGATCGATTACATTCAGGTTTGAGAGTTGGCGGAATCGATGGAGAAGAATCATCTTGACTGGTCGTCACGGAAAGAACATGATTTCTTGTCATTATTTGTGGTTTTTCGGGATAATTAACAACTAAATGATCATAAATTGTTGAAGATGACAATGATGTTGGTGACATATTGACTTTAGTAATCTACATATAACAAAAAATGAGAGAATTTCGATAAATGAAACACGAGAGGGAGAGAGAGAGAAATAATAACAACACTTATCGATAATTTCGATATATAGTGTCATCAATGTATCAAGAACGAAAATGCAAAAAAAGTCAGCAAGATCAAAATTTCTATGCACAAATATCACCGTTTGCCTTTCTCTATCACGCTGAAGGCTGCATTGTACAGTGGCAATCACCTGCTCAACAAGTGATGAGGGAAAAGATGAAAAAGCATCCGATTCATTCAGTTGAATATTCTCTGACGATTTAATATCAACGAATGATTGATAAAACACGAGAAATATACATTTTGTTGTAATTTCGAGAATTTATGGTATGTCAAAACAAAGAAAAATCAAACGGACAAGAGAATTTCTTTCGGCAGCAACATCATAAAAAAAGGGGGATTAAACGAATCATAGGTATTGTACAATCAATATAGATAGTAAAGTGTTTAAAAAAGAAGACGAACGAGAAAGATATCCTTCGTACACACACACACACACACACATTTACTACCTACGCATGTCAATGTTGTAATACATGTGCATCATCCTAAATTGAATTTATTTCAAAACGAAAAAGAATATGTAGGCGTTTGTTATGTCTACAAGATCTTGTATCTCCACCACACATATTAGAACCTCGATTTCATTCTTTCTTATTTCATTTTACTAATGGAATAGAAAGAAAGATTCCTCTCGGTCGATGTTATGCACACATGAAAGAAGAAAGAAAACTAAACAATATCTCGTATAATTAGGAAAGAAAAATCCTGTATGATAAGATTGTCTACGAGATGATAAACGGAAAAAGAGAACTCACATCTTGTCCTATCATACGAATGATTGATAACCTTGGATTGGTAAGGAGAAAAATGATATCTAAGCGTTTATCGAAGCGAATCAAGAATGGCGAAACAAGTTTCTTAGAATGGCCTTCGTTGATACATAAACAGTTTTTCACCTTATTGTTCGAAGAAAATGAAATTCTTCTGTATAAGAGGTTAACGAAGAAAACAACACTTTGAGAAGAAGAAGAAGCAAAAACAAAAAAATGGTGTCCCAGCAAGTCTTCTTCAAACATGAAAATAATTTTGTCCGAAGGTCTCCCTCTCATTTGGACCAGTTAATGAGATCACAAAATTTATTTATTTTTCCTTGTTGCGTGCGATTCTACTCATACAACTATATATATATATTCTATTGACATGACATTTTGTTAGATGACAATGTATGACTAATGTCTACATACCTACGACCACTATTAAAGCTACTCTCATACTAGTAATACTTGTGAATGATAATAATGATGACGATAATTAGTGGTGAATCGGCAGGTTGCGAAGGAGAGATACTTACCAACTTGGACGGTGTCACTTAGTAATCTGATAGATATAAATTTAACTAACCTATTTTGTACGTAGATAAAGCAAGTTATGATGAGTGGCTATTAGTGACGAGGCCGAGAAAAAAAGATACATATGTATTCCGCTGAGTTATTATTTAGGTTTGTGTCGTCGTCTCATCTTCTTTTTTTCTCATTGCAATGGGTGGTTAATGAATCAATCATGCGCGTAATAAGAACATATTCTCGTGTGAGAGAAAACTATATGTATACATGTACACAAAATGTAAGTTGGTCAACATAACAACAAATAACACAGCGGTGTGTCCAGGTATACTAGTCTGTTACTCATTTGGACCCTTACAGTGTTCTCTTACTTGATGAAATGGTTTGATAGGCGAGTCATTAAATCACTTGTCTATTTATGATGGACGAATGTCTCTGTTCTTCTCTCATGTTTCCAATATATCTCTATGTCTTGTCATTTAACAATTCGATAGTCTTCACCGGTGTCATGCGCATAAATCAATCTGAATGCTTTGAAAAATTGTCTCAACTAGATGTCTTCACTACTGTACTTTACTCCAAATGTTTTTGTCTATATTGATGATAAACCATGTATGTGTTCATTCAGTTGCTTCTTATCAATGAAGAAAGACATGCGTATATACAACGTATCATACATATACTCGAGAAGAGAAAGGAAAGGCGAAGAAAGAGGGAGAGAGAGAAAGAGAGTACACACGCAACAGTCGAAAGTGAGAAGGTCTAATCAATAACGTTTGTAGCAAGCGACAAAGGTGCTGAATGACCTTCTCTCATATGGATTCCATTTAGAGGCAGGCGCAACAATAAGATGATGATTGACATCTTTCTTTCTCACATACATATACACATTTACGGTATGCCATGGAGATTACGCAAGTGATCTCTTGTCAGCACACAAGTACCGACGAAGATATATACAATATATCACTTTTGACAAACGAACATATGTATATAAGACTTTCCCGGTCTGATCTGGTTGATTGCAAGGTTGAAGTCATGTGAATGTGTATCATTGATTTTTCATTTCTGCTACCAAAGATGACGTTCACCGGAATGCGAATATCAGTTTTATGAATCAATAAAATACGTACTTGAACAAGTAGTGATTATCTTGAATATGAATGTTGAGACACAAGAAATCCTCGTTCGAGTTGAAACCCAATATGTGTCTACATCGGATCAGTTTTCCATGCGTCATCTTTACAAATTCAAACGCTATTCTCATCACGATTGACAGAAAAGTCGTTGTTGCCCTTGGATCTCACAAGAACACGAATATCTGTATATCTTTTGTTTGCTGAGTGTAATATAACTACTCAAATATATGAGACAAGTACAACATCAGACAGATTATACGATCTTTCAAGTAAATAAACCAAAGCGATGCGATAAACGTTATTCTTAATAAAGTGTGACGAAATAATAACAACAACGTGAAGAGAAAACTCTTGGAAGGTTAAAGTCAAAGACGAAAAAACATATGATGCAAACCGATTATTTTATCGTTGTTCAAAATTACTTACAGTTTTGTTTTGATACTGATGACCTTCGTAACAACTATGAAATTTTCCATGGTTACGATTGATCTGATCGTCTAACTATAGAAGCAAAACTTAAAGTTGACTTTTCTGATGCATAGCATAAGATTCGTTTTATATTGCAACTGCAAGACTTTCCAAAAAGTCCATATATGCAAAGGAATTTTTGAAAATTTATTTGTAAGAACAATGTATGTCTTTTCGAATGTTCCCGAACTATAAAAGATACACTTGACAATTTATCGGTTGATGAGATAATCATTTACATGTAGAAATAACTTAGTTTTCCTTTGTCTTGCGGTAAAATTCTTTTCTTAAATGACATGAATAGAATGTCTAGTTTATCTGTTTACTCTCATCTACTTCTTATCAATCAATTTATTTCACAAGACATCGATTGCGTGTACACCTCAATGTTACCTGTCTGATTCCTATTTTTTTTTGCATCTCATAGCATTTTGATTCATCTGTACAAAAGAAAAAAAATGATATTATATCCTGTACTATTCATGACACATTATCCTTGATCAGTGACTGTTATACAATTTTCAAACATAAATTATGTTTCTATTGTTGACTAAGATGAGTACGCGATAAATGTGACAACGACTTGTTAATATAGTCTATTGATGAAGGTTAGTCTTGTTTGACTTGTTAATTGTCAATAGACTGGATTGGAACAATGATAACGACAGAAAATCATTATTATGTAGACTTGGATACTTCAAGGTGCTGTAGACCGATTGACGAAAATAATGTTTCTTGTTACTTATACTCAATTAAGCACCGAATGTGACAAGAAATATTTTCCTATTCATTTCCTACATGATAGTTATTATGAATAATCGATCGAACAAACTTAATAACAAGGGTTGACTGACTTTCAAATAACGAAGAGTGTGACATTGCAAGATCATGATGAAGGGAAATTACGTATCCTGTTATTTCTTTTTTTAGTGTAGTTATAAGAGAATTCTTTGGTAGTCAAATATACTCTACGATCTCTTGTCAAATAATGCGATGAGCTCATTCGCCTACGCCTTTTCCTTATGAACGTTTATTTTTAAGCTCGCAAATTTCGTCATGGTTTGACAAATCTCATTCACGAAATGTCAAAGTGAATTATGATGTTTTAACTCAAACGATCTTCTGATCAATAGCTTGTTTGGACAGGCAAAGGATTTGACAAGAAGGAAATGGCACGTAAACATACTAGTTTGAAGTAGCAAAGAAACAAATCAAGGAGTGAAAATGGAATATACTCCTAAATAGTTTTTAATTAATACTTGTCAGTCAGTAAAATCTGTTCGACACAGATTACGCGTTTATATGAGTATTAAAGAATTAATTATAGAGAATATCGGATGAGAAATGAATATTTGAGTGTGGATTGAATATGGATTTGTATTGATACTCGCAAGCACACAGCGAATCTTGAAAGTTAATTTATAGTCATTTTCTTTTCCGACTGCAATGGCTTTTTTAAAGCAAAACTGAAGATTGTCGCGAATATTCGAGGGAATAAGCACATCGTCCAAGGATGTCCAGGATTGTTTTATCGTTGGGAAATTAGGAAGTACAACTTTTTATATTTGTCTAATAGTAAATGAGTGATCTACCTCAACTGAAATACAAGTCTTCTCTGAATCTTCTTCATTATGAAAACAAAAATTTTTGACATCAGTTCGAATGAATATTTTAAAGAACTGTTTAATAGTAGTCATGCATTATTCTGTACCTTGAGGCATTCATTGATGTTATTTTCTATACGATTATACGGAGTGAACTTGTAACATCCAGGTCGTTGGATACTGAAGTTGCATCCAACCAATCTCCGGTGAGAGAACTTTCTGGCTGCATGTATTTTTCGTCGGAACTTCATGGCAAAATCCAATCACAGATTTGTTAATGAAAACACTGTTTTCATATCCCGTCATTTTCTCGTATATAGGACGGGTGTGGGTGAAGTCGTTAGCTCCTCTAACGCTGACAATAAACGCTACATTCCGTAGTCCAAGAAAGGTTAATTATTAAAATGAGATATGAATCATAACCAAACCATCAAACTCGATTTGAAACGAAGAGTTAGCCCATTTATTGGTATTCTCCTCTCAGACAATATTTTCATGTGACTTTGAAGAGCACTGCGGATTGAGAATGCTGCTGTCCAAACTAGAATTCAGGTACTGAACTATCTGAAGGCGAAAATTTCAACAAGCGTGTGATTTCATTATGCATCAGTCACTCTTTCAGGTTGGATTAGTATGTTTGTAAGTAATCGTGCGACACAAAGAAAAGCACCAGAGCACCTCTAAAATCCATACCAATACTATTCGCTTTAGTCCAAAATAGACTCCTCCTTTAACTCATTATGGAACAATGATGTAATCCAGACAATAGAAACTTTTCATACGAAACCAATAATTCTACTTCGTACTTCTGTGGCACATACGCCGTGTCGTGCATCATAATTAAGCGAAACACTACGTTTCATTCAACAGGGTAACAAATATATGTTTAAACTGAATTATTAATAATCTTCAACAAGCGTGGCCATTCAGCTTATCTTCTTCAGGATATCAAACATATCCATACATTGTTGTAAGGAAATACTTTTGCAACCGAATATGTTTCTAGTCTTTTCTATCAAATATCAAATGATAAGACGCATATTCTCACATCACGACATTCCTGATGAACATTTACTTCTCAGTTAACAATGTCTACAATCTTTTGACAATTAACATAAACAAAATGTCATTAGAGAGTAACGTGTGCGCATACACGCATACAAATTGATTATTCTAGTCTTTCTACAAATGCCATGTTGTTTACTGGACTTGAAAATCAATGAATATGAGATGATTGTCCCTGTGTAAACGAATAGAAGCTGAATTCATCCCATTCGAGACTTTAAGATGTTTTTCGGATGTAATGTCAGAGATTATTTTTCCACTGACAACCATTTTCCTCTTCACGTTTCTCATTGACGTCTTAGTTAAAAAGAGACCTGTTCCCGTAAGAACAAAAAGTTCACACATCAACGTCTACTAATCTTAAAGCAGAGAAGAAACAAGTCAAACCGTGAATTATGCGCAAATCGTTTCTAATTCATGCTTGTCAGTCGATAAAGTTTTGCTCGACACAAATTACATTTGTACGAAGATGTGATGCATTTAATTGTAGACAAGATAATATTAGATTTGCATGTTAAGTTGAAGGCCGTAAGTCTAATTGGAATAGAGAAGAAAAGCAGATGTCGCAGCGGTTGGAAAAATTGAATTTATTGGTTATTCGACGGATTGAGAAGAAAGAACTTCGATTTTCTGTCCTTTGTCTTTGAATTAAAACGTTCAGAGGAGAAGAAGAAGAATCATCGAATAGAATGGATATCGATTTACTTAATGATCTTCGTGGAGATAATGAAGATGACGACGGAAATGAAAGTGATACAAACCTTAAACGAGATGAAAGTGAAGACGATGAAGAGGGATCAAAAACGAAGAATGTAGAAAATGTGATGAAGAAAGCCAATGAAGTAGCAAAGAAGAAAGTGGCACGGCGGCCTCGGCCAAAACTCGATGTTGATCGGTATATCCTTCTACATACGCGTCACACTTAATAACTGATGTATTCTGCTCTTTTGTAATTGGTATAGGTTAACCGGCTCGAGGGGACTCGATGAATTATGTAATTTGTTTAAGGATGAAAAGTTCAAAGGCAAAGGTTATGAAGTATGTCGAATTAAAGATTAATCCAGTAGCATCTTTTTGGTTTTTCAGTTTACTGATCTTGACACACTGATGCACAAATTTGAATATTGGGCGCATCGTCTTGTGCCACACATGGCGTTCGATGATTTCATCGAAAAAGCCGAAATTCTAGGTGGTAAAAAGCCCGTCAAAGTGTGTTAATTAGCAATTCTTCTATTTCTTATTCATAAGTTCTTCTGCTTCATTGTCTTTGCAGTATGCACTTCAACATTTACGTGATAAATTAAATATTCAAACAATGCCCAATGATGATGAACAAGCTAGTCATACTCTAGTAAATAGAAAATTTTCAAAAGGAATTTGTAATTTCTTTTCTTTTCTATCGTTTCTTTGTCTTTCAGCTTGATTTATTACCAACTATTGACCCTGAAAAACCTACAAATGACATTCCCAACGATGATGAATTGAATGAATTATTTCAATAAATCCACAAATTCTTTCAGTTTTTTATTGTTGTTCATATTGCTGTACATTGGGAAAAGAAAACGTTTTTGTAGCACAATGAGAAGAGAGAAGAGAAAGTCGACGAAATTGAGATACAAGCAGAAAAGACGACAAATAAGAATCGGCAGTGGTTGTTTTTCAATGACCCTACCTGAGAATTGGAAACATACAAAACAACGGTTAATAGAAATACAGGTGAAAATCGAGTGAAACTAACTAAAAACGAGTTGTTCATTCATAAGCTAAAAATGTAATATAAATGAAGAGAAAAGATAAAGACACAAAAAAAAGACCAACTGCAATGTATAAATATAAATATGTATATACAAACAAGTAAACGAGAGAGCGTTATACGTCATGTTAACGATGTCATCAAGCAATTCGCGCAGATAATTCACAACAGCAAACACACAAGAGGAAAAGAGAGAAACATTGAATAAAAGCGTGCAAAGATCATCGAGAAAAAGTAAAATATTCAAACCGAACAACAACATAGACATACGTACAAAGACAACGTTTCCTGAGAGGGATTTCTCTGTGACTTTTTTCCAAATTGCTTTTTTTTTTGTTTTAGAATTTCAACGAAACAGAAAATAAAACGAAGAACAAACACAACTGAGAGATCTTTGTTCGACAGTTGGTAAACAAAAGATCATGTAATTAAGCGCCGTGCGCATCTGACCAGACATATACATAAGAACACAAATGAGTAAATAGATAGAGAGAAAGTTTTTGATCATACTCAACGATACATGAAGTTTTTTCTCATGAGATATCAGTTATATGAAAAAAAAACACGATTAACATACGGAGAAATTTCATTTTTCTGTTTCATATACACAAGTGAGTCGAGAGCAATTCAATTTTCCATACGATATGTTCCATCACAAAGATTGAGATCGATCGAAAGATCTCCTGCGTTGGACAACTAGAAATATTCAAAGGATATCGTTAGGAATCAGTCGAAAAATGTGAATATGTTCATACGAAATCTTCTGCATTCAATCGCAAATCATGTGAATCAATCAGACCATCGAATTCATTTGAGAAATCATTGGCTAATTCTTTCGATAAATCCAATTTTGAACTGTCAACATCTAGATAAGGACAAAAATAAACGAGTGGTATCATACCGATCAAAGTAAATCATTTTCTCGAAAATGTTTCACATACCAGTTAGAATTATATTCGGAATAGTCGGACTCTTCTGACCGACATTCGAAGTTACTGTAACAGTTGTTTGCGTCTGACAATAGCTCGATGAGCTAAAAATAAAAGCTCCGTGAAAATCATGGTACTTAATATTAAACCTAATATTAGTTCTAGAGGTTAGAGTCTGTAAATATGTACTTAGCAAATCATTTGACATCTATGATTAAGAATATGAAAAAAAAAGAGAAGTCATTATAAAGTACAGAAATATAAATATAGATCGATCATTCGTTTGTCAAGGTTTCAATAAATTAACTGGAAGAGTTTGCTTACCTATCATCGCCGAAAGGATGATATAGATTTTGTGGACGATAGTGATTCAATTGCATTCCACTCATATCGTTGGCCAATCGTGTCATAGCTGGTGCAGGTGATGATGGTGATGATGAGGGTTGTGATTGTTGCTGCTGTTGTTGAGTATAGAAATTGTTATCCTATCGCAAAAGAAATCGATTACAAATTAAATTTATCTTGAAAAAAGAGTTGTTGTTCTCACTGATGTAATCTGATCGAAATATGCAGGCAATGAAAAAATTGGTTGCTGTTGATTATTAAGAGGATTATCTGAAGACTGAGGTGAAAAGGGTCCGAGATCAGCGCATGGACTTGGTAATAGATGGGGCGAATTTTGAGGGGAATAACTTGATTGAGACTGAGGGCTTGAGGGTTCTACTCGATAAACAGTCTGTTGATTCTAAAGGAGAATGAAATGAATATTCATCTGACGCTGAAAGATGAGCGCAAGTTTAGTTACTGGTGAAACATCAGGTGATGGCGAATTCTGTCGACGTGGTGAAGTCTGTTTAACCTCACCGATTGGACTATGACGTTGTCGGCTGCTCGGACCTTGTTTCAATGGTCCAACTCTTGACGGAAACTGATGTTGAAGATTCTGAAAAAGAAACGACATGTATATCACTTTAATCTGCAACATTATGACGTGTTACCATAGCATATAGGTCATTATCGCCATTCTGTTGTGGTGATGATGAACGAAAAAAATTCGGCGTAATAGATGAAGGTGGCGAAGGTGTTGTCGAAAAGGATAGTGGATGATGCTGAAACGTATTTTCTGTGCGTAAATCTGGTAATGAGCCACCGCGAGGATGATGAGCAGGGGGTAACATTAGAACATTTGAACCTGTGGAACCACCGCTATGTCGTGGTCCTAAAAGCACATGTGTTTGACTTAGTGACGTCGATGTGACGGGTTGAGTTGGCAATGATATTGTTGGTCCAATGGGTGTTGGTAATTGTGGTAAAGGATACGTAGCAGTGGTACGACCATTTATGTAATTCTGATTGAAATCAAATTGAGGATGTTGTTGCTGTTGTCCTTGTAGCTGTTGCTGTGGTTGTGAGAAAGGAGAATTTGACACTTGTAGATGATTAGAGTGATGAGGAGGAGAATAAAGTGATGGTTCAAATTTAGTATCGTTCATGTGGTAATTGGAGACTTGCCCTAGGAAATCAAATATTTTTGTTCGTCATTATGTAAATTTACAACTATATACGTGTCGACATACCGTTGTTGTCGTTTTCATTGCACGAATGGTACCGTGCCGGAAAGCTCGGCACCATCGAGTGGTGAAGAGAGGAATCAGAATGAGTACTAAACAGACGGAAACGAGATAAAGATGTGTCAAACACACTCTCTACATACCGGCGCCATGATGCATTGTCAGGGAGTTGTAAAAGGCGTTCCGACTCATTAATATTTTCCATCTAAATACATATAGATTGATTACAACCATTAATTTCAATCAAATCGATATACTTTAATTTGTTGAAGAGTATAGCTATGTATGCCATTATTATCTGAGTTGTTCATTCCATTTGATCCCTGATAATTCTACAATGAGAATTTGTTTTAAAAAAATCTCAACATTCAAACAGCTTATAATATTACTTCGAAAGATGGTTCATATTTTCCGGATGACATGTCCAATTTGGCTTTTGTAGCTACGATTCGATCAGCTCTCTAGAAAAAGCCAAACCACATTTGTAGATCAGATAATCATTTTGTAAACATACTTGTTTGGCTGCTTCAACTTCGTTTATGATTGTGTTGAAAGCTGCATCACCCTCAGCCTGTTTCTGTTGGATCAAGGCGATTTTTTCTGAGAATTTTCTTGGACCACCACTCATAATGACTGATTTTATGCACGAAAATTCAGAATAAATATATTGCAAATTGAGATATGATGAAAAACCAAGACGCGAAATGTAGAGAAACTGAAAGTCAGCAAGTAAATAAGGTGAAAGGGAAGAAGATGGTTGATTTTATTTACTGTGTGAACAATAGTTTGTCAACGTGGTCGACCGAAATCGAAAACAGTTTTGACAGAAACCGAATAATCGACGTAGAATTTTGTCATTTTTTAAATCCAAAAGAAAAAAAACAATATTTGATTAAGAAAAACAAGATGTGCAGAGATAAGAATCTGTAAGTACTTATATAGTCGTGTGGAAAGACGTGTAAAAGTGAACGATTATTTAAGTGGGACTATTAATTAGCAAGAAATAACTATCAAAAGAGAAGATATAGATATTTCATGTTTAGTCATCTATCTGCTTGTTGATGATGAGTTATGCGTGTTGTTATTTAAGGTGCGTATGTGTTTTGTTTTGTGGGAATCGTCGACCAATTAGAATCGATCGATATGAATAAACAAAGATCATTTTCAGCTATCGAAATTCTCTTCAACAATTCATTGTTTTTATTTTCCCAAAAATATTTTCCTTAAATTTCGGAAAATATTTCTTTAAACAGCGCTCATTAGTCAGTACGCCAACCAATGGAAACAAGAGAACGGAATGATTATTAACTTTTGTCTGTCTTTCTCTTCTTCTTTTATCTATCATCCTCTTCTTCCCTTTCTGATCTAGATTGATTAGAGTTCTGTCAGGAGAAAAGAAACGATCGGACTCAAACTATGACCACTCATCGTTTTAAGGTAACCTCCGTGAACGAGTTAAATCGTGATAAACTCGCATCTCCACCATCGGAACTCCTTCCGCTAATTAAGGTTCCAAATGATACTCTAACAGCACCTTCGGTGACGTCAGTGAACGAAACCACCAGACCACCGATGAAACTGTTTAACAGCGTTATAGAAAAACTAAAGTCGAGTTCGTCAACATTAGATTTTATGCGTCGAACTGATTCATCTTCGTTACCGGTTCGCAATGCAAATAGCGTGACAAATTTGGCAATTGGTGCGGAATCGGAAGGTGGAGATTCATGTTACTCTACAGTTCATTCCAACACATTAGATACAAATTCACTTCGTTTACCTAATAAGTTTCTGCAAGAATTACGTTCAAAACGTCGCGAAATACGTGAAAAGAGCAAGAACATGTCCATCGACGAACGCATCGCTCTCAATCGCTGTCGAGATGATCAAGAAATCTTGCGTGCACAAGATATATTCGATATACATTTCGAATCGAATGAAAATGAGAATCTTCCAGCCAATGTCTTCAATGAAAATTCTCAAGAAGAAATTCGAAATAAAATTTTCCACGAACTGGATCGTCAACGAAGAAGACAATTCCACAAACAACGTCGACAACAAGTTCTTGGTCGAGCACTCTTGATGCTTATCACATCTATTTTACTTTTCATGGGTATCACACTAGTTTACGTAGTTGTAAATCTCTACGATCATGTTGGTGACGTTGAGAAAACTTTCCTCGATATTGAATTCGTCTCGATAATCAACGATAAAACAACCGATGCTTAGTATTAATTCGTAGATAGATAGTTAGACAGATCTGACCTGTGAATACATCATTTCATTTTAGTCATTAATGATATTCTACGCATGCTTGCTACACCAACGCAATAAGTACCTTTTAATCATAGGACATTTTCACATAATGAGATTTCTGCGCATGATAATGTTATACTGATTAATACCGGTTGAATTAATTTTATACTTCCAAGTGAACAGATGCCCTTTCGATGAGTAATACTCTTTTAAGTGAATGCCGATATTACTTTTCATGAGAAATAGTTTGTGTCGTAAACGAAAATGTCGATGAATTATATTTTCTCATTTTGTCTTTTCATCACTCACGTGCTTTGCAGATATTGATTTTTTCCTCTCTCACAATGAATTTAGTTATGCTTCTGAGTACATTCTAATATTTGTTATTCAAGTATTATTAGAACATTTACTGATTTTTCTTATCTTAGTCAAATAAAACAATACTTTTTCATATTTTGATTATAGCCGCTTTAGAAAATCATGTATTGATTTGTTTTTCAGATGTCAAAGCCGGGTTTAACTACTCCACCAAGTGCTCGGGCAGGAAGTCCTCTCAATACAAGCACAGGTGGAAATGGAAATCAACTACCTTCACTTAGTAGTACTCCGCCACCTCCCGGCGATGATCTACAGCCACCTCCACCACAACGAATGCATCCTCAACATTCGCTGCCACCAATGCATTACGGCGGCCCACGCGGGCCCCCACCTCCACATATGATGCATCCAGGCGGTCTTCCACCACCACAGCCAGGTCAATTTGTCGACGATTTTTACGGAGGAGGACCACCACCTCCATCGCAAATGATGCACCCACATCCACACATGATGCATGGCGCACCACCTCCTCATCATCATCCTCATATGGGCAACATGCTTGGTCCCGGCCCACCACCACCGCACCCACGTGGTATGATGATGATGCACGGGCCTCCACCACCACAAATGATGCTACGTACCTATCCACCACACACACATCATATCAACAATCCACAGAATCCGAATTCGTCATCGATTGCAATTTGTGGTTTGTGTCATAAAGAAGCACAGGATACAGAAGGAACGGTTCTTTGTGAGTCAGGCTGTAACTTTTTTTATCATCGTGCATGCGTTGGATTAACAGAACAAGCACTGAAAATGCTTAATCAAGAGAATTATGCAGAATGGGTATGCGATAAATGCTTTGCAGAAAAAAATGTACCACCAGTGAAACTCAAATCATGAATCTCATGTATTCGATTCTTCTTTTTTTTTGTTCTTTATCTCATTGAGTGTATAAATCTTGTTGTATACTGTAGATTAATAAATGTTAACTGGATGTACATCTAATTCTCTAGTAAAATTAAATTAAAATATGCTAGAATTCTGAAGTATATGTGCGTACATGCAAGCATAGAAAAATGATATAAAATGGTAGGCATGTTTTCAGCGACATTTGGTGGACAGGTGATGTTTATTTGAGTTGATTGCTATTTTCAGCAAAACACTGACCTATATTATCTAACATTTGGAAAGCATGAGTATTTATATATTAACATGGTTGTTGTTGTTCTTCTCTTCTTGAAAAAGAATGAATACATCATGTAAACTATTTGCATGTTAAAGAGTATTATTTGAAAGATGAGAAGAATACGAAAGCAACTATTATCGAGAAATATTTGATTGATTCTATACTAACAATCATTGCACATAGGAATCAAAACAAAGTGGGGTTATCATGACTAAAGATGACTTTGTTGTTGTTTTCTTCTTTTTATTATTTTTTCTGCAAAGGAACTATAGTTGATCTTTCGAATACGAAATCTGAATATACAGCAGTCATCGTCGGATGAGACATTTCTTCATATCTAACAACTTTGATATTCAAACCGTATGGTTATCAAGTGGCTATGATGGGTCGGTCGAAAGAATACGTTATGAAAGATTTGTATGAGTATTCATCGTTGAAATATTCATATGAATGTAGACAAGAATTTTTAATGAGAAAACATTACTTTGAAAACAAAATTCGTCAAAAACATATTGATATCTACGAAGGCATGGTAGTCGTGATTGACGATAGTCTATAATTCGGATTCTTAGTGAAGATAAATAGAAGTTGAGATGAGAGGTCTCCTTCTAAATATTCTTAATAAAAGATCAATCAAAATCAAATTGCTGCTTTTCGTACAAAATACGTCATATTCAGGAGTGATATTTGTCATTTGACACTTAAAGATCGTGTCAACAAGGATTTCACATAAAAGTCTCTAGCCAATATTATTCACGTAGAACAAATACCAATAGTAACACAAAGGTAATTTGATATAATTTGTCTATTATTGCTTCTCATAGTTTGCTTGTTATTGATGGTGGTACCACTCGCTTATCGGTAGCATCTTGTATGAAAGAATTGGGTTGTATCCAAATGTATATTGTTGAAAGACAATCACATGATTGGATGGATGTCAGTCATATTGATAGAGACATAGCTGTTGGAACGGAACGAAAGCTGAATCCTATCGGTCAAAGCCCGCCATCGACTAAAATGCAATTGATTGAACGTATACCACACGGACATCGAGCTCAGCTAGGAACTATGGTAGACGATGATCTTAGAAAAACTATTGTGAGATCAGATATTCCAAATTATTCCACTTGATTATCAGCAAGTGACAGGCGTTTGTTCGATCGAACAATTTTCAAACCGTCAACAATCCCAAACCAAAATTAATCATGCCATCATTGATCTATATAATACTACTAGTATTGCTACTAGGTCAAATATGAATACCTGCAGATAGTATGTGTATTTGTCGAATACCTATTCCTTCGACGATGAAATATGTCATTGACATACCTCCTCATGGTTCGTGTTTTGATACTTTGTCAACAAATTCTGACTTTTCTTGTTAGGCTTTGTAAAACTTTGGATTTCTCGAACATAGCAGAAACTGTGTAGTGTTCAACTCATTAGCGAGCATGTACTCATATTTGACAAAAGTGTTCAATATTATAATTCGTAGTGAATTTTTAACGTATGACTTATACTAACGAATTGAATACCTATTTCAACCGGTGAGGGTTTTCAACTAATGCTAAGACAAGCAATGTATACAATCAATCGAAAAAAAATGATCTGTTAAATAATAAGCGAGCCCAGAAAATTGTTCATCTCTATTGCCAGTATGTCTTGAATGTATATGTGCCTGACATGATGTGTAATGATACAGTGCCTGTTACGGAGTTTTCCATTAGACTAATTATTCCATTCATAGTTTTCAGTAATTTGAAATGTTCATCGGACTGTTGCCTAGTTGAAAGTATTTCATTATTGCAGATCAGTTCCAGACAACGCCCATTCTTAATCAAAGGATCAAACGAGATAATAGCATCTGAATTACTCGGTATAGTCACCGATAATGTCAAGGACTCGACTGCTAATCGTTTCCACTCTACGCGTACAGTACCTTTGATAGTGACGACTTCTGCTTCGATATGATCCAAGAGATCGATGCTGTAGGACATTCGTGGATGAATATCAATCGTCTTCAATGCATTTAAATTGATCCCGGCTAAGTAACGGTAGAACCATGCTCCGATACTGTTAAACATATGATGGTTTAACGATGATCCAGCTTGATCTGGCAAAAGATTCCATTGTTCCCATGTAGTCGTAGCATTTTGTATACCATTATGAAACATATAACCGTAGGATGGACAAGACGTAGAGAGTGCCAATTGTAAAGCTAAATCATGGTGTCCTTCTTTTGAAAGAAGAGGATACACAGCTGCGACACTGACAATACCGCCGGTAAAGTAACCAGTTCGGACAATGTCATCGATTAGCGATTTCAAAACAATGTCACGAAGTGTTACGGGCACGACGTTAGGTAAACTAAGTGCAAGAGTATTGGCTGTTTGACTTCCATCACTATATGCATCGATGGTAGTATTGTAAAACACACGATGGAATTCTTCCGATAATTGCTGATAAAACTGAGTATACTTTTGAACATTATCGGTATGATTGAGAATTTGACTCATATTGATGAACGTATACACATCGTGCAGATACGCATAGGACGAAACAAGTGAAGCATTTTGCGGTTGCTGAAATGCTGCCCAGTCGCCATAGTTATAGAACATATGTGCTAAGCCTGTTTGTTTGTATTTATTTGTCAAACAATCAATCCATGCTTGAATACCAAGGTAGTACTTTTCGAGAATTGTCATATCACCTGTGTGTTCGTATAAATACCAAGTAATTGTTGCATACGCCGTGCCCCAATTTGGATCAGCGGGACTAGTACCGACGGCAAATGGCACCGTATCACTAACAGCACCATCCGGGGATTGATTGTCAGCGATCATTGTGAGAAAATTTAAGTAGAAATTAACATAATCAAAGTTGTACAAGACTTCATCGATACTAAGCGCTGCATCGCCCAACCATCCACGTCTTTCATTTCGTTGAGGACAATCTGTTGGCAACGACATTGAGTTACTCAATTGAGACCAAAGGATGTTGTGTTGAATTTGATTGAGTACAACTTTACTGCTAGTAAAATTGCCAATCAGTCTTGTTTCGCTATGTGCAAGATAGCATTCAATATCATCTTTTTTGACATTGTCATAGCCATTGACTAGTACGTATCGAAAACCATGATAGGTAAACAACGGCTCAAATGTTTCATTTCCTGTTCCATTTAAAATGACTGTATCCATAACAGCAATACTTTGCAGATTTTCGTAGTATATTCCTCGAAAATCAATGTTGTTTTGACCACGTGAATAGCGTAATTCTGCATAACGTAATTGAATGATTGTGGATTTAGCAGCATTGAGTGAAGATACTTTACACCATCCGGCAATGTTTTGACCAAGATCAAATACTTGTCCATTGATTGCATCTTGAGATATCGGCTTGAGTACTCCACCGTCAGTCAGACTTGCGCCATTGACGCCTGCAGGTAAGCCACGATTGCCTGATGTTGCTATGTGAAGTGCATTTGGACCAATTCGAATAGGATCCATGATTTGTAGAGAGAGTTGTCCGCCAGCCGTAAAATTAACTGGCGACATCAAAACCGATGCATTAAACCATGTCGGATATGGATCAGTAAAGTTCGCACATGACCAGCACGGACGTACTGCACGTAGATCCATCGTAGTGCCCATATAAACTGAATCAAAACGATGCTCTCCTTCTCTACCGAGCCACGAAGAATCTGTCGTAATCGACTGATTTGTGTTATCGTCGTAAAGAATGTTGAGTTGTAACAAGACACGAGGCGGTCCATATTCTTTAGCAAGTTCGATACGTGGCCCTAAACCAATAGCCCATTGTTGACGGTTGTACCAGCCTTGACCTAACATAATTCCGATGCCGAATAGATGCGTGTCGAGATTATTTAAAACGCTAGTCAAGTCATATGAAACATACAAAGTACGTTGCTGATACGTAGTCCATCCGACATCTAAACGTCGTGATGGATCAATTAGTTGACCTTCAATGTACAACTGATAGTAACCTACACCACTGATATAAGCGGTAGCGGAACGAATCATCGAACTTGTTTGCCGTTTTATAACAGTACGTAATTGATTCATATTGATGCCATTATTCCCAATCCATTGACCTTTCCAATCGTTGAACGAAAACAGGGCTGTTCGAAATCGTGCTATATACCATTGACTTTCATGTCTAGTAGTAAAATATTTCACAGTAAGTGAATAACGTGTATCCGATGTGAATAATGAGCCTGCATAATGGATATGCGTCGATAGCGACGATTGTACGTATCCACTATCCCACATTAGTTGACCGGTGATTATTGAATGTACTAAAATATGATATCCAATTTGCTGAATTCCTTTGATTAAACGACCCTCATTATCGTATTCATCTGTTAATTGCCATGAAAAATGAGGTTTATATGTATCAATAACCACGTCAGAATGAGTATCTACATCAACATGCTGGATACGTACACGGCGTGGTCTAATAGTTGACACAAACTGTTTCGATATATCAGCATTGTGAACAATATCAGCATTACTGTTGTGAATCGAAAGTAAGAGAAGAATTACGAATTGAAACATTTCACTCGTAAGTTTCTTAATAACTGATGCTGAACTATGATGATAACATCCAGTAAAACGTGATATTTTATATCTCGAATGAGAATCCAGCCTTGCCATTTATTATCACCATGTGATAAATATAGAATTGATAAGAGAAACTATTCTAGGCGAGCAATGGAGCAACAAAATTATCGTACTAGAAGCATATTAAATGAATAGCGATGTCTGCATCATTGTTCAGCGTTGGCTATTCAAGTAGCTCTGTTATTTTCACTTTATACACCCTCAAGATACAGAACGGAGATTCGATAAAATCGCCGACAGAATAAAGTGCAGACATTCGATATTTGATCAGACAACATAATTCGTCACGGACTCTGCATATGAAATTACTAAAGAAGAAATAATTCAATAATGTCAATGTAAATTAAAGAGCAAACATACAATGCGCAGCAGAGAAATATTCATTTTCCTAGCAAATAACGACAACTATAGGAACTTTTCCGCACGTTCTTCATAGCTCGATAGATAAATAAATAACTCTAATACAATACGGATTGGACTGACAGACACCAACTAAAATTCACGTCATCAACATATTTGTCTATTTTAAATCTACATCTTCCACATTTGTCTATTGCCTGTCGTATTTGACATTACCGGCTATTATCTCATTTGAAAATCTTTCATCATGGTTGACAAAACGATACCTCGTTCATGTGACACTTTCGTTGTTTTACCGCCATTGACCGATTCGAACTTGCATATATTTGGCAAAAATTCCGATCGACCAACAAAGGAAGTTCAAGAAGTTATACTGGTTTCGAACGAACATACGAGTGAAAACAAAAATCATGTTCAGGTAAGACTTTCGTGTCAATCTTTCGTTGTTTAGTACAAGATTGCTTTCAGTGTACTCATATTCAAGTTCCTCAAGTGTCCACGACGTATCGATGCATTTTATCGAAGCCTGCATGGTGTTGGGGCGCAGAAATGGGTGCCAATGAGCATGGTGTATGCGTCGGAAACGAAGCAGTCCATTCCAAAATCGCTTATGACACGCGAGATAAAGCGTTGACTGGTCTCGATATCGTTCGGTACGTCGAAGTTTAGTCAATCGAATGAAAATAATAAGGTTCGTTCTTTAGTTTGGCGTTAGAACGTGCGAAAAACGCGAAATCTGCTGTAGAAATAATTGGTGAACTGGTAGAACAATATGGACAAGGTGGCACATGTTATGATCCGACATGCAATTCTCCGAGTGGTTATGATAATAGTTTTCTTGTTGTTGACGATAAAGAGGCCTGGGTTGTTGAAACATGTGATCGTGTTTGGGTTGCGAAGCATATCAAAGGTAGAATTCTTCATATCAGTCTCCTAGGAAAGTGCCAACTGTTTTGTTTTTGAGTAGAAGGTTATTATCAAATCTCAAATATATATGGCATTGAAGACGATTATACCACACACTCAAAGAACTTAGAAAGTTTCGCAAAGGAGAAGAATCTATGGGATGGAAAAGGAAAATTAAACTTTGCTGAAACATTTCAAGAATCATCGTCATCGTGTAGTCGACTAACAGCTGGGCAAAAACTACTTGCAGATTTAACTAAAAATGGCAATTTTTCCGTTTTCGATATGATCTCGATTTTACGCGACGATCAATCGGGCATATGTATGATAGATGGAACTGGTCATGGTTATACTTCAACAGGCTCACAAGTATCCGTATTGACAGCAGCAGACAAACGAAAGTCTCAAATCGATGTCTGTCATTTCTTTACAGCAACACCTAATCCAAAAGTTTCATTATTCAAACCATTTATCTTCTCCGACAAAGCAGAGTTGGGCCCATTAACAGTTTCCACACCGTCCGAAATCACAACACAGCGTATTCATCCGTTGTACGTTGCCCATCAAAAAGCAACACGTGAGCAATTAGAAGATAAACGTTTGAAGGATTTCGAACATGAAGGTATTATGGAAATTATCAACAAACTGAAATCCGCCGATGAGAATTATACTGATACATACGAAACACTATTTCATGATACTGTTTCAGCTGAAATCGAACTACTCCGAGAACACAAGCCAACTAAACGTTCTTAAACAATCAGAAACAATAAAACAATTCGAACTCTATTTTCCAAGCTTTTTCCTTGCACATTATATTTAATCATTTGTCTTATATTTCACACTCTATTCATTCTTTTTCGATGTAGTTAGACTGAAAGACGACGCATTTTTATCTGAAGCATGAATGGAAAGTATTTTCGACAGTCTTTATAAGTATTGTAAAAACTTCTATATTTTTCAAAAATACTATTCAACATCATGTTATTCTCAAACGTTAAATGTGCTGTTGAAAGGATCACCTCTCACATCCAATGGCACATATCAGATGAACAATCATACTGTTTCTATACAAATATTTTGTTATTCTTACTCGATCGCTGAAAGCTATTATAAGCAATTCATCCCAGATATTCTCTCAACATCAGAGAAGTGCTAACACACAACTGTAATCAATCGCGAGATATTCGAGAGAAGATTGTAACGTCATTTCAAGATATTACGATTGATTTCGCAGTCATTATCTCTGTTGATCTTACCTAAACAGATACGTTAGATAACAGAGATGTTTAATGAAGCAAATTGATTCGATCCGCACTGTGATATACGAAATGATAGTGTTGATGTTAGCTTGTGTAGATTACTATTAGAGTCGTTACTTAACAGAAAAAAAGTCTTGATAACACCAAATGATTACGTTTGTTGATTAAACTGGTGCACAGAGATAAATCCTACGAGTGATAGAAACACAAAAGAAAAGAAAGTGTTTGTTTATACAAATCAAGTGTTTTATTGATAAAACTTTTCTTTTTTGACAGACGAAATATCCCAGAGGATTTCACCAATCGATTAGATTTGTCGCGAATGTACTGACAAAGAAAATCTTTGACATAATAACATTGCCGATCAATATTGGATGATTTCATGACAAGATTACATAAGTATTTACTCAAAACTCCACTGTCTGCTATTCCCTCAAGTATACTTAAGTACACGGAAATATTTGCCATTTAGCCCGTCGTTTCCTCATGAATTCATTGAATACATATGTATATATATATATATTTAAAGCAAACAACAAAAATTATGAAATAAACACAATATCATGTTAGATATATATTTGTGTGATATCTAATTCGAAACACAATACAAACAAACAAGAAAACCAACAACAGTAACATACATATTTTCTTCATTCTATTGACTAGGTTGATTATTTCATGTAGATTCCATCGTCATGTTCATGATGATCCATCGATGAAGACTTTCTCTCGCAACAGCAACACAAACATCGACAAGTGATGAACTTCTTGAAACATAAACGAAAATTTCGACTAAAGATTGATAAAACGAAAAATTTCATCAGGATTTGGATGTAGAACAAGATCAACGAGAGATCATAGGCGAAAAGTACTTCTTGAAAGATTGTCTTCGATTGGAAGGTTGTTTGTTCACGAAGGAATAGCTTTCCGAAGAAGATTACAAATGAATATGGTAATACAAAGATTAGATAAAGAAAACACATTAAGATGAACATTTTGGAGATATTTTCACGTTCACGTGTTTTCGAGTAGTTGATCGATGTTTCATGTGGATTGCCGTAATGAATTGTATAGTGTCCGTGATTTCCGCCATTTGATGTTAATAAATAATGCTCTTTCTTTTTACATAATGTATAGGAAAGTGTACCAAGAAAAACAAAGATCGCAAATAAAGGGATAAATAAATAAATAATATGTAAAAACCAGAAGTAGATATGTTCATAGAGAAACGATGCTCGCAAGTATGTTGTGCGATAGATTGTATTGTACGATTCCCATGCAAATAGTTGCGGCAAGGTGAAGATAATTCCGAGGAGTATGATTCCTAGAATGACGTTTTTCGAATTACATGGTGTACAAAATAGTCTCTCATTGTAACCATTGGATTGAATAGCTGTACATGTATGGTCAAGACAACTGATCAAGAAGGTCCAAATGATGATAAACCAGAGAATGTAAAAGAGAAAATTATAGTAGATTTTCTCATTGGGAAACTTTGGCAGAATATTCGGATAATACTTCGAAATATTCAAAAAAACACCAAGTAGCAAGAATAGAATATCGAATAATGTTTGAGTGAATAGATAGGGCTTCGATGTCATGTGAACATTTTGTGCTAAGGATACTAATGTGATTAAAGAAAAGAAAATTCCAGTTAAGATAACTATTGGATAAGCATAATAATGAATATGTTCAATCATTGATATCCATTCAGGATTGATAATTGCTGGAAGTAATGTCGACGGGAGTGTTGTAGTGGAAAGTCCATATGATGTGGAGATTTGACTATGAATTTCGAATTCATAGCGATCCATCTAGATTAGAAATGATCTGAAATTCGAAAATAATGACAAATGAATACGATGCTTGATATTGTAATCTTTGGGGATATGTTTGAACTTTTCTGTTCATTCACCTGTTTTGTTAATCGATTGTTCTTCTCCCTTCTCAACAAGCTTTTATAAATGCTCATACCACTCGAGACACAACGACGATGCATCTATCCTAGTCCCTATGCCCCAAAGGAATATATGAGCCGATGCACAATCAATTTTTTTTTCGATCTGCTATACATAAACGTCCTTTTTTTGTCCTCAAGATTGTTTTCATCGACCATAGACATCTGATAAAACTAAAAGGCAAAAAATCGCTTTCTTACTTGATACGATCTCGAATGTGACAATGATCATTGTCTCGATGAACTTAAATCGTGAAATATTACTCGCATTTTCATTTTATTTCAACACACAATACAAATGTTCATCTATGTACACACATACGTACAGCTGTCTATCATATATATGTATGCATATACAATCAACACTCATTTTTCCCTCTCTTCTTTTAGTTTTTACGTCGATCGATGCGGCACTACCATTTCTGTCTTTGCTTTCTTCTCTTCTCTCCTTTTTCTTCCTTTCTCTCTTCATTTCTTTCGACCGATGAGCGCACGCGTGCATTTAGTGGTCACAAGCCAAGTTAGTTCAAGCAATTTTTATCTAGAAGAAAAAGAAGACGAAGGACAGCGGTCATGGGGTTCAACTAAATTAACGTGCGAGGCTATATAGCTAACATGAACCAACGAGAACAAGGCATTCCGACTAATACTATATCTTTTCTCACCATCTATCTCTCGACTATTTATCATTTTCTACATGTCTTGCTTCTTCATTTCTGTCTCGTGTCTGATCGATCTATGGATAATAAACGAGCATCCGTCGATGCCATCAAAACTAAATTAAAGCCTATTGTCATCTGGAATATCTTCAAGTCAAAATCTGAATGAAATAGAACAAAACTTAGCCGCACAATGATGATGATGATGCAACGCGAACATCAATATAGTCTAATTGGAAGCTCTAGATTTCCTTTTTTATGCTCTATGTTTCTTCATGTTCATTCAAGTTCGAATGCGAGATGTTGATCTTTCACTAGACGATATATGAGTATGAATAATATCTCGTCAAATTGATCCAATGACATATGTCGATTGACAGACATATCAACCTAAAATAAACTACGCTCTTTTATTCTTCTTGTACATATGTTAGTATAAGATATTCATATTCGTTTCAATAGATATTTATACAGGTTTCTTAACATTGCACTTGATATGATTGACAGATCATATTTTATGTCGTCCATTAAAACTAAACTAATGTTCGAGTAAAATTTCGCTTGTTGAAGTATTTCGATCGTTATTTTATGATCGAACAGAAGAGAAACATTTTATAGTGTTTATATAATATGAAGTGCTGTTGAATTTCAATATCGCAGTCAACTTCAATGATGTGAAGTGTTTTTGTTTCTTGTCGGTCATTTCTGACGTCATGCTTTCCGACGATATATTATCAAGTCGATCGAGTACAAATTAGGGATTTATCTGACAATTCTCAGATCAATTAGATTAGAGGTATCAATTTTCAAAAGTGATAACTAAATGTTAAAAGTTAGGAGAAAAAACAACAACTACGACGACGACGATGAAAGATCACATGTACATGTTGAATTTCTCGCGATCAAGCAGCATTCTAATTGACATTTAATAGGAAATTTTATTGATGTTGGACATGTGTACAGAAGAATCATTTTTTCATTTTCAGTTAAATGATCAATGAGATTAGTCAGTTGACATACTGAGATCACGTTTTCAAAGGCAGGTCAAGTCATGATGCCATACTCATATTTCAATTCCGTACGCTTTACTCGAGTTTCAAATGCAATTAGATCTGATGCTGTTCAAAAACTCAGCTGTGAATCTCAATATAGCTATGAAAATTGTCGCCTTTGTATATTTTTATTTACAATGAGACATCCGATGATAAATGACGTCGGTTCAGCATTCAAGTAGGTCAGCATCCGGACGTGTATCATTTGTATATGAACTCTAGATAGATGTTCACGAAATTATCTTCTAAGATCTGCAAAAATATTCGAATGACTCACTACAGGCGGATGTATTTTGTTCAAATGAAATGCTCGTTCATCTACAAGTGGTAGAATTTCTTGAATTTGTTCCATATTGATATTATTTAAGTGATGGATCAACGCTGATTTAGTCTGTTCAATCGATGTCGAATCATTTAGACACGATGTATCTATGTTCAGTGAGGAACTCATATTTTCCATATCGTTTTTCGCTATCGGTTGGTATGTTTGACTTCTTAAGTAATACGAAAGTTTAGTTTTCGTTTAGATCATGTTTAAAGTACCTATAACCGAAGAACTTTTTGATTCGATCAAGAGTTGACCATGTTTGAGATGACGAACAATTCATATCTGAATCTTGTCTCAATTAAAGATCAGTACAATTGAAAATTAGAACACGAGACATATACGATTGAATAGAAATTATTTCGTTCAAAGAAAAAATGACATTCATAACGAGAAATGCTCGTTGCTATGCAAGTCAGACACGAAAAACTAAACAATACGCTTTAATTCAATGAATATCATATTTACGAGTCATTGCCTCAACTTGCCGTCAAAATTGTACGAAGATATTTGTTAATTATAGTACTTTACCTATATCTTACATTGCTTACATGTTTCATCAGGCGTTAAATGCGAATCTGCACTGAAATATGATTGCGTTTTTGGTTTGAGATGCCCTTTTCGGTGTAATATTAGAATCCGTAAGGGCAGGCCGATATTCATCAGCATCAGGACATTTCTCAGAATCAATATATGCACTACATTTACCATATCTTCGTATTAAAACTTCATATTTATCCTCAAATATAAATTCTGTATCGCAAATGTTTCCATTGCCATCTTTTCGAGGAAAATACTCCCACGAAACCAATCTATTTCATATTTCCATTAGAATACACAATATTATAATCAGTCTGCGTTTGTCAGCACAGTTTCAATATATCATCAATTCATAAATAGTTTATTTAGTGCTCTACGACACATCTATTTCTGGGTTGGATGATCCTCGAGTACATTTAGAACCATATATCATGCTTGTTTCAACAAGGTCAGGCGATTATGAACGGATAAATTGGCACGAACTTAGTCTTCCGGTTTCACAGCACTGAGCCAAAAATGTCAGGAGCAGTTAATTGACTTGTTTCTCAAGTGCTCATTGAACTAATCAGAGTACTCAGGAAAAGACACCAGTAATCGTTATCTGTTTCTTTTTCGAGCCTTCTTTATTTGTCAGTGTCTTGTACGTCGACTATCGACAGCCGATGTTTTTTCACATCATAGAAAAATGATCAAAAGATACTTTTTTGCACTCTGTGTGTCTCCGTAGGAATAAAAAGAACTGAAATGTATTTTGAAGATTTGAGAAGTTCTATTTATGGCTATGAAAACTCGGAAATCATATGAGAGACAGATGATCAATTGAAATGACAATTCCGATCTACATTAAAAAAAACTGTTACCTTTCCCACACCTCGAATCAAGAGCAAATTTTCAACAAATGGATTGTTGTACAATATTTGAGTTATTCGAATGTATCGTACAAAACTATCGCAGGCCAACGAAGCGGCATACCCTCAGTTGACGACGATCTTGATGAAGATTTTAACACACATGCTATGCAAAATGAATTGGCCGGGAAATATCGAATATGAACACGTGATAGTAATCAAAAAAGAAGTAATAAGTATGACGATATGAGCTTCAAAGAAGTATCGTCTGATTGCGCTTTTGAAAATATACTTGACGATGATATAGAAAGCAAAACAAAGTAACATTCTCTATAGCTCTGATAAGAAGCACTTATCAGAGTAATGTTTCTCACTGTTGCTTTTGAAATTGAATCGGACTTGGTATGTGTCTTGTCAGAGATGTAAAAGAACTTTGGTATGATCTTCAACGCAATACTACATGAAGTTTGGTATGCTAAGACAAAAAAAAAGACGTATAGAATATTTTATGTTATTTCTGCAATTTCCTTGAAATGGATCTTGTGCCTGAAGAGCTCTGTGATGCGAAACGCGATTTTGCGTATTTCTCTCAAGTTGATTATTTCCGTTTCTTTTCACTTTGGTGAATAAACATTCCATCAACTTTGTATTACATATTTACATTGATTGTTTTCGAACGATTACATTTTGATATTAATCATCATGGAAAATCTTTTCTTCTCTCGCAAATCATCGAATGATTCGTTTATTCAAATTTTACTTCATTTTTTTCTAGTTTCTCTGTTTATTTTCCAATTAAGTAAAGTACATCCAACTCAAATAGACATTTTCTACTTCAGCATTCAGCCAAACAACACCCACTGATTCAAATCTCGATAAGTCATTTACGTTTATTTTGCACAAATGCATTCCAAGTGTGATTACAGAATCTGAAGAGATCCGGCCAGAAACGAACAGAGAAACAATGTCAACCAGCATCTCACTCAAGCAGTACTTTGACTCTTATCTCGTATAAAATGTAGCGCAAATCGGCTGAGAACGAAACCGTCTTGACACGAAGTTGCTTGTTTTCGTGTAGACTCTTGTAAGATGTAATTTTGATTGCTTGTTACTGTCATTAGATGATTTAGTTATTCTAAAAGATTAAATTATATTATGCAATGAGACGGAAAGTCAAAACAGCTCAAGTTTTGTCTATAAATTACCCTAGGGATCGAAGAGAAAGAATGCGCTCAATCATGCTAAGATAATAATAAGATAAGACGGTTGACGTTACTTTATGTTCAAGGTTTATCACAAAGAACATCGACGTATATAGATTTTCAAACGAATTCATTAATCAAATCTACATCGTTTTGAAAAGAAAACATGTAACTACGTTATCAATCAACAAGAGAAAAAAGAGCACTAAAATCATTCTTGTATTCTATCTGCCTCTTCTTTCTCTCTCTCTCTCTCTCTCTCTCTTTTGTCGTGAATTATTCTTTCTAAATATTCTCTGACTACATAAGCATCTGGTTACTTTTCATCACTTTTATCTCAGCAGTTTACTCCCTATGAGTATTAACAATACGTAAAGAGAAAAAAGCAGAAATAATTTCGGAGGGGTACTCTCATGTAGATGAATACATTCAGTGAGGTTCACAGAATAAGATCTATGTGCCTGATTACGTATGGCATCCGAAGTGAGCTGGAGACAGTAGGTATTTGATGACTAATGGCTATGCATATTGATGTAGTGCCATTGAGTAAGCCGTTTTCATTAAAATCCTTGAAAGTGAATGACATAAACATTCGACCTAGGAAAGTAGTACCTTCCCGACGCGGCAAGTGAGTAAAACGGTCTCTATCGTTCACGAAAGTGACTTTCAAATGGAATTTTCTATAAATAGTAATCTTGGCGATTCGATCTGTTGGCTCATTTCACCTTTCGCGTTGTCATCGAGATACTCACACACTCCATCACCCGTTCAAGCATGCATTTTTATTTCCTGAGCCCCCAATCGCTAATATCTATCCTCTTGAACTTCCAGTGCGAAATCTTTAGAACGTACTGTAATCATAGAGTACGACACCGTTAAATGAAAAGTATGTGACGCATCTTATTTAGATAAGTGACGCTTCGTCACAGGAAAAACAACGATTTCTAATGGAGAACGCCCTGTAATAAAACTCTATGCATGCAATCTGTCTGAAACGACGGCTTTCACGGATTGTCATAATCTTTCTTTCATGCGCGAGAAACGTTTGGCTCTTATCATCAGAAAATATCATCCGAATACGTTGGATATATGTTGACAATTCTTATGAAGATAGGACGCAGAAAATCCTAGCAGTCGAAGCTATCACGCTAGATTAGAAACATTTTCCTATTGTTTTCTTCTTTTATTTTTCTTCGCCTTCTTTCCTCTTCCTCCATATGTCAAAATAGATGGAATGAAAAGAACCTGAGAGTAGAAAAAGAAAGTCAGGAGAGAAACGTTCATATAACAATTTTTGATATACAATAAAATACACGTCGCAGTGAAGTTTATTATTTATTTAATATTCCTCCAATTTAATATTCGTGACGTCGAGCTTCTTTTCACAGGGAATCTCGGCGTCTTTTCTATGGAAAATTATGCGAATCTTCTTTCTGTGGATTATAAATTTAAAATACGTACATTTATAAGATGCTTAAATACACGACTGTAATTTCTTTTCTTTACAGTTGAGAAAATACTTACGCACCATCGATCATGATTTTAGCTCTACTTTATCAAACTCTAAGATTATACTTTTCCGTTACTCTATTCAAGTTCGTATATGATTATAGTAGGTTTCTTTCAGGAGAACGGAGCATGTATAGGTTTCTAAAACAGTTGATTATACGTTATGGAAGGTTCTCCCCTATTTTGGTTTTGTTTTCTACGAACAAGATCATGTTTGATTACACTATTTGATAATGACCCTATCATTATATCACGCGTAATATGACACTTGTTTCTAATTGCTATATTTTGATGACAACTTGTATTTCTTTTTCTTTAAACAAATGAACGAGAAAGCAAATAATGAGGCCAGTTTGCATTCTCAGTGTACTACCGCACTTTGTAAACATGGATCCGTTTATCAGTGCAATATACATAAGTTGAAAGAACGCGCATCACCTCGGCTTTTCATGCGCTACTTTTGAACATGCTGATCAAAGACTAATAGGAGAAGCTGTTTAATAGAAAGACACATCTGAAAACACCTGTCAAAGCACGTTTTTCTTCTTTTTTCAGAATATCATAATGAGTAGACCAGAAATCGCCACTGATCTTATGACAAATTTCGCAAATATTCTCCCAAAAATGAACGAAAGCTCATTGTCCTTGTTTGATTACCCATTTGATATATCAGAGCACCATACGAATCAAAGTACAGGTCACAACCAAGACTCCCAAGATTTAGCAACTATACTTCAGCAATTGTTTACCAAAATGTCCGATAATCATTCGATATTTCATACGTCGTCAAGTTCAAGATTATCACCAGCGACTGGTCTTCTCTCCCTCTCATCATCATCGTCGTTACCTGTTTCATCGAACCATGTAAATACGTCTTATCTACTTGCCAAAATATCCCTTTGGTTTGTGTTGATTGTTAACCCGATTGTGGTAAGAGAAAAATGTTCTTTTTGTATAAACTTCTAATTCTTGTCTGTGACAGATCATATTTGGTGTGATTGGAAACCTTCTTGCAACCTACATTTTAATCAAAGGAAATATTGCTAAACTTCCTGTTTCATTTTATACAGTTATGCTCAATATCTCGGACACATTAAATTTATTATTACCTGTCTTTATCTTTTGGCTCGATAATTGTTTTAATCGTACACCTGAACGTGGTTACTTTCGAGATAAATCCAATTTTCTCTGGTTCGTCTTGACACACCCATAAAGAAGTCTTTCGTTATTGAATAAAACATGTTTTTCTTTTAGCAAAGCATTAATGTGCCCTGATCAACTATTCGCTGCACTTAGTGCTTGGTATATGTGCGCGATTTCATTCAATCGTTGGCATTCAGTCTGTCGACCGTCGTCGTACTTTTTCCGAACAACAACACCGACAACAATATCGAATATGAAAAATACTTTTCCTCCAAAGAATCAGTCCTCCTGTGGATCATCGTTCGTTTCGATGTTAACACAACGTATTTCTTTCGATTACTGTTTTTCACTAAAACGCAGTCGAAAATACCGTCAACATTTACAAGCATTTCGTCGTATTGGTATTATAACATTAATAGGCATATTATCCTGTCTTTATCCGATATTTATGCATGAACTTCGGCCTATGATATCAACCAACGGACATGTTGTCGATTTCACACATAAAATTACTCGTACATATGCTGTTGTATGGAAACGTTGTTATTATAGTCAAAAACACGAATATGTGTATGATATTATTGGAATAATCTTATCAAGTTTCTTACATATTTTACCATTAACATCTGTTGCCGTTATGAATGTCATGATTATTGTTCGACTAAAAAAGCGTCGACGTTTAATGGCGAGTACATCGAACTCTCTTCGTTCGACAATGTCAAATACGAAACAATCAAGTTCGTTGAAAGATCTAAGAAAATGTATTACACATAAAGTTCAATCATCGACGTATAAAAACAGTCAACCAGTTCGCACATCGCAGTCGTTCGCACAGCATCCATTGTCTAGGCAAACAGATCAGGGAACATCAACAGATTTATCGTTCCAGACGGTCTTACTCAAACAGAGCAAAGCTAATGTTAATTCGAGATTCTCTACACCCAGTCGACATCAAGCACGTGATCGTAACATAACAATCATGCTCGTTAGTGTTGCATTATCGTACCTGGTTTTGACATTACCTTATCGACTGTTTTGGTCGTATAATGTTTACATAAAACGAATGCATCCGCAAAAACTCAACTCATCGACTTATTTACTAAAAATGCATCACATTGATCACGTACTTCGAACGATACGTAATATCCATTATGGCACAAACTTCATCTTTTTCATATTTCTTTCAAAGCCATTTCGGCAAAAATTGAAAGAGGTAATCATGGAAAAATTTTTCCACCAAGCACGAGTGAATCTCGACAAGGATGAGAACACATACACGTTCAATTACACTGTACGTTATACTCCTCCACAAGAATGTCCTGTGAAATTAGAAAATATCGTTCGGGTAAACGAATATCTTGCCAAGACAAGTTGTAATGAAACACCTAGTCTTATTGACGATGCTCGAATGCAAGAAGATGCGCTCTATTCGATTGTTAAACTCGAACACGATGATTCGTTTGTTGATCTGAAGTGATCTTAACTCTTGCTTCTTATTTTATCTTTGTTTTAATTTTATTAACAATAAAGCAAATAAACGCTTCTTTCGATATGCACTTACTCTTCTTACAAGGCGACAATATAGTCCTAGCAAAAATGCATTAGGAGGTGTCATCTGTCTTTTATCTCAACAATGAATAGTCAGTTAGTGGAATTTTCCATTATTATCATTATGATTACGGAATGGTTAATATGCCCAGCATAGACTTCCTGTCTTTTGAGAAATCACTAAATGCATCCGTTGTCGAGCTGGATCTTGTTTAGAACATGCCATGTATTGTATGAACTTTGGCAAAGTACTAAAAGCGGTTAGTTGAGAAGTTCACATCTTCTAATAACGTCCTGTCTATAAAAGACACTATTAACTCGGACATTCATGTAGAAGAAATCATATGGCACGATATCTGATTCTGATGGTGAGCTAATTTTAAAAAATGATCAAAGGAAATTAAAAATTTTCTTTTTCAAGTTGAAATGCGAACTCGTTAGGCGACTTTTGATCCTATACTTAGCAAAGTGATTATTCAAGCGGATAGGAATAAGGAAGAAACTCACAAATTGCCTAGTGCTTCCCGTTTCCACAAACAAAGATCGAGAATGGCGTGTTAGACCTAAAACTAGTGTGTACCTGAAAAATAAAGCGCATTTCTAATTCGAAAAGTAAAAAGGATTTCTTTTGTTATGTTTTTTGACCAAACAAAATGATCACAACTAAAGCTGATCGACTTCTGCGAAGTTTAATTGATGCCGGTCTATCGCTGACGGATTTCATTCTCTTAGCAACGAAGGTTATTCATTTACAGCAAGATTTCCAAACCGGCAATGAAGGTCGGCGGGAGCGCGATCGTGTCCGTCAGGAAAACCAACGGCGAATGCAATATCAATTTGAAGAACAATTAAAAGAGGAAGAACAACGCCGTTTGAAAGGATTGACAAAACTGCGTGATTTAGGTTATGTGATCAACGATGAAATCAATGCGGGCAAGGCCAAAGATGAGAAAGCCAATACAGAACCATTGGTAAACTCATTCACGAAAGATATGAACGAAATGAAAGAGAAACAACGAGATTGTTGTTTGATATTCAATATTGATTATGATCTTCGTTTGAATCAACAAACACTTGAGAGAGCGTGTAAAAGAGCCAAACGAAACATTTATGAAGTAAATATTCGTTTTGCTCGAGTACAATAGCAGAATTTGCTTTTATATGGTAGCTCCGTGCGGACCGATTCAATCGTCCTGAACATCGATCGATACTATCAGTAGAAACGAATACATTACATAATAAACTGAAAGAATCAATTCGAGAAATCAATCGAATGTTTCTCGACGATAAACTGCAGAATGATCGACGGCATTTACAAGAGCTACTAACATACATCAATCAATTTCAAGGTGATATTGATTTACTCATGTGTCAAATGCAAGACGAACCGAAGGTGAAAGAAACAATTCTGTTTTCTCCGGTTACAACTGATATTCTCGATCGAATGAACCTTAGCCTCTACTACGTCCGTACATTAGCAAAGAAGATCTCCACTGGCGAATATCTTCACGATAATCTTCAGCCAGAAAACGACAACAACATCATGAATAATCTTCAATCGATTCCAAGCAAAGTTGCGTACATTGTTAAAATAAAAACAAGCGATGATATCAGTTCGTCACTGTCAAACGACACGAATGTATTCGTTCGGTTACATGGTGCACATACAAAATCACCTGACATTCGTCTTTTACAATCGATTCACAAACACAAATGGCAATCAGGTCAAATCGATGTATTTAATATCGAATTGAGCTATTTAGGCGAGATCTATGCCATGGAGATCTGGCATGATGGGGAATACTCGTCATGGAAAGTCGATTGGATCGAAGTTCTTGATGATAGCGGAAATCTTAGCCATTTTCCACTTGATCGACTTTTCGATAAACATTCCGATGAGAAGAAAACACGTTTTATTCTCCAACGTGATATCGGCCCAGTTAGTCGTTTACCGACGAAATCGAAGAAACAGCCAAAATCTTACAAACAAATTGGCTTTTCAACATATACAGTGCAGGTTAAGACAGGCAAACACCCGAATAAAGTGACAGATTCGTTGATATTCATGGAACTTCATGGAGAAAACGGACAATTCGCAGGTAAAATTCTTGTTTTTAAAAACAGAAAACTCCGAAAATTCGATATTTGTTAAAAGATAATCTCTGCAGTGCGTATTCAGCATTCAAGAGTTCGATCTTTGAACCCGATCATTTGGATACATTCTACCTCATTTGGCCACATTTGGGCAAATTGCAATCGTTACATTTATCAATTCAGTCCGAAGGTCAACAACCAGTATGGTTTTGTGAATATATCATTGTTGAAGACGGTCAAACAGGAGTACAGTACAAGTGAGTCGATGAAAACGTTTGACTAGAGAATGAAAGTTATCTTTTTTGTGTAGATTTATTGTTAATCAATCGTTCGATGGTCTGAATTTCGATAATCTCCATTCGAGAAAGCAGTTGACTGTATATCCTGAAGAGAAAAGTAAATAGAATTTGTTTGTTCACGTTTCATTCCCTAATTGTTTAGGTGAAAAGAGCAAGAAAGAAGGTAAGGAATCGCTGAGCTTTTCGGTAACTTGTGCATACTGTTCCATTCAGATAAACCTAGTTATTTTTTGAAATTGAAAACTGGTGATAAAGGTTTAGCAAGTATGTCAAAAATACCAGCGATTATGATCAATCTCAAGGGTGAACATGGCAAATCTGATGCATTCACATTGAATTCTTCGGAAAATAAAAGAAAACTATTTCGAGAGAACCACACAGATGAATTTGTACTTCCATCGACGTTCTATGTCGGTTCGTTGCAAAGTCTGAAACTATCAACAAACGAACATATCAATGAATGGTTTGTTGAAACAATAATTATTCGAGATATGAAACAAAAACAGGTAGATCAGCGACTGAAAAGCTGGTATTCGATGGATTAATGAAAGTTTTCAGGATTATCTCTTTCCCATTTATAAATGGATGAAATCTGATGGCCAAGCAACTAGTTTAACTGCTCATTCAGTCAATGGTTTGGATCAAATTATGATTTCACATCCATCATTCTTTCCAATATTTAGAGCAAAAGCCAGATTATATTGTCTATATTCGAACAATAACAAGTGAATTAACTGGGCCTGATCGAAATATTAAATTGCACGTCGAAGGAACTAAAGGCAAAGGCAATTTTCACTTGACCGATCTTGTTACGATGCATAATAATTTCCAACCGGGACGTAAAGATGAATATTATATTGTCAAAGAGAATTCCTTAGGTGAATTGCAATCAATTGAGATTGATGTAACACATCCAAATATAAATAAACTTGGTATTGATTATATTGAAATCAAAGATATGGCAACCAATGAGTTATACAAGTAGATCTAATGCAATTCTGAAGATTCATGCAGACGTTCCATTTAGATTTATCGTCAATCGTGTGCTTGACTCGAAAAATCCGAGAGTGACTGCAAAATCCGAACGAATTTCGCAGTGTAAGATGTCCTATCATCATAAAACTTAGCGATTGCGCCCTTTTCTATTTATAGTCCTGAAGAAATCCTCATCATCTAAAATCAACCATAGTCAACTTTCCTTACCCTCTTCTGTCAATAAGAAAAATTTCGGTAGTACAACAAATACTCAAGTAGATCTCAATCGGTTTATTTAGATCAACTAACGACAAATATACCACAGGGAGCGAAGCGACCAACTAGTGATATATACTTCAGTTTCCTAGAAAATAAAAACACGAATGTTTGGAGTTTTAGATAATGACTATAAAGTTTTGATCAAAACTGGTCGTTCAAGTTTAACAGGAATCGATCCCAAAGTTTACTTACAGTTACATGGAGAGAACGGTGTATCGAAAAAGATTCTTCTAAAGAAATCGAATGAGCATTTATTCAAGAAAAATCAACACGATACGTTTGCTTTAACAATACCTAACGTTGGACATGTAATACGAAACAATTTATGTCCGAAATTAATGTTTCCGTTTGTTGCATTTAGTTAAAATCAGCAACACTGTCTGTAGATGGAAAACTGCACAATGAAGTAGATCTCGTGATAGTTTCAGCTTGTACACACTTTTTTTCTGTCTTTCAGTGGTCAATTTCAAAGTTAGAAATCATTCAAGAAAGCCCAGAACAAATCTATCAAGTGGACCTAAACACACACTTAAGTGACACGAAGAGTGAAGTAACTTTCGATTTCAATCAACGTTCAGACATTCGTGTAAGTTGTTCGATATTCCACTTACGAACTATTTTGAATGGATCTTTGCACTTCGAAGGTTTCTCCTAAAGAAAATGTCTATCGAATCAAAATAAAAACTATCAAAAGACATCTCGAAGATCAAAGTACAAAAGTTCAGCTGGAATTGATAGATGACCACGGACGATCTGAGACGATTGTTCTCGATGAAACTGATACATTTACTATCGAAACGATGAAAGATCTCGGCAAAGTGTGTTGTCCAATCAGTTTGTTTCTTGCATCAATATTCATTCCGTAGTTAAAAAATGTCAAACTTTCTTTGATCGGATCGAAGTCGTCGACGAAAGACTTCTATCAGGCAGAATTCATTGAAGTATTTCATCCGAAAACAAATCGCACGTACCGGTATGAGTATCAATCACATCGAAATGTTCCATCCGAGTGATTTCTTTCTCCGTAGTGTGGAATATACCAAAGACGATTTTCTCAATTCCCAGAAAAATCGTTTCGAACTCATCAATTCAGTCAAATCAATTTCTGACGTGAACTCTCGTGAAGTTGCTCATCCTCAAGGAACAAGTCTTTCATCGAATAAGACCTTCGTCAAGACTTTTCATTCCGATACCGAGGAAGGTGATTTATCTTTACAGAATAGTACGACTGTCTCGTCTTTATCTGAACGAATAACGAATGGTTCGGTCCGAAAGATCCGTCCAGGTGATCGAGTGAAGAACATTAAAAAACGACAATCAGTGGAACAAGAAAAAGAAATCAAAAGAGATGGATTATCCAATCGATCATCAATACGAAAAACTCAACAAACATTAAACGCATTACGCAAAGAAATGATGGAAGACACACAACAACAAAGAACATCTATAAAACACGAAACTGATGACCGAAATGGCGCAGTGTCTATTGTTAAAAGTCCGATTTTATCGAATGTGTCCGAACGAAGAGATCCGCTCAAGCCAAATAAGACTTCTTCCGACATGAATACATCGATGTCAAGACAAAGTACCACAATTTTGGATCATTAAAACATAGTGCCAGCTATTTGTTTGCTTTCAAGGTGGTCAACAAACGATAACAGCATCGAAAAGTGTACCACCCAATTCTCGAATTTCAAAAGATGATTTCTTGAGACAGAATTTGAACAGTTCAAAGGAAAACTCATCAACGGCTGAAACGTTTACCACACAACCAAGCTCGAAACCAGAGGCAAATACCACTAAAATTGGCTCTCCATCACACAAAATAGCTAACAATTCAGTGAAGGTAACTATCGATAATATTCCTTCGGATTCAAATTTTCAAACAAACACACATGCGATCAGCGCGTAAGAAATTCATTGCCTTTTCTTTTGTTACTTCATAAGTCAATGTGATTTCCAGTGTCACAATTCACACTATCGCAACGAAATCAGATTCGGATTCTAATGTGACACAACAATCTCATGTCAGCCAAGAAAGTGAACATTCATTGCAAAGTAAATCATTACTATCACCTGACAGTGCAAAAAAGCCTCGTAAAAATCGTCGACGAGAAGATCGGCATATGTCATCATCCGGATCTTTGAGCAACGCAAAAACTGTAGAAAACTCGGCTCCTCATATCAAACCTGACATACCGAATGCTGCACCGGATCAAAAATATCTTTCAAAAGAAACAAGGTGCGCTTTGGCATATCAGAAAATATTAACGAAATATACATTTACTTTGTTCTCTAGTGATATTCAATATTCTTCTGTACACAAACTCCGATCTACTATTGGATCACATGCTCAAGAGAAAAGTGTCTCGACGGCTACTACATGCGCTCAACCATTACTGCCAAACAATCGCGTTCCTCAGGAAAATTCGATTGCAGCCAAAGATCAACTAATGCATAGTCACAACATATCGACGAAACTGAATGACATCGATCATATGAGTACAGTCTACGAAGAATCCGAGCCATCTGCAGTCAGTGCATCACATACACAAACATTCTCGAAGACCGAAAATGGTATATCGAATACTTCAACTATTAGTTAGTCTTATCGTTTCACTTGGTTTAGATACTAACAGTAAAACTATTCACGAATGGCTGAATACAAGTTCAAGTCTATCGTCTACAAATCAGAAGAAAACAAGTTCATCGAAAGAAAGATCTTCATCACTTTCCATTCATCGTAGAAAATCGATTGACGCAACAACGAAACTAACACCAATCAAATCTAATACCTCGATTGATTACGAGTTCCGAGTTCAGACTAGTAATGATTCACCTCAAGATGGCACAAATCAAGCTGTGTTCCTTGAATTAACGAACACTAAAGAGAATTCAATTAAAATTCCTTTGATCAATTCCATGAATAACTCGAAACCATTTCAAAAAGGTCAACTTGATATCTTTCATTTAAAAATTCCCAGAGCCTTCCATACTGTAAGTCACCGCAAGTCAATTTCTCAATTCCACCCAATCCATTCGATATTTAGATTAAAAAAATCAATCTTTTGCTTTCGAATGCTAATCAAGATCCATTGCATATTCACTATTGTGAACTTCAAGATCGACAAACAATGAATACCATTCATTTTCCGATCGAAAAATGGTATATTGATTGACCATTTGCCCTTGAAAAGAGTCATCTCGATTTGATTTTATTCCATTAGGTTAGGTGCAAAAAATACGTCTAATGTTGAAATGCTCATTAACAATAATAACAATATCCTATCGCAACTCTTCTTGTAAAATCGAGGTAAAATCTCCGTTTTTCTACGATGAATTTATACATTGTCGCTTTGTTGGAACTACAATAAAGAGCAATATATTTTGACAGAAAAGAAGTAAGCGACGTCTCTTACTTTCATATTCATCAACTTCTGAATAAGATCGTTTTCCGGATGGTGGCTCAAACCATTTTGTCAGCTGGTTGAACGAAAGGAGACGTAAACCGAGCTACACACACCAATTTTTTTACAAGAACATCTCCAATAACTATCGTCCTTTACTTACTTGAGCTTCTTGAGTGATGTCATTCCGTTGAAGATTTGTTAAATCTTCGAAAACATCTTTATTCGAATCAGTTTGCCAAGGCACATGCAAAGTACAGTTATCTACAAACAGTAACTTAGATTATCATTCTCTCGGATACATCCACTCACTTGATAAGATGAGACCACCGGAAAGGTATTGTAAAACTCGACGGAAGGCATTGATAGCTGACGGACATTGAGACAAACTCGAATAAATGAGAATCTCTAAAGCCTGTCACAAACAGATGTTCATTATAATGAGGGAAAAGCATATGGAAATCTTATACTTCGGACGACAACGACTGCCATCGAGGTGTAGCTGTTGATTTATACCGTAAACAGCGAATCAATGCTGATGCGTGTTGACGAACACTGACTTGATTCTAATCAAATAAATATATGATTGTGTGTCGAGAAAAGAAAGTTTATCTCTACTTGAAACCAGCGTGTCGAATGCAATGAATATAGGACATTTAAGCAGTTGGTTCTTGATAAGAATTCATCCGATTGATCTAAATTTGGTTAAAATGCGATCAAAATATGAAAAAAAGAATTATTCACCTTCACAAGGTTTTTGTTGAACAGTTAAAGAAGTGAAAGAAATCGAGAGATATAAAATTCTTTCTGTTGAAATCGTATGCAATTCAATTGTTTCCATATTCGGTTGGTAATCTATTTGAATCTGATCTTTCCATTTCTTCTACAATACGCAAAAAGTGAATGCAAATCAAATGAAAAGTCTCTCATACATCGCAGTTATCGAGTAGGACGGTTGCAACTGTTTGTAAAAGATTTCTCGTTGGCCATTGTGCGCAAATGACGACAATATCAAAAAGACGATCGGTATTGACGATCAAACTCTTGCCAAGCACGCCGATTCGAGAGACACCCATCAATATAGATTGATTGCTGAATGCAATCGAATGGTTAGATGAAATTCCCAAAGATCGAAACTTACGTTGCTGTCTCTGCTATCGAAAGACTTGCGTCGCTTGGCATGATGTGAAGTTGCTCAGAACACGCTTTTAGAGCTGATTCAACAGTGCTGACGAATTGTTCAATGGTTTGAAGCTGAAACGCGGAAATGGAATATTTTTCGTCGTTCGCGATTCGACACTTACTAATTGTGGCGAAGGGACTATTTGTTTATGTAATTGCATCAAATATTTCGTATCATCATCAAGTTCGTCTTGATTTATCGTATTTGCCGCGTTTTGCATATTCGACTGATCGACAGTGAGAGTATTTGAAAGAATAGAATTACTATTTGCAGTTTTTTGCTTTGTACTAGATAATTTATTATTGGAGTTATTATCCACGACAAAATTTGGATTGACTTTCTTCTAAAAAACAAAGTTTTCAAATCATTTCGAAAGGAAAAAACTTTCTTTCGTTTTGTTACTTTATACGAAAGTCGATGACGTTTTCCTTTCAAATGTACATCCTTCCCTTTGATATCATTGAACGTACATTCACATAATTTACAATGATATAGGACTGGTTTATTGTTTGCATCGCATGTTGTTTCAATGTATTCTTCACCAATTGGTTTATTACTATTTTCTAGTAAGCGAGACAGAGTAATCTGTTGATCAGGAGCTGATGATATCTGAGAACCATTGAGAGTTGATTGGGAAGGATTTGTTGGCTGCGAGGAATTTAAGATTTGCGGTTCAACAGACGGAATCGTCTTCCCTAATTTACGATGTAATTTCATCGCCTAGATATCAATGAAATGCTAATCAATACTAGAGAAACAATGAACAAGTTTTACTTTTTCATGTTTATTTCCTTCCAAGTGTGCTTTGTAGGCATCGGAACTTGTACATGTTATATCACATAATTCACAGCGAAGAATATTCACACCTGTTTGTTGATTCTGCGTGCTAAGCTCCTTTTTCCTATGTTTCGTTCCTTTTAAATGCGCTTGATATGTTGCATAGCCACCGCATGCAATACGGCATGCTTCACAGTAATACATTCGAGAGACATTATCTTTTCCTACACGGCGTGTCGACAGCTGCAGAGATTTTGTCGAAGTTAAATCTGCCTGAGAATTATTGACTATCGATGATTCATTGGGATGAGCAAAAGCAGCAAGTGTTTCGACAGTTGACGGAATGATCGGATCGTAGTCTGTAATGAAAGTATACGGAGAAAAGTCAAGAATGGCATCGACATCTTACGATTGTATGGTGATGAATACATTGGATAGGCACCATAAGTCGATACTGTTGGCTGAAAATCGATTGACAAAATTGCGAACCTTTTAACTAGTTGAAAAATCTTACCTGAGGAAACGAACTGGGATAGCCTCGACCGTAGAAATTTGCTGTTTGCTGTTGTTGCCGAGCTGGTTGAGGGTATACCATAGAGCTACAATTGATAATCAAGCTGAAAACTGTGAAAGGGCCAATATCTTACTTGTGTATTGAATAATTCATCCCATTGCCTGTCATATTGAAAAAATTTCGTCCAGTTTTTCAGAGACAAGTATTACCAAATCTCAATCAACGAACTGTTCTGTTCTATATCATTCTTCGACCAATCATTTTCCGTCTTGACATCGCGCACCATCTTTAGGCCGAGCTGTTCTGTAGTAGAAACTACACCAAATAGAAAAACATTTGACGACTCGAGGTTTTTCTTTACTATCTGTCATGGGACGGAATATTAATACCTTGAAAAAAGAACAATCAAATTTCTTTTCTTAATTACACGAACAAATGCATCTATTTTAGAACTTCACGAATTCATTTCAACTTTCAGCAATTTCTGTTGCTAATGAATAATTAAGTTGCGATAATCGTTCACCAAATCATTTATGTATGCTAGAAAACTTTTAACCGCGCGGTTCATTCGTTATGAATTTGGTAGGGATGGTCAACTTGAATCTTTCCAACCACTTGACTTCATTCATTTAGATATTCTCATCAACGGTCCGAGTTATCATGCGCAACAATCAAATAGTTTTCTAACACCTAATTATCAAGAACGACGTTCATATTCGCTATCGAACACATTATCGACACGTACGGGGAATAATTCATTTACAACACGAGATAATGGACAATATTCAAAAGGTAAGCAGGAAAGCACTGAAGATGAGAATATGTAAACGAAGTGATTTGTTCAAGTTTCGAATATACGAAGATATGGATTGATATCTAATGGTAGCTGCTTCGTTTTGCAATCGTTCAGTTTGAACTCTCGACATATGACACATTGAAATCGATTGTTTTTCTAGGAAGTGGCAATGGTGATGGATCGGGGAAGATACCATTTCTTTGTCCGAAATGCGGTGATGTTTGTATGCATGTTGACAGTCTTGTTTGTAAGTAATTGCATCTCGGATTGGATTAGCAAATATATTTTTTCGGTGATTTTGCTCAGCATCAACAAGATTTGTTAAATGTGACAAATGCAGCCATTTCTTTGTGATTTTATCTGAGAATGAAAGAGCAAAGAAATCGAAAGATGATAAAAACAAAAAACGACAACCACCGCCCTCACCGAAAAAGGTACGTTTTTTGTTTATTCGTTGGATTGATCAATAGCTTCTTTCAAAGATTTATGAATTCCTCAATAAATATATCGTTGGTCAAGAACATGCGAAAAAAGTCATGTCTGTGGCAGTTTACAATCATTATAAGCGTTTACATAACAATATGTCGATAAATAAAGCTCCATTGGAATCAGCAATCGTTAAGAATTCAAATTTACAGCAAAATCAAGGTATCTAGAAAGTGAAGTCATTGTTCTGATTATTTTTTATCCTTTTTTTGCTGGTTTCATTCTTAATGTTGGCATTCCGTTCTATACTGTTGCGATGGACACTTTGAGCAAGAATACGAATACAAATTTAAGTTCGTCTTTCAAAGATGACGATACGAAATCGAGCAGTAATGTTCTTTCGAACGAACATTATGACCTTAAACTCGAAAAAAGTAATATTCTCATGCTCGGACCAACCGGTTCAGGTAAACAAGCGAATAACAGTTTGTAATTTTCATGTGAAATTTTACCCTTAGGTAAAACACTTCTTGCTCAAACAATCGCAAAGTGTTTGGATGTACCCTTTGCTATTTGTGATTGTACAAGTCTGACACAAGCTGGTGAGAATGAAATGCACCGGAGATGAAGACTTCTTATCTTTTCTCGTTCTCTTCCTCAAGGTTATGTTGGTGAAGATGTCGAATCTGTCATTGCAAAATTGCTTGAAGATGCTAATTATAATGTTGAACGATGTCAGCAAGGTTAGTGGAATATTCAACTGTTCTATTTACATATGTAAAGATACGAAAAATCAAGGCCGAATGTATTGATAAGAGTGGTTCTAGTGTAGTTCGTTATCGGTTGAAATTAGTTCTTCAGACGATTATTTATATTGTGACTCATTTGCTTTTGTTTATGTTTAAGGTATTGTATTTTTGGATGAAGTTGATAAAATTGGTAGTGTGCCGGGTGTTCATCAACTCCGTGACGTAGGAGGTGAAGGTGTACAACAAGTAATAATCATCGTATCGAAACCGTTTTTTCATCATCGTGAGTTTATTTATAGGCATTGCTAAAAATGCTTGAAGGTACTATTGTAAATGTTCCGGAAAAAAATTCTCGAAAGATGCGTGGTGAAACGATTCAAGTGGACACGACAAACATTTTGTTTGTCGCATCGGGTGCTTATGCAGGTTTAGATAAAATCATCGGTCGACGTAAGAAGGAGAAATATATTGGTTTTGGTTCAACATCAAATGAAACACCGTCTCGTCGACGTGCGACACAACTTGATCTGCAGGAGCAAAATGATAATAATAACGAGAAGGTGATTATTGAAGAAAACTTAGAACGTGATAAACACTTACAAGAATGTGAATCGAGTGATCTCATTGAATTCGGTATGATTCCGGAGTTTGTTGGAAGGTAATGACCGTGAATGTTAGGTTATGCATGCTGATGTTATTCAATTTAGATTACCTATAGTCGTGGCATTTCACAGTTTGAATGAAGATATGCTCGTTCGTGTTTTAACCGAACCGCGGAATGCATATGTACCACAATACCAAACACTTTTTCAAATGGATAAGGTAGATTGGTCATCAGATAATGAAATCTTGTTTTGGTTTGCAAAACCGTTTCTTTTCCCTTTTGTATAAATCAGGTTCAATTGGATTTTACGGATGGTGCTCTTCGTTCAATTGCGAAAAAAGCTGTCGAACGTCGTACCGGGGCTCGTGGTTTACGTTCAATACTAGTATGTTATTCTTTTTCGATTCCACTACTAATTATTGTTTCATTTAGGAACGTATTTTACTTCAACCCATGTTCGATATTCCTGATTCTGACATTGTCGGTGTTCGCGTCGACGAAGAAGCAGTCAAAAACAATAAATGTCCTGAGTATATTAGTTCACGTCAGGCATCATCAACTACCGATGAGGACGAGATGTTCTCAAATTCAGCTGACATCAAGCAGAAGCAAACTCATGATAATAAAATTTCCATCCCAACCGGTTGAAACGCAAATATTTTAGTTCGCAGCAAATAATACTTTTTATCTTGTGTTTCTTTTTCTTCCTTCAAATCCGCTTCAGTTCCTAATTTCCTTTCCTATTTATTGTTCTTCTTCACAAACGAGACATATACATATATATTCGTTTCAATTCATGGCAAGTGTGTGTGAACGAGAGCGAGAAATATACATATTAATTGTAAATAAACATAGTTAAGCAGTTGAATTTTTATTTAAATTAAAGAGCGGAATAATAGTCAAAATAAACAATAAGAAAATCAAAGACAAAAGTCTTCTTCTTTTAAAGTTTATAAAGCAGGACAAGCCACATTGCTGGCATAATCACACCGACCGAGAAAGAAGTTGAAACGAAGACCTCGTGGACACGAGCGAGAGATAATGATTGCTAAATAGGAAAGAAAACAACAATCGAAAATTATGATTAGAAATGCTGATGACAAACTCTTTTCAACACATTCGAAGTATTTGCCTTGAGCACAACCATACGCATCAGCATAGAAGCCATTTGTCGGACATCGAAAATATTCTATTCAAAGATCTGTAATAGTCTATTCAATATCTCGAATGAATCGTTTCTTACCAACTTCACATCGAGAACCAACAAAACCAGGTCTGAATCAGTCGTTATGGAGTATATATACTTCAGATGAGAAAACAGGGAACAACTTACCTGCATAAACAGTAAGCAAATATTGTTGACGCAGGCGAATGTTCGTAGCATGTGCCGCCATTGTAACATCGGCTGGAAGCACATCTTGGAGCAACTGAAAAAAATCGAATAGAACAGATTTGGTTTTTATCGGAAGAATATCTAACACACCTGTTTGTCGTTCACAATAATCACCGTGAAAACCCAAAAGACTAGTTTTAAATGAATACTCATTCAAAAGTCAATTATCGAAACAAACAAATGTCACGTACCACCAACATGTTGCATAAGTTGGACTTATAACATTACAGCTAAATACAAGAATGTTGTGCCGTTATTTAAAAAGCTAGTATTTACACTTACACTCCACCATTACGACATACAATATCTCGGCAAAGATCCGTACCTAAATCGAGTAGCGAGTTATTTATTTATCCTTATTTCTCTTGAATAGTTTCTTACTTCGAGCGATTTCACATCGTACACCCATAAAACCGCTAGGACAGGTGCACGCCCCAATGAGCGGATTACAAACACCATTATTCAAACATCCACCAGCACAATAGGAGACTAAAATCATTCATAAAATGTTCTTTGATTCTCCATGAAATGTTACTCACTAAAGGCATTATTCGTATTCGCTGTACATCTATCTGCGATGCCACCATCCGGACAAATACACCCGAACGTTGAATCAATAACGATACAAACACCTGTATCACCACAAAATGAATGTTCACAAACAGCTAATAATCGTCGAGCTATAACAAAGCGAAATATATCGATGATTTTCTTCGGAAAACAACAAACCATGAATGTTAATCGATGTGACATTATTCTCCTGTCCATCTGCAACATCTAAACATGTTGAATTTGAATATGTTCCATCTGGGCAAGAACATATCTCCGACATGTCTGGCATTTTTGTCTGAAGACATCGACCGCCATGGCTACCACAATCCAATGAACATTCTAAAACATTGAAAAATCGTTCCCTATTTGTGTCGTTCGCTGGCTTTGCATACCTCCATGAACGTATGGATAAATGATTATCATGATAAAGACGAACGTTAATGGACAATAGTGACTATTCGTTGTCATTTTTCGTTTTTTACAAAACTGTAGTGTCTGACGGGTTTTACCTTGTGAATTTAACTGAGAAAAAAAGCTGCGGTGTTTTTTATTATTGTACCTCCACCCTCGCATATTTGATATAACTATTCAAGGCTGAACAAATTTCTCTTGAATAACATTATGCGAAAGCAAATGAACAAATATGTATTTTTTTTCACGTAATAACACACAAATATCACCTTCAACAACGATTTGTAATTTCAGACTCTCAAGGATGATGCAAAATACCTTTTCAATGTTGATGATGACAACAAGATGTTTTTATTTGAAATGATTCATTTCTCGCGGAGTTTATTTATTAGGACATGTGACAGTACTGGAGTGATCACATGACATTTTCATCAGATTAAATCGAAGTCCTCGAGGACATCGACCAGCGATACGACGGTCTAAAAATGAAATCAAATGAAATTCAAGAACAGTTTGTGAGCTTTACTCGAATAATCGCAAAGGAAATAAAAGCCTTGGGCACATTTGTATTCATCCGCGAAAGTACCTGCTTGCGGACAACGGAAGTATTCTAAACACAAACAAATCTAGATATGTTCAAAGTCGAATTGGTATCGGAACCTGTTTCACAGAATCGTCCAGTAAATCCCGGTGGACATACGCAGTAGGCAAAAACACTTGAGCCCGGTGAATGTTCATAACATGTTGCACCATTTTGACATTGAACTTGCGTACATCGGGAAGCAGCTAAGAATGAAAAATTCTTGTAATTATCATAAACTATTTCTCGTCTATTTCAACCTTGTTGTCGCTCACAATATTCACCGTGAAACCCTATCGAGAGTGAAATATTTTCATCATAGAAAGCCTGCTTCACACTTTCTGTCTTACCTAACAAACACCAGCAACTAGATTCGGTAGCCGAGAGTATGTTGCATACTCCTGAATTTTTGCAAACAACATTATTACATAGAGTTGTTGCTATTTCAAATAGACTACACACATTCAGCTAAACAAAATCGTCGAACATACGCTGCGACTGTTCACACTGCCGACCAAGAAAACCTGCTGGACAAATACATGAACCAGTCTGGGGATCACAAATACCCTGATTATAGCATGCGCAAGCTTTCGAAGCGATTTCTTCATTTTGAAAAAACAAAATATGATCAGTAGAGGTTTATCGTTAACAGGGTTACCTTGTGTTGAGATCAAGATAGCGAGGAAACTGAGAACAAGAAGAAATTGTTCTCTGGAAACGACATGAAATGACGAATATTTCAATGATTATCGCGTGACTTACACAATGAAAGACATTTGTCAATACTGATGATTTCAGTGGAAAATGTATTAGTTTGCTTTTTTTTCATCGATATTTTTATAGCTGCTTCCATTGATTATGAAGGATTGACATGATGTAGATCGAATTTCTCTCGGACCAAAAAACACAACAATATCTCTTTTGTCAATATTGTTTCAGAAAATTTTTATCCAATTCAATTTTCTTATTTTCTGTCTCGATCTGAAAAAACTGTGGTCGTGTCCGCAGCAGATGTTTAATTAATCGACAGTATTACGTTTAATCATCGATGTGTTTACGTGATCCATTCATGTTATTGAAAGATGATTTAATGTATACAAATTGAAAATACACTGTAAAATCGCATCGCTAATTTGATTTTCGAGAACGCGAATGACGTCACATCACCTCGAACTAGATAACTGTAGAAAAAAAGTATATACATGATGCGTAGAAGGAATTACGAAGTGTACGTAGTCGTATTCTTGTTGTTCGTCTCTTCTGTAAACAGTAAACATATAGATTTTTCTTCTTTTCTTCGAATCGAGGTACCATTTAACACTTCGATTCTTACACCCACATATCGATATATACATATCATCATGTTCGTAGCTGACAAAGAAAGACATTCGAGGGTGATTTAACAAATTCCAGAGAGATATAACGAGAGAGAGAGAGAGAATGAGTGATATCATCATCTCCAGATCGAATCTAGAAAAGCCGAGCCACCGTCGTTGTTCATCTTCACTTTGCACACGAACGCGGTCAATATCGGACGCAAACGCGCGCATTAGATAGAAAGAAGAGAATAAGAGCAGAGGGACGATTTGGTTATCGTCATTTTGATGCCTTTTATTAACGTCGACATTGGACTTCCATTAAACCCCAAGATGAAACAGGTAAGCTTGAATTGTCTTACAAGTTTAATTAATCAAGATTCATGCATCTATCTTTATAATTAAGGTTCATTTGAAACTGTTATTGTGCCTTCTATTGGCAACTAGTATCACTGGGCAAGCCTTACCCGGTATATCATTCACTTAGATTTTCAATGCATTGAATATAAACTAATTTATTCGCTTTTTCAGCTGGTCAAACAAGTCAAACTTTTGGTGCACAACCATTTGGCTTAGGACAATCACAATTTAGCGCATGGGGCGGACTTTCACCTGGAGGAGCTTTTCAACAGCAGCCAACTGCAGCACAACTTGGCTCTGGCTTCGGACAACAGCCTGGTATGGGTTCACAATTCGGAATGGGTTCACAGTTTGGAATGGGTTCACAGTTTGGAATGGGCTCACAGTTTGGAATGGGCTCACAATTTGGCGCTGGCTTTCCACAAGCTGGTGCTGCCCAACAGGCTGGTGTTGCCCAACAGGCTGGTGTTGCCCAACAAGCTGCTGTTCCTCAACAAGCCGCACAGCCAGCTATTAGTCAACCAGTTCCCGCTGATACCAGATCCACTGGTGCTGAGTACGTTTCAAATAAAATGAATCAAAAGATATTAAACAGCTCTCTTTTAGTGTAACTAGTGGTACTAATCAATATGGCAGTTCGTACGCGCCTGTACCAGCTACCGGTGATAGTCGCAATCTCAACAACAATAATTGCTTTAATATCATTGACTCAGCTTTTCCATCATTTTCTCACTATTGTTCGGTATTACCTCAAACAACGTTTTCATTACCAAACTTCTTTGGCCACAGCTCAAAACGACAAGCAAATGATTTATTACTTTCATTTCAACCAGCTTTAGAGTCCAATTGTTTCGAAGACATACGTATGTTCACATGTCCTTTATTTTTTCCACCATGTGATACCGACGTAGTACTTCCATGTGCTAGTTTCTGCCGAGGTAAAGATATTTTATCTATCTGGTAACTAACTTGTTCCATCATCTTTTCTTTCAGCTGTTAAAACTCGATGCGGTGGTTTTGACCTTACAGCTGTAGATTGTAGTCAACTCCCAGAAAAATCGGATTTTTGTCCAAGCATTGTTTCATCAAATCGTTTACTTAGCGATGCTGTTGTTCAAGAACGCAGCGCATCATTCAGTGAATCTTCATCATCGTACGGCAGTAATCGTAATATTATCGACTCAGGATATGGCAGTGCTGTTAAAGTTGCTCCAGTGACATCATATGGTGCTGATCGCCTTATTGTCGATTCAGGATATGGCAGTGCTCCAAAAGTAGCCCCAGTAACATCATATGGTGCTGACCGTAGCTTCAGCGGTTCAACATACGGTAGCGGTGCTGTTAAAGTAGCTCCAGCAACATCATACGGTGCTGATCGCCTTATTGTTGACTCAGGATATGGCAGTGCTCCAAAAGTGGCTCCAGTAACATCATATGGTGCTGATCGCCTTATTGTCGATTCAGGATATGGCAGTGCTCCAAAAGTAGCTCCAGTAACATCATATGGTGCTGACCGTAGCTTCAGCGGTTCAACATACGGTAGCGGTGCTGTTAAAGTAGCTCCAGTAACATCATACGGTGCTGATCGCCTTATTGTCGATTCAGGATATGGCAGTGCTCCAAAAGTAGCTCCAGTAACATCATATGGTGCTGACCGTAGCTTCAGCGGTTCAACATACGGTAGCGGTCTTGTTAAAGTAGCTCCAGTAACATCATACGGTAGCGGTGCTGTTAAAGTAGCTCCAGAAACACCATACGGTGCTGATCGTAGCTTCAGCGGTTCAACATACGGCAGCAGTGCTGTTAAAGTAGCTCCAGTAACATCATACGGCAGCAGTGTTGTTAAAGTAGCTCCAGTAACATCATACGGTAGCGGTGCTGTTAAAGTAGCTCCAGAAACACCATATGGTGCTGATCGCAACATCGGTAGTTCAGCATATGGCACCAGCATCAAAGCCGCTTCAACATCATCATATGGTAATGACCGCAATCTTGGCAGTTCCGGATATGGTAACACCGTAAAAGCTGCTCCAGCAACATCATACGGTGGCTCGTCATATGGAAACAATGTTAAATCTAGTGGATCATCATATGGCAATGGTGGCAGTTATGGTTCATCATATGGCAATGGTGGTAGTTATGGTTCATCATACTCAACCCAAACTTATGGCGAACCATTTGGTATTCAATCAACAGGCGAATATACTTACTACAAACCAGAGCCTCTTGACTTATCTCGATGCGGAGCTAGTAAGATTTGTCATAGATTCAAGTAGTGTATAATTTTATGTGTATTGATGATCTTTTTAGCACCCACTGAAAATCCATGCACAATTGGCGGACCTCAATTCTATCCAATTGCGGGTGCTCCCAACTGTTATATTCAATGTTCACTTGATCGTATGTTTGTTAAACCATGCCCATACAATCTTGTTTGGAATACACGCGTAAATGTTTGCGATTGGCCAACAGTTGGTGATTATCCAGCAGCTGGCAACACTGACTATGGATCATCTTATTCTTATGGACGAAAGAAACGTTCAACAGCTGAGCGCAAGAAACGCCACATGGGAGGTTCAGGTTACGGCGGTGGAGGTTCAGGTTACGGCGGTGGAGGTTCAAGTTACGGCGGTGGAGGTTCAGGCTACGGCGGTCGAGGTTCGGGTTACGGCGGTCGACGCTTGGGAGGTCCAATTGTTGCTGAAGTACCTCTTGGTAAGCATCCAGATTTTTTCTACAGTCATGCTTGCTATACACAACACATTTTCCTTTAGGCCCACCAGTACCAGGTCTTGTTCCATTACCGGGTTTTGCAGGTCCTATTGGCATTCCAGGCCCTCTCATTCCACCACCATTCTTTGGGTATGTCTTCTTCTAATTAATTTATTCAGAAATAACATTCTCACTCTTTTTAGTCCACCATTCTTACCACCAATTGTTCCACCCATTGGACCAATTCCGTATGTTGTCTTTAATATTAATCATTTTGAGCAGTTCTTTTCTAATAAATTGTGTATATTAATAGACCACCAATCATTCCTCCATTTCTTCCACCTATAGCACCTATTCCGTAAGTTTCATATAATAAAATGATGTTAACCTCATTGAATATTACTTTTCTTATAGACCACCAATACTCCCGCCACCATTACTTCCACCTATAGGACCTATTCCGTAAGTTTTATAGCATAAAATGATGTTAATCTCATTGAATACTATTTTTCTTATAGACCGCCAATACTCCCACCACCACTCCTTCCACCATTCCTTCCACCAATTGTTCCACCACTACCAATTCCACTTGGCGGCCCATTGCTTCCACCTCTTCCAATGAGCATTCCAGCAACATTCAGTAAGTTTTTTTTACAGACTGGGTTTCGGTCCATTTAAATTATCCTATCCTTACAGTTCCTGGACCACCACCCATTTTTGGCCCACCATTCCTCGGTGGACCCTTCGGCGGACCCTTCGGCGGACCTTTGGGTGGACCTTTCGGCGGACCTTTGGGTGGACCTTTCGGCGGACCTTTCGGCGGACCTTTCGGCGGACCTTTGGGTGCACCTTTCGGCGGCCCATTGGAACCTTTTGGCGGACCCTTCTCACCGTTTGCTTCACCTTTCGGCCTTGAACCATTCTTCGATGATCCATTCGATGATGATTTTGGGTAAGACTGCTGCTTACCAGATATTGTGCAAAATTCTTTTCATCATTTTGTATGAACTGGCAAATATGCGAAACAGATCAGATTTAAAAATGGTAGAACTAACAGTTTTCCATATTTTCTTGTAGTTTCGGCGGTGGTTTTCCATTTGGTGACGAATTTTATGGCGGATTTCCGGGCCCATTCTTCGAACCATTCCCATTCCCAGGTGGTTTCGGAGATGAGTAAGTCTTACATTTTGCAAAAGATTTTGTTCGTCAAACTAACCGTTCGTCGTTCTATTAACAGTGGTTATGGCAAAGGCTCATATAAGAACAAAGGAGGCTATGGCAACGATGGCTATGGCAAAGGTAGTTATGGCAATGATGGATATGGCAATGATGGTTATGGTAAAGGCGGCTATGGCAAAGGTAGTTATAGCAATGATGGATATGGCAAAGGTAGTTATAGCAATGATGGATATGGCAAAGGTAGTTATGGCAATGATGGTTACGGTAAATCTTAGTAAGTGAACTCGCTCTATTCTTCGTGGCATCGTATTACCTTCTGCTTGTGCTTATTTTAGTGACAATGACTATTCAAAATCGAATTATAAAATGTTCGTATTACAATATTAAAACAAAACTTCTTATTTGTTTGATTCTTTTGAATAGGAATGGAAATTATCAAAGCAATAAATACAAAGGATCAAAGGGCTATTCATCGAATAAGAACTCATACTCATCAGATTATGACTCGGATTACTACCGCCGAAAACGTGACTACAACTTAAACGTTGATCAAGATTCAACTCTTCTGGTACAAAACCAAGAACGCTTATTTCCACAACAATCACGTTTACTGTCGGTTAGTTCATATCAACCACAACAACAACAACCACGATTAGTGTCTCCATCAATCAGTCAATGTATGTTAATATTTTCGTATCTAGTGATCATTTTCATTATGTTCAATCTATTTCAGCGACACCATGTACTGGCCAACCTCCTAAATCAAACATTCCACATCCATCTGATTCATCAAAATACATTTCATGTATCGATGATACAACTTATGAAATCATGGAGTGTCCATCAGGTCTTATCTACAACGGTGGGCTTGATAAATGCGAAAAAGTGAAAAATTCACAAGCACTCTGTGAACGCGACAACCCATGCTTAAACGATGGTCAATGCTATCAAACAAGCCCATCAACATACAAATGCACTTGCCGTGGCCAATGGACAGGTGAACGATGTGAAACACCAGTATCATCATGTGCTTTAAATCCATGTGGTGAAGGTAACGAATGTCACACCTTAGTTGCCAGTGACTTCAAACAAGATTACGTTTGTCTCTGTGGTGAACGCAAATCATACGGTTTAACTTGTGAACGAAGTACGTTTTATCGAAAAACGTTTTTTTTCTTATACTATCTTTGGGTTTTTGGTATGTTTAGATACAGTGCCAAATCCATGTTTATCTGCTGAACAAGATCACGAACAATACTATCCATTTGCATACAGCGCTCACGCTTATGTTCAATGCAATGGTGATTTGTTCTACGTTCGTCCATGCGCAGGCGGCCTATTCTGGAATCAAGAATCGAAAATCTGTGATCGTGACGAAACAGCACCAGCACGTCCCGCTGAAGATCAACCACAATCCTACCAAATCAATTACGGCAGCCGACAACCACAAGTAAAATATACCCCATTCACAGAAATCATGGGTGACGAAAATGTTGATAAACAACAAGCTTATCGTCAGCGTAATTATAATACACAAAAGATCGTCAATGACCAAACGTAGGACAACACTGATTGTGATTAAATTAGATATCATATGAATCTTTTTCTAGCTCATACACTCCATCATACAGTCAAGTTAATGTCCGCAAAGAGCTTCCAAAAATGCATCGATTTTTTTCATTACCAATGATGAGAGAATACAGTCGCCGTGTTCAAGTTCCACAATCGATGCTTTCTGATCAAAAATACGGTCAACAAAAAGGTACCTATCAACCTGTCTGGCCCTTCCGTCACTGATTCAGTATTCGTTTTCATTCTAGCAACATTTGTTCAACAACCATTAGGCCGTTTCATGCAATCATCATCCTATCGTCGATAAATATCTAAAAGAAATTCGTGTTGATATCGATTCATCTCAGTTATACCAACATCGCTTTTCTTGACATAGGTTAATCTTTTTTTCTGTTTTCCACGTATCCAGCTGATGTTTACGTGTGAGAGCGTGTGATTTCTTCCCGTTTTTTAACTGTCTTAGTCGTTTTGCTTCTTTTAACAACTTAACATCGTCCGTTTTCTCTTATTCTTGTTTGTTCTTGCTCTCTTTTTTTATATGAATCATTCAGATAAACTGATTGTTTTATTATAAGAAAATAAAAAGCTCGAATTTTGTTTTGCATACACATTCCATTTGTTTTATCTTAATTAACAAATACTAAGGTAGATGAACTCTGAATACATAATCTTTGAGCAAACAATCGACAATTCTTCTCCATGTAATTCTACATGGTGTTATGACTTGTAATCACGCCTTGTATTTAAGTATTCGATACGTGAATGAGCTTAAGGAGAAAAGAATTACAACTGATAATGTTTCTGCCAGGTAGAAGTTCATGACTAATAAGACGAAAATTCTTTTCACCTGTTCGGGAGATTGTCAATTTGAAATCAACAGTGCACAACATTTAAGCACGATCTTTGCTGCTACTCAAAGAATTTGATTTTAATCATTACGATTATCTTTTAGTCTAAACATATCTGCTGCACTTTATGCAATGAATCAACAACATGCGCAAATGTTTCTCCTATGACTCTCCTAAGGCATGTCGCGATGCGGATACCTTATAACGATAAGCATTGATGCTTGTAGAACGAGGGAAAAGGATAGATTCTTTCGAGAAACCAGCAAAAGATGCAAACTCCTCAGTAACTAAAAACTTTGATTCAAGACTGTTTGTATCGAGAGATCTTAATCCTCAGGCAATTGTTCAATGTATACTATATTCACAACGAAGCGAATGACGTGTCCTTCATCACTTTCTATGCACACATCTTTTTTTGTGATCTTTTTCTTTGGTGGAAGAAGAAAGAAGAAAGTGTCCGTCTTCCACGTTCATTTTCGATAACAATGAACGATACAGACGCTTTCAGTCACTTATTGCTTCCGTCATGTATATCCGATGTATAAAAGGAATGTCAGCGTTGTTAAACGGAAGATAGACATTATCAGTTCCATATTGTCGGTTTTCATCATTCTTACAAAAATGATTGATAACATTCAGTATTGGAATTACCTTGCTCGCTGTGCTTCAGGTAAGTTATTTGAAAGGAAATAATTATATGTTTTTCGTACTGTCAAAGAGCAATTTTCGAGTGTGGGTGTTTACTTCTATGGATTTGAATTGAAGTCCTACTTTATGAGACAATTGAAGACATAGATTTTGAATTTGTTTAGCATTGAAGCAGGTCGAGCACAGACTAACAAACGAACAAATTATATATTTGAATCAATGTGGGTATATTTGTCTACTTAGGATTTGTTTAATTTACAATAAATCAGCTTATTTAGATTACACAGTGAAAAAGACGCCGAGTGTATCTGAAATTCAATTAATATGCGCAAAATTTAACATGAAAGGGATTTGGTGGCTGGTTGATATAGAGGTGAGCAAATGTTTTTTCGTATCATATGCGTGAGTGCACGTTATTTTTGGCATTTAGTATTGGTTTTGTGGACGTCGATTGGCTGAAGAAGAGATACAACAACGACGTAGATTGGCAAAAAAAGCTGCAGCTTAATGTTGGCTTACACGTTCCATGCTTATCAATGAATAGATCTCTTACATGTGCAATAAAATCGATCGAAATGCTCTCTTCTCTTTTCATGAGAAAAGTATACGAATAACAGAAACCATTGTCAAAAAGTCGTAAGATAGTGAAGTTAAATTCTATAAATAAAAGATACGAAGAGTACATCGATCTGATGAATAGTTTGCTAATTGTCGTAAATCATAAATCAGTTCTTGATTACATCTTTGTCGATAGGAAGCAACTCCAGCAGTGTGTGGAGGAAAACTGGTGCTGTTTCCAGTGTATTCATTTCCGAATACCAAGAAATGACGATGTAAACGAATTGCATTAACTTAGCTTACCTACGCATTTTAAGCTTCAATAGCGCGTACAATTTTCAAGCATAACAGAGATACCCTTCAATAGAAATTATCATGTTTGCTGAAACTGGTAAACTATGCGGTGCAGCTATTTGACATATGTTTAGGAAAGTGGTAATCTTCAGCTTCAGAAGACCTCGAAGTCTTTCAGTCCATTTTTCTTGTCTTATTAGATACCCGATAGAATTAGTGGTCGAACCGTTGGGTGAGAGTGAGAACACGTGTTTCTCATCGTTGCTTTCAGAAGATACATGTTTACAAACGATCAATAAAAAAGAAAGTCAGATTGGCGCATGAATTTGGTTTTGAATACGCATTCCATTCGGCTTATCTTATTGAAGAAATACTGCGTGAGATGAACTTTGAATACATAAAAAGATCGAGAGAAGCCATGATTTTCCGAGATTCACCTTTTCAACAAACGAACTTAATTTAGAAAAGAAATGTCTTATGCGCTGAAAGGTTATTTTATGCATATAATTAGCAGTCTTTTCTGTTGTATCATCCAAAAATATCCAAATGAACTTCGGGTTTAAAAACCGGTAGATTAAACAATTGTCTGGCGATTATTAAACATATACTTATTTCACTTTTCTCGCCTGAGGTTCATCGAGCACTGATATTCATGATGCAACTTTTCTTCAGATGGTCATTCGTGTTTGCATCTCATGAAATAAGTATTTAATACATGAATGAGTTCAATGAAAAGGATGACAGTTGACAATACTTCGTTTGCTGTTAATCACCTCTTTTTAGTTGTTAATTAGTCGTAAATCATGGAAATACACCGCAGGACATGCTCTGAGCAAAGTGCATATTCATGATATATAAGGCGAGAAATCTTTTTTTTTACATGTTTGTATAGATTATCATGTATTCCACCAAATCTCTCCGCTTATTCTGCCTTAAGTTTTATGACATTTTCTCGTGCATTGCATCTCTCAATCAGCAGGTACAGAGCATTTAAATCTGCTTCCCACTGTGCATCTGCTCTTATTCAAAGAATGTTACTTTAACCATTACTTTGGTTTTTTTTTCCATACTTATTTAATATACTTTATTTCACGAATCTGTTCTATGCACCAAATTTTCGCGTTTAGTTCTACTTCAGCCCCCAATCCTTTATATAAGTATCTGAATAGAATATAATGTTTATGCTAGTCGAGAACATTCATTCACATCGTATCACGTCTTTGTAGATACACTTATAGTTATGGTCGATACATATCTTTCCTTCAGTATAAACTCGCACGTCAAAACAGTTATTCGCAAAGTGAGAAAATAAACTGCTTGTCGTAATTTCAGATATTATCAAGATGACAGTCATTCACGACAATGATTCCATCAAAATTAAACGAACAGCATCGATAGAAAATGATCGTCAATTGGCAATGGATGCTGAAAAGACTGAGTTAACAATCAATGAACCTATAGTCGAACAGCGTAAGTGCGATCAAGTTTCTTTCTTTTTCTTGTCACATGTGTGAGAACCATGATTTTTCTTCTCTTTCGTTCGTTTGCATTTTTTCCGTTCTACACACCACACATGTAACTTTGACTCATCCATACGCCTTCCTCCTCTGAGTGCTGCTTACATAATCTGTTTTTCTCCACGAGGGTTATGCAGTAAACCTCCATGTAGATATGTCCCGTTAATATTTATGACGATGAACTGAACTCAACGAGAACCAATCATTCAAACAAGTTTGATATTTAACAGAGAGATCGTCATTCCAACGCATAGAAACTTGTTCTATTATCATGCACAGCAGTCTACACGAGCTCGACGAGCAAGGTATGTTTATGTCAAGTGCATCGAGAAAGAAAAACAACTTACTTGATTATATAAGAAAACTACACCTTTTAGATAAGAAAAGTCTCAATTTCACTTTTTTTTAACTTTAGTACAAAGTCATCTGCTAGATACGTCAACTGAAATGTCTTCTTTTAACCCTTGCCGAGCCAATTGTAAATGTTCAACATGTTTTGTTATCACTTGTGTCTCACTTATCCTTGGTCTTGTCATGTTGTTCACTCTGAATCCACTAGTGAAGAATATACTATCAAATGTTTGTTGTCAATTTGTCGTGAACTTTCCAATGATTGTCTGGTCTTTTGCAGAAAATGACCATCGTCGAAGGTCGTGAAGGTCATCGATTCTGGAAAGATCCGCCAGCAACGATACATCGGAAAATGTATGTATGGCATTGTGCTAATCCGATTGAAGTGCAAAATGGTGGAATACCCGAATTGATCGAACGTGGACCTTATGTTTATCGGTATGTTAAAGATCTTGGTTGAATATTAACTTGAATCGTTCATGTTTTTCTTAGTGAACAATGGAATCGGTCGAATATTTTTTACAGCGATGATCTAGAAACACTTTCATACATTCCAATTACTACACTTTACTTTGACCGGAATCAATCGATCGGTCCCGACGATGAATACGTCACTGTCATCAATGTACCATTAATGGTAATGTAAAATAAGATCGTTTGCATGGATTAGATATGATAGCATCTTTTCTAGGCCATGGCACATGAAATTCAATTTAATTCAACGAAGATTCAGAAAGCTATCAATGTTTTTCTTGAACTACTGGAAACGAAACTGTTTGTTAATGTTACTGTTAAGCAATTAATGGAGGGTAGGCGAACGATATGAATTAATAGCAGATATTTTTGCCCGGAGAGGACTTCGTATTTCTTAGGCTACACTGATCCGCTGATTGAAACAGCTAGCTTAATTAAGCCCGGAGTGCTGAAAGATAATAAATTTGGTATATTACAGCCGGTGAGATAAAAACCAATATTTTTTCTTCATTAAAAAACATACAATTTTGTATAGAGAAATGGTTCATATTATCAAAACTTTACTATTCATACTGGCCTGAGTGATATAAAACAAGTTGCGAAAGTTGTATCATTCAATGGTGTCCAGTAAGAACATAGTTAATTTGATTTCGATTCAATTCTTTTCGTTTGTAGACATCTGAATTATTGGTCGACATTCCAAGCAAATATGTTGAATGGAACAGGTAAATATCGACTTTTGATTTCAATGGATGTCCTTGTTTATTAATCGTAAAAATTCTTTTAGACGGATCATTATTTCCACCGTTTCTGACGAAAGACAAACATGTTTATTCTTACAATGCCGATATGTGCCGGTAAGATTTACTCTGAAACTTGTTGATAATATTCCAAAACGTGTGCGGTATCTTAGATCGTATTATCTATCATTCTTACGCGAAAGAAAAGATGGTTACGTCACCTTGTACGATTTCCACTTGTCGGCCGATGTCTTCAACATGTCTCGAGAGGAAAACCGTGGTTTTTGTGGACAGGGTCCTTGTCTCGGAGATGGTGTTCTCAATATCAGTACATGTTATCAAGGTATTCAATTGATTTGATACTTAAGAAAGAAAACAATTCGTATTTGCCTCACAGGAGTTTGGGGTTTTATTTCCTCGCCACATTTCTTTCAATCAGATAAGAAATTTCGACAGGATGTGCATGGAATGCGTCCAAATGGGGACAAACACGAATTTATAATGAGCTTTGATCCAGTAAGGACTTATTTCCTATTAATCGTATATTAACTTTCGTTTACTTTTCAGTTAACCAGTGTTCCATTTGCAGTTAATGTTCGACTGCAATTGAGTTTCTATATGCCGCAAATAAAAACGATCGAGTAAGAATCTTTCTCGACGATTATTTCACAACGAAAAACTAATGATATTATCTTAGTTTATTAAAATCTGTGAAGCCAATCTTGATGCCAATAGTTTGGTTCGATGACGAAGCACGTGTTGTACCAGACATTAAATCAGAACTATCAGTATTGATCGTTTCGTTGAACGTTGCTTCGTATGTGAAATATATCTCACCAGCTGTGAGTCTAATTGGAATGATCATCACTTCGGCCTACATTTATATACAAGTAAGGAGAAGCTTTTCTCAAATATTCAATGTTATCTGATGAATAAATGTATGTATTTCAGTGGCGAAGTGCTCGACGCGAACGAGTGAATTCAAAAGTTCCTCTCCTTAACGGAACGTCGGATGCATAAAAGCAAAGTGTAATACAAAAAACAGTTCTGTTCATGTTCAAAGTTTTCATTCGCCCGTTTTATTTTTTAAAATGAAAAGTTTTTTTTTTGTCTCATATGTTAATTGGTAACTGGTCAGCCATTTAGAATATGTTATACTTCTACTTATGTGTTGTTGTTTTTTTCAATACATTCTTTATTAAGCACACACGAATTCTTTCGGTGAATAAACGTATCGATGACAAAAGAGTATCTTTCGATTCGGAATGGTTTTATCTAAAGAATATGTCTGCCATCTTTTAGACGAATTTGATTCGTTTCGCCAATCGAATTTGTGCGTCCAATACGAATTCAATATTCATTTTCACAAGATAAGAAAAATCCTTTTCGATATTTCTAAACTCGTGCATTGTTCAATTCAACATGGCAGCTGCTGCAGCGGCTGCTGTTCTGTCTAGTGGCCGGTTCTATGCTCTGATCGGTTTCGAGATCCATGTTAAACTTGCAACAACTACAAAAATGTTCTCGTCTTCATCATCGGCGCCGGCACAAGCAACGAATAGTCAAGTTACGCCTCACGATATGGCATTGCCAGGTTCGATGCCGTACTTCAATCGTGCTTGTTTGGAAGCTGGTGTGCGTGCCGCTCTTGGTCTCAATTGTCAAATCAATAAAGCCTCGCATTTTGAACGGAAACATTACTTCTACCCTGACTCACCATCGGGCTATCAAATAACACAACAACGATTTCCGTTCGCATCCAATGGCGTTTTCAAATATCCGTTACTAGTGAAAAGGGATAAACTTAAATCTTCGACGAAATATAAAGTAGACAAAAAAATTCTTCTCCCGAAGAAAATAATTCCGTTCATTTGATTTTATCACTTTAGTTCGTCGACACTCCAAAATCATTTGTTCTTAAGCAATGTCGTATTGAGCGTATTCAACTAGAACATGATACTGGAAGAAGTATTCATGATGAACCTCAACACTGTACTTTGATTGACTTGAATCGTTGTGGAACGGGCCTAATTGAGATTGTTACTAAGCCGGATATTCAATCAAGTTTGGAAGGTGAATCGTTTCTACGTGAATTAAATCGTTTGCTATTGAAGTATGGTATCTGTGAAACAAGTGGCTTGGAAACGGCGCTTCGTATCGATGCGAATGTTAGTTTACACCGTACTGATACGAAACCCGATGGGAGTCGTGTGGAAATAAAAAATCTCGGAAGTTTTATCGATGTTCGACAAGCCATTGACTTCGAAATCAAACGGCAGGAACAAATTTTAAGCGCTAATTCTTCCATTGAAAAAGAAACACGAACGTACGATACGAATAAACATCAAACTATACATCTACGACGTAAAGAAGATCAAATTGATTACCGATTTATGATTGAACCCAATCTACCGCCACTATACTTGTACGATGATAGTGATAAACACAAATATCAAAAAGATTTAGTTAATATCGATGAAATCAAACGAGATCTACCAATTTCTCCATTAGAAGAACGAAAAGAAATCCTAGAGAAATACAAAGACTTTCTTACCGCTGAACACCTAAACGAATTACTTCGACTTGATATGAATGTAAGTTCGGATCGCACACACTCTCAACACTTATCCTTTCATTTAGGATTATTTCTGTGATGTTATGAGCCAACTTGACAATAATCATCTCCGTCACATTGCCTTAGAAGTTCTACTAAACGATGTCAAGTCTATCTCCTTCGATGGTCGTAAAATTCGCAAGTTTGCGCAAGCTGTATCTCCATCTCTCTTTGCCGATATCATCAATCATGTGGACCAACGTATCATTACACGTTTTTCACTGTACACATTATTAACTCTATGCAACAAAAATCGAGATTCTACTCGAACGTTGAAATCCTTTCTTGACGAACATAATATGTATGCAATCAACGATCAAAACCAAATGGAACAGATTTGTTCGAAAGCTCTCGAAGAAAATCCCAAACAAATCGTTCGATATCAAACCAATCCGAAAAAAGCTATAGAACAGTTACATGCCAGTGTTTGTAAAAAATATCATGGACGTATGCACGATGATTTAGTTGACGAAACATTTAGAAAGTTATTGGAGGAAAAGAAAGTCTAGAAGAATTTTTTGTTTCAGATCCTCATGTCTACTCGATTTTGTTCTTTTCGAATGATTTTCCAACGATTTCATTCGACGAAGCCAACACCACACCAACAAACCATGATGGCTCGGGGTCTACCAAAACGAACACCAATTGATGGTGTACAGCATATTATCGCAGTAGGGTCAGGCAAAGGTATATTGCCAGTTGTTTCGTTGATAAAATGAGGTAAATTTCACGTCCATTGAGAATTCTACTTATTAAACACGGAACACGATAATATAATTGCATTTATGTACCAACAGAGAGTATTTTTAACTTAAAATATGTCAAAAATAGTCGAACGATGTGCGTACGCACTTCTATACAACGGTTACACCCAAGAAATGAGAGAATCAATTTCCGATGTCATTGTATCTTTTTCATGAATAACTCTCGAATTCGTCTCCCTTGAGAATTGTACGTGTGAGTTACATATTAACATGATTACATTCATTATTTATAACACAATCGCGAGTGCATAGAAACGAATATACACGCATGATCAATCAGCTATGAATTTTCCAACAAAATGTCGTCATCACTTCCTATGTCCTATTTTTCAGGTGGTGTTGGTAAATCATCTGTGAGTGTCAACTTAGCTCTCGCTCTATCCCGTCTTTCATATCGTGTTGGAATATTGGATGCTGATATCTTCGGTCCATCGATTCCCACATTACTTAACCTGCGTGATCACAAAGCAACAACGTTAACAAAAACAAATCTCATCGAACCATTGATAAATTTCAATCTAAAATGCATGTCTATGCCATTCTTGACCAAATCCGAGGGTCCTATCGTCTGGCGTGGCCTTATGGTGATGCAAGCGATTGAAAAACTTCTTCGACAAGTGGCCTGGTCACCATTAGATTACCTAATTGTTGACTTACCACCGGGCACCGGTGATATTCAGTTGTCTTTGGCGCAATTGACGACACTAGCAGGTGTTATTATGGTAACAACTCCTCAAGAACTTTCCGTAATTGACGTACGAAAAGCAATTGAGATGTTTCGTCTTGTTCAAGTGCCTATTCTTGGCGTCGTGGAAAATTTTTCCACCTATTTTTGTCGAAAATGTGGTCATGAAGAGAGACTTTTCGGTGAAAACGGTGCGCGCTTGTTGGCAAATGAATTTCAGTTGAAAATATTGCAATCATTACCTATCGATATTTACTTTCGTCAGGCGTGCGATGAAGGCCGTCCTATTACTCAAGAAAACGACACAATTTTATGGTCAGTATTCCATAATTTAGCAAATCAAATTGTGGAACTGTTACCGATCAATAAAATAACAATACGAGACTGAAGAAAAGAAAGAAGACGTCATCGAAAAAGCAAATGAGACATATTTTTCAATAAAAATGATTCATGGACTAAATTTTATCACTAAAAATTATATTCTTGTTTTTCTTACCATCAAATTAAATTATCTAGGAAATAGAATGAAAACGAAAAAAGAGAGAAGAAAGAAAGAACCTTTACAAAATCTACTGCGAGGGAGGACATTTTCATTAATTAGATATAATCATTGAGAAAAATAACTACCATTGCTTATTTTTCTCTTTTCGCTTTCGTGTTTTGCTTCAGTGAACAGACGCTAAAGACTTTAGCATATAACACATTGGATTGCACAAGAATAAATGACAAAACGCAATACCTAAATAGGTTACATTTGTGTACATAGAAACGAATATAAAAGACTATTGTTTTCAATTAACATTTTTGATTTGTTTTTCTATCTAAAGCAGTTCGCTAGGTCCTATGTCGGCTTTGAAACGTCTATTCGGTCTTGATAATGCGGAAGACAATCTACGAATTATTATAACACGTCATGGAGAACGTGCTGATCTAGCGTTGGGACCGAGATGGGCAAGTAAATTGAATAAAAATGGCGCACGTGATCCTCGGATATCGTACCTGACACCACGTGCTGATTTTCGTGAATGGAACTATGATCCGCCGTTGACAACCGATGGCGAAAGACAAAGTATGGCGATTGGAAGAAAACTGTTAAATCTTGGCTACGCAATTGATTACTGTTATTCATCGCCAGCGTATCGATCGATCCAAACAGCTGATAAGCTCCTTGAAAGTCAAGGAAGAAAAGGTATATCAATCAATATCGAACCAGGTAAGTCAGCAAAATCCACGCGTATATTTTTGTTGACAAATATAATCTTTTGTCTCTATGCGAAGGTCTATTCGAATGTCCTTCGTGGTACGCAGGTGCTCCACTGACATTTATCCCACCTGAGTACCTGTCTATGGATCGACATTTCAACATCAATCCATATTACGAACCAATTTACGATGGCGTTGATATGTCCGAAGAGGAAGGTCGGTATTACGATCGGTCGCGTCAACTGATTGATGCCATTATCAAGTTACATAAAGGTACAGGTGGAACAGTTCTATTATCAGGACATGCTGGTTCAATTGAAACTGTGGGACGCGGTATGCTTCGTCGTCGAGCACGACCCGAACGTCTCCAATATGAAGCTGACAAAGTCAATTACTGCAATTTCGCCATTCTTGAACGCGATGCTTACACTCGTCAATGGACAGTCCATTCTCCAATTACATTCGAAAATCCATTAGGCCGGCAACGTACCATTCAAAGTTCGATTCCACTCTATCGAGCTACATCAGTACATTTACCAACTCATCATGTCAAAGGTTCCATGTCATTCGCTGACTCGCTAATGAACAACCGAGCGTTGCAGTACTACCGTCGTTATGGTTATCGTTAATTCTCATGAATATGAATATCTTTTATATATATTTTTAAAAGAAAAAAAAACACAAACATATTTATATTTTAAAAAAAGATTCAATCCTCCACAAATCTGACACACATACATTTATACACATACATAAGAAAAAGCAAAAAAAGACATAACTGTACAATGAACTGTGCTCTAGAACAAAAGAAGAAGAAGAAGAAGAAACACTTCCTGTTATATAAATGCAACTGGCTTGCTTGATTTTTTTTGTTTTGATTTTTTTTTTCGACAATTGACAAACAACAATGAAGAGAAAAGAAAACAAGGTTCCTCTGACTTAGTTTTCTTTTCTTCTTTAGAGGAAAAAGAAACTGACTGTTCTCAACAGTTTATATATATTTTTTTGTTATATTCACATTTTTGTTTCTTCGATTTCTTGATCTCCATTTTGTGCAACTTCATACCGTGCTCGATCATTATACACATACGCATGATTTGCACCCTGAGCAATCATTAAAAAGATCTTTAAAAAAAAAAGGTTCGAATGAATCAGCAATAAGCGCTTAAACAAGAAAGCAACATACCAAACCGATCAGAATAACCAAACATGACGCTGTTGTTACAATACTCAATGTGAAATATTCTCGGTAGGACTAGAACAAAGAAAAGCATTAGCTCATCGGTTATCTCTTCGCTTTGGCGAACGGCAAAGTTGAATCATGTTGAGAGAAAGGCAACAAAAACATAACTGAATGCAAGCCTTGGAGAAAAAAAATCGAAGAAAAACAGCAATCATAAAGCTAATGATGAAAAATTATTTGGAAGGAGAAGGAGAGATCGAGATAAAGATCGATAAGGGCAACGTGTAAATGTTTATTTGTGAAAGATGAATGATACTTAACAGGCTCGAGTTCAATGTCAATAATAGATACGCTTTTTTCAGGTTGATATTTTACTCGAACAGACTGGAGAAATGATCTGATGCTTGGCATTCAATAGAATTCTCGTTTATTCAACTTACTGGTAAACAGACGTCGGCCAGTTTAAAAAGAGTTGGTTTTTCATTATCTCCGTGAACGTGTTGGTTGATTTCATTCAAAACTATTTTTAACAAATCAAGATCGATTCTATGATAAGATTCGTGTTTACGACATACTATTTACGAAACTTCCACCTGCTGTCGCATAACGACCACTACATACGACGAAATAAACGTAAAAGAGACCGTATAATGGAATAAATGTTAAACAAGTGATGCCGAGCCATGTAATGGTTAAGAGAAATGTTATAAATAGAACCTAGGAGAGATTGATTGCGATCAGTGAAGAGAAAAAGTTGACTTGGCGACTTACGAAGCCGTTTAAGATACGTGCGCATAAGTTTTTTCGATAACCCCAGAAATATTTCTTGCGTGTTTTGCCGCTCAGAACACTCGCTAACAGAACGGAGGACAAGCCAAAGATAATCGTTATTGCCACACCACATCCGATTGTCAATCGACTTAGACCCAAACTAAACGACAAATGACAGAAAAATCGAGATGAACTGACGATTCCGAAGCAAACTGTACCATCGTTTACACGCCCATCTTTCACTATGTTGAACTCGATGAATCGTATAAATCGTCGATATTGTAAAGAGAACACATCCGATCATCAAGATGAGAAACGAAAGGAGAGATGGAAATGGCGTTTTGTGAAACATATTTGAACAATATGAATTTAATCTAAAATATCAAAAGAAAAATGATAATCATATGTGTTTGTTTATTTGTTTATTCTCGAAGCAGAAAAAGAATAATGAAACACTTCGTTTCCGGTTACATAATAGAATACGATGATGACGATAGTGAATGAACGTTACAGGAAAAAAGAAAGAGTATTATACGATTGATAGACATAAATATGGGTGCGTAATCACTAACACCGTCGTGCATTACGCAAAAGACAACAGAAAGACTAACTTTGTTCTCATGTTCGAAATATAAAACGGCATTTTTCAGCTGTTACTGAACAATTTCTTTTCTCTCTCTTTCTCTCCAGTGTTTTCTTTTAGAAAATGATAAGGCGAATAGATCGATTGGATGTCGAAGTCAACTTCAAATAAATTCAAACACGATTCTCGAGGGAATGTATACTTTATGGCAGAATGATGATGGCTGTGCATGCAAATAACAATATGCTCGCGTATGGACACGTTTGGGAGATCAATAAGATCAGATCTACATGCACTCTAGTATTACCATCAACTATGATGCAATATTCATTTCGCAGTTTTGTTTTAATACATATTTCATTCATCAGCTCAAACAGGAACTCACATGTGACATTGATTCGTATGGAGCGCATGTGTCTGATTTATATTCACGAGCCGGCGACAACGGCGGCACATGAACATGGTCGATCATTAGAATGACCATCAATAGAAATGAAATGGACGGATATAAAATTGTCTGATTGATTCAATCAATGTGAAAGCATCAACTCTTAGTCTTCTCTATTGACAAGCTAATATTTTAAGTTTTTTTTTCTGCTGGTAAATTCGATAATGATGATGATGACGTTCTTAGAACTACTTCTATGATTACTCGACTATTGAGGATGATGATGATGATTGTAAAGAGTGTATAGAAATCGACGCGAGTAAACAAACAAGTGATTTACATAAATTATTAATGGATTATTGCGAGAATAATCAAGGTCAGAAACACAAAAGAAATCTAAGACAATAAAATTACGAAGAATAGACGGATGCCTGAAGGATGTTTATCGATCGAGTTTTATCATTTGATAGATAGATGGATGGGTAGACAGACAGACAGACAGATATCGACAAATCATTAGTCGCCATAAGAAAATAATTAGAATGACTCTTCTAAATGTTCATTGCTGCACCAGTTGTAGAATACATGGAGACACATGTCATACAACTTTTTCGAATAGGAAAAAAAGAGAAAGAAAAATATGTAGAGTATACTTACTGTTATTCGAGTCGGACAAAATGATAATTCTGACGTTGATTTTAAAATGTAAAAAAGGACCGATCGCAATCTCTTATCGGAATAACTGGCAGTGAATGATGACAACGTCTTACATCTCGACCAAACATCAAGGATGATACGATTGTCGGACCGAGTCAAAGTTTCATTTCTTCTTTTTTTTTTCTCCTTCTGCCTCTCTGCTTATAGATTTAACTCGTGATGCAATATTCTATCTTCGTTAGAGTACATATATCTCGGAAAGGTTATCTCAATATGAATATGAACGCATTTCCCATCATCACTTACTCAACTTCGTCTGATCTTGTTGATAGTAGTGTCAACGATCTTTTTAGTAGTAACAACGGAAATCATATTAAATCGGCTATCATATTCGGAATTGTTTTCAATAGTTGTCTATGAAGCGGCTTCGCCAGTGCTGTCATCGTCTATTTGTCAAATTCGATCTGGAAGCGAGTGAAGAAGAGAAAATGACTTGAAGGGAAAGGAGGAAACAAGAAGAGAGCGAATAGAAAGTCTCTTGTGCTACTGCCAACATTTTCTTTTCTGTCCGTCTCTCTCTCTCTGACTCTCTTTCACCCGCAGTTCAGCTTAGAGAAGAGTACAATGTGAAGCAAGGAAAAAAAGAGAATAATTAGCCGGATTTTCGATGAGTTGTAGAGCAGTAATAGGAATGGCTTTTCTTAGTTCCCGTCATTCAGCGGCCATTTTCTTTTTCTCTCTTCTTCTTCTTCGTCTCCTCTCCCTAGTTTTTCCATCGAAGCAGCCAAACTACGAGAAGTGTACTCAAAAAGAAGAAAGGCTCGACAAATGCATGCCAAATTTTCGAATAGTCTAGTTATAGTTCAATGGTAAAAGAAAGAAGATGCAAAGCTGTCGAGGTCTTTTATTCCCTCGAGGGATTTAATTCTATCAACAGCATCTTCATCGAACTAATTCTGTCAAGAAGCACGTACAAAGATCTAGCTTGTCGCCGTTTTTTTCTCTTGTCTATAAATAAACCTTACCTTTTGTCTTGGATAGTTTATGCGAAAAAAAGATGTTTTTTTCTCACACTCACTTTTCCTTTTCTTTTCTTTTTTTTCTATCATGCGGACATGTATACTCGAGTTCAACTTTTGTGCACTAAAAAAAAAGTGATACTCCGCTTGGCTTCCTTTCTTTTACTTGCTCATTATTGCGGTGAACTTTTTTTCCTATCCTCTGTCCTTTCACTTCTCTTTTGTCTCATCCTAATTCATTCTATCCACACGCAAAAAATGTGCATGGGCGAGAGCACCAATAGTCCTACTGCCATGAATAATACACACACGCACATATATACATACACTTCTAGAAGCAGACAAAGAAGAGAATGACCTGATTCTTGTTCTTTATACGTATGCCCTCAGTCTCTCTTTTTTTATGTATACCTTCCGGTATGATGGGAAAAGAACAGAAGGAAATTCATTATTGTTCTATTCAATTTAACAACATTAATTTATGTCTAAGATCAGACATCTTCACGCAGACAGAAAAAAGAGATTTGTCATTCTACAATATTCAAATTTTATTTCGAATAAAATGTCAAACATATTCTATCATGGACGGTGCAAATAAATATTTTTGTGTGATTTTGTAAAGAAAAAACAAACATCTACATCAGACACATTCACTGTTCGAAATGCTTAGACGGAAATTTATCAGAAGAGACGATTGAAATGATGATTTTTGCATTGGTATGAAACGGAATTTCATATTTTAACGGCATCGTTCGCTCGTCCTAGAAAATTTTAATAAAATATTGCTCTGTCAAATGAGATCTATTTACTTTGAGATCAAGTATATGCGACATAAGATCAATACAGAGATCAATATGATCAGGTAAAAGCATAATTTGTGCTTCTCGCATGCCTAGAATCATTATTTGTTGAATCGAGTCGACCATGATGCCTTGATTGTTCGCCGCAGTTGAAATAAAACAAATAGATTGATTATTCAAGGAATCGAATATGAACCATTTGCCACGACGTAATCGCGTTCTGATTGGAAAGAGAATTTTTTCGAATTTGATACAACTACGAAGGGAAATTAAGTTTACCGAAGGATTTTGACAAATATTTTCGCGGCATCGAGATCGAATGTCAGATCGATTGAAGAAACCGATCGAAAATGAGTATCGTTGAGCGGAACCGATCTTTGATGATCGAGAAAAAAAACAAATTCAATAAATTAGCTCTAAATCAATATATTCCTACTCGACATTCCAAGCACATCGTGCAAGAACTCGACCGAGTTGTGAACCTTCTTTTTCAATTTTTTCTTGTATCATTTGTTTAGCATTTCGTTGAATATCAAAAATTGATTCGCGACGTGACATATCCGTCACCAAAAGAGATCCACCCGTCCTATTGAATATTAAAAGCTTATTTTCATATGCAATTGATGAACAATTACCTTCGATTGCCACTGAATAAATCAATTACTTGAGCCACATTGCATTCTTGTGCGGCTTCCATTTCATTCTCGAAACAACCGACTAACTATAAACGGAAATAAACATCTACGCGTTCATTTGTGTTCTGCAGAATGAAACGGCAGCTATTTACTTGAAGAAACTCTACCGAACCAAGATTTGTTCGAAATGATTGTAACTGACGATCGGTCGTGATCAATAAACTACGTATCAGTGTATCATGCGTGGACGGATAAAAGTTATGTATCGTCTGGCCAAACGGAATGTGATGACCAGCATGAAATTGTGTTCCTGTTTTGAAAACATATTTCGCCAAATGTTGTAATAATTTACACGGCCACATTGGAATTTCTTGAACTGAATTATTATTTTCCGGAGCTTTCTTCAAACGGAATGTTAATTCGAAACCATAGCCAGACAAAGGATTCGGATCATCTTTCGCTGGAACTCTAAGTACTCGAAGTTCAAAGACTTCAAACGATTGAAATTTCAATTACTTATGCACTCGGCCATCGCCATGCAGATCACTTAAGCCAAATGTCACATAATGCCAATGTGCTGATGATGTTTCATTGCCTTGGTTATGGTAAATCGATATATAATCCAAGCATTCCGATCCACCGAGCCTATAAAAGAAAACGTCTGCGAACAATACTCATGAATCACTTCAATAATACCAATATTTCACTAGACTCGTTGCTTGGGTTGGATTTAACTGATCAGGATAGACTTTCGAGCATGCTTGAACAATAGCATTCAATCCCACATAGGACCGTTCGTTGGCTTCCGTCATCTGTAAAAATATACATACACTTGTGTCGATATGAATGGAAAAGAAACCTATCAAGTATGCTTCTGTTTTATTGGGGACAATGAAGAAGAAAGAAAAAGAGAAACATGAAACCGAAAGATAAAATAAAAACAAGAATCATCGAAGAAGTCGAAATAACATTGAAAATAAACAAATCTAGGCGAAGTTATGCACGAAATAATCTATCGAACGCGTAGAAAATCGAATCGATCAACCGACACAAAATATCTCTCCTTGTCTCGAAGAATTTTCTATTGTAAGAAAAAGCAAATAAACAATCGACAGTTTCCTATTTGACGTGTGTATACATATATACGTGAATATGCTTTGGTAGAGATTAACCTACAAGAAAAGAATAACAACAATCAAACAAAAATATAACCGAGTTGATATCCATGTATTCACAGACAGAGAGAAAAACAAAACAAACTGTACATATACAATGTTGCCCTTCCTGTTCGAAGACATTTATGTGTGATTTTGTTGGATCTAAGCTTCGAATAGTTACTACTCATTCTAACGAAGCATTTTTATGACAGCTTCAAGTCTACTTAATATAAATAAAAGAAAACGTCATGCGCACGTACACCAACAGAACGACAACAAAAAGAATCACGCCTATCTAGGTTAAAACAAGAGAATTATGTACACAAGCTTCTCTAAACACATACAAATCTCAATGCATTTTTCACTGTTCATTGAAACAATAAAAATACACAATAACTGTAGATTTCTGTACGTATATAGAATTCGCCTAAAGGTTCGAGACGCAAGAATCGAAAAATATTATCAGAAAAAGTCGACAAAGAAAAATAAGTGCAATATTACTCTAAAAACTAAGCTGGAGAAAAAGTCTTGATAATGTTTTCGAAAATACAAATCTATGTCTAATGCTTTGAAGACGACGAAACGAGTACATGTTTGTTCGAGTGATGCTTTTGTTGCTTTTGACGCGAGGCAGAAGTTGCGTTTGGTACCACAGGCGAGCTTACAGTTGATGTGCCAGGTATAGCCGATGCGGCTTGTTGAACAGGATTTGATTTCGCTTGTTCAATCTAGATGAAAATTAAATGGTTCAACGGAATTCTTTTCCCTACGATTTACCATTGAAAGTTTGGATAATTCTTTTTGAAGTTGCGCTTGCAATGTTCGTACATCATCCAATGGCAATTGCAGTAAATCGTGATCGTTTGGTAGTATGCGCATATTTTGAACGAGTGATTGACGCATTTGTTCAATTTGATGGAAAGCGTCGTCACGTTGCTGAATAATACGATTCTTTTCTTGTTCAAGTTGAATCGCTAGTCGACGATTATCTTCTGCTTCGCGACGCCAATGTTCAGACGACTAGAATTTCGCAAGAGGAAAGAATAAACATATTTTCTTATCAGAGACATAAGCTGAATTATCTTCTCGTACCTCTTTCTCTGTCATCGCCAATGTTTGCATTTGCAAAACACGATTACGCATTAAATCCATTTCAGTTGCAGATGATGAAGGTGATAAAGAGTTATTGCTTGTCGTGCTGAGACGTTGAAATATCAGTTGAGGAGACGTCGATTGAAACTGATACGATGAGGTCGGTAAATCTTGACTAAAACCTGCCATTTTATATAATTCACCTGGCCGTTGACTCCCACCACTTGATGTCGACGGTTCGGGAAAAGGTGCGTCAATTGGCTAAATGAAATCATACAAACCTCTGTAGAATGTTTTCGCTGTTATAAATAGATAGACAGTATAAGCGTTTGCCATTTTCTACCGATACATTGTCTCACTGACGTTTGTCTTATATCGCGCATTCTGAGAACTTTGAGAGTCTATTTCCTCAAGAGTACCACAACGTCAATAAAATCAATCTCATTAAACGACATAAATGAGGGTTTCTATTATTTCTATTGTATTCTAAGTTTAGACAATCACATTTTTCTAGGCATAAGAAACTCTTATATAAATTGGTTATTTTTTCGCATGAAGGACTGAAATCCTCTCGTCCGTGATATGAGTTTTGTGAACATACCGATTCTAAAGTTCCGTCGAACAATTGATTTGGTGCATCGAACGGTGATTTTGCAGATGATGAGTGTGAGAAATGATCATGTGTAAACGAATGTGGAATATTCACTGGCCTGGTGATTTGATTCGATGATGATGACGAAGATTTTGCTGTTAAATGCGTTGGTGATGTATTATTCGTTGCTGGTGTTGTTGATCGTTCAAAACTATCGATATCATTATCAATTAATAAAAGTTCATTGTTTTGCTCATTGCTTGCCGCCTTATCGAATTCATCTTCATTGACATTATCTAAACCGATCGCCGTCAATGAAGATCCAATCAAGTTCTTGACATCGTTTGGTAATGGCTGTTGATTATAAGTATCGTTAATATTTGTTGGTGGCATGAGATGTTGTTCAGGTGATATTGAGTGCATGTGAGCAGTGATAGATGAAAGAAGATTGGATGCAGCGAGTGTTGACAAGAACGACGATGGTGGAGGATAAGAATGGCTAGCTGCAAGTTCGGCAGCCGAGAGGAGAAATTGATCATTAAGAAATGTGGATGCGGATGCTTGTGGTAGTTGATGATATTGGCGAAAAAGTTGTTGTTGCTGTTGTTGTGGCGGTGATGGCAGTTGCGAGAGCTGTGGAAGCATACCTCGAATAGTAAACGAGCCACTACCAGAGTTGTGTGTTACAAGAGACTAAAGTAAACAATTGAGATCAATGGAAATATGAAGTATATTGTTACATGTCTATCAGGTAAGTGTTGCTCAAGTGTTTTCACAACAGCACCCGGAAATGAACCAGCTTCAAATCCAGATGGTTGTGAAGATCTTTTTGGAATGTTTCGTGACGATGATAGTAACTGAAAACGAGAAATTACGAGCAAATACTATGACTTGACTAAACTTACATCAGCAACATCGACTTCTTTATCTTCAGGAATTGGTATAAATGAAGATAGTGGTAATTCACTTGTATAATGAACATCGAAGTCTCTGTATGATTTTAATTCTTCTGAAAATGTGATAAAGAATCAAGTTTCTTCGAAGCATATCATTGAATTTTGATACATACGTTCAATGTGAGCAAATGCACAGAATGGTCCACGTGGACAGTATCCCGTAACAGAAACATCATTACATTTCGTTGATTTGTAAATCTTTTCGATGACATAAAAAATAGCACATTAATAAACATGTACCAAATCAAACCTCAGGATGGAACTGTTGTTCAGTACGAGTGTGACAATATTTACAATTATCACCCGATTCACACACAGTTGGATCGATCCATTCATCGCTTTGCTTGACATGTGGACAAGGTGTTGATCTAGAGTGATAATTCAATATCGAATTGAATTTCTCTTCAATAAATGTTACTTGTATTTAAATATTGATGGATTACGTCGACGATCACGCGGATTATGATACTGCGGGCAAGCATAACCTTGTCGACAGAGACGAGGTGGACGTTTACAAGGTTCAGTTTTATAATTTGCCAGAACGTAATGTGAATCTGAAGGATTAGTTTGAATGAGCAATGCAATTTTAAAGAAAAGACTTCTCTGTGCTCACCACTCCATTTTGGATCGTCGTTCAAAGCCCGTTCATTTTCCAGACTAATACATAGACGTGTTAACCTCTCCAGAGCCAAGTCACTATTTTGAATTTCTCGACTATCAAGTACAGGCTGTCGTAAATCGTTCGCACCATGAGCATATGAACAATGCAGACCATTTTTCAAACAATTGCCTTTTGCATCACAGTCATGTGTACACAAACCCGTCTTGTAATATCGTAAGTGGTAACGTTTTTCTGTATCATTAGCATTTCGATGTAACAAAAAGCAACTAAAGCGAATGGTTGTATAGAAATTGAAAAAGACGAGCTTTCCTTCGAAAACTTACTCGTCACCATTTGGACAAACTCCGCTTTGTTCATCGTAATCATTACAATAAAAATCCGGATCGTATGAGAATGTTCCATCTTTTCGACGGATCGGTCGCCGACGACGTTGATTTTGAAAATGCCAATAGAAACATGAAAACGGCCGATGTCTTAAAATACATCTCAAGTTTCCTCATTGAAATCCTATTTGCCTGTTTCTTACTGTGTGCATTTATGTTGGAGAAATAGTTGACATTGCTCAACACGAAAATCACGTAGATAACTACGGAAAGGGAAAACAAAGTTCTTTGCACAAAGTCAATCAAGTGTTTGTTTACTTTAAATGTGAAGTTTTTTCTATCAGAGCAAGTTGTTGTAAATCATTAGCCATCGTATGTTAGTTTACAATGTACATGAATACACGAAATAAAGAATTGATTGTTATCATCAATAAAGGAGACTTTCTCACATTATTTCTTCCTTTTTTTTTCTTTCTTTTTCGATCAAGTCAAATAGAGACAAACGTTTTTTTTTCTTCTTTTCTACGATATTTTTTGTTGTTATTTTTTATTTATTTGTTGACTGTCAGGTGATAGAACTTCTCATCCAATCGAATCGATCAAAGCGACCGCCGACAATAGAGGACGCTGATTTTCCGCTCAATATCGAACTCCGTTCGAGTCTGAGATGACAGATAACGATTCAGAAAACATGCGCGAGATTTTCTTTCGTATAGAAACTGGCGTATATTATTTATTTTCAAAAAGAGATTAATCAAATTGTATAAATTGTGTAATTTTCATCTTTTTCTCTACATCGCGTACCACTTGTCGATAATCACTCTGTTCACTTTGATATAAATCATCGAGAATAGCTTTTGACATCTGTTGGATTTGATCCGACTGGTTCGCGTTTGCAAACTGAAAGCAGAAAACTTTGTATTCGCTCACTATAACTATCCACGTTTCTTACGTGAACAAGTGTTTCGACACAACTTGAATTGATGAGTTGCTCATGAACCATTCCTCGAACTTTTTCATCTCGTTGTCGACAGAATACAAACAACGTCGTGAGAAATATTTCATAACGTTCCGGACTAGTCTTCATTTGGAAAAATAACTTTCCAATCTTATACACCGTTCGATGTTCACACAGAATCTTCATGTTAGTCTCGGCTAACGCTAAATTTCGTATTAGACCAATACATGCTTTTAGTAGAGACCAATTCGATTCTTTTGTATGAAGATATTTGATCAGTGTGGGTGTCGCCTGGCTCATGCGAATCGATTCACGAGCTTGAAATGCTAATGGGCATCGACCGGTGAGATGTCTGAGTGTGCAAACCTGAATGGAGAAAAAATTAAACAATATTTCTTTAGAGACCCAGATCGCTTACAATCGATTCAATGATATCGTCTCGATTTTCGACTTGTATGAGAATATGAACAAGTAATTGAACGAGATTATGTCGAATCATCAATGATTTATTCGCTTGGTTTTCACAGGATAGATTCGATAGAATATCGATGACATAGCCCTTGATTTGGATATCGACATTCGAGGATAGTATTTGTATTAACGTTAGAATCAATGAATCGAATATATCCTAAATATATTCCAAAGAAGTTCCTGAAAAACACGATGTCGAAATTCAAAATACCATATGAATGATTTCATTTGATAGATTTCTCAATGTTAACAAGCAATACCGTTGGATTTTCGAATCGATTTTCAAGTGTAGAATTTTCTCTATTGTTGGAATTAAATTGAATTGTATCAAGAGTGACTTTGTGTGAATATTCGACGATAATATTGGGAGCATTCGTATCAAAGTACATGATAATTTATTATAATTGGTCTCGTCGAGAATGGAAACGAGTTCTTGTAAGAATAATTTGCTTGTTTGTAGATAAATCTAAAGAAGAATGGGTTGATTTCGTGGAGAAAATCGAGAATTTGTTTTACTTGAGCGTTTTTGTTGAACATTGCTAAACGTAGCAGACAATCCGCAAGGAAATTCATTTGTTTATCTGAGTGACGACGAATCAGCAAGGATATAAATATCATGCAACCATTATGTGCTTGAATTTCTTCAGCTGATTCATTATTTAGCCCAATCAAACAATTGCGAAGCGTTGTCAGAATGAAATTGATGACATCATCGTTTAACACTCTATCGAAAAGAAGCAGAAGGCGAATTAACAAGAAATTGTTGGTTATTTCCGAGAAAAATACTCAAGTGTTTGAAGAAGGATAGGTATTATCTCAGCGCTTAGCAATAATCGGATTCCATCTTCATCTATTGATAGATCGTGAAATAGACTTGATAGTAAACACGTCAGATCATTGTCGGTATTGAATAATCTCGCCAAAGAGATGATCAGCTATGAAAATCACGACTAATATTGAAGGGGAACATGCGAAAAGGATTACTTGTGGATGACGAATGACTTCCTTTCGTCGACAATCATTTTGTTTGACAAGCAAATGTACAGTTTTGCTGATTTCAGTGACAACACTCAGATCTCGATAGGCTCGTTCATCATTTAACAAATCGATTAGTTCCGAGACAATCAATTTCGCGTTTTCTTCATCAGATGATTGTTGCGTTTCAAGCGAAGAATTCATTCCGAAAAACGACTATATGATCTTGCATTCAAACACTTATCATGGTTCGTTAAAACTATTCTCCAATCATTTATTATTAAACAAAAACAAACATAAGTCGATTTCAATTGGATTTTGTCTTACTACGGCGGATTTGTTCGATTTGTTTAGACAATAAGTTCCGACAGGTGAGACATGGTTTATTATGACTTTGAGTGTTTCGAAAAGGTAAACTGCGTATCGCAAATTGTATGCGTTGACCAGTGAGACGTGCTTCGCAGCAATAACATCTATCTAGGTAAAAGCAATCCTCGATTAGATTGAGAGAATTCGAATGTTTCTTACTGTTATTCATTTGACTGCCTTTTTTCGTCTTCATGTATTTGAGTGAGAAGTGTATTTTCGTCAAGCGTTGTTGCTTGTAGGTATAATGTATAACTAAAGATTTGTTGTCTAAACTCAAGGTTTTTTTCGTATTCTGTAGGCGAATTCTAAATCACAGAACGGAAGAAGAAAAAGCCGTCTGATCGGTTGTTTTGTTTCTCCATTTTGATATTGAAAGCTTTTTCGTGAATTCAGAATTATTTAGTGAATTTCATCTTAAGCATTGTTTTGTATGTCATCATGCAACAAGTTTTCTACGATCGTCATAGCGAACATCGAATATATCTTTGGAGTCATTGAAACTACTTGTTCGTGATTAGATAGGCGTTTATTATGATCAGGGATCAAAAGCAATACATTTTGTATAAGAAAAGAGGGTTCATTCTTCATTGTTAGTCAAACTTCGATATTCATTCGAGTTTGAGTGTTTGATTGGACTAAGTCATTCGTTGGGTGAACGGTATTGACATTGATGACCTTCGTATCGACTTCTTTCGGTGTCAAATAGAGTGTCGTATTCGAACGAGCTAACATGTCCAAACGTTTGGTGTTTTGTATGTCAAAATAGACCTGTAATTTCTTTTCCAATGGCACATCATCGCCAAGATTACCGATGAAATTTTGAATACGACTGCCTTCAGCGATACCATCGGCGACATTCTCTTCTCGTTCGTTTTCTTTCTTGATTTTAAGCAATGTTCCAACTAATTTCTCTGCTTCAATTTGACCATTCAAATCGCAGAGTTTGACTTCATTTTCAGCTTCTTGTTTCTCGATGTTCTTGATACGGTTCGTTTTCTCATCGATAATTTGTTTGAAAATCTTTTGAATTTCGGGGTCCTTGCAGCGTTTTTGTAAAATTTCAACGCGAATGACATTGACACCACGAGACTCAAAAAATGTGTCATCCTTGTCTGAATTGACTGAAGCAATTAACTGACTATTCGGTAATTCCATAAACTCTTTCATATTGTACTTCGATACTTGACTTAAGATCTCCGAACGAGTATGATTACCTAGAAAAAAAAAGTATTTTCAAATTCGGATGTGTGTGATTCTACTTGATTCGTTGTATTCTGTCTAGACAACTTACAAATATCTTCCGGAGGATCTTGTGTAACAAGAACGAGTTTGTATAAATCTGTGATTTGCCAGAAGATTGAGACATCAAGGATGATTTCAACATTATCTGCTGTCCGAACAAGAAATTCGTAATCCATATCTATTACATGAAAGAAAAAGTTTCATTCACAATTCCAATCCAATTCACTTACACTGATTTCTTGTATCAAAACGATCAACAGATGTGGTCGATTGATGATCCTTTTTCAGATCATTTGACCATTGTTGCGTATATATCTGTTGATACGGGTGCAGAAAGAATGATTTATCTTTCATACCGTTTTTCAGGACATGTTGACCATCCTTGTCGATTAAAATCATATTTTCGTCTAGAAGAAATTCATAACAGTTTGAAACACGAAAATCAAATGTTCGACATACATGGAGCTAATTTGATTAATTTTCTGATTTCAATGAATGTTTGCGTGAATGATGGAATAAACTTCTGTGGTGTAGTAATCAATTCATCCATGCCTGTATCAAGATTTTTAACTAATACTGCATTCTCTGTGTCGATGTTAATGATATTGAAAATTGTTTGACGATTATCTTCTTTTAGTAGTTCGTACGGTCCAAGTGCAAATGTTTTCGGACCTTTTTCAATACGCATCACACCAGTGCGCGTGTCAATTATACGACAGTACTGTGCATGATTGAGCACAGTATAGTTGTATACTGGTGATACTTTATCGTAGGCTTTCGGTAGATGTAGTTTCGGACCTAAAATCAATTCGATTGATTTCTGTGATTAGGAAATCGTTTCAATTTACCAGTGACTGTTTGCTTTTCTCCAGTGGATTCATCTGTAACGATAATATATTCTGTCGATGACAAATTGTACATATTATGGACCTCGCTAATTGCATCGTATGGTTTCGGACAGAATAATTTCGGGCCTGATTCCACTCTTTTGGCTCCAGTTAATTTGTCCGTAACGGTAATATATTGTGTAGCTGACAGATCGATCATTGGTTTAATTCCACTGATTATATCGTATGGATTGTTGATATGATAGATTTGTGGTCCACGAATAATTTCAAGTAGCTGCATGTCAGGATCATTGATTAACTCGTCGTTTTCATTTGACGTGACGCGTTTTTCCAAGGGGATCCTGTCCGATCGGTTTGTCTTCGTACTTTTTGGAAGAATAACATGTTTAATGACAAGATATTCGTTATTCTGCAGCGGTATCGATTTCACCACACGAGCTTCCCACCAATTCGGGAAGCAAAACCAGCCGGGACCATGACGAGTTTCTCGGCCAGTTGGTTTATCCAAGATAATTGATTCGTCGCTGTCAAGAGCAATACAGCAGCCAAATTGAGTTGATTTACAGGCGCCCATAACCGCTTTTCTAAAACAAATATAGTTCCATTGGCTATTTAACTAAAAAAAGGCAGTGTTATTCGATACTAAACGAACATCACGTCATACAAAAAAAATCAACCTCTATTTTTGTGTACAGGAGAAGATTCACGTACGAAACTAACAAACTCATTAGCCACTAATTTTGGTGAAAACACAAATGTGTCGCTGTCGATACTTTTATACAGGATTATTTTTAACTTTGCGGTCAGATGCGAAAATATTGTTTTTTTTTAAAGCATCGCACTACAATACGCTTGTTTTTCTTCCATTCGGAGTACATCACTTAGGCAAAATAACAATTTGTTGTCATACGAAGAAAAGATTCCTTCATCTAACCACAATGCTAGAAACGATCGTATGAAAAGCACAGAAAGCTTCACGTTTATATCTTCAATAGCGAAAAAAGTTATCAGTTGACGATAAAAATAGACCAGTGGAGTATCTATATATTTAAAATGGATTCACTATCTATGAATTTTGACAGTGGCGCTTTTTTTGTTATATCTATAACATCGTGACCTTATTCACTATTCATCCCATTGGCTGACTTGTTTCTTGCTTTTCTACAGGAAAAATATGGGAATGGGAAAAGTATCTGCCGACATCAACGACGACGAACTTCCTCTAGTTCTGACTCACGCTTGCGAATATAGATAGTGTACATCTCTTTAAATAGACGACGTATAGTGTAGGCGGTTCTTACGCAAATTACGCTGATGACGTTCATCTGTGCTAAATACGTCAATGAAATGAGTAATCTTAACATCGACAAGGGCTTATTGATTCATTTTTATTAGAATGACGACACATCAACGATATAAACAAGGAACAGAGAGAATTACAACAAGAAACACACAGGCACACGCACGCACGCACACAATCAACTAAAAGTAACACCGATTGGTTGATGTAACTATCGTTGTTGCTAGAGTTGTTTCATCATCGTCATCGTCTTCATCGCTTAGAATCTGTGAATTTGTCATGATTGTTGTGGTATTCGAATTCTTTGGCTGAATATAGATATTATCATATTCAGATTCAAGATTGGATATAACACTTTCAGATAGATTGTCTGCTCTTGACGACGAGATATCACTTAGATCTGAACGAGGCATTGAAGATGAATCTACTCGACGTGGTGGCTTTTTCAACGGATTAGTGTGGTGATTGCCGATGACTTTATTGAACTGAGAAGTCGGATCGAATAGTAACGGTCGATTGCGATGCTTAAGTGATTCATGTCGAATAAGATGAGATGTTTGAGCTGAGTTTTTTCGTAACGATTTGTATCTGACATGATCGTATGAACGTTTCGCTGATGAACGAGGCTTTGATGGAGCATTTGATCCATTTTTTAATGCACTGAATGTATTCTCACTGACAGTATCCGAGTCATCATCAGTTGATTCATTTCGAAGAACGATATTTGTTGAATATCGTTTGTTTCTCCTGGTCGACGACGGCGGAGTTTGTTTTACTTGATGACGAAATAAAGTCAACTGATCTTCTAGCCAACGTTGTAACAAATCACCATGAGTGCTCGATGGCGATTGAACGTCTTTCGGTACGAACCTATAAATAGAATAATTCGATTAACAATCATTAGACAGAAACAAATGATGTTGATGTATTTACTTTGATACATCATGTATTTGCACAAGATCTTGTAAATTATTGTAACTAGATGAAAGACGTGTGCGTTGAGGATGTTTTGATTGATAGACAATATTCTGTGTCCACGGATCACGATGATGTTCGAGAGATATGTCGGAAAGCGCACTTTCAGAAGTTTCAGCAACTAGTTTTCGTGCTAGATCAAAGGGCATCGGTCGATATCGCATTACTGGATGTTTTTGTAATGATTGTGATGGAAGGTTCGATGTTTGTGCAGGTGCAGCAATTACTTTAGCGCTGTTTACCGGAGTTAATAATGTTATTGTTGCGGCTGTTGACGCCGGTGAGTGAATAATTGTTGATTTGGTATCAGTTCGACTGCTGCTCTCGTCTTCAGTTGTTGTCATATTTACTGTGAATGATAAATCGCATGGTCGACGTGGATAATAGCAATCAATGATCGGTGCCTGTGATGATGGATGTTGTGTGGATTTGATTGATTCTTGTTTTTGAATATTGATATGGTTTGACTTGATACTCGCGACTGGCGATGCGGGGATGTCGTCCCAACCGGAAAACGATGAAGCGGTTTCTTCGTTAGTTGTTGAGAGACTTCGAGCTGGATTTGTCATTTCTTTTAATGATTTTTCTTGAAGTAATTGACGAAAGTCTTCTTCGGTAAAACTCTTCCGTTCCGCGGATAAATTGCGATTTGCAATCACTGTCTTCGACGAGGGCGGAGGCGGTGTCGATTTACATTGACTATTGTCATCTAGACGAAACAAATGAATAAGAAAAAAAAACGGAGCTCATGAATTATACCTGTGGAGCCGTTGAGCATCTGCTGTGTTAGGATTAAACATTTACTACCGCTAGCTTCTGATGGCGTCATTGCTTCTCTCGATGACCAACAACTATTGTCACTTAAATGAATCATTCGTGGTACGTAATCTTTCAGGACCGATGGTGAGGCTTCTTTTTTTGCGATTAGACGATTAGAAATCTTTTTAATTGGATTGATTGATTGATGATTTGGACTCGTATTATTTGTACCATTCAATGCTTGTAGAAGGGTTTGTCGGTAGGATGGATTTTCAATTGTTGGGAAATGGTTGGATATACGAACATGTTTTCGCGATGACGATTGCTTCAAAAGACTTTGCTGTTCGTTGAGAACACCTGATGATGATGTTGTCGTTGTGTTGGTTGTGGTTGTGGACATTTGTATATGATTATCTTCTTTTTGAGAATTCAATATGCCTCGATATTGAGATGATTGTGAATGATGAGAATCGTCCGTACTTGAAGACTTTTGTACAGTGCCCATATTTGTATGACCGATTGTTAATGGAAGTGCATTACGGCCCTAAAAAATAATCCGATATTATGAGGATCGGAAAGAGCTCAGAATGGATTTTCTATTTTGCTTTTCAACTAACAATTCAACGGAAGATCACACAGAAGAAAACCTTGATCGGCTATTTTCTTGTGTAAACTGTAATTTATAGATCGGACCTTTACCTGAAAGACATTGTCGCCGATCAAACGGCCAAGTAAATAATAAATATTCACATTGTTAATTTGTGCACTAACGATCGATCCAGCCGTTCGGAATAAATACAGTTCATTCAATAAATGATAGACGGTTGCTGTTGTTAAACAATGATTCGCTTGAGTTTTGGACATAAGCAATTGTAGAAGTGTAATTTGCTCACTCCATAGATCAATTTTAGGGTAATTTTCTAAGTGGATTAGAATTTCATGTACACAACCAATGTGTAAGCAAGCAGCGAGCTGAATTGTCGACGATGAAAGTTGTTTCAAACGTTCTTCCAACTGAAATAAAAGTTCTACTAATTGTTGAATCGTTTTCACTGAATCATCCGTATTCGTATCGATTGAGAACATAATTTCTTTGATCGTCGACTTCCTATGCATAACTATTTGCACGTATTTCTCATTATTTTTCAGTAAATATTCCACATCATTTAAATAATCAATCAACATATACTGATGTTCGGGATCTAACGGGTAAAAATTCATGTACAACAAAGCCATGCGATCATATTTCGTATGGTAATGTTGAGACAAGCCTGTATCGGAGTCGGTACGCAAGTAGTAATTAATAACCCGCTGAGGAAAATACAAAGACGTTTGTTTGACTAATTCATCTCGTTGACGAACGATCGTCAAACGTTCATTGTCAATCTGTTTAAGCCAAACGAAATCGATTTTCTCCAACCACTCTTGTACATATGATAGAATCGTCAGAAGTATCCCATGAAACACAATGAATGTAAATGTGGTATAATGATGTAAACGATGTACGGATGGAAAGTAGAGACTTGTGCTCAACCAAATGTATTCCAAAAGAACCAATTGAATTAATAAACAAGTTATGATAAACAATGTTTTGATTATCCAAGAACATTGACGGTAGATCATGCAAAGATAAAGTGGATAGGTGGACGAGAGAACAAGATACTCGTGGTATTGACGATTAAATGATGCTAATCGAATCGGTTCACTAGAGAACAAACATATCAAATGTGAGATAGGATTAATCGGTGGAATCTAATCTGATTAACCATATTGCAAGTTGATACTCTACTTGTTCAAGCTAAGCTAACATAATATTTCAAACATCTCGATTTCTCTTCGATCTTGAACGAAGATTACCACAACTTACGTAAACAAATATGAACTCGACCTGTCATAGCCATACATCCATGCTTACCTTAATATCGTATGATTTAAAGTTGAATTCATTTGACTAGAAGATTCATTCATGGCCGTTGTTGTTGTTGTCGTGATATTGCTTTCATCATTACCATTTAATAGATATTTGAAGTTCTGTATCGAATGATATTGTATGGCAACCATAAACAGAGTTGAGAATGTTAAACAAATCAATATGTTGAGATAAACATAAAACATTCGATTGATCTTGTTCACATTGCTTTTCGTCTGTTTTCGATCAGATCGAATAAGAAAAAGGAAAAGAAGAATGAAGGATACGAGACCGACGATAATCGCTGGAAATGCTATGAAATAGTATAATTTTATATTTTGAATAACAAATGCTTGACAGAGTGAACCACATAGGATCAATAGAATAAACGCATAGAAAAATCCCGATGGTGCCTTCGCGCGATGTGACGCTTGAAAATCTTGTGCAAAGTTTTCGCCATATTGATCTTTGAAATTCAAACTGAACCAATGAAGATGTTTATTTGTTAATTCGATCAAACTTCGCTTTCGTAACGAACGCGTCAATGTTATCGTGCCTAAATGCTTCTCCACATGATACTGTGCTTGAATACGTGTCAAATGGTCGATCATGCTAGAGTTGTTGATGGGCGTTAGATGATTTTCCTGTGGTTCGTACATATTAACACTAAAGAGAAAATACGTACAAGTATTTTCAGGAAAATGATTATTTGTTAGCCAAGAATAGGAATGAAATTCAAAAAATTTGTTGTCTTTTAGAGCATCATAGATTCTTGATGACACATGAATTCGATTGATGATTAAACATTCTTCACGTAAACATCGAGCATAGTCATATGCTGAGCCTTCAATCGAATCGATCGATAAGATATTCAATTCATTGTAGTCAATGCCAAGAATTGCGGTTAAACACCATTGAGTGACACTATTGACATGTTGAATGAAACGAAATAATTCAATTGCTAGACGACAGCTATGTTCGATATGAATGCGTTGATTTTCTTGCTCATTAACAAGTACAATAACGATAGTTTCATTATCAAAACAATACTTTGCTTGTGGCTGTTGTTTAAGAATTAATTGTTCAATTTGACAGTAGAGCACATCGAATAAGCTCGCTAATTCATCGCACGTATGTTGCCGTGTTTGTTCATTCAATGAGAGATTACAATTGATGACAGTTCCATATTTTCTATGGATATTTTTCGTTTGACTAAAATTCGAAAAGATCATGTAAACAATTGACAATGATAATTGTAAATCTGTTAGTTGTTCCTCGAAGTGACAAACATGTCACTATTTGTATGTTGATAGAATCACAAGGTAAGGATAATGAAGCCCTCCAGATCGAATCTTTATTGACATTTTTCTCGAATTCAACTTGGCCAGCTTTTTCTCTTTGTAATTCAAGGTTATTGTCTTATACAATATGTCATTCTTGCTGATATATGATTCTTTTTCTAGGATGATGTTTGGCATAGCACATATTTCTTGCTTGAGAGAAAGTATTCCACGACATAATGACCATAAAAGTCTATTTTCCTTCTCTACTAATGTCATAAAATGGTAACTATTCTGATCGATTCGACAGTTATCAACTCGTTTTACAATTACAATACTGAGAAAACGGATCTTTGTCGAACTATCATTTCGTTTGACCTTTCCTTATTCCTGAACTATTAGACTAATACAGACAAGTTCTCAGTTTAAACGATACACAGTCAAGGTTGCCTGATAATAGTTCCATTAAGAAACTACAGATAAAAACAAGCATATGTACTCTGTAATGAATAAAAAATACATCTCAATTAAGGTTCACCTCGATCGAAAGGTCAATTAATTGTGACATCATAAACAAAATGTCATCTGTTGATTTTCTCTTCGTCGAACTATGCTTTGACTTACTTGATATTGTGTCCATTGGATAGTTTAGAAATCCGACCGATGAAACGTGGCGCTTGTTGACAATGTCCAATAATTGTATTTAATTTCTTGCAATCAACACTACATTTGTTCTTCTCGTACAAACTCGTTTCATACGCATGAAAATGTTTCCGTATGTGTTTCAATGATTCAACATACGCATACAGACCGGCGAGATTAATAATCAAATGATACAAAATCCAAGAGACGAATTCGATGCCTTTCCATTGTATACCTTCAGTTTGATTGAATTGAAGGGTGATATGCAAGATTGATATCGTTGAACAGATGCAAACCGACTGAATCAACGTGAATGTTAACAATGAATAGATCAGTGTTATCGATATGGTTGAAAATAGGACATGGTATTGCTCAGTTTGATATGTTAATACTAATGGAATAATTAGAAGAAAGATGAGAAACGTTCGCGTACAAAACCATAATGTTTTCCATTTCGTATGTAAACGCATGAGAAATAATAACATGAATGTTAATAAAATGCATATTAAATAAAGTATCGTTCGTATATCAAATGTTAATTTGGTTGTATTATGTAAGAATAAACGGCAAAGAAATAATGTTATCAAATAGATTAATGGTAGTAATGGAAGAAAGATTCTCAGACATATTTTACTTAATTTGTTGAGAAATTTTTTGTAGTATAAATTCAGATCATCACAATCATTCATACGATGTAATTGAAGAGATTTGTCGCATAAATCTCCCAAACGATTGCTAGTCATACTGAAAGAAGAAGAAGAAGAAAAGAAAGTCTTGGTGATACAATCGTGGTGGAATATTAATCAATGGGTCTCATCAGTTTTGATAGCTCGAAGTGTAATTCTATACATAATGTTCAAAAAGTCGAAATGAAGTCGTTCTTTCTCTTCGTCTCGCGTGCTTACTCATTCACTCTCTTATGACAACAACTTGAAACTTTGATGTCGCAACGAGAAAAGTTACAAAATGTGATCTGCGAGGCATCCGTCTTTCCACGAGCATTTTTATTCAATAAAATGTCAAAAAAAAAAAAAGAAATCGAACTCATAGACTTGTTTCAAGATTTTATCGCATGTTTCTCATCTCATATACATTCATGATAGTACATCCAGCTGGATGAATGATTGTGTCTGCCTGCCTTGTTGTTTGGCCCTATCGATATCTTTACTGACGAGATGTATTCTCTGTACAGCATGATGAATGTGCAATTGTAGAGTCTAAGCCGCGGATAGGAAGAAAGAGACTACAAATGGAAGAATTCTTTCCTTTTACACTCTCTTTCTTCTTACTCTAATACGAGGCGTCTTTTTCCTCTTCGCTTTATTGCTTATCCGTCTTTTTTCTGAGTGCTGGAGTCGTGCAATGTGCTCGCGCTGCTGCAGCTGATACTACTGACCTCTGGTCAAAGACATAACGAGCTCACATTCTTACTTTTTTTACATGATGATAGCATACGTTGAATACAGAAGAAGAAGAAAAAAAAGAACGAGGCGACAAAGAAGAACAAGAGAAAGAAATTTAGTCCGGTACCGCGATGGCATACATGATGCAACGAGATACACGCCGAAGAAAGAGAAAAAGTAGTTGAACGTTTTTTCTTTTGTTGGTGATGTATTAAAAGCCTTGCAAATAAACATTCCTTTTGCTTTTGGCATAAATGCAAACAATCTGACCATATGTGCAAGCATCACACTTTTTTCCTGCAGAATATTAAAATACATAGGAAAAAGAGAGAAGAGATCTGCATATGAACATTTAACGAATATATGTATGCGCACTTGCACATATGCGACAAGTATTTATTTATTTAGGTGATTATTTTAAAAACGTGACATTAAGAAGCTTGAATATAAATAGAAACGTTTGAAGCAATCGCTAATCTATGAGCACAGTCGATCGTTTGATAAGTTAGGATGTCTATTTAGCTAACAATATCCAAGGTTAATATCTTTTTCAGAACCGGATGACGTGCAAATGCTACTAGTCTGACAATTCTTATTAACCAACGCCACTCAATTTCCTTTCTCAATGTAACTTATGTAACAATACAGGATGAGAACTATAATGAAAAGGAAGACGAACGGAGACTTCTGATAGATTACACTCTCACAGTAGTGCAGACTAGTTTAAATATTGAATATAGGTCATTGTCCTTCATTCAATAGAAAACTTTCTTTTCATCCGATATTTTATGTTCACAGCATGTGTTCATGCTCGATTATACTCTGACTTACTCGTACAAGAACACATTAGCATCGAACAAGCGACCTTTTCAAAGTGTTTTTATGAGTATGTATATGTCGTTGTATATTTACATCATACATTCCTGTACTTCGTCCCTTTATCCGATCAACATGTACAAGGACTATTATTCTATTCTAATCAGTTTCATTATTAAATCAATACCTCTACTTACTTGTTCGCTTCGTTTTTTTTCTTGTCATTGGAGCGTCATAAAGAATCAGACAAGATTCTTTTTTTCTTGTTGCATCAAAGATAAGGAAATCTTTGTGTGCATAATATCAATCGTTTATTCGTCTATGACTCTCACTCTTGCTCTGTAAACTATCTTGTGCGCACGACAAGGAACAATTATCTCAATACTTTGTACACAACGTACAGCTTGAGAGAGGAAAGGAGGGAGGAAGAAGAAGAAGACGAAGAGAAAAAAGAAAGACACAAACCGGTCAAATGACAAACGAGCCTGATAGTTCATTATTGTTCTGCTCGGAAGAACAAAGTGGTCAGTTATTTCTTTACTATAATCATCATCATATTGTACACGCGCGATTTCCTTCAATATAAGAAAGAAAGGGCGTATAAATCCTTACACTTCCGTTCACTCTCCACGCTTGTCCTTCTTTCTTTGTCTCATTTTGTTTCATCGCACTAGAACGAGAGCGGGCAATACCACCTCCTAATAGACCGCAATTGAAAAAAAAAGAATTTCCATTGATTGATGTTTGAAAAAAGAGCCCATTGTGAGTACGGCCGTTGAAATTGTTTCATTTAGTGTAATTACACATTTTGTTATATAATCAACCGTGAGATAGAGAAACCAGCGATAGGAACAACAACAAAAAACCTAACGTTCAGTCGACAATGACAATGGCGTCGAACATTGTTCTAGACGATTAATAACATGCAACTAAAAACAACATCGATACAAGTATACGCGAGAGAGAGAAGAAAAGGACACCTTAGGGGTGGTAGAGTTTTTTTTCGTTTCATTATGAAAGTAAAACCTTGCTCAATTTCATCAATATATTTCTTTTCAACACTTGTTCTTTTTCATATGAAAAGTAATGAAGATTGAATTAGTCGATATCACACCAAGATAAATAACATTCAATCAAGTGTGATGAAAGGGACAATAAAAGCAATCGCAATTCACCGTTCTTCCTATCAATAGACTGGCATGTGCGTCTCTCTCAACTAGACAAATTTGATCAGTAATCATCATCTCATCGAAGATTCTTCTATCTTTTATCAACAAGAGATAGAAGATGTCATGCTGCTCTAGACAAAGGTTACTCCGATTTTTTTATTATTGTTTATCTACTTCGGCGTATATGACTTGTATTTCGACATATGGAAGTTGAACAGTTGTCCGAATGACAACGATGATTGCTCTAACATATGAATATCAAATGAAGAATGATTGAGAATTGTCTATTGTCTTTGTGCTTATCAATAACGGTCAACCTCCTCCTCGTGCAGTTGCCGAACTGAATAAGTCAAAATGAATATAATTAGTAGATGTTCTCAGTTCAATGAAGAAAATTATAACTTTGTACAAACTTTTTCTTTTCTCTTCAACATGAATAATGAAGATATAATTAAGATAAACAATGACGTAGGTGTTGAGAAAATCTATTATCTATCAGGCGAATAGACTTCGTAAACGAATTGATTCGAAAAGAATAACAAAGTCTTGCTAGTGAACAAAATCAAGAATGAATAAGTTGACTTTTTTTTCTTCGTACGTGAAACCGAAACATTCAATTATTGAAGAAAATCTCACTGGTGGTTTTTCGACGATGATCATTTCTAAGTTTACCTTTCAAACTTTTCAAATCCAAAGACAAAAACATCGATTATTTTCTTTTGCTGACGTGATTTCCTCTATGATTATCAACGTTAATAAGATTACCATTTAGAAAGCACATGCGTGCTCTAATTCGGATATGCGCATCGAAAGTTTCGGATTGTCTCTCTCTCTCTGCCTCTTTCTTTCCTATAAAAACACCGACATTCTCTTTGGAAATATTTCATTGCAGTTTCTTCAAAATCTCGTTTGCCCATTTTTTCTCGAAACGTAAAATGCCGACATTCATTCAACTCATCTGCATACAAGTACGTCAATCTTCTCTATACTTTCTTTCACTCCCTATTTGATTTAGTTATTGCTTTTGATTATTTCGCATCAAGTTCTAACAAAACCAACTGATACGGATTCGTTTGATGCACTTGTAAATGCTCATCGAAATCTTCGTCCATTCCGCGCATCTGCAGATGGCAATTTCGATGATATGTGGACTGAAGAAGATGACTATGAAACCTTTCGACAACATCTTCTACCCAAATTAGCAAAACGAAGAGCCAAGGCAAATCTCGCTGGTCTATGGGGTGTGCCAACAAAGTTTGCTTAAGTGGCACATGAAAGTTTTTGCTTTTTTGACTTTAATTATACCGAATATTATATAAACATTCTTGTCTAAATAAAATCGTATAAATGAAAAGAAACGCATTGATTTGTCACTTTCTTCTACTTACACCAAGGTTAATTCGAGACTAAAAAAGAACTGGCCTGATCAATGATTCGATTGGAAATGACCCGTTACGAAAGAGGAATGAGATATTCATTAGTTATATACGGAATTAATATAGCATGAGAAAGAGAGGGAGATGGACAGATTAGACGAACTTATGACGTAACACGAAGTTGTTTATACTACTTCGTCATTGGCAGTGAATATGGGCAAGAAAACTAATTTTTATCAACATTTATGAGAAATTAATGAAAGATAATCAGATATTAATCAGTGAATTGGAAAAAAAACTCGTTTTCGAGCGATTAGATTGCGTTGGAAGCTTCGACTCGAGATCCTTGATGTCAAAGTTGGATGTATTATGACACTTTGTCAGTAAATAATCAACGAAAGAGAATCTTGTTGTCAGGAGAGTGTCATTCATTGGTATTTATTTTAATGAATTTGATATTAGCAATACGATGATACTTTCGACATAATTTTGACCTTTCCAAGGAGATCAGGGTCATAAGGATCATAGCAGAGATGCGTTTTCAAGAAGAAAAAAAGAAAAAATTCATTCTTCGACGTATTATGATAAAGAGAAATTTCTTCACTCTTTCCTGCCTCTGTAGTAATACTTCATCAATGAAAGTGAACGGATGCTTATGATAATACGGTGGAGAAAGTCTCAACAACTCTCAATAGGTTCATAGTCAACACGAGTGCTTACAGTTCATTGCACTTCGTCGTACTTTCATAGGAAAAGTATTCGTAGCTGTATAAATGATCGTTGATCTGAAATGAAAGCAGAGAGATCGACATTCACCGTCATATTTCCAATTAGTAGAGTGACTTGTTCGTGCGCTGTTGTTTTATGGGTAGGGATTGTTCTTTGAAGAGATCGATTCTTTCTGAGGGATTTCGTTTGATAAATGCGTTATGAAAAGAAAATGCACGTCATATTCAAACAATGAATGACTGACTCATGGTTTTACTCATTTATCTACATTTAGCATATTCTTTTTGCATATTTATATCTTTTTCGTCATTTTCCCATTGGATTTCTTCGCAAATCGATGTGTCCCGAATAGGCGATATATTCGAACAACCTACACGATTGAATTCAAAAGAATGGTAGTCTGATTAAAAGACTTGCCGCGCATATACTTTTCGAACGTCAAGCTTCACTAATCAATGTGACGTTCGTCGTGCTAAAAAAGGATTTTTATCATATGGGAATCGTTACAAAACATCACATAGTTGAGAGGTAATTATAGATAAAGGTTGTTTAGTGGAGGTACGTGTACGCACGGTGTAATTGTAATGATCTAACAAGTGACTCACGTACGTGGTAATGCACCCTTTTCACCAATTGTTGAATGTTTTTTATATCTGTAAATGATTGAAAATGACAGATTTTACTGACGTCAATAATATCTCTTCACCAATCGTATAAAAAGGCGATGCAATTCGTTCACTTATATAAACTTTCTGTGTTAATATTCATACATCAAACCCACTCATTGAGAAAATCGACTGTAAGTATCTCATATTTTCTTATCTTTTATTTTCTCATGAAAAATGAGCGTCTAATCAACTAATTCATTGACACCGTTGATTTTGGTAGTTCAAAAGAATTTGTGAGCATTATTGCTTAGCTCAACCATTATTGTTGAAGCGACAGCCATATGATTACGTTAAAAATAGAGTAACTAATATCAGTTTACGAAACTATATATCTTCAGATCTGCTGAATAATAAGATTAATTATGATTATCTCGTCTATTTAGAAATTGTCACTATGATGCGTCAGTTCAATAGAAGACTAGTGCAGCTATTCGTGGCTGTAATGTTTGTTTCATTCGCAATAAATATCAATGCGATGCCCACCACTACTCCCATACTCAGTCAATCTGTAAATCTCAGTACAACATTAACTCCGAATAGTGATAGCGTAACTAATACAAATGGTTCAACAATCACTGAAACAGTTACCACGACCGTCACCGGTACGGGTACTACAACCACTGGTACAGGCGACTCAACAACTGCTACAGGCACCACGACTGTCACTGGCACGGATACTACAACCACTGGTACGGGTAGTACAACGACTGGCACTGATACCACAACTACTGGTAACGGCACCACGACCACCACCGGCACAGATACTACAACCACTGGTACGGGTAGTACAACGACTGGCACTGATACCACAACTACTGGTACAGGCACCACGACCACCACCGGCACGGATACTACAACCACTGGTACGGGTAGTACAACAACTGGCACGGATACTACAACTACTGGTACAGGCACCACGACCACCACCGGCACAGATACTACAACCACTGGTACGGGTAGTACAACAACTGGTACTGACACCACAACTACTGGTACAGGCACCACGACCACCACCGGCACGGATACTACAACCACTGGTACGGGTAGTACAACAACTGGCACGGATACCACAACTACTGGTACAGGCACCACGACCACCACCGGCACAGATACTACAACCACTGGTACGGGTACTACAACAACTGGCACGGATACTACAACTACTGGTACAGGCACTACGACCGTCACGGATACTACAATCACTGGTGCAGGTGACACAACCACTGGTACTGACACCACAACGACTGGCACAGGCACCACGACCACCACCGGCACAGATACTACAACAACTGGTACTGACACCACAACTACTGGTACAGCCACCACAACTACTGGTACAGCCACCACAACTACTGGTACAGCCACCACAACCACTAGCACTGTTACCACAACAACTGATACTGACACCACTTTATCTACGTCTTCTACAACTACTTTTAATGAGAGTTTTAATGGTACAGCTAGCACCGTGATAGGAAAATCAGACAACATTACAGTCTCAGTAACTGGTTTTGGTGTCATTACAAATATCAACAAGTCGCTTGTAATTTTCATTGTTTGTTTATTTTATCTTTTGTAAATGAATACATATGTATAACGTTCGTTTCGTTTGTCTTTCTTCCTTTTCGTTCTGATGTAAATATTTCAGTTTGAAAACATAAGTAATAAATAAGACAACAAAAACAACAAGTAAACAAACGAATGAATTCAAAAGTATTGAAAGAAGAGAAGAGACATAGAAAGAAACAGAAAATTACGAAATCAGCGAAACACTACCACTGCACAATAGAAAGAGAGAGAGAGAGAGGAAGAAGGGAAAAAGCGTTTTTGATTTCATTTTTCCATAAAAACACAATTAAATGTATATATCTCATATAGATATACGTTTGTTTTTCATTAATGTAAAACTTTCTATTTTCGCTCGTCTGTTAAACAGAAAAAACAACAAGTAATAAAGATTGACAAACATACATTGGGAAAAGCAAAACAAAGAGAAGGAAACATGTTTTTCTTCGAATATATCAATCCCTGATGAAATTGGCAGAATGGAAGGTGTAGACACAACAAAGAAAGAATAGGTAAATTGAGATCTATTCAGTAATATCACTGTTGTTATTCGGTTGCTAATGGTGCCTAATTTATCAGAAGAGAAAATCAAAGTAAAAAGTGAATTTGAAAAACGAAATGTTCAGTTTCATACTTTGCGTTTCGTTGATGATATATTAAATGTATTCAATGCATGTGCTCCTGCTCCAGCATCATCATCATCCGTAGTTCGCAATAAATCATCATCTGTTGTTCGTTCTTCTTGTCTTTCATCATCTTCGTCTGAAGTTAATAGTGATTCTTCATCTGTTCGACTTCCACTATCGTTTGCGGTTGCATCATTGTTGTTATTATTATTCGTACTGATACTATTCGGAGTTGGTTTTCTAGACGAAAAAAAAACAAACGATCTGACTGATCCTTTATCAATATTCAACGCTTACGAAAGTGATGATTGTTGTTGTCGATCAGTATGATTCGTTTTTATTTCATCAATCAAATCCGCCGTGTTTTTCATTTGTGAACCGAGAGAATTGTCAACTGCTGTTGGTATTGATTCGGTGCTTTCTAAAAGGCGCAATCATGAGCAAAAACTACATTGAGACGTCGTATGAAATACCTGTATTCAGTTGTTGAACAAGTGATGACATTGCTGATGTTAATGAATCAGCAGCAATGAGAAGATCAGTACGTAGCGATTTGGTATGTTGACTAATCGACGGAGAATCCGTAACGTTTCCCTCTGAAAGAAAATTCACCGAATGTTTCTCTCTACAGAAAATCGAACGAATCGAAAATTACCACTCGATATCGTTTGTTCATGCATTGGTGTTGGTGGCGTCGAGTAACTTCGGAATGAAACATTAGTATTACTTTTACGCGTATTGGAATTATTTCCATGGGCATGATAGACCATCCGTGATGGTGAAACACTTAATCGACCATGCGGACTCGCTGTTGCTGATCTTTGATGTGATTGCGGCGACGAATGTAGAATTCTTCCGAGTGTATCTAATTGTGTCGATAGTTCTTCTCGACTTTGTTGCAGATGATCAATACGTGATTCTAATTGGAGTTTTCGTGATAACAAATTTTGTAATTCGTGTTCAAGATATGGATTTGTTTCAGTTGAACCGGCACGTCTCATTTGATGAATTCGACTACGTGCCGGATGAGACTGTTGATAATGGTGATAGGATGACAATTCATGGCGAGGACTTGAACGTTGATGTGGCAAAGTTTGAGCGTAACGTTGTTCAAGTCGATTCATTGATGATGAAAGACCCGGCGATGATGGATAAAGACCATTGGTGACCGTATCTGTATCACTATAAGCATGTAAATCATTTGGTAGGTTTCCATTTGCATAATCAAGCGAATTTCGACGTTTCAGTTGAGCACGTAATGTATTAATTTCACGAAGAATACGTCTAAGATAAAGAACGCAAAATCATTTCCCATGTTCAAGACAGATGATTAAAAAAACCGGCGTTATTTGTGTTTTCCTCTTATTAGAATAATGACAGAATCCCGCGTGATGGAAAATGACTATTTTTTTTATTCGTGTTTATAAATACAAACATATTCATGAGATATAAGTAAATTGATCTTTCTAGTATTAAATGTTTCCTTCGAACAATGAACAACGATTCTCATGAGAATTGTGCCCCCGATCTCGTGTGTAAATTTATTATTGAATAAAATTCGTTCTCTAATCTTCTCTAGTTTATCCCTTCGAGTAATTGGTCTCGTCCATATTGTCTCCTTTATCTCTTAGCCCATCGGTTATTTTACCTATTTTTTGCTTCAAGTTTAGATATAATCAGGCGCTTCTCAGCACTTTGATGATCCATCTGCATTGATCGAATTGACGACATGGGAACCATGGTAGAGGATGCTCCACTGGGCGGTAGCATTCGTGGATGATATTGATTGTTCATCTGTAAATTCATTGGACACGATGGAAATCGTATTGGTGGTGGAATTCCGCTTGGGTTTTGTTTTTGTTTATCTTCCATAGCTGCTAATTGTTGAGCGTATAAAGCTATTTGAATATGTTCATCCATATCAGATTGATTACTATTTTCATCGCTTTTTCGTCCGTTTTGTTTGGTTAATGTTGACGAACGTTGGTCATCATGATGAATGGGCTTCGGAGTATTGAGTCGGACAAGTTGTGGCGATGAACATGAGGATATTTGCTCTTTTTCCATTATCAATGGGCTTGAAGGTGATGACATAGATATGGGCGGTTCGTGGTACTGCTGCTGTTGCTGTTGCTGGGACAGCTGTTGTTGTTGCTGCTGCTGCTGCTGCTGCTGTTGTTGTTGTTGTTGTCTTTTTACACTACTGTTACGATATTTCCATGAGAAGAATCGTGGCGATGAGGACGTTGATGATGATGAAACTATATTTGAGCGCCGTTCTTCACTTTTCGGCATACATTGAAATGACCTGTTAGATAAAAAGCATACTTTAATTTCCGACGTCACAAGAAACGGCACAGCGCATGAATCAATTTAAGAAATAATTATGCTCTTTATCGACTTCTGTCCTGTGCTGTATGTAGTACTCGAGCTTCTATATTCCCTTATAGATGAGTGGAATACCGCTCTTTTATTTGTCTGGATTGCGAACTATTTTTAAAGTCTTATAATGTCTTGAACGGAAACGTCTTTTGAACTGAACATTAACTGTTTGATTCCTCACATTAGAAATGTGGCGTGAACGTGCCCAGTGTCAGGTATAATTTATGAGAGATTTTTTGACATCTTTCAAGTGAATGAATCTCTGCCTATTGTTCTCGCTCGACAAAGCGTGACAGAAACGAGACTATTCTTTCATCTGCTAACGCATATCTTTTATAATCAAATCAAATTCGTATAAGAAATAACTTGTTTCAGTCACCATGCCAATAGAACTTTCATTTCAAGTCATAACGTGTGTGTAGGAAAGTATTACTCGTAGGTTCTCTGACGTTAGAAAGCTTCCGGTTGACTTTTAACTAGTTCCGTCCGTTTCCTCAGAGAATTGTATATCAGCCAATCAGATAATGGTGGACTAACATAGCACGAAAGAAAGATTAACTATTTTCCCAGCTAATCGAACACGTCGAACAAAATCATAATTCCCTGGAGATTGTATTCGAATTACAAGAAAACATGCGCTTATTCTATATTTTACAACTCTATTCAAGATATTGAATATAATCCTCTTCAAAGAATGTATGAAAGTATTATATCATTCTTTTCCTCACGATGATCAAAAGAAAGTAAACTACATTAAGCCGTTAATAATAAAAACAATGGGAAGGGAAAGTTCCATTGAGAATGATCGGAAAGAAAATCTGCTGAACGTTAACGAGAACTTCAGATACTTTTCAGTTCGAGGACTTAGACGGGAGTTTTACCTTCGTATTGATTGCCGAAATTCTTTTACAGGTGACGTGAAAAATGTATACTCCTTCATTTCATGTGTTGGCAAATGATGATCAGAAACTCGTCCACGCCAGAAGCAATCTTGACATAATTGATATGTTCGATCATGACATTGTTGACATTTATAGCGAAAACCAGAAAATGATGGCCGTTGACATGCTGAACATTTAACTCGGTGAATAACTATAGAAAAAGAAAAATTACTTTTTTTCTTCTCTCGCTCTCCTCGAACCGAACGAAAAGAAAGAGAAACTTTCAATAATTACCATTTTCTACGCTAATTAAACGATGAAATATAATGAGCCATTGTAAACAGTTTGGCGTTGTATCGTTATAGATTAATGTGTCGAGAAATTCATTAAGATTAACTGAGGTAACAGATAAATGTGAAAAGATTAACTGTGCATTATTTGCTCGATATGTTGCATGGGATATCTCTTGTAAAGCATATGGTAAGGCAAGAATTTCATGTAGAAGCTCATCGATTTGGGCATGTGTCAATGTGTTCGATGATGGTGAGAGATACGATGTAAACAAGTGTCGCATTTTATCAACCAGTTTGCCTGTACACAAAAGTACGAGGACGACACGAAAAGAATTGAAACGTATAGAAAAGTTGTTGGATGTTGTTTCATTATTATTGTAGACGTACAAAAACCAGGCGATAGCTGAGTGAACACAATTATCAATATGGAGAATTTGTTGCGACGATGGTAAACGTTTGTTTAGATTCGTGTAGATCGATGTCAAAAATGTCTGCAGTCGATTTATGGATAGATATTGATCATTGGTTGATAGAGCTGATTGGATCGGCGTGGGAGTTCGACGATTACTTGGAGATAAACTGTTTGAACTTAATTCCGACGATGGCCATGTTAAACATTCTCGAAGTGATTCAATAACATTCAATAAATCGAGAAGATGAACTGAAAAAGAAAACAAACATGTCAATTAGCAATTGTACATTGAGAATCGATTGCGCAATCAATATTAAATAATGGAAGATGGACAAGGTATGATAAAATAGTGTATAAAAAGAAAAGTAATTTGTTCCCACGTGAGGGACTTTCAATTCGATATGATACAATTACTTACAGTTGAGTTTCTTTTGAATGAAACGTAGTTTACATGCCGTTCGATATGTGGAGAAACGGATGATATCGAAATTTTGAGCACCTACAACAACAAATCCTCTCGTTGACATCATTTTTATAAAGACATCAACATACGCAGTTCCATTTGTAATTGTTGGAGTTCATTATTGAAGCTTGTATTCATTGTCACGTCCAAAATTCTGGACGGGCAAGCTTCGAAATCAATTGGCTAATCTGAAGAGAGAAAAAAAATTGGGAATTCCTTATCAGCATTGTCTTCTCTTCCATTCGAAAAAAAAAGCACACGCATTGTGTGGCCCCGATGATACACAGTGAGAAAAGATTATGAATAAAAGAAAAGAACAGTAGAAAAAAAAGAGAACGGTAACCGGAAGGCAAAAGAGGGCACATATATCGATTGGTTCATTTTATTTACAATATGACCTCAAATAGTCGAGATGCCGCTGGTTGATGACGAACTCTGACAGAAAAAAAAAATTCAATTTTCCAAAGAACATGTATCACATCAATAATGTCAGATAATCTGTCATTGGAAGTAGATTTTCTTGTCTTAATGCTATATCGCGTACCATCTTCAACTGATTATATATCCCATATCATCAAATGTCTCATCGTGTAAATGTTATGCAGTGGGAGACGAAGAGAAGGAAAACAATTGTTGCAAGGTTACATGAAGATTTTTCCTTGCATTACGTTGACCATTTTATCTGAAAGATAACTCGAATGTAAATGAAGATTTATACTTCTGTTATGAAAACTTCTTTTTTCGATAAAAAAAAACTCGACAGTCGTACGTTTTCACGTACGAGAGATGACGAACGATTATCTAAACAGAAAAAGGAAGAAATTGAATGGGATATTATTCTTAGATTTTCATTATCGAACAATTTCTCACAATCTATTGCACAGAATAACAATCATACGATTATTCCGCTTCGCAGGCTTTTCCATGTAACTGAATTGATCTAAGACGTAATAGATTTGAAATCAAAATCATCTTCTGCGAACAAATCGATTTCGTTAAAAGAAGCTTTTTGATCGATATGTAAACAATTGTTTTTCTTCTCTTACTGGATTAGTCGATTACTGCCTAATTTACTCGATTACTTTCGTATCAGTTGTGTCATTCAAGGAAACCGACGTGGATTCAGAAACATAATAGAGACAACGAGTAAGTAGATACTGATATTAATTCGAGATGTGGGATTAGTTAAGGAAAGTCTTGAAGAAGAACCGTTTTTTTACTCTTAATTGAGTTAAGCATCGATGAATAAGAAATCTTCACAGCGAAGTATCATCGAATGTTCGATATGATTGTGTTTCGTTAATCAAATCTGATTGAAAATCGAACAAAAGTCTTCAAGTGTCCTTCCAGATTTTTATGATCCATGCTTTCACATTAAAAAAAAAGTAGATTGATGACAATCGAAATGGATTCGTAAGTAAAAAGAATGAAAATGTCGATCATAGGAAGGCCGTTTACGTAGTTTAGCATCTATTTAGATTACAAGTCAGTCTCCTATTTTTCTTTTGTAAAAGAAACCATCAGTGAAGGACACATCTGTGATCATGATAATGATCCAATTACATGCACATGTGTCTGTACACATTAATACCATCTAAGCACATCTTTTTTATAGGAACGATTAGTATTGTTATGTGAAATGACTTTGTTCATCAAAAATGAATTGAATGTGCAACATTCGATTCATTCACGAGGGATTGCTGAGTGAACTCATTCGAAACGAAAGGTTCAACCGTTTATTGTGTTTTGAAATACGAACTGCAGAAGCAAAAAAACAGTAACTGATCAGGTTTCTACTCGTATTTATTGATTTTCTTCTACTTTTGCAATGGAAACAACTCAGCCAGACGAAAAGAATAACAATCGGATGTCTATATTCGTTTTGTGAACGTTATTCATCTTAGTGTTTCTTGTGAATACACAAATGCATTTGTATTTTCTTCAATAGAAGAGAAGTGTAGTAATTAGGTGTATTTTGAGAATGAAAACAAAAGAGCAAAAGCAACGAATTTGAAATTGGTCTTTAGAAGTAGATAAAGGTCATTATGACATTCAGATGAGTTTTATTACTAAATTCAATAACAAACAGTGTTATGATGAGAATGCAATGGAATTTGAAAGAATATCCAAAATAGATCTCTTCTTTTTACCGCACAGGATATGTTTGTGCGTCGGTGATTCTGTCTTTCGGATTAGTTTTGAATCGATTCAATCCTTGTAGCTTGAGGAAATACTTATAGGAGATAATACAAGAAAAGATGAATTTTGACATCGCGCCGATCTGTGTGTTTTTTGGATTAGATGTTGAGATTCTTTTGAATAGGAAAAACGAGATAGATGGAAACATACGTGTCGTTAGAGATGGCTATCCTTGAGATAGAGCGAAGCAGAGGTATGTTAAATATTAAAAAACAAATAATTTCCTTCATATATGTACGATTGTTTACCTTGTACACGTGTTTTTTTCTGATATGGCCCATCTACTGACTAACTTTTGTCATTTTAGTTTCATACATAGTCAGTAAAGCATACCACGCGTTCGTATTCATAATGGATACACCGTCAATAACAACTCGTCCAAATTTGGATAGTAAAATATTCAGAAGCGTATCATTTATAGTGATTGTCATCATCCTATATTGTTCCACGATTTACTATAAACGCTCAATAGCAACTCCAGGGCATCTTTCATCGTCAACAATTAAGTGTGACCAATGCCGTTTGTCAATGATCGAATCAGATGGGTGGTTTTGCGAATCAGACTCTAATTGGCAACGGCGAAAACTAGTTCACCATGCACAAGATAGGCGAAATAACGTGACCGATAGTCGTTTTTTGTTTTTTCAGAATAATTGGGAATCAACGGTACACTGTGAATTCGAACAACGAATCGGACGCACCGGTGATGGTGGCAAATGGATCTGTGACATCCATCGATTTCAACAGATGAACGAAACAAATACTTTAGTCTATTCGTTCGGCTCGAATGGTGATTTCAGTTTTGAACGCGGCATAAAAGAAAAATTACCACAAGCAGAAATTCACACATTCGATAAAGGATTTTTCCAGTGTCCTGACGGCGTGTGTTTGTTTCACCAAGCGTATTTAGGTAATGGCAAAATTAACGGTACAAAGTCATTAGAAAATATCACACAAGAACTTGGCCATTCAAAACGAGATATTCATATACTCAAAGTCGATATTGAAGGACATGAATTTAATTTATTTGAAGAATTATTTGGTTCATCAGCAAGTACGCGAAAGAATAGACTTTATATTCGGCAAATTTTATTCGAAATTCATCTTGGTAGTAATATGAATGAGCAGATGAGCCGACGTACGCATAGACTATTTAGTCTATTTCGTGCAAATAACTACGCGATCTTCCATAAGGAGGTCAATCTGGATAATCCTCAAAACGTTTTTGAGTATGCATTATTGCGATTGAACGCCGCGTTTTTTGTTACTCCTTCCTAGTTTCTAATATGTATAGTGACGCTAATGTAATTCTTTCAAAAGTTGAATCATCTGAAAGTATGATGAATTATAAATAATACACTGAGCATTGATCGACGTTAAAATAGAACTTTTGCTTTTGGTTACATGAATGAGTGAAGAGACACTTTTTGAAATTTAAAGGCAAATTTTCGTGTTCTAAAGTATGTATAAATGTCACGCTTCACTTCTCAGTCTCTTTCGCTCTTGATCAACAATGTGAAACATTGTTATGAATATGACTACCAACGAACCGCGAATACGTTACGATGCACATGTGATTGGGATGATGAACTGCAACAATTTACATTTATGATAGAGATATGTAATCGAACGTCGTTTTTATTTCGTTTTTTGTTAAATCTCCCATTTAGATTTAGGATCGATGATAATTATTTACTTATGAAAATAGTCCTCAACTAAATCGCTTCTGATCAACAATTCATCAGTAAGTACGCATTTGAACTGAGACTCGTACGCGATATATACGATTAATTTCGCTATGTAAACACATGCTAAGTACTCTTCTACTATTTTCAATCTCGAATCTGTTTCTCACTGATTTTCGGAATACAAAATGGAACGAATTGAGAGACTGTTAAGCAACCTGATGCTTTTCTACCTTGATATTTGTTTTCCAAACATATTTATGTAAAAATTTCTCTGCGCATCGTTTTCATTTAATTATATGCACATTCGTTAATGAAGAATGTCATACAGGAGAAGACGAAATTTATTTCGAACATATATCAATAGAATATTATGTACTCTGATTTTCTTGATTCTTTTTGCTCTGCAATACTCTGCTGTTAAACATCAGAAATCGACGGTCCTCGACACAAATGATTACATCCCATCGGCTGATATCAGCTCGGATGAGTGTGAACTATCCATGGCTGACTCTGATGGATGGTTTTGTGACTTGACATCAAATTGGCTACGTCGAAAATCGATTCACCAAGCTCAAAACAAACGCAATCATAATTCCGATCAGCGAAAGATGTTCTTTCAAAATAATTGGGAACCAACAATACATTGTTCGTTCGAACGACGCATCGGTAATACCGGTGACGGTGGCAAATGGGTTTGTGACATTCATCGATTTCAGCAAATGAACGACACTAATCTATTGGTGTACTCATTTGGTTCGAATGACGAATTCAGTTTCGAAGAAGCAATTAAACATGAATTTCCCAATGCAGAGATTCACACATTCGATACAGGATTATTTCAATGCCCGCAAAATGTCTGCTCTTTCCATCGAGCTCGTTTAGGTGGTGGAAAGAATGATGGCACAAAATCAATCGAGATGATTATGAAAGATCTTCATCATCAACATCGACAGATCCATATCCTGAAAGTCGACATTGAAGGTAGTGAATATGATCTATTCACAGAATTATTTCGTCGATCAAGGAAACAACATAAGATCATTCCGTACATTCGGCAGATTCTATTCGAAATCCATCTCGACGAAAGTTTCGATAACGAAGTAGTCCAACGAGCGCATCATCTGTTTGAACTATTCCGTGCAAATAACTATGCTATATTTCATAAAGAACCGAATATGTACACCCCGCTTGACGTTTTTGAATACGGTATGATACGAATGAACGCATCGCTTTTTAGGTAATTTTAATATTAAAAATTCTACAAATCAGAAACGCTGTTTGATGCCGAATTCACAGAGAATAATAAATGTTAGTTCGTAAACATCTCAAGCTGAGGTTAACAAGTAAATTAATAAATAGAAAATACTTCGCTATTCGAGATGTAGATATTCAATTTTCATCTGAAAAATAGTAGGGAGTAATGAAATTGACGATACTAGAGTAACTATTTTTGGTACTCAAATCATTCATTATCGTCATGTCGCCCTAATAATTACTATGAAATTAGAAGAATTCTTTCTGTAGAACAGTTTACTTTACTGGAAAAACAATGATATTCATCAACAAAACAAAACATCGGTATACCGAAAAGAATTCTTCTATTTGATTCCCATTATGATCAACACTTCGCGTGTTTTTACGGGATATTGTCTGGCGAATTGGTTTCTACGTGTCTTGTTTTGTATTCTGATCCAAGTAATACCAGAATTTACCTGTACGCAGATGAAGCATATCAATTGCATGTGATTGAATAGAAATAGGTGTACTTTTCCAATAATATTGGAGAACATTGAGGATAGTATAATTTATTCATTTGAAAAATTCATCAGCAAGAGTTTACTTTTTCAGCTTGGATCGAACGTGTTCATATCTTGTTTTTTTTCTCTTCTTATAGTCACAATTCAACCAGACATAGCATCTTCGATACCTAATGGCACGTAAAAGGAAATCAAGTCTGTTCATATCAAATACAAACAAAATATTAATCCTTCTCATCTTTGTTATTCTCCTTGCTCTCGAATACGTATATCTCACACGTATGCAGACGTCAAGAGAACCGGCTTCGTTCGTCCCCGCATTTGATCTCAGTTCGGAAAAATGTCAACTGTCGATGGCTCAATCCGATGGTTGGTTCTGTGATTCGGATTCCGACTGGAAACGTCGAAAAGCAATTCATTACGCTCAAGACCAACGCAACCAGGTATCCGACGAACGGTATTTATTTTTTCAAAATAACTGGGAACCAACGGTACACTGCGCTTTCGAAAGACGTATCGGTAAAATCGGTGATGGTGGTAAATGGATCTGTGATATACATCGTTTCAAAGAATCAACCGAATCGTCGGTACTAGTCTACTCATTTGGCTCAAATGATGATTTCAGTTTCGAAGTTGCAGTTAAAAAGAATTTGCCCGAGGCAGAGATCCATACATTCGATACGGGATTATACGAATGTCCGACCGATATTTGCACATATCATCGAACCCGCATAGGCAATGGGCGAGACGGTCGTTCAGAATCATTACAAATGATTATGGAAAAACTTGGTCATGAACACCGACAAATTCACATTCTAAAAGTTGACATTGAGGGTAGCGAATACGATCTATTCGAAGAGTTATTTCGTCGACCAAAAAAACGACGTAGACCCATTCCGTATATTCGTCAAATTCTATTTGAAATTCATCTAGGCAACGAATACGACACTGAAGCAATTCAACGAGTACATCGTTTATTTCAGCTGTTTCGTGCAAATAACTATGCTATATTCCACAAAGAACCGAATCTATTCAGCCCGGACAGCTGCTTTGAATACGGTATGATACGACTGAATCCCACTTTCTTCGGACCGTAGTGCTCAACACTTTACAAGTTTTCTTTTTTCTGAATCTTACTCATCGAAGAATAAAATCCGAGGGGATCGTAACATTGTCTCGTTCTACTTGCCACACAACAAGATAAAATCTGCATAGAGCTTCATTTTTTGTACAATCTTGTGATTCGTATTTGTCTAGACGCTTTACAGAAAATATATCACAGGTACATTGAGCTTTTTCGTCGACAAATAGACAACAACAAAAAAAACACAAACAAACTGACATGAAGAAAACTCGTTCCATCTGACGAAAACATTGTATTGATGCACACGTACAACAGGGTGCTTGGAAATTTTTATTCTCGACTACGACAATGAATAGTAAACGAACAAAAAACAAACAATTTCATTGTTCAGTGATGACATTCAGTTATAAATAAAGTTGAATCGACTCAATGTTTGTGGTAAACTTGAGATGATTGGACCATAGCCAGAAGCATTGTCATACAATTCGAACAGAGGTGCGGCTACTAATTTGTAATTGCGTGGAACTGCAAACATCGACGATTCACCAAGTTGAACGAGGTACAGTCTTAACATTAAAAGTAAATGAAAAAGTTCCTTTCTAAAGAAGAATATCTTTTACCTTATATGTTCTTTAGGTTTAGTTATATGAGCAGGTACGTATGGATAACGTGGTGCTTCGAAATTAGGACGCCACCAGTTGCCAATGACGTCTTCCACAAGCCAAGTATTCTGTTGAACAGAATCCGGTCGGCCTAACGTTTCGTTTAACAAACGTTTCAAACCTTCAATTGAATCTTCACCAGGGTTTAATTCTCCACCTAAAACTCATAAGATCAGTATGAAAAGCTGTTCTTCGGCTGATGACATCTCATACCGGGTAATTTAAAGAATGTCGTGCCCAATTGAAGTAAAAGTACATGAGGTAAATTATGTTCATGAACTAAGAGAACCGCTTCGACACTACGTCGCATTCCCATCGTTGTAAATTCTTCTCTCATGCGTTGAAATCTTGCTTGGACAGAACTATCACGTTCATACAAAGCATCTTTCGTTCCAAATGTATAGTTTGTCAAAGGATACGTTTGTATTGTTCGTTCCAATGCCATTAATGATGATGAATGAAATAAAGATCGGCCATTATTATGCACTGACGAGGGCGATTGTGCCATGACATTTGTATTATTATTTTGATCAGTTACTGTTGTTAATGATGAGGAAATTAAAGGCGAAGTCATCGAAATTGGAGTGACAGGCGTATTATTTGTCGATGTGGGTGATGCCGCTGCAGTGGAATTGACTCCCGACCAATTTGTACGCACGAGTTGAGTAGAATTATTTGTTAGATTTGTTGCTACAGACATTGTATTGATCAAGAAATTGAGAAAAATAGCCTGAACAATTTATGTCGAACAAATGTGGAAATTCTGAACAAAGAAGTACAAGAGAACGAACAACACATATAAGTCAATCAAATAAGCATAACCAATCATTTTATTGACACAAATGAAAACTGTCGTTTAGTGACAACTATCGAACTGAAGAAAATTCACTTGTTCATTGAACATTGCTACGATCGTTTCAGCATATTTACCCACTAATGAAAATTTTTCATTATCAGTTTTATTACTATTTACCTGTCTATCTCAAATTAGTGAAAGCACACATCATATGACGGAATTTATTTGACATCAGGAGAAAATGTTTTGTCTACTACTTCAGATTTGTAATATCCAATAATTGTGTTAGATATATTATAGTCCAAGCAGAAATAATCATTATGGGAACAATATCCGATGTTATATTACCAATAAATGCATTTGTTAAATAAATATGATCAGTAAATGTTGCCGTAGTTAAGCAAATCGAAAGCGCACTAAAAAACGATCCAATTGTAACCAATGAATAGAAAAGCCGATCAATATTTGGTACTTCTTGTGCACTGCTCAACCATAATGATAGTCGAGCACCATATGCCATCGAAAGAATCTTCAATGTTTGCTCCAGACACATCCGGCCAGTCACTCTTTTCATCCGATGAGGGAGACCCGTTGTGTAAGAACAGATGTTCATTAACCATTCACTCGATAATGTCTCGTATTCATTACAAATGAAAACTAACAAAGTCAGAATCAAACCACATATCACGCCAGTTAAACCAGGCGGTAGATAATCTCCATTGCTTATCAAATCGTGCAATTCATCGGCTGAATGTCCTGGTGGTAGTGATTGCTCGATTGTTTCAAGTACGATTAACAGAATAACACAAAGCGCTAGTATGATGATGCGTTCGATGTTATGTAGAGTTTCTTGATCGTTGGAAACAGATTCTAAACAGATATGAAACAATTTTGTTCGAATCGAATCAAATTATTCTTACTCACCCGGAGTTTTTCGTTCGTTATTATCAAATTTCGGTCGTAGGCGGTGATAAAACGCTATGTAATAAAATTGATAGCACGAGAATGCGATATAACTAGCGATGATACTGTAGAGAAATAGTTTCGGATTAATCGCTAAATAAATTGGTAAATACGATGGACAAAAGCCAGTTAATAACGTGGATACACCCAATAAATATCCGCCGACATTGGCTTCTAGTATTGACCGAGATTCATAACGATCACTGATGTGAGAACGTGCTGAAAGATATTTGTTTGGCAAGATTTTACTAAACACGTACGGCACACCTAGTGAAATGAAACTGATTGAGATATAAAATTTGTAAACGTCAGTTTTGATGAATAAAATATTTCGGCCGAACGTATATGGAAAGTACAGTTTACTTTTTTCGAACACGAAACCATGTAGTATATGGAGACAAATACTGAACAGAAAGTTTTTGTTAAATATGATTCGAAGGAAATCGACAAACATGGTGAGATCGAAGCAAATGATTGCTTTCTTTCCTCGCCACTGTCAGCGTCGTTGTCTTCACGTGTCCTTTACTATGATGCAGTCATGCATGACATGAACGTGTTTATGCAGATCAGTGCCCTTCTCCTTATTGGTAAATTGAGATGAATGAAATTCTACTAATTAGATTAGTACATGTCGATTTCTTTCTTAAATATCTGCATATTTAATTTCATTCTGAGTGATTAATCTCATTTCAAAGAATTATGATCTCGGAAGATTATTTAGCATTAACAGAAGACAATCTTGCTAATCTTCTCTGTTTGAACGTATATGGTGCTTGCATACATAATGATCAAGTAGAAGAAAGAGGGAAGATCTTTCTGGGATTTATTACGAATGATGTTTCTATTTCCTCCTTGCCGTTGATTGTTGGATCTGTTGAAAAAAAAACTGAAGAGAGAAAAAAGAGGATCGAGATAGCCAGCGTGCAATTTTGTGTGCCAATGTTGTGTGCATGCCTATTCACCAGACATAAACACATACACAACTAGCAGCGTCATTCTCAGCACACGGGAACGAGAAAAGAGGATCTTTTTAGTTCTCTTGTGAACGATGCCGTGCGTCACCCACGATAAGACTTTTTCCAAATTATGTTCTAAGAACGAGTAATGAAAGGGGAGAGAAATTGGCTGAGGGAGGGAGGCAGGGAGGAAGAAAGAAAGACGCAGAGAATGGAAAGTATGGAGAGAAAGACATAGAAAAACAAGAGAACGCCGAATGAGCTACGTTCGTTTTTGAGCGAGTGCTGGCAATAACTGCGGCATATTGATGTTGATGTTATCAAGTGGGTGTGACGTAGATGTCGAGTCACATCAACATGCACCCTAAGGCTACCCCACCGTCAGGAGCAATTGTTCGCGACTTATCTCCAGATTTCTCCTCACTTTTGCCTGAAGAACTTGACCAACTCGAGCTCGTTCTTAAAAAGCAAGTTTCGATCGAACGCGAACAAACACAGCTTTTGGCTGGCCTTCGTCGTACTATGAGACATCTTCAAAAAACAATTGAAAATGATCAACAACGACCGCGTACACTTTCGTCACCAGTGCAACCGCATCAACTCGTATTGACATCATCAGATATTGTTCAATGTTACATTTGTTTTTCTACTATTGAAACACTTTCAAACATTTCCAGTTTGTCGCCACCTGTTCTGTGCACTGATTGCCATCGGCCTGTCTGTCGTCGATGTGGAAATTATACGTCGCCAGAATTCGTTCAGCCGTTATATGGAAGTCGTTCAGAAAATTCAACACATGCTTCCAAATGGCGTTGTCGTATGTGTATTGTACGTCGTGAAGTTGTCCGGAAATCTGGTACGTGTTTGAATGTGAAAGAAAAAGGTCGAGATTGCTCGAGAAATCAAAACATTATGTACAAATCAGTGACGAGTTTTAATGAAGCAAGAAATTGAGAGTATAAAAAGTAGAAAAAAAGAGCTAACGAGTAGCTGAAATTAATTCATTTTTTTCTAACAAATAATTATATTTTTTCCGTTTCTGTTCTCTTTTTTTCCACTCGTAGAGAGAAAGAAATGTCTTATCATTTATAGTTTCATTTTTTTTTATCTATTTCTCCGACTGAGACGCTTAACATATTTGATTACGGAACAAGACGAAAATGAATCTTTTTCGAGGTACATGGAACATGGTCGAAGATGAAACGTCGAACCATTCGCCTGTACGTCTACTACAAAAGTTAGCTGCATATCGTGCATCGGCTACTTCAACATCAGCATCGACAACACCATCGCCATCGCCAATAAATGAACGTAAATCAACCATTCTCACTGAATCGTCCAATTTCTTTGCGCGTCTATGGCGCCCATCGACATCGAGTTCGGCCCCGTCGCCGAATTCGCTTCAATCGCAGGACACGGCCTCGCCACCGTTGCTTGACCATGCCCCTGACACATCTTCCGTCTCTCTCGATTCGTCTCCGAATCTCTCATCGCCCACTGTACTGAGCCATCGCATGTCATTTATACGTGAAGTATCATCAAAAATTTCATCTTCAAATCAAGTGCCCCTGCAATCATCATCAATGTCAAACGCACCTCCTGCGTTACCACCACTTCAAACTCAACCGACAACCTCAAGTACTGTTACAGATCCATCATTCGAAGATACGACATCGGAACATCCATTCGATACTGCGAGCGAATTACAATCTCAAAGCTTCGAAACCAATCTTTATAGCAGCAATCCGGGCATAATTGATGATCAAGACGAAGAACAAAATTCTCGCGAACAACCATTAACCTATGACGAGCGACATCGAAGACTAAGTTTAACTTCGAAACCAATGAGACCATTTACCCAACAATTATCATCATTACCAATGCGAATTACTGAGCAACAACATAGTGATAGTTTTCCATCACCGGAAGCGAGCATCGATGTTAGTATGGTAAGTGAAAAGTCATCTTCAACAATTATCTGAATACAGTTAACTATCAGTGATATTTAGAGATAAATATACTCATTAGGTAAATGAGTATGGTGGCTCTTTTTTTTTGTTGCGATAGTTATTTCTGTCTTCATTATGATTTGTATCGAGGAAAAAAAGGAGAGAAAAGAAGAAACCATATGCACGAACAGATAAATAGAAGATTATTAAAGAGAAATATTTTCTGCGAAATATTTATGCATGAAAAATTGAACATAAAAGAGAACAACTAATGATATGATTTAGTATCGTTGTTTCTTTTTTTTCTTCTTTTCGGATTTGTCTTTCGCATCCTGTATGATCATTTAAGATTAGTATTTAGATACTTTTCCGCTTTATAATTAGCTATCAACCGACTGGAAAGCAGATGAGACAAGTGAGCTATGCATATTCACCTGTCAATCGACTATGAAATGCATTCGTGTCATTTAAGAATATGGAAATGAGACGGAGTCTCCAATGAATTCCTTCGTAACATCTATTATTTATCTATCCAATTCTTTTTTTGTGACAAAAGTCATCGTTTATTTTTTTTTCCTTCTTTATAAATACCCAGAAAGGACTGGAACATTCTCTTTTTCTCCTTAGGCGATGGATTATTCTTCAGGTTCTGCGCTAGTCAATGATCTTGTAAATCCCGATGCTGCTCTAGTAGAAAATGAATCCATGATAATGGATGTCTCTGTAGCAGAATATCAGCACCATCGACGAGCAAGTCGATCAGTTCAGAAGAATTCCGAATCATGGGCACGTAAACGAGCTTTGATGCAACGAGATTACGAATGGACAATGACATTGGACAGAGAGCAAGCAACGAATACGAGCAAATCACATACAGAATATCAGCTTTTGAATAATATGAATTCCCTACCGAGTTCAATCTTGCCTAAACAATTATTGACACAGACGATTTCTCAAGGAAATACGTCTATTCCTTTCCGATCCATTTCACCTAATCCAATACCGAATGATTTGAATCGTCGACGACGTTCATCACGTCGCTTACCAGATATTCCCGGTGAGAACCATATCCTACCATTGCATTCTTCGAATGAAGACACAATCACAGATGACTTAACTATAACGCCATTATCCTATTCTCCAACGCCCTATGCACATCAGCCTTTACGAGAAAATTCGTTTAGTAATCGCTCAACGCGCTCGAAAAGTATCGATTCAGAATCGTCATTAAAAAGTCGATCATTACATTCCAAATTATCCTACACACATCAAACCCAAAATGCCAAATCCATGGACGTCTCAAATTTAATGCGACAGAAGTCATTTTTAATCGTTAATAATAGTTTCCTACCACAGCGTTCATTAGATTATCCATGTATTGTACGTAAGGCGCAAGATTTATCAGATATTGTTCGACGACGAATGTTATATTCAAAAATCAACAAACAACAGCAAGGAAATAACTTTTCTATCAGTCTTGAACGTGAACATATACCAAAAGTACCACGAAAGATAATCATACGGCAAGATAACAGTATCGAAATAGCTCTCAGGTAAAAACTCAACTACACTTCCATGTTTTCTTTTGAACTGCTTCTTTTCTTCTTTGAAGTAAACCGCCCAAACTTCGACGGCAAACTCTTTCGGAAGATTATTACTACGGTTGTAATTCTGACGCGGAATTTGCGCTGACCCAAACACCAAATGGTTCATCCACCCTCGGCCTACCGATGTCATCGTCGACGACAAATGCATCAAGTGGTGATCGACGAAAGACGATTGAAACTTGCGAAAATATCTATCTGCATGCGGAAGAAAGTTCGAAATTACGTGCGCGTACACCACCGTCGAATCCGCATCGAATTCTGCTTCATCGTGATAAAAGTGATACATCAATACGAACCAATGGACTGGGTATGCGTATTGTCGGTGGACAAGAATGCGAAGACGGTAGTCTCGGTATGATATCGACAGAGGATAATACCAGTCAATAATCGACACCATCGATATTTCTTTCTAGGATGTTTTGTTACAAATATTCTACCCGGTGGTCCCGCTGATGTTCAAGGTAATATTGAAGTAGGCGATCAAATCCTCGAATTCAATGGCAATTCATTAATCGATTCCACTTACGAAGAAATGAGAATTCTCCAAGATCACTGTGGTGATATTGTACAATTAGTTGTTCAACACAACAACATTCGCTTACAAATTAACGGTGGACAAACTCTATCATCAATCGAAGTGTCAAGACATTTCGAAACTGTCCCACGCTTGTCATCATCATTGACACGAAAACGTCGTAATCTACCTCCATTACCACCGTCATTGTCTTCATCATTTCCCAAGCAACCAAAACGACAGTTATATGAAACTGTTGAAACATTAGAAGTACCCAATGTGAAAGAACTCAAACCTATACTTATCAACCGAGGACGTCTTCTAGGTAAAATACTTTCAACTGTCCAGCAACCCTTTGAACTAAGATCCTTTGTTATGAATGATGAATGTTTGTTCTGTGTGAAAACAAGAGGAATCTATTCAAAATTTACTTCAGACTGACTGGTCGTTTGACTGAGTATAATTACGACCTTCTTTATTCTATTGTTAACAGATTTGATGCATAGTAGTAGGAAATTATTCATGTGTAAGTCTCTTTCATGGAGTGAGAACACGGTTATTCGTTTCAAGAAGTTTTTTTTTCGAAAAATTTTCTTGGAAAAAAAGGAGGAGGTGATTCAACATTGAATGTTATCAAAATTCTATAACATTTCATGTTACTCTTTCCGTCTTCCTCCCTAAAAAAAGACCTCTCAAATGTCTCGATCTTATTCTTCTTCCGATTGAAAGAAAAGTCATAATGTCGTTTCATTTTTCTTTTCAAGCTCAAATATGGCATGACGTGGAAGATATGAAATTAGCATTAACAATCATTCAAGCAAGTAATCTTCCACTACGAGCTAATGGTGATCAACCTTATGCGTATATCACCGGCAAAATGTTATTCGAAGATCGAGGCTTCGATATGTTTGAAACCAAAGTGATTCACTCATCGAATCCAACTTATAACGAAACATTCGTGTTCCATGAAGTCGAAACGGTCGACGTTTTGCTCTTGGAAGTTCTTCTCTGGGATAAAAAACAGCCGACGCAAACGGCTAACAAACATAGCAGTATAGATGAATCCGATGAATTTATTGGCATGGTGCAATTGCCATTAGATGAAGCAAATATCGAAGATGAGCCTCGGTGGTATGAAATGCGTGATCGGCAAACACGCAAAGCATCAGCATCGAGTGTAACATTCAAATCATCATCGGCGGAAAGTAGTGAAAGTTTCCGGAAAATGCCACCGCTATTAAAGTCTATCAAGCAACAAGAACGCACAAAATCATCCACAGATCTACTAATTCGTGCTTTGAACCGGTCGGCAACGAACAAACGCGAGATGAAAGGCGAATCGCCATCAACCAAACGTAAACACTCTGTCATACAAATTATGAATTACTCACCGAATAGGAAGAATTTACATCGCGCAAGCATCTGTGGTATCACAGGATCATCAGCGACAAGCAATAACAATGGCAGTAGTCATGACAATGACGATGACGATGATACCAGCGAAAACGACAAAAAAGAAGCAAGTCCGCAAGAACCACGACGTCAATCAATTATCACGATTCAGTCCGAAAAACTCAAACGCCGAATCTCCAAAGGTATATTGAAATTATTTGATTCTCATACGAAACGTTCAACAGATTCCATATCAAAATCACCACCACAAAGTCCAACAGCGCGAAAACCATCGATACAAATACCAGCTCACATGGATAGCGAAGAAGAAAATGATTCACCGATTGGTATTGCCATCGATAATTCCACTGCGATTGTGAACAAATCACCGCGGCATAGTATTGTTTCGGCAACACACCTTGATGATGCACCGCAATCACCATTGATACGTCCAATACCTTTGCAGCAAATGCCCATCGGACAATTAATGTTGCCTTATATTCCAACATCACGTCATTCCTCAGTTTCAGGCTCGAGAAAATCGTCGGCTGCATCGTATTGTGATAGCGATGATGATATCGATCGATATTTTACATTTTCCGAACAACCACCACATACTGATGAAAATAACGAGAATAGCAATGTTCAGACTCATACTGTCGGACCTGGACAAGTCACGCCAAGAAATTATGATAATATGATTAATGATTTAATACATATGGGACAAATACAACTTGGTTTAATTGTCACCAAAGGTCTTCTAGAAATTGATGTTATGTGTGCCAGAGGCTTACAGAGAGTTATCGATGATAACAATTCAAATGGAGCATCGTCAGAAGATAATCCACCTGATACCTATGTCAAAACGTAAGCACCCGATTCTATTGAAAGCAAATCTCATTGTTTTCATGTCAGGTACCTTCGAACTGGAACACGTCGTGTGCAAAAACGTAAAACAGCAACGGTAAAAGGTAGTTATAATCCTGACTATCACGCAAAATTAACTTACAATGCTTGTAATGTGATGGGTAACTAATTCAGTTTCGTTTGTTTCAAGCTAACCTATAAAACCGATTTATTCTAGGCCGTCGTTTACAGGTGACAGTTTGGCAACGTGCGCGTAAGTTTGAGAAAAATCAATGCATTGGCGAAGCATTCATTCAACTTGATAATCTAACATTAACACAATTAACATTAGCTTGGTATAAATTATTTCGCGAAAAACTGGTCGAAAGTGAATTTTACGATTCAAGTTAAATGTGTCAGATTATCGTCTTAACATAATTTATGTGATGATATGTATATGAAAAGCAAAACAAAACAAAACAAAAAACGAACGAACTTAATTCTTTCTATACAAATTCGATCTCGTTCTTCCCTAAACGAAAGGAAGATTTTTTTTTCTTTATGTGCAAACCAAAACAACCGAACTTTCCTTTTCTTTTTCTCTTTTTATTTTATTAAATACAAAATAGAATACTTCGCTGTCAACGATGAACAAGAGACTCTAAAGCGAGATTAGAAATATATGCATATCACATGAATTATTCGTGATACATTGACAATCGACTAGATCGAAATAAACAAAACAAATTGTTTTAATTAAAGCGAACGATCGATTTTTGATACGATAAAACCTTTGGGTCAACGTTCATCTCTTTCACCAAAGTACTCAACAGATTATTCATTTGTCGATCAATATCAGTGGTTAAGTTAGCTAACGATGTATAGTCAGTTCGTTTCAGGTCATAGAGTGACCGTGCAAAGTCTAAAACCGTATCCTGGAAAAGACAACGAACGGATTAAACAGTTGCAAATGCTCGTGTCTAATTTACTTTGATAAATGTACACATTGGTTTCACTGGACTATCGGGTCCGAGGATGCCCCAGGCAAAAACAGGTGTCATATCTTCGATTAGTGTTAGAAACGTGGTTAGAAATCCATCTTGATGCTGAAATGAGGTGTGACGAGAAAAAGTTTTGAAAGATTGTTTTGCAAGTCATTTACCTTCGCTGTTGCGCGTCGAACTTTCAATGCGCATGATACAGCTTTGTTCAATGCTTGTTCACGGAATGATTCTGATAACCAACGGTTCTGTAAGATTGTTCGCATGGCTGATGGCGGAGCATCTTTAAAAACACGTAAGCAATTAGACTTGAAGGTAAGAAAAGATTTTCTCAATACCCAAAATCTCAAAACCTTCCAATAACATGAAATCGATGCCAACATTGTATACAGTTGGATTTTTCACCCCTGCTGAAGCAAGCTCTTCGCTAATCATCGGCCAATTACGTTCATCACCAAGGAGGACGTTCATCTGGTCAAACGCATGAATAAAACGTGTTTTGTCCTAAACAAGTCAAAGAAATATTCCATGTTGTCTTTGGTGATTAAAAAAAACAAGCGCAGATTATCTTCATGGCATCCAGACTATCATTCTTCAATACGTATTTGTTGTCACGCGATGCTTAACAAGAGTCGATATATTTAGTTTCTGATTAAAGTTATCTGGTACTGTGGAATAGAGTGCGAAATCATTATGATGATTTCGATTGCCTGAGGGAATGTTCGAGGGCAATCTCGTGAGTTATTGTAAATGGATACCTGATCGAAGCATTTAGGAATAATAATGTAATGCAGTAAAATGTTAAGATGACATACTTTCGATGCTTTCTCGAGAAAACGTTCGCAAATGGCTCGTGCAACCCGCTTTAAATAATCCTTCTTCTCTTCACTACCAAGTATATCCTAAAATACAAGATAATAATGAGTGAGCGTGTCACTTTAAAGAGGAATTCCACTGACATCACAAGCTGTGCGTATACAGGATAGTTTTGCTAAATAATCTGTATCCGAAGAGCAATGCAGAAGTTTTGTTCGTAGTTTTCGATATTGTACTTGATTCTTTTCTGCTAAACGAAGTCCATAGACGTAGTACGGTGGTAATGAGTAGTATGGCGACGATGGATCGAAAATCAGATCACCTGCATCGAGCCATTCAGCATCCTAAACAGCAGAGAAAGACTAAATTGAAAACGAGAAGGTGCTTTTGTTACTCACATCAGGACAACTTTCAAAACTATCTGATGAACGTATTGATCGAAGCGAACGTCGATCATTGAATGTATTTAAATCAGATTGTACACTTAGGATCGTTTGTAGTTCTTGTTGAGCACGTGTCGATTCACTACGATTCAATATAACTAAGCTATTATCGATTGAAGTAGGTGGAAGCGGTAATGTTTCATAAGTAGATTTCAATTGTTGTTGTTCTTGCTCGACTAACAAAGCTAATTCAGTCGCATTGGAATTCACATCGATTTTGTTTAGTAAAAATTGAATTTTCTGCCTTAATTCAGTTAAATGATTTCGACTCAGTGAATAATCTGGCTGAATCAATTCCGGCTGATTGGATAAACTCAAGTCAATAATAGTCAATGCGCGTTGCCAATAGTCAATGGAAATATTCATATGTTCAAGCCCGTGTTTGTACAGTTGCTGAGGAGTTGGAAGAGTTTCTTTTGGAGGTGTATCCGTCGCATTTTCCCATTCTATTTGGAAAAAAGATATAACAGATTTTCAATTGATATACTTGTCTTACCATCCATTGACAGTGTTCGAGTCAACGGAGCTCGACTCGGTCGGTGTGCGGGTGACCGACGACTGTATACTTTCCATAGTAGATAAACTAAGCCTAGGAAATAGATGACAGATTCGATATTTCGTGAAGTATGTTTTCATTTTCGAACTTACCAATAGCTGCCAGTGTTGTAGTAGAAACAATTCCTACTCGGCGCATTTGGCTATTACTATTAATGAACGGCATACTTGTTTCGAGAAATCTACAACAAAAAACACGTAAAACAATTTAACAATCATATTTATAAAAATAATCAATTGAATCATCTAAAACCAAATGTAATCTTTTTATTTTAATTCTTTATCGTAGGCAACAACGGCCCATCTTTCTTGTCGAACAGCTGTTGCTGGATCTGTTGTTGCCGGAATAGATTGATCTGTTTACTAATAACACGTGCTTTTTCCAGATATGCAACAACATTCTACAAAACAAGACTCAAAACACAATCTGCTTTCGATTTGACAGATTCAACCGGCACTTACATTGACATGGTTCGCACTGGTTCCTAGATCTTTCACTGCATCTATGCCATATTCGATATCAAACACAAGACCATTGATTTGTTCTTGTAAAATTTCGAGTTCATGGCGTTTTTGTATCATTCCTGGAAATGTTTTGTGTACATGTTCCTGAATTCGATACAAAGCTAAAGATGGTTCATTCGCGTTTGTTTGAATCGTTTCATTGAGAAAACGTATTGAAGCACGAACTTTGATTTCAGTATCTGGATCGGCACGGTTCATTGAAGAAAAATTTAAATGTCAATTAGAATAATAAACAGAAAAGAATTACTACCGAGATGAAAGTTGTATTTGTTCTTATCCAATAAGAATCAATTCAAGTTTCTAACGACCTCTATGAAGATCAATAAGATAGTTACGTTATTAGATAACAGAACTCTTTATCTGACTGAAATCTGCATATGAACGAACCTCAGTTATCATCAAGTGACTTATTTTATCGTATAGGTATAATCAAGAGCACTTCATATGAAAACATTTGTATGAAATGCTTGTGTCAAAGGACGCATTGAATGAAGTTCGGTTTTTGTACAAATTTGTATCGTAAACAGTTGGTTTATACGCTAGTGAGAATGAATGTTCTCTTTCAAATTCAGTTCACTAGTCAGAGTATGGCCTTGTGTCGGAGATAAAGAATAAATCCTACGCATATCGACTTTCGAGTATAAACGGTTGTTTTCGGTGCAAGATTAGCACCGCTGCTCCTTTTCTGAAACGAATATGGACACCTTGAAATGCAAGTATCGAATATTATCAAACGTCAATAATGTAGGTGTAGCTGATGAGTACGTTTTGCAATAGCCGAACACCTGTTATGCTTCGTATGGGTATATATATAATTGATAGAATGATTATTATTTTCAACAGAAATGTTTTCTAAACTATTCGTCCTTACATTGATCATAGGTAGCATTAACGCAGTGCCTACTGATCAATTGTCCCAAAGCCGAAATGCTGCATTCGAATTTCGAGAAATGATCACCAAAGTCACTGGCCGATCAGCATTGGATTATCTTGGTTACGGTTGTCATTGTGGTCTCGGTGGTAAAGGTACACCAGTCGATGACCTTGATAGATGTTGTCAAGTTCATGATCAATGCTATGCCGATACCTCCACATATCTTCAATTTTGGAATTTATGTTCACCACATTTAGTTGGCTATTCATGGAATGTTAGCAACGGAGCGGTGACATGTACTGGTAATAAAGATACATGTGGATATAAAACATGTATGTGCGATAAAATCGTCGCCGAATGCTTTGCTCGAAGTACTTACAATATGGAGTATAAAGGATATAGTCAACGTTTCTGTTCTTGAAATAAATTTCTTTCATTTTGACAAAGATTCCCGCTTGAAATATCTTGAGCTCATTTTTTCCTCAGTCATTTCTTTTCCAATGATGTCAATCATAAAAGCAGCGAGTGATACTGACATACCTCATCGGAAACCACTTCAGCTCCTCTCGTCTGTAAATACATCTGGCATTTATAAAGATCACTCCGGAAACAATGTATCATCGAGAAAGAGGCTACATCAACAATCGAAAAAACCGCAGTATCAATTGCTTACTACATGTTTTCCGGTAGTTAATATCCTACAAGGTAAATTCTCAAACTATCATTCACATTTCATTGAATTATTTTGTCTAGATTCGTTGAAACTTCGTAAGAAATCATCCGTTCAGTTACCAACAGTACCTAATCAAGCAGGGACATTTATTCATCGTCTTCTCAACGAATTCTTTTCAATCACAAATATAAACCAAAACAAAAGTCGTCTAAAACAACGACGAAAACGTTCGAAGAAAGACGATTGTCTTATTTGTCGAAAATATCGAAATCATTTTTCGAGTGATTCGTGTCAATTACCACCGATTCAGAACAGCAATGCTGCCACAAGATTCTCTCCCGATGAAATTGTACCTTCGATGGAAAAGAGAAGATCACTAACCGATTCACAATGTCAAATCATAGCATCAGCAGTCGAACTGATATTCCACACATTACTATCCAATTGTCGATAGATATCATTTGAAAGACGTTTTTCTTTTCAAATCATCAGATTTCAACTATATTTCATTCAATCCATTGATGAATAGATGAGCTATATGTATATATTCATTCGACGAGTAAGAAACACATAGACGCACAGAAAACAAAACAAAACAAAAAATATTCGTTTGTATGATAATAGATAAAAAGAAAGTACGAGTTAGAGATTCATTCGATATGTCACAACGGAAATAAAATGGAATATATATGTGAATCTGACACGAAACAAAAAGAAAACAGAACGAAGAAACGAAAACAAGAAGAGACACAAACACTCATACTCAAAGAATGATACAAGCGGCAGATTTTGTTGCGGGAACATTGGATTCCGAATGATAATTTGTAGTTGAATTCATATCTGAATGATGACCATTGATGAGAAGATTATTATTCGGTTGTATACTGTTCTTTTTTTCGGTTTTGAAATCTGATTCTAAATGGAAAAGACACCGATTAGTTTCATATTTTTGATATTGACAAAAAGGCGTTTTTTATATACATGCAACAGAGCTACGAAGGACAGATATAGAAAACTAAGTATACGAAAGTAAAAAATGGCATAGGAATGAGTATATACAACAGCGGGTAATGCCGGAAAATAAATATGGGATAATGTGAAAAAGAAACGAATGTGTAAAGAGAAGGTAATATTTACTCACAAGAAAACTTATTTTATTCTAAATAATGTAAAAAGTAGAATATGCATTTGGCCTATTCGAATCTTACTTTTTGTTGGACGTTGTTGTTCGGCTTCGATTTGTTGTTTGGCATCGGCGAGAATGGTTTTTATTTGTTCGGGTGTGAAATCTTGAGTTGAGATTCGTGTCGCCGAAAAATCCATTCTGATACGATTAACTTTGAACAGAAGGAAAACGAGACATGGATGAAGGAAAGAAAATCTAGACGAATTTTACCATTTGGTGGCGCGATGACAACCGGATAAAGACCACCGACCGGTTGATAAAGAACACGAACATAACCAACAGTTCGATTAACCGTTAGATAACAGATAATCAATTGTTCATTGTTCTTGCCCGCTTTACCTTCTTCATCTTGAGGAAACAAAACTCCCCAGCCGATCTTATCGCCTTGTTTCAAATATTTCGCAGCTATAAAGAAAAAACACAGTCTCCAGAAGTTTGTTCGGTGAACAAATTAAGTAGAATACCATCTCCTGTTGGCCAAAATCGTAAATAGTCTTGTTTAAATTGCGACGTTGGTGGTGGATCAAGCGGTGAAGCCGTACACAACGCAATTGCTAGGAAAGATGCGATATTTAAACCAGAAATGTCCTTCTAATAGCGCCAACATACCTGGTGGCGGTTCACTATCGCTGAACTTATCAGCCAAAACAATTTCAAAATGATTGTATTCTAAGAGACAAAAGAAAAACAATTCGATTAGCTTCACTTAATATGATTAATGTAAACAATAATCGATTTTGACATGCATGAGAACAGAAAGATTAATCGACATCGGCGTCGTGATGGTATTTCCTGCGAAAAAAAATTTACTTTTATGTAAACTGTAAGGAGCTTGAAGACATAGCGAGCGATCGTAATGTTGCGGTAAAATAAAAAATTTATCTTTCAAATCGATTTTAGTTCCTTCCGGTAGACACCAATCTTCAGGATTTCTCTAGAATACGTGAAAAAGCTATGAACTTCAATCAAAGTTTTCGATTTGGATAACTAACCACGCTATAATGTGGTGGAACAGAAACTCTTGTTTGCCAGTGGACTAATAATTCCACCGGATCGCCCGCATTTTCAATAAAGATCGTCGGATAGAATTGTGTATGATCCCGTAATGTGATATACCGAGTGCCAATAGGTCGAAAATTTTTACTGAATAATACCACGCTCATTTCTTTATCGAATGTTTCAATTTCTAATCCAACAGTATCGCCTTGTTGACATCGATGTCCACGCATATTTCCGATATCCTTGCGATTTGAATAAAACTTTCCAGTGTATGTGTTGTAACCAACGGTGTCATCGGAAAAACCTGGTGCTTCATATAATGCATGATCGGATGGAGATATACCGATAGTCACTTGACATTGCTGACCTACAGAGAGACGTATGGACGAACATGATTGGAAAGAAGAGAGATTTACTGATGTTTTCTAATTCCACAAAGAAGAATCGTCGTTCGGAAGTGAGTGGTCGACGAAATTGAACATAATGAATGCAATTTTCTGTCTTTGGTATTGATATACGGCATGATTGATCAGTAATATTCAATAGAACTTGATCGCTTTTACGAAACAAACTTATAGGTAAATCTGGAGAATCAAAATAAAGAATAAGTTGATAATATTTCTGTTTTGTAATTTTTCTTTTTCTTACCGCGTTCCGCTTTATCTTTTCGATAAATATCAATCGCTGGTCGTAGCATTTGTTTATAAAGCCCTTGTAATTTCGTTATTTCATCAGCTGTCAACATATTTCTTTTCGCAATCGAGACTTTTGTTGCTACAAGAAAAAGACAAGTCGCAATGAAATGACTCTTTGTCGTCGTTATCTTACCATATGGTTGAAGTAAAACAATCGGTACAAAACCTCCCTCTGGTTGTAAAACAAAAAGTACATCAACGATCAATTTGTTAAACATAACATAAACCAAACACAATTGTTCAGCTTTATCATCTTCACAATTATCATCATAATAAACACCCCAACCAATGGTATTTCCAACTTTCACTAGAATGAAATCATCGAATCTTTTCTTTCGCAGACAATTCCTTACTTACTTTTCATTTTAGCGAACCAGGTGTAATAATCTTTCATTAATGTACATGTTGGTGTTGGTTTCAAAGGCTAGAATGAAAATAGAAATGTCATCTCTCAGATGATCATACTGAAAAATCACTTACAGAATAAGTTGCTAAGCCCACACTCGCACCTTTTCCATCGGTCGGCGAAACTTCTTGTTGTGTAACGACGAAATAACGAAAAGATTTGCCTAGCGGCACAGGTGATTGTACCGGTAAATCTTCCAATCGCGATGGATTTTCGAAAAACCCTGTTTGAGCATCGTAGGTACCCATAGGTGCCCGAATCCATTGAGATACAGGGATCTACAAAAAAAAACAGAGAATTGAGATTTCAATAGAGACGATAGAGGGAGAATACATACATCCGTTATAGCTGGTAATTGTTCAACAGCTTCCGGCCACAATACTCCAACTTCGACACGACCACCAGAAAACGTTATAGTTGGAAAGAAACGCTCTTTACTTGTTTCAAAATGATACCTAATGACGAAAAATGACGAATTATGATTTGAGAAAGAAAAAAGAACAGAATAGATGATCATTTCCTATGAGATATTCTCTTCTCGTTTGCATTAGAGCTAAGTCATAAATTTCCCTGTTCAGACCTGACATTTTATTAAAGAATGTACCTTGTGGCGACAGGAAAATTATCATAATAAAGCAGCGCTGTTGATAGATGTTCGCCAAAATAAGTCACATAAACTGCGACCGTATTTCCTAAACAAATCATCTTCATAATTAATAAAAAGACAAAGATTACTCATCGAAATACCTTTGCCATATTGTAGGCCAAGTGTGTTCGCATGCACTTTCCATGACGTATAGACTCTTCCAGTATTGTTATGATATCCAAGAGAATTGTTATATTGACCTAGATACGATATTTCCAAATAAACACTCATCGAGTCGGTTTCTAAACTTACCCGTATGTGTATTGAGATCGAGCGGTGCGATTCCAACTGCTAAAATCGCATCCGGATCTAAAATATGTATTTTTATTAAATTAAAAACTAGTTCATTATTTATTCATACCGCATTTGTAAACCTCGACAACAAAGTAAGGCGATTGAGGTGTAAGTGGTTGACGTGATTGTATAATTGAAACCGTATCAAAGTCTGTTGTTTTCTTGTTTCCATACACGATTTCGACTTTCTTTCCTTTACTCAACCCCGACGACGACGCTTTCCCTCGTAGAACGACATCTCCAACTATACGATAACGCTGATCTAATGTTGTCATATTACTTCGAACTTGTCTAGAAAACACAAACGTTGCTGAGCATCTTCATTACTAATGATTTGATGAATGAGTAATGAAAGTTTCTTTTTTGTACTAATTCATTGCATAGTTACAATACACATCGGTAATACTTGTGTCAATAAGAGACGTGCAAAATCTCTTGGACGATTGCGTTCGTAAAGAGAAACAAAATTCATAGATTCTAATGAAACACCGAGAGAGAAAAGAGAAAATGACGTAGAAGAAAAAAGTTCTCTTATTAATAAATTGATCTTCACCTTTCTCAATTCTAAACTGAATAAACAATTTATTCTCAAGTAGAGCATTAAAATACAGACGTGCTTTTATCCTAACGAAAGAAAAGAAAATGTGTAAATTAAAATATCTCATAAAAATTCTCAATCGAGAGAAGTAAAAAACGCACGCCCTGTTGAAAAGAAAACGATTTTTAATCATTGTCTTCAAGAAAAGATATTAGTAGACGTATGTATACGTTTCTCTTTTTTTTTCTGTCTCATTCGAATGAGAAGAAAGATGACAGACATGATTCATTCTATCTCTATGCATTGGTTCGTTCTTCTAAAGCGGATATAGATCAAGGAGAGATGTCGTTCGATGACTATGTACTTTCTCAGATCAAATTTCGCCTTGAGACATGGTACATTGCTTTACCTTACTTTTTCTTTGAGTCAAATCGACACTCGATACCGATCTGCATGGCAGTGGTGATCAGCGTTGATAGTTATGAAGCGTGTTTCAAGCGTACTGAATGACTTTCTCATTAAACTGTTGATTTGTCAATCGAGGAAAACGAGTCGAAGTTATGAAAAGAACGTGTCAATCATAAATTCACTAATGGACTGTTTCTTCTCTTCTTTATTTGGAAAATTTTCCTTTCGTTGTTAAAATTAATCACCGCAACAACATGTGCACGTCAATTTTTCTTTAATATGAAAGAAAGCGTATTGCATAAGCTCCCTCTCTCTCTCTTTTCTTCTTCTGCTGAAAAGTAGATTATATAATGTTACAAGATAATTTGTACGTTTTATTGATGAAGATCATTTTCAATATAAATTATGAATAAGAGAATACATTCGATCATTCTTTTTATTAACATTAATACAGTGAAAACAATGTGAAGAATAGTCTGTCATGCAATTATTTGATACGAAGAGACGAAATTCTATTGAAGTCTGATTAGATTCGAATACAGAGAGAAGAAAAATAAATACTAGATTTTCGAACTATTCAACATCTGGGTTTGTTTGAACTGTAGCACCACTTGTTTTATTCAATGAATCACCAATTGCATTTGTTTCACCTGCAAAGCCCGACTTGTAATTACCTTTAACTTTGAACAATTGCATATAATGTGTCTTGCAATAAACTTTGCCATCGTTCGAGGTGAAATTACCGGGCCTACAAGCAAATTGACGTCAACTTTTGCTCTTGAAGCTCATTCAGAATCGACTGGAAATGAAAACACAACTTACTTTAACACTGATTTACAGTGCGTACATCGAAAACATGGCTTATGATAAGCTTTACCATTAACCATGATCCTCTCGGTTGCATAGGCAGTTTTTTCGCACACAGCACATTTTGGATCCATGACGAAATGAAGACGTTTTCTACTATTTTACTGAATAGTCTTCCGCACGTTTTTATACACGCAATTGCGATGTCAGCCGATGGAGAAAAACAAGATATACGCCAAACTCCTATTCTGTTACACAACAAGTTCTATTCCGAGAATTGTATATTCTCCTCTATCTGTATTCCCTTATATGTTCTTTTTCCGTAGAACCAATGATTACTGATCAAATTTGTCGGATATTCATCGATAGATAGAGCAAAACGTCGGCTGAATATCTCTTCCTATTCGTCAAATGTTGCGGAAGAGGTTCATAGGTTCTCAATTCGAGACTAGTTCCTAACAAATTACGTTGTGTTTTTTCTACTATTATAGATCGTGTAGATATGTGCGTCAAGAGAAGACGAATGCACGATGATTATTTTTCGCGAGCGTTACTTATTAAATGTTAACAAGTTTTTAATGGAAATGCTAAACAAATAATCAAGGAGATGAGCAAGCGGAAAAGTTCTTCATAATCATCACTACCGAAACCGATCAACTTTCTGGAGTTGAGAACGAAGAAGAACTTGTAAGTAAATAATGATATCATTAGATTTGTTGTGTATCGATTTTCGACAGATGAATCAAGAATCTAAGAGGTCGCATTGTTTGTTCAAAGAGAAAAGCAGCTGAAGATACATTGAATCGTTAATATGTCCCTAGAGATTTAATTTCTCGCTCCTTCTTTGTTTATTCTTAAACAAATTCTAACTAAAGTTTCCTTTCATTCCCAAAAGACAATTAAACGACAATGACTATTTCCATCTGATGAGATGAAAAGTAATTTCCATCGCTATCTCTGTATCTAATAAGGAAAAACTGAACTGACCTTAGAAGAACTCGTCAATTTTTGCAATCATATTGAAAGCCGATCGGTAGCTGGTGATGGTTCGAATGTGATTGGTCGATGTGTAATATGCAACTTGGTTAACAATCGATGCCAGAGAATTTGAAAAGCGTTTTCACGATAGAAATTTGCATACAGAAGGACCAGAATAACACTTAACATAAATAGAATTCCACCGATGTACCATGAGTTCAATGGACTTTCGACGTATCTTGTCGTTGTTCGTATGCGGGCTGTTGTTACGTTTAGAAGCGATGTACCATTTTCAAATAGGTCCATTGCAGAGAGATGTGGGATGATGTAAACTAAGATCGATCGATTTCGATGTGTATCGTGATTCTTAATAGATGTTGGGAGAGACGAATACGAAGGAAAGAACTGACAACAACGTTGTTATCACGCTTATGTACCCTTTGTCTCTATATATTTTTTTATTCTCTTTCTTTATAGTCGAGTTTTGGTCTATTATTCAAGAGAGAAAACGTCCGATTGGCATGTATGAAGTTTCTTTTTCCACGGCAAAATCCACCAAATTCAAATCGAGACTAAAAAAAAACGTAAAATATTCATGAGATTCTTCATGATTGTCAATCTTGCATATATTTGCTAAAGGCAGAAGAAATTCAGAAAGCAAATCGTTTTAAATAATGCATTCTTTTCATATATATATTTTTTTTTTATTAGAACTGGAAAAAGAGAGTCTAATACCTGCTTATAAATAATAATAACGAAATAAGATGATTTGTAGCCATGGTCTTCGCCAACTGACACTGCGATTAATTCTCTAATACGTCTTGTCTGTCAGAGCATAGACAAATTATATTCTCATTAATCAGCAATCAATCGGAAGTTTTTAATTGAAATTCTCGCATGTGCTTTTTGACAGATCGTCGAGAAGTCGAATATTTGCATTTTTTTAGTCAAATAAATTAAGTTTATTGTAGTACGTAAGTGGAAATCCCGGAAGATAAGTTTCTTTTTCTTGCAAATTATCATGAGAAATATCTAATTAGCTAGTGGTAGTGTGAAGGTACTTTTCTTGACGGAGTATGGAAAAATTCATCTTCTGAAAGAAGATTAGACGATGTACGAGGTTCTCTCTCGAGTGTCGATTTGCTGTGTTTGTTTTTTCTATGAATGTGAATTATAATAATTCCGAAGTTTTAATGAGTTTTCTTTTCTTTTCAGACATTCTTATCACACGTAATCAGTATCAACATTTCTAGAGTGTCGTGAAGTACAAAAAAAAGCAAGATTTACATTACAAGGACCACAAGAAAACGGCTGTTTCATGTTTTAGTTGAATAGTTATTTAACATGTCGTAGAAATCATCGACTATCGGATAAAAACTGAGGATGGCTTTTAAACTAATTCGAGAAATACAAGTTGATCAACAACAAAACAATCACTGGGCTTTTTAACAAATGCTGTTAGACCTTGAGTTATTTGTCCGTCATCTAGTGTTGTATCTATGCGTTGGCGAGTGCGTTGTTGTACTAGATAGTCATGAACTTTCTCGTATGTATCATTACCTAGGTCTTGGATCGCTTTCCTAAACGAGAAAAAACAGCGTTGTTATTGTCGATGCATGTTGATCGACGAAATGCTCCACTTACGCTCTTAGAGAACTTATTTTCTTGCTTCGCGCGAGTGGACCAAATGCATCGTGAGTTGGATTATCTTTTAGTGTCGTGTTATTTTCGTCGAGTATAGAACTTGATGGAATTCTGCGCTTTTTTGTTGAATTAACCATCGTTTTCGATGACGTGAGATATTTCGATGGTCGAGTAGGATTATGAGCATAGTGTGGATCGATGGTTCGACTCAGTGAATTGATAGTTGAACGTTGAGATGCAGAGAGAGATCGTTGACTCTGTAAGGTCGTATTCAGACCATTGAAACTACGACACACTTGTTCTTGAAAGTCTGTTTCTAGTTTTTCACGCGTTGGACTGTAATCATCTTCCTTTTCGAAATCATTATAAACTTCGTAGTACTGATTGGTTAAATTCGGATCGCTGGGTAATCCGTCTTCATCACCAAACTTATCAGCGATTTGCCGATAAGTACCACGCATTGGTGTTATTGGTCGATCGTCATTATACGTACGAATAGGCTTCCGAAATGTTGAAGAATGTTCAATATTACTACGAACAGTGTACGTTTCTTCGTTGGAAAATTGATTAGAATCTGAAGAGAATTCATAATGAAATTCGATACATTTCAATTACTACAAAGTTATCTTCCTTTCATCTGAATAACTTACCATAAGTTCGATTATTGAATGTCTGTCCCAATCTTGCGCGAGTTCGCTCTTTCATGTCCGTCTCCGATGTCGATGGCCATGGTTGTTTCATCTAGATGAATTGATATGATTTAACAAGATAATCACATTTACGTTTTACTTACAGTTCCGACAATGGTACTCTCACGCATCAATTGTCGATTTTGAGCCGCTTCTAATGTATTCCTTCGATTTACCTGACTAAATTATCGAGAGCGAAATGAGTACTTTGAGGTTATTTTGCAAAATACGTACGCTAAGATTTGTGCACGTTCATCAGCTGCGTGTAATCTGCGTTCTATCATAGTTTCTTTAGGTGTCTTTTGTGTCTGAGCTGCTCTGACAGTTTGTTCATCATCATCGTCTTTGTACACTTCTTCTGTCTTTACATTACGTTTATAGAATGTATTATTGCCGAGTTGCACGTCATCATCATCGTCATCGACGTTATTATTATTTGAAGTATATGCATTGTCATTGATTATCTGGTTTTGTCCACTTAGGGACCAGTTTTGCTTTTTCATATCACCGTAGTTCATCGCAGTTTGACTAAAAGAACGATAAATTTGATAAAAGACATGATTATTGATGTGTTGCTTTAGAATCTCTTACAAAATTTTCCTAGAAGAATGAAACTAATTGTGTCATACTAAATTTCAGGGATATTATACATGTTGGTACACAGTATTTCCAATTACCTAAATCTTCCTGGACACGATAAGTTGTACTTCTGAGTGCTTCGGTACTTTTCTTTTCATGACAAATTTCGCCTATGATTTTCTTCTTCTAGGGTACAGAAAAGTATGAAAACTGTTGAAGCTGAAGTTTAGCCGCGTAAATAGAACTCTGACAGTCATCGCAATGTAGGGAGCATACTAGCGTAATTAATGAATTAATTAAGAAAGTCACGCTTTTTATGTTTTCTATATTGTGTATTTTTTTCTGAGAGAAATTTTAGGTAATGTTTCTTATAAAAAAAGAAGTATCCAGCAAGTTTAAAAAAATATTTTAGAAGTACATTGCCTGACTTTCTTATCTTAGTATGTTGAAAATGTATGAGAGATCCAGGGGATATTTCATCATATTTTCACATGGACTGTGTACCAACATGTGTAATATTGCTTGAATACACTATAAAATCATCAATTTTAGTTTTTCGGGAAGATTTTTTCAATAGTTCTGAATAAATTCTTTCGCATTCATATCCAATGCTCAGACTCTTTTCTGTTTTTACACATAATCAACGAGAATATTCTGTTCTATACATACAAACGTGTGTGAAGGTCTCTGGCACGATGATTACCGCTGATAGTAGTTTCCAGAGGCACATTCATCTGGATTCTCTAAATAAATTGCAACAATTCATAATAGCTCACAACTGTCAATATAACTTTACCTGACGATGTTCAAGAATATACGGATGATTAAGTAAATCCGCAGCACTTGGGCGTTGCTTTGGATCTTTAGTAAACATTCTAACAAAAAGGAACTTCTTCTGAAGAATCTACCAAGAGCATTCTAAACGTTACTTTTGCAAAATATCATTTAGCTCTTTTGTATATGTAGTCGGCAGATTCGGTGGTTGTCCTTCAACAACTTTATATATCACATTCATGAGACCTTTCCCATCGAAGGCATGCTGATAGGTACACATTTCATATAACAAACAGCCAACGGACCTAAACATCAAATCGGCATTGATAACTGGTCGAAATTGCCACTATTTCTTATTACCAAATATCTGATTTCGATTCATATCCATCGTGTTTCATCACCTCCGGTGACATATAGTATCTAGAAATACACCAAGATATTCGAAGTAAACAAAATCTCTGTCAATCGTACGGTGTTCCAGTGAATGTACTTGCGACGTCCATTGTGCCAATTAAAATCCGACTGATACCAAAGTCTCCAATTTTCACTTTGTTGGATTTAAGAAAAATATTCCGAGCTTTTAAATCTCGATGTAGAATTCTTGATTTATGCATATACTGTGCAGCAATTAAGATTTGAATAAGCCATTCAACGACTTGATCTTCCGGTAACATCTGATTTTTCTTCTTTAGTTCTTTAAATTTTTGATCTAGATCACCGCCTTCACAGTATTCAGTAACGATACACAAACAATCATTTTCAAGAAAACTTTCATAGAACTAAAACAACATCGTTCATTCGCAATAGAGAATCATCGAGAAAATAGAAATAAATTTTACCTTAACAATATGCTCATTCTGTAATTTTGACAGTAATTCCGCTTCACGAACAGAATCGACAGTTTGTTCAGGTTCCATATCACCTAATCGAACTACTTTAAGCACTTTTCTATAAATAAGAACAAACAAACAAATTCCGATGGATTTATATTGATTAATCATGTAATAGATGTTCCTTACGATTCATTGTATACTTGCCGATCAGTAACAAGATAAGCTACACCAAAATTTCCTGCTCCTAGTTTCTTAACAATCTTATAGCGTTTCTTAAATATTTGTGGTTCATCGGTATCTGTCATGATTTTAAAAGTAAATCTAAAACAAATTTTTATTAGAGGAATAAGGAACGAAAAGGAGATTTATCAAGAATTGAGAGTACGTTCGTTTAATTCATTTACAGTATCAAACAAAACGAGTTCATCGATTAGTTTACATGCGTAGGAATTCGAACATAATGTTTCAAGACCGGAAAGAATGATAGCATCGGTACACGATGCATCTTCAGATTGTTTGTGACGCTGATCATGTAAATAATCATAAATGCGAGTAAAATGTTCTGAACCGACCAATTCTTGAGCCTTGCTACAAACAAACAAACAAAAACACATTTCCATGAGCATGAGGAGATGTTCAGTATTTACCTTCGACAAAAATCAGTTTTACTTTCCCTAGCGGAAGGACTGAATGGATCGTATTTTTCATCAGGTATTTGAATATCATCTGTACAAGGCAATCATAGAGTTTCAATTCACAGTTGAAAGATTCAAACCTGAAGGAGCAGTTTCGAAAGAATCAACAGAATCCATGGACGACGCCGAATGAACGGGCGATGAAGGTACTTGCAACGATGCTCGAATGTGTTTGTTGACTATTGGACTGTTACTGAATGATCGACGAAAATCGGGATGTGTCGGATCTAAAGAAAAACACGACATGTTTATGTGATGAGGAAGTATTCAAGGTTAAGAATGAATTTTTTCCAATATAAAGTCCGTCAAAATATTCAGCATTACTTATGTCGAGATTTGGAGTTGATGATTGACTTGATAATTTTGATTTTGGATTCGGTTTGATTTCAATCTAAACTAACTCTATTATAAGCGTTTTTTATTAGAAGAACATACTTGACCAAATTCTTCCAAGAGTTCAGCCGCTCCCGAGCGTTTATCCGGATCCTTCGAAAGCATTCTAACAAGAGCAGAACTCTTTGAAAAGAACAATTCGAAACTCGAATACTCACTGCAAGTAAAGTAGTTGTACTTTTGCTGGAAATCTGTCAGGTAGTGGCGGTGGTGATTCTCGAAGAATGGCTTCCATAGTTTGCACGAGATTCGATCGTTCGAAAGCACGTTTACACACACTTAATTCGTAGAGAACACATCCTAACGACCTGAAACAGAATCAACCGCATTTATCATTTTGTCTTCGGACCATTCTTGTACCATATATCAGATTTCATATTGTATCCATCGTATCTCAATGTTTCTGGGCTCATGTAGAACGGTGTTCCGATGAAAGTTGAGGCTTTATCCATGGTGTTCATCATCAAACGTGAAATACCAAAATCTCCCAATTTAATATGATTTCGTTTGAGAAATATGTTACTAGTTTTGATATCACGATGAAGGATTTTCTTTGAATGGAGAAAATCAATGGCGGATAACAGTTGAAGAAATAAATCAATAACTTGATCCATTTGTAAACGACTTCGTTGTTTACGTAGAGATTTCAAATATTGATCCAGGTCACCATCCTATTGAAAATTATCGAGAGTATATTCAAAATTGATCGATATTTACTTCACAATATTCCGTTACGATACAGAAGTTACTTCCATCGATAAAACTATCGTAAAATCGAACAATGTTCGGATGGCGAAGACGCGATAAGATTGTCGCTTCATGTTCCGCATCTAAGGATTCGTTCGGAGAAGTGTCACCGACATAAATTTCCTTTAAAACTTTCCTTCGTAAACGAAAAACATAAGTTTATCATATATGAATTTCAAATGCTTGTTTTTCATCATACTTTTCATGTTTAGATTTAGTATCATGTACTAAAAAGGCTGTGCCAAAACTTCCGCGGCCGAGTTTTTTTATTTGATGATAACGATTAGCGTACATTGTATGTTGAACGGATTCTTCATGTGAACACATAATTCCGAGACTAAGTCAATTGTTGAAATGAGTCACATGGCTTAACTTGTTTGATTTTTATATAGACGTTAAAAATAGAGCGAAATATGTAGAGCGCAGGCATTTTCAGTGATGTTGCCGACAGCGACAGTGAGTCCTTCTAGGTGTCTGTAATTTTTTTTTCTATAGATGACTCTTGTTGTTGACAGACAATTTCTTTCAAGTAATATATTCAATAGCAGGTTAAAAGATTTTTAAATTAAAGCTTCATAGTTTTTGACTCAACTCTTTTCGAATAATCCCGCAGGCTTTACTTCAGAGCTGCTAACCAGGATTTTTATTCGATGCGTGTTTGATCTAAACAACAGTGTTATGGCATATTCCACGATGTGAGATATGGAATTCTCCAATATGTTTTCTTTCGTTCTTCTCATATATATATATATATATGTCGCAGTACAAATTAAAATTCAGGACAATTTAAAATTGTCCTAGACTTGCCTAGGAAAAATTAAAATGTTTGTGTAAAAATTTTAATTATTCCTAGGACAATTTTAAATATTCCTAAAATTTTAGGAGAATTTTAAATTGTCCTGAATTTTAATTTGTACTGCGACATATACATATGTTTTGTTCGTTCTTCTGACTCGATATGTATTACGATGGTCTTCTCCTATGAGTCATGTATATGCGTAATAGTACAGGTATTTTCCGATATAATCATATTGGAAATATCCGGTGGATCAGATATATATATATAGTCCACGTTCCTTAGCTTAAGGGTGTGCATTTTTAGTAGGTAACTTTCATTTGCTATTCATCATTACCAATAAAACCTAACTACGCTCTAAAAAGGATCTAACAAACAGCAGGCTGGTACATTAATAACGCGGATATTTAAACACCTTATTTTGGAAGTGACGATACAGAAATCTAACATTGTCTTCTGCCTTTTGACGATAGCGGATAATGAGGTGAAACATGAAAAAGAGTTCTAACTAAAAATAAAGCTAACCTGTAAGTGTCAAACTAGTTAATTCGACTAAACGTTCATTATCAACTCACCTACCATATAGCATATTCCAACAACTTCAATGATTTTTACATTGTTGTTGACATTTCGAGATGAGCTGTTATCATTATTCTATAAATTGTACTTAAGGTGCTAATCTGCAGCGGCATCTATCATCGTAACTATCTATTTTCTTTTCTCGGTTTCGTAATCGTTGTCGAATGATCTTACGAATATCCAATGATTTTTTTGTTCTAAAGAACAGTTCTGCGACATTTTGATGCAAAGCTGGCATCAAACGAGGCGTATCAACGATCATTCCCGAATTAGGTTAGTTATTTCAATATATACGAGCAAGTTCTTTTCCGTCGAACTTTTTCATTACGTATTCTTTTATGTATATAGGATGTTTTTCTACACTTGAGCGACCTATTGAGGCGAATAACGCATTTATACACATTTTTTCCACGATATCTTCCAAGCAGTTTAGAGATCAAACGCTCGATCTGAAAAAGTATTTGCCATTCATTTGAGAAGAGTCATTCAATCTAATGGAAATTGATATATGGATTATCTCTTAATGGAATAAACATTTCTCGAAGATAAGATGGTAAAATTGTGACAAGTAGATTTACAAGCGTTGTTTGCATAAAAACAACACCATCGCCTGTCTTGAGATATCCATCGGGGTTTCGAAACGCTCTTTTTTTGTTTCAATTATCAATCTCATTCATAATAACACAAAGATCTTTAGTTCGACCAAAATACATGGTTTCATCACTCTCTTAAATATTTAATAAATAGTTGCTCTGCTCAGATGAATCCTTAATATAGAATATTAGCATGTTTTTCTTCTGTGAACCGACGAAGCAAACATGGTCGGATAACTAGTGAATATAATATTTTTTCTTTTGCATAATTCTAGGTAATTTCACAAATCTCACACATTCCAGGAACACACGATGCGTTTCAGTCGATCCATGTTCAAATTGGCGAATCATATTGAATATTATTCGAAATTTCAGCCGACATCTGTTACTTTGAAAAGTCTCATTGACTTCGGTTTGTTGGAGACATTTGGAAACAAAGGTGTCTATTCTACGTCTATTTAAGCACGCGATGGTGATATCAAACAATCGTACAAATTCCTACGTGTTGAACTGCTAATTCGTTGGTCACACATGCGAAAAGAAATTGATTATCTCCCATCAAAGTAAAGCGCAATTCTGTAAAATTGCCAACTATGACATTTTTGATAGGTTAGTCGAAATGCCCAGCTTTCAACTAGTTAATTCACTATATGAGCAAAGTTATTCCGAAGTACTTGCATTTAAAGATGTCGAACCGAATGCATCAACTCTTCGCAAGTACTTGATGCAAACAAAAGGTTTTCATCTATCCTGAAAATGTTTAGCTTTACGGAAACATTGGCTAATATCCGTCGACGTCACGCTGAAGTCGTTCCTACGCTAGCTCAAGTAATTCCTCTTATCTCTCAAATCGAGCAACTCCTTCGATGGATTTCATTTTAGGCATACATGGAATTCGAAAAGCTTAGCTCGAGTGACATGATCGAAAAAAGTCGAATACAATACTTCTACGATCGATTTTTCATGAATCGAATTGGTGTTCGAACTTTAATCTATCAGCATAGTAATTAGAAAGACATGATTCGATGGAATTTTTCACTAAAGAAACTACTTCTAGCTCTTCTATTTGGTGATGAATTTCCACAAAATTCTCAACAGGCAGGAATCATCGACCCAATGGTAGATGTTGCTGCTGTTATTCATGGTAAATTTTTCGTTGCTTTCTACATCTACAACAGAAACAGAATGAAACGTGCATTTTTTGTTCTTTGCTCGAACGATTGATGACGAAATATTTGTCCCGAAAGTGCTCTCTTTCGCCTAGATGCTTATGCAACGGCCAAATTTCTTTTTGTTCAAGCGTCTTATCCAGTACCTGAAATCGATCTTTGCTCTCATAACGGTAAAAATAGAAAAATGAGAAGAGCGTTGTTTCCCTATTGATTTCTTTAGTACAAGATCACAGTACAAATCGTGTCACAATGGTGTATATTCCGTCACATCTCTATCATATTGTTTTTGAATTATTAAAAGTAATTCGATATGATAATTCGCGAGCGACTTTCATTGGTATTTTGTTTAGAATTCACTTCGTGCAACCGTTGAACGATATGGTCTGAATGCGAAAAGTTATCCACCTGTGAAAGTCCTTATTGTCAAAGGACATGAAGATCTGACAATACAAATTACTGATTCCGGTGGTAAGGGTTCTTTCGGATGTTGTGAACTCTAACGTGGAAGTTCTAATCTAATTTGTGGCGAGCGTAAAGCTTTAATTCTGCACTTAGTCGTATTGATTAGATTACGGCATAGGAGATGTTGGAATGAAGAGAAGTTAATAGGAAGAAGGATATGTATTCATTAACCATTATGAATATTCATCACATTTTTCATACATTCCATTTTGATACAAATCAACAGTTGTATTTTCTTGTTTCTTCCAGCACTTCTTCGTTGTTTTGCTTTTCTAGACAAAGATCATTTCTGTCTTACGCTACTATTGCTATTTAATGTTTTCTGACTCATATCTTTCAGAGACAGTGTTGATTCAGTCGTTGTCCTTTCTTTTCCTTCCTCCGAAAAACACGCGCGCATCTCCCCGATATATTCCTCTCATGACATACAAGTCATCGGTACATGTAAATATATTTATATTTTTTGCCTAGGTGGTATTCCACGTTCGAAACTATCACGTCTATTTCATTATATGTATTCCACAGCACCCAAACCTTCGATCGAATCCGGCAAATCGTGTATTGCTGGGCTTGGTTATGGTCTGCCGATAGCCCGTCTCTATGCCAAGTATTTTCAAGGAAACCTGATTTTGTCATCGGTAGAAGATCTTGGTACATCGGCCTATGTGTCATTAAAGGTACACAACCTTTTCCGATCAGTATTTTCATCGTTTTATTTGCTTTCTTTTTTGGGCCTTCTTCAGGCAACAGCGGAAAATGCCAGGTAAGACGAAAGTCAATAACATATGCCAATAATTAATTCCCGGTGTTTTAGTGAATTGTTGCCAATATTCAATAAATCTCGTTATTCCTATACGACTGAAAAAGGTTCTGATTGGACAGTGCAATATAAATCTTGATCATTGTTTTAGTGCATACTCTGTACAGATAATCTCAAGAAGAATATTTTTCTAGATTTGAACAAAAACTAAAATTTTCTCAATGGTGATTTGGATGAAAGTCATCTATAGATATTTCTTTAAAAGCTAATTGAAAACAGAATAATAAAATTGATTACAACATAGTTACCAATGTATTTAACACGATTTCTACGCTCACAGCAACAGTCATTAGCACATCTCATTGATCTGTACGCTAAATATCCACCAACCGGCTTAACAATGAAAAGAATTGTTCAATTTGGTATGTTTAGAACGTGTTTTTATTAATAAATTTTGTTTAATGTCGATGAATTGTTTAGCTCGCGAAGGTGATGCTAAACAGTCATATCTATTTCTTCGAAACGAGTTACCTGTTCGATTGGCATCGATGATGAAAGAAATGGGTCATTTACCACCACGATTATTAGAAATGCCCAGTGTAAAAACAGTGAACGGATGGTATGGAACATCATTACATGAACTGCATTCATTTAAAGAGTCTCCACCTACGAATGAAACTGTGAAAAAGTAAAGAAGAATTTCATGAAAATTATCTTTCACATTTCTCGGTTTTTTTTCATAGATTCACAGAAGTTTTACAGAATATACGAAAGAGACATTCAACTGTTATCGAAACATTAGCGCAGGTAACCAAAACGAAAAGCATGAAATTAGCAAGAACACGAGGACAAAGTATTCGTTTTTCTAGGGCTATATGGAATTTTCTGATCAAGGTTCAGTTAAGGAGTATGAAGAATCTCAAATACAATATTTTCTCAATCGTTTCTATCTTTCTCGAATCTCAATTCGATTATTGATCTATCAACATAGTACGTGTTTCACAGAATACCAATGTCGATATTCACATGAGAGTATCTTTTGTTTTTTATTTGCAGCAATGTGTTTCGGTGATGAAGTGCCTGTACATCCTTCACATCTCGGTTTTGTTGATCCAAATTGTTTGGTAGAGGAAATAATCAAAGGTATGTCGTATCTTCTACGAAAAACAACAGCACCGACGATCTCTGTTTAGATGCATTTGAAAATGCACAGTTTCTATGCGAAGGTTACTATTTAACGGCTCCTCCTTTAGAACTTCGAAAGATCAATGGTATAGAAATCCCCATTTTTTCATGGAGCCACATCAATATCTTTTTGTTTTAGCTATAAATCCAGAAGAACCAATTGCAATTGCATATGTACCTTCACATCTTTATCATATCATGTTTGAATTATTTAAAGTAAGTTTCCTTTCGTCGAAACAAACATGATAAATTTGACTAAATTTAGAACTCAATGCGTGCGACTGTGGAACATTCAGAAAGCAAAAAGATCAGTGGCGCATTGCCACCAATTGCGGTACGCTGTTTCTAAATCAAGACTGTAATGAATGAGCATACATGTTCGATTTTCAGGTGGATGTAGTGAAAGCAAAAGAAGATTTAACTATTCGAATAAGGTAAATAGCGTTCATTTATTAATTCGATGATCATCCGTGACATTTCAGTGATCGTGGCGGTGGTATTCCACGATCTAAAGCTGATAAAATCTTTCGTTATATGTACTCAACAGCACCGAGACCTGTATCATTAGTTGACTCGCAACACTCAGGCCCAACACCACTTGCTGGTTTTGGTTACGGTCTTCCAATAGTAAGTGCTCAATCCATCGTCATCATTGAGAAAAAACGTTCTCTTTCTCCTTCTTCTTTAGAGTCGACTCTATGCTCGATATTTCAACGGTGATTTAGAAATTCATTCAATCGATGGTTATGGTACTGATGCGTACATATATCTTCAAGTAAGATAGGAAAACATAAGTGATAGTGACGTGTACATTGATTTGTCTAGGCTGTTGAAGATCAAGCAAGCGAATGGTTACCTATATGCAATCGTGCTGCTTACGAATATTATGTTTCTCGTAAATACCAATCAGACTGGACAAAGAAGAAATAAACAGAAACATAGTTCTATCTCGACTAATCATATCTACTTATATAATCGATGAAAATAGTGATCCGTTTGACTTTCTTGATCATTTATTTCTTTTGTGTATACATTTAGAGTTTAGTTTTGAACTGAAATTCAAGCTACTAGTGAAAAATAGAATTTTGCCATTGATAGACTAGATTTTTCTTTTTCTCTTGGCCGAAATCAACTTTGGTGAAAAGAGAATAGTGCTATTGATGCACAATTGTTTATTTCTATTTGTTTTCTATTGTATATTTCACTGATAGACGTCATTTTTCTTTCTGTTCCTTTCACACTATATATACGCTGGTGAAATAGAATAAAAGAATCGGTTTCAACTGTTTGTTCATTGTTTGAATATCAGAATTATGTTTTTTTTCACCTGAGTTTATTCAGTAGTCTGTGTCGATGAATTTTAGAGTTATCCGATTGACGTTCTTTATGAAGAGATGAGATTTTCCCGGGTAGATGACAAAACCAGTTGTAGACAAGAGTTGAACATGTAGAACGTTTAGAAGAATTAAAGCGAAGCGGTTCTTTAGCAAGACGATCAGATAGCGATACTCGATTGTATTGACTTCGTGTTTTCGAGACAGATAGATAGCCGGGTGACGTTTGGGTCATTGTGGAGATTGTAGTTGGTCGATTGAAGCTGTTCGCTGTTCTTGATGTTAAAGTTTTCTGCTGAATACTTGTCGGTGATTTTGGACAATGATGATGACAGCCAGATGATTGTGTAGGTGAAATTGTAAAAAGGCGTGGTTTAGCCCATGATGAATGATATGGGATATAAATACTTGTCGAATATGTGACGGGTAAATGAGTAGATGATCGACGAGTGTTTTCTCTTCCGTTGATGCGACGATCTGATTTGACTTCATTCGATTGTTTTACTATTGGTGAGAGATCAGCACGAATCGAACATGTTATTGGCTGTTTCGATATGATTAATGCTTCGATATTCAGATCAGTGTCGTTCATCTGTTCTGACATTCGCACGGAATGGGAGCGAATTCATTCGTCGATGTTAATGGTGCATAGACGATATATATTGAGTTTTTTTTTCGATTTTAAAATGTTAATAGATACAAATGTTTTTATTTTCGAAATTGTGAGAAAAAGAACAACAGATTGAGTTGGCAAAATTTATAAAAGAATACATTTATCCAGACGATGGCTGTGTTTACGTGATTGCCCATGTGAACGTCCTGCACTAGCTGATGTTGAACTATCTATACGGCCATGATGCCCTGAATTGTCATTAGCTGGTGCTCGGGGTGGACCGCGACCCGGAGTGCCGATTGGTGTGCGATTGATTTGTCGAACAAGATCGAAAAAGATCTAATGTAGAGAAAGGAATTTTCTAGAAAAGCGAAATAAAGAGAGAAAAGCTGACTTCGTTCACATTTCCATGATCCTTTGCCGACGTTTCGAGAAACGTACATTTCCATTTCTTTGCCAGCGCCTGACCCATTTCACGGCCGACAACTCGTTCATCTTCTAGATCACTCTTATTTCCAACGAGGATGAGCGGTGGTTGACCCTAAATATCGCATAGCGGACACGTTCTACAAGTTCAAAATGCGTAGTTACATGAATTTCCACATCTTTTACACGCATTATGCGATCATAGAAGTCGTTTAAATCATTAAACGTTGCTTGAGATGTGATCGAGTATACAAGAACAAAACCTTGTCCATTTTTCACATATAGATCTCTCATTGCAGAGAATTCTTCCTGAAATCGAGCACAAATCAAACTATTTCTTCTCCTATCCAATCTAATTTACCGTTCCAGCTGTATCTAAGATTTCTAATGAGTATTGTTTTTCGTCAATTTCTACAGTCTAAAAACAAGGAAAGAAAATACTACATGGTTTTCTCTTCCGATCGTAGTTTCTACTTTTTTATACACATCTTCAATCGTTGGATCATACTTTGGGAGAAAGATTCCTTGTACGAATTGCATAGTCTACAAATGAAGAATTAGCTGAGAATGTGTTGAGATTAGTTCGCTTGATCGCTTACCAAACATGATTTCCCGACACCTCCACTGCCGAAAACGCATAGTTTGTATTCTGGAATTGGCATAATTACCGTTCTATATGTCCTTAACTAAACAGAAATATCATCGAAATCGCGTACAGAAAAAAAAGTGGAGAAAAACGCCGGTTAGTAATCAATGACATCAACAACTATTTATTTCGACTCTCTTTTCACTCACCTAGGCTGTGTCTCTTTCACAAAATGTGCGCTTTATATGACGTTAATAGTGTTTGAATATGTACGTTGATGTATATATTCGAAAAAAAGAAAGAAATAGAGTCTACACTCTAATCACAAAATGGACACCGACTGCGTATAAAAAGGAACATGCAATGAAAGACGAACATGACTTATTTGAGTCACGCTTATCGATGAGATATGCATAAGCAATTTTCTGTACTGTATGTGTGTTTTTCTTTTAGTATTAACTCGTCATTATCATCTAAAGAGGAATACAAAAAATAGATATTAGTAACTCGATAGTTTTAGAGAAGAACACAGCAACAGCGTCGTTCTTGTTTCTCCTCGGTTTTCGACGAAGATTTAGGTGTTGGAGGATCGTTGTGAATAACCACTCGTCCACCAGCTCCATCGTCATTCGTTGCGACTTGTCTCTTTGCTAGTGATGATCGATTGATTTGACGAACGAGATCGTAGAAAACTTCAGCAACATTCAGTTTGGTTTTGGCCGATGTTTCTAAAAACGAACACTTCCATTTTCGCGCTAAATTTTGCCCAGTTTCACGAGAGACGATTCGATCCTTCTCAGAGTCACATTTATTTCCTACTAGAACTATCGGTGGTTGACCCTAAATACATTGAAAAGCTTTTTTCCGCTGTCATCAATCAAATTTTCTTCAATTACATCTTTGTCAACATCTTTGATTGAAATGATTCGTTCATAATATCTTTCGACCTCATTAAACGTTGCTTGTGACGTGATTGAATAGACCAGAACAAATCCGTGACCATTACTCACATATAGATCTCTCATCGACGAGAATTCCTCCTAGAAATGCAGCAAAACATCATCGATCAATTCAGACATCTTTCTTATCAATTCACACTGCCAGCTGTGTCGAGAATTTCTAAATCATATTGCTTGCCGTCACATTCAAGTGTCTACGAATAATGTCGACAGTCATGAAAACATTCAATCAACGGAGAAATGTACTTTCTTATAGACATCTTCGATAGTTGGATCGTATTTTTCCAGAAACACTCCTTGAACAAATTGCATCGTCTGTTAAACATGCGACAGGTGATGATAATTTCGAAGAGATTTCCTTACCAGACATGATTTCCCTACACCACCTGATCCGAACACGCAGATAATATATTCACTCATATTTCAATTCACTTAGTTCGCAATTCGAATGGAGGTTTTTCATATTTCTCGAACGTTTATCTACCCTCGTTTTATCATTATTTTTCTTCTTCGTTGCTGATAATAGTTTACACGAGAAATTTTCGCTAGCAACTGTAACAACAACATAGATACCGGTGCGAGGAATTGTAAAAGTATTGTGATGACTCATTCTTCGTCGCATAATGATTCATTCATTTATGATCGTTCCACAGTCGGGTTCGCTTTATTATTATTATGACGTAGATTCTATCTATAAGATAGAATGAATTTGAAATAAAACGAGCAGGTTTGGTTTGCTTATACACATTCAACAAAATTGACGAATATTATGAATTGAGAAGAGAAAAAGAGATAAGATCTGTTCGGCATGTGATGTGCGTTCTCATAACAGAACACAACAATCTTTGAATTGTCCATTCAATCGCTCGGAACGATATGGTGACGATTGATTATATTGATAATCACTTCGCGGTTCAAGTTGATCGAAGCCTTGAGATGCAATTTGTCTTGCTTGTCTAGGTCGAGGAGTCTTGCGGTTGATTTGTCGGATTAAATCGAAAAAAATCTAGTAATTTATGTGAATATATTTCTTCTGCGAGACGAATCAACTAGACTTACTTCATTCACATTAACTTGTAACTTAGCAGATGCTTCCAGGAATGTACAACTAAACGATCGAGCTAAACTTTCGCCATTCTGCTTGCCAACTACACGTTCGTCTTCTAAATCATTCTTATTTCCCACGAGAACCATAGGTATATCAGCACCAATATCTTTAACACGCATAATTTGATCTTTAATATCGATTAAATCATTGAAAGTCGCTTGCGACGTGATCGAATAGACTAATATGAAACCCTGTCCATTTTTCATGTACAAATCTCTCATTGCAGTGAATTGCTCCTAGGAAAAATCAAAATATTATTTATGTTCTTTGTATAAATATTCATTTACTGTTCCAGCTGTGTCCAATATTTCCAGCATACAATTAACGCCATCAATTTCCACTTGCTACAAATACGAAATAAATATTTAATTAATTATTTTTAGATAATTAAAAACAAAATATTCTTCATGATTTATTTACTTTTCGATAGCAATCTTCGATTGTTGGATCATATTTGCCCACAAATATACCCTGAACAAATTGCACAGTCAATGCACTTTTACCAACACCACCACTGCCTAATACTACGAGTTTATATTCTCGCATGATGTTACAACGAACGGAATGAAGATTCTGAAGAAAACAAAAAGAAGGAATCCAATAAAGTATGTAGGATGAATAATACAGCTACGGATGGCGTCGCTTGCGCCTTTTTTCTCTTCTGTTCTCTGCCTGTATGAATGCACAGACGTCGAATAGATGTTAAACTTTTTTTTTGAAATATGAGTAGGCGAGGTGTTGATCGAGCACGGACATCGACCTAATGGTGGCAGTGCGACGCGCCAATGACAGTTAGAAAAGACGAAGAAAGAGAAAGGAAAGGTAAAATTTCTTCCGCAAACTCGGTCGCCATCGTACACATCTAATTGACAAAAAACAACAGAGCTAAAATACACGTACACACACGCACTATATAGTCTTTTCTCTCGAGGAAAAGAAAAGAGAAGAAGAAGAAGAAGAAGAAGTTCATTTTTATTCATTTCTTTCTCTCCTTTTTCGTTCTTTCTTCTTGTTTTAGTTGGATATTTATATAATATGTAGGAGAAAAAAAAGTAACGATGACAAATGAAATCAAAATGCTGAAGACGTCAAACGTTCGCTTTTCTCGTCTTTCCTTTCTTTCTTCTTTTTATTTCTCAACGATTTTTATTTTATAATGATCCCGTTGCTTTTAACTGTCTTGAGCGAAAAGAAAATGATAGAGTATGAAATGTTTCACATACACACACACACACAGGAGGCTGAATCACATCTCATTATTAAGTGTGGATGTGTGTACATAGAGATCAACTGATCCGATGGATTGGTGTCGGTAAGAGAAATGAATAGCGCGTGGTGTGTAGGAGCTTGATTGATTTGAATTCTCTCGAACAAGATCATGTAGAAGAAAACGTGTTACAATGAAACGCCTTTAAATCCATGATGGCATTACAATTTTTTAATGAATGAACACACACTTGATAAATTATATGGTTTCATCTGAAAGAAGTCAAGTGTACTCGTTTTTTCACTGATTTTATCATTATGTCTCGAATGTACTTTTTCGTTGTGGACATGCCGTCCTTTCATGCAAATAATGACTATAACATTGGACTATTTTTATAATTTCAATCAATAATGAATATGTTTGTTAGTACGACATGTTTCCTTGTTTAAATCGACGAAAAAAAACTTGATTTTTCCTCTGTATGTACACATTTGATCCATTCATGTGGAACATTTACCACTATTTGTGGTTACCTATTTGTACACACGAACGTCTGGTCTCAGAATATCTTCTTTTACCAACGAGTACCGGCGTTATAAGATATATTAAACGAACAAGAAATAGGAGATCTGCTGAGTTGAACTGGTGATCCGAAAGGACAATATGGGCGGCATGATGAGTCTGCATTCATTCTTGGAGTTGATATTTGACAATTTATCATATTCTCTTCTAGGTCATATTCCTCGTTCAGGTTACAGAGATCCATTTGCCGGTAAAAAAGCACGTATTCATGGTAAACCATATTTATTTCAACGACGACTAGGTGCTGGCGGTTTCGGTAATCAGATGATCAGTTTGTTTTTCTTGTTGATGTAATTAGATCAATTTAGGCACTGTATATTCGGCTCGTGCACCTGACGGCAGTCGTGTGGCAATTAAAGTAATTGATATCAATAGAATACGAGGTGCCGGTGAGAATCTTGTTGCATCTTATCTAACGGAAGTGAAAAATCTTGAACAGTTAAGACAAGAATCACGACATGTTGTGAAAATTTACGATTTCGATTTCGATTCTCGATCCGGTCGAGGTAAAAATTCCTGCGAAGAGTACAGACCTATGCGAATTGATTTCTCTTAGCTTATATTGTCATGGAATTAGGTGGTGAAAATCTTGCCAAATTAATTTACCGTTTACACGCAGCACAACCTAAATCGCGTCCTCCTGGGACGTTTATTGATCCGGTTATTCGAAAGGAAATTTGGCGACAAATGGTTAGTATTGTTCAGACGTTGACAGGACAAAATATTGTTCATATGGACCTTAAGCCAGATAATGTTATTCTCTTCGGTGATGTCCTTAAAATTGTTGATTTAGGCATATCAAAGAAAGGTAATATGTTAGGGTATGTCCTTCACTGCACATCATGTTGATTTTTTAATCTCATTCGGGATTTAGACTTGCTGGTGTGGGTACACCATTGTTCAGGTGAGTTGAATTTCATTCTCAAACTTCGAAATCAATGTGTTATTTCTAGTGCGCCTGAAGTAATGCAAGATGTTCGTGGTAGTCGTCGGATGTACGGTCCGAAGGCCGATGTTTGGTCACTAGGTGCAATTCTCTATGCAATGACGTATGGTCAACCACCAAAATACACATCTCGAGCAGCAGAGCCTCCATCTGGACAAGCGGCTTCACGCGATCGTTCACTCATTGACATGCTTCGTCGAACGCTTGTTCTCGATCCACATTCACGTGCTGATATCAATTCAGTTCTACATCACCCTTATACGCGTCATTAAAATGCTCTTTTTCTTCTCGCTTCAGTTGTTAAAGTACGAGACGATTTCGTATGGGAAAATGATCATTAAATAAAATATTTTTTGTTTTATATGTTTAACATGAAAAGAACATGAGTCGTTTCCTTCGATTTTTCAGATGACATCGATCAACGATATTCGAACGAAAATCAAATTAGAAGATACCGAACTTCTGAATGTAAATGAATCGATAGATGTGAAATGACTTCGTACGAAGATATGTTTGTTTTTAGACGACATCAACAAACTTTCCTGGGAATTATCCAGGTTACGATGATCGTTTAAATCTAGAGGAATTCAAAAAAGTAATCATGCGATGTCTTTCAAAACCATGACGAATGAATTCGGTTTGTTTTCAGAAGCTCCAAATTCAGATTTTAAATTTGAATGATACAACAACTGAATTTGATATCATTGGCACGGACGCATCGATTACAAATGCATTTCGTCGTATACTCATTGCTGAATTGCCATCAATGGTAAGCTACTAAACTCCACAATGAATAAACCATTCCACCTTCTGTAGGCTATTGAAAAAGTTCATATCACGGAAAATTCATCGGTTTTACCAGACGATGTACTCGCTCATCGGCTAGGCTTAATTCCATTGCGTGCCGATGCTCGGTTATTTGTGGACAAAGCGCCTGGTGACACACGAGAATGTGAAGAAGATACGTTAATCTTCAAACTCAAAGTAATATGTAAGAAAAATCCGAAAGCAATCGCAGATGGAAATGATGATCCGAAAAATCTCTATATTAATAGCAGTGGTAAGATTAAAAGAAGAGAAAAATGTCTTTTGGTGACCTTGCTTGTTTGCTAGTCTATACGGAACACATGGAATGGATACCAATTGGCAATCAAGCAACAAAGGTTTGATTGAATTGCGATTTTCATAAATGAGAATTCGATGGAGAATGTTTTAGTATAAAGTCGAGGATATTGGGCCAGTGTTTAATGATATTTTGATTGTTAAACTTCGTCCGGGCCAAGTAAGTTATTCGTTTGTCAGAAAAAGATCAATTTTTGTTTGGTGATGTTAGGAAATAGATCTCAAACTCGTCTGTCATAAAGGTATTGGCCGTGATCATGCCAAATTCTCACCAGTTTGTAAGCAACACATTCTAAAAAGCAGAACAGAACGAGTGTTCACCATTCCATGATGCATTTAGGTACGGCATCTTATCGTCTAATGCCTGAGATTATCTTAAAAGAGCCAATTTATGATCAAGACGCCGAAGAATTACAAAAATGTTTTACACAAGGTGTTATCGAACTCGAAGACGATAAGAACGGTAATTATATTTTCACCGACGAACAATCGCTCTTCTTATCATAATTGGCCGATTTGAAACTGTCGATATTAATTTAGGTCGCCGTCGTGCTGTTGTCGCCAAGCCACGACTCGATATGTGTAGCCGTGAAGCACTTCGTCATCCAGAATTCAAAGATTGCATTGAATTGAACAAAATTCGTGATCATTTCATTTGTCGGTATCATTTTTGTGTTGTCACATTGGAATTTCTCTTTCGTTTTTTCTAGTTAGCATCGAAAGTGCTGGTGCTGTTCCACCCGATCAGCTGTTTATCGATGCAATCAAACTACTCATGTCGAAATGCGATCGACTATTACAAGAAATCGATGGTAATACAAACAATTAATAATCAAATATTTTTCTTCATCGAATGTATTTGTTATTGTGTTCTTTTTGTTATGTTAAAAAGAGAAAAATACACATGAATAAGACGACAAAAGGAATGTACCAGCACTCCATTGAATAAAAAGAAAAGAAAACAAACGTCGACACAATGGCAGTTCTATTTATATATATATGTATGTATATATGATTCTCAATGTTGTACTTCGTAACTAGAAGGATCTATGTACAAGAGAATGAATGTCCAGCATTCAGAAAAGGCGTGTCCGTGTATTTTTAAACCGTACTGTCTTTTTCTCGTTGCAATGTTTCAGTCAAATAGAGTCTTAATTGTTCATCGGATGGTTCACATTGGGTTGAAGAAGATGTGGAATGAGTTGGACGATGATTTCGTTGATGATCAGTGGATGTCGAGGGTACTAGATTTGAAAAATGAATGATTGCCGCTGGTGGTGAAAATGACGTTGTTTGAGTCGATTGTACCGAACAAGTTGGAGTTGGCTCGTGCTGATGGAAATGTAATTTCATGTGATCGTTAGTTTCAGAAATATATGAAAATACCGATGGTTTTAAATAGGTTTGAGATGATGAATGATGTTGTTCGAGTTCTTGTCGGCTGGATATTATTGTAGGTGCAGAGAGTTGAGCATGGACTTGTTGTTGAGCAAGATGGAGTTGCTGGATTGAGCTCATTTCGCGTTTTAACGAACTGATTTTGGACTTGGTTCGAACGAGTTCTTGCTTCATTGCACGATTTTCATCTTCGAGCCGTTTCTTTTCCTAATTAAAGACAAATTCATCAACATATTTCATCGAATTACACTTCAACTTTTTAATTCTACCTCTTCGGCTTGTCTCAATCGTTCGAATATTTCATTTTGCGTCGTATCGGACTTAGCAGGCAATGATCGCAAAGATTCGGTTAAAGATAATCTTCTTGAATTCAGATTCTGACTACTTCCATAGTTGATGTTCGTTTTCAATGGTTGTAGGCTATTATTGGTTGAAAGGCATGTTTCATCATCATTATCGTCCAAGGTTGGAGATGTTACTAAGCCAATATCTTTACACGCCGCAGTTCGAACGTGACGTCGAATTTTTCTCGGTCCAAAGAAACGTCTTGTATCATCATCGTCGTCGCTGACATCACCTTCGAGAAACGATGCTTGTCCATAGAAGAGTGGAGAGGTGAACTTCTCTTGTTCATTGACTTCGGTTTTGGCTGTTGTGATACTTGCTGTAGACTCAGAAGTTCCTGTGGATGTGCTTGGAGCTGAAGCTAACAAAGTTGGAGGTGGTAATGGTCGATTCCAGGTAAAGCATCGATCATTCCATTTTTCGAAACTATCTGAACAAATCAATGGCCCGCGCGGAATTAATTGTTGAGCAACAGGAGTGACATTCGTTGACGGGATACTATTCACATTGTGAGGATGTGGCGGGGATGGCGGGTGGGTGTAATAATAATCATCATTGGAATCGGATAAAACAGGTTTTCGATGTTTTAACGATGTTGACTTGTGTATATGCCAAGCTTGAGAAAGTTGATTGAATTTTTCTTGCGATAATGAGTGTGATTCTTCATCGGATGAACTTGTGCAACTTTCCGATGTTGCTGATGAGGATGATGTGGAAGAAAAGTTGAAATCTTCTGTTTGCGTGCCTTTTTGTTTACGAGTTTTACGTATTCGAAATGAATTTCGTCCGTGACGAGGATCACCCATGGAGCCTTGTTTATTCGTTGGATGAGAACGTTTCTGCCGACATTCCATGACAACCTGATCTTTGCAATGACGATGGGCATTGATACCACAATCTATTTGATTGAATGGAAGTGGAAGTTGGAAGAACGGTCAACGAATCTTCGATTTCGACTTACCTTTACATTTCCATCCTTGCTTAATTAAACCCCAAAGAAGTCCGGTACAATGAACACAGAATGTTGGTTTAAAATAAGTTGTTTCATGAAAATCATGCTTGAATTCGCCCTTCAAATCATGATATTTGGCACGTAAAAAGTAACAACGCATTTCTGTTTTCGATATCATTCCATCTCTAGAACAAGCGAAGACATTCTCAATATCTATGTAATGAAAGTCTTCTTTCCACATACTGATCAGCGTCAAGTACAGTAAACGTATCGATAAATGGAAAATTTTGAGCAATTTCTTCGAACTCTGTATGTGAAATGTAACCATCGCGATCATGATCATATGTTGTAAAAACTGCTTCGACCATTGCGTTTACATGTCGTTGTATAGTTTGAATATCAATCGTTTGACTAACACCAGCTGCCCAGTCGGCAAAGACAGGACTATGTATTTGTTCTTTTTTCTTAAATCCATCCGTTGTCGTATCATTCGTTGCGTCGCCTGGCTGTAAACCTCGAGCAGCTTGATCAGGCTAAGAAAAGCGAACGAATAAAGAATCATTTCTATTGCGTATGGTCTTACCGATGACACCGATGATCGAGGTTCTCTTGCTAATGAAAGCTCGTAAATTTCATCTTCAGTATAACTTAAATCCAGCGAAAGCTACAAATAACTCAGATACGTCATTTCAAATCTCCTTAAAAGGCGACGAAATAACCTACCGTGAGTAAATTAATCAAATCATGATTTGGTTGAACAGGTGGTACGGACATCTGTAAATTCGTCAATGTTCGAAATGTAATACTCAGTTGTACCAATTTTCGAAAGTTGATCAGATCATATTCTAGTCGATCTTGCAACGCCACGTGTAGAGAAATGATATCTTTCAAGTGAACTCCACTGAAATAAAAACTCAACATTTGCCAATAAGACTCAGAACAATCGTTACTTACATGATCGGTATCTTAAAACCATCGCAATCGCTCAAACTCTTTCGATATTGTGCATAATTAGAATTCGAAGACAATAAATCGGTCATTTCACCGAGTAGTTTAATATCTTCCGACGACAAGCACATCATTGTTTTGGATAAGCGTGCTAGAGCACTATGAGATATGCCGCCAATTACGGCTAAACACGTGTTAAAATTTTGTAGCTCTTTCAAATGCTAAAGAACAAATTCGAGGTTAACATGAAACGAAACGAAATGATCAATTACTTTCGCGACGTCGAGAAATTTGTGTATGACTTCTGCTCGTTGTTTCGGTGTCATTTTACTTAACACCATACATTGTATCCATGTTGATAAGCCATTAAAAAACTGGATAGAACGTTCGAGACGTGGATTGTCTTGGAGAGTATTCTTGATCGCATATGTTTTGTAATCTGTAAATGTTATTCGTCGAAGAATTTTCCATTCGAGATAAGTCAACTGCGCTGCTAACGTCTGAGGTTCGATGTTATTAAAGGCGAGCGAAGCAGTTTTGTTTTTCGTTTGATTTCGCACAGTCATTTGACGCATCCAGTCAAATGACGGTCTAAACAATTGCAAACCAATTTCAAATACAATTCGTCAAAAATACCTTTCAACTTACACTTGGGAAGGATCGACTAAATTCATACATTCTATATCACCTGATACTTCAATTAGATTCTTCATTTGTTCACAAGTTTCTTTCAATCGTTTATCCAAATCAAAATGCATGGGGAAGTTTTTCATCCAAAAACTACAACAATCGAATGAATATCTAGACGAAAGCGAAAAGCTATTGACCTACTTGTATGCATAGCAAATATGTAATTGATATTCTTTATAGCTTCGTTTTTCCGCGACATTTATTGCTTTTTTATAATCATCACCTGTGTGTTTATATAGGTCATACAACATATGACTCAAATATTCGGATTCCATAATCCATTTGTGCATGAGAAAAAACACTTTAGGAAATTCATTTTCGTTAGACATTGGTCCGTTCGTTTCTAGACCAAATCAAAATCGTTCAATGGAAACAAATGAGTTAATTTCAAACTTACGAAACGAATCCACTAGTATACGAATCAAACGATTGAGTGTGGCACCTTTCACGTGTATACCAGGTAGGATAGGTTTGTCTTCTTTAACATATTCAGGTGTTTCATTGGATTCGGAACGCGTATCGGATTCATCTCCACCACCACTGCTAATCGTTTGCTGTTTATCGATTGACGGTACTGATTCAGTAGTAAATCGATTATTGATGAAAGTTGGATTCGTTTGTAGTTGTACTTTTTTACGATTATGCAAATGTTCATTCGTATCGATTTCGAACGTCACTGGACTGTTTTCATCGAGATCTTGAATGTTGGAGATCGCTTGTGAACGTTTAATTGTCGCCGATAACTTATTGGAGTCATTATCGACACCTCCGAGACGTAGTTTATTTTGATGCCCGGCAAAAGACGAACATGAACTTAATGAAGAAACAGGAAAATGGTGTGAAGATGGTGACATAATTGGTAGAACTAATGGTGAAGATGATATGGATGATTCATCGGGTGATAACGGCACCGGTTGATGAAGACTACTCGTAGTATTCATTCTTGCTATCTATCGACATGAGCTAGAACAGACAAGTAAACATGCTCATATATGCACAGGAGGAGAGAGAGAGAGAGGTGTACTAGAAGAAAAACAAGAATTTGTTGTGTTCCCATGAGGACGTTCGAGAGAAAATCTAAATGAAATTTACAGCTGATGCTTCATATTTCTTTTCCTTTCAGGCTGCTTTTTATTCTTCATTTATAAAATAATATTGATACTCGCCGTCAAATGAATATAATAGTGATGACGCACATGTATACAATATATTCTTGTCATTTAACTGAACTCCGACATTCCGAAAGCATGTAGGAGGAAATAGATAAATAAAAACAGCTAAGCAAAAAAGAATAACTAGTTCATCGTCAACGTCATTGCTCGATGGAAAAGAGAACTTGTACATTCTACTCGATTATGCTCTTTACGTCACTCAGTTCAGAAGACAAAACAACTATTTTCTCTTAAATTACATTGAATTAACGAGATAGAAACAAAAGAATATGTTTACAATGATAATATTGATTCATCGAAGACTTACCATATGTTTGGAATGATGAATACTGCTACATTTCATCGTGGTCGGCCTGAATGTTGATAATAATCAATCATTCAATCAATAAATTAATCAAGCATAGTCGTAATTGTCATTCGTTGTCTATTTAACATAGTAAATTATGAAGTATGAGAACAATCAAACAAAGATCCGAAGAGACGAATGCTGATAATTCACGATGATGATCTAGAAACTTTGTGTGTATGTGAATATAAGTAAAAAGAAAAGAAAAGATTCCTACTGCGGCTCAAATGATGGTTTGCTTGCCGTGCGTAAGGGAAATACGAGACTTGAAAGTCCTTTGGAGGTGTAGTATTGCGTTTTGTGGAAATTTTTGATACGGCTCGTCGGTACGAGACGTTTTCGTCAATAAACTTCGATTATCTTTTATGAGGAATAGGTTTGATTTNAAGACGAAGAAAGAGAAAGGAAAGGTAAAATTTCTTCCGCAAACTCGGTCGCCATCGTACACATCTAATTGACAAAAAAACAACAGAGCTAAAATACACGTACACACACGCACTATATAGTCTTTTCTCTCGAGGAAAAGAAAAGAGAAGAAGAAGAAGAAGAAGAAGTTCACTTTTATTCATTTCTTCCTCTCCTTTTTCGTTCTTTCTTCTTGTTTTAGTTGGATATTTATATAATATGTAGGAGAAAAAAAATGTAACGATGACAAATGAAATCAAAATGCTGAAGACGTCAAACGGTCGCTTTTCTCGTCTTTCCTTTCTTTCTTCTTTTTATTTCTCAACGATTTTTATTTTACAATGATCCCGTTGCTTTTAACTGTCTTGAGCGAAAAGAAAATGATAGAGTATGAAATGTTTCACATACATACACACACACAGGAGGCTGAATCACATCTCATTATTAAGTGTGGATGTGTGTACATAGAGATCAACTGATCCGATGGATTGGTGTCGGTAAGAGAAATGAATAGCGCGCGGTGTGTGGGAGCTTGATTGATTTGGATTCTCTCGAACGAGATCATGTAGGAGAAAACGTGTTACAACGAAACACCTTTAAATCCATGATGGCATTATATTTTTTTTAATGAATGAACACACACTTGATAAATTATATGGTTTCATCTGAGAGAAGTCAAGTGCACTCGTTTTTTCACTGATTTTATCATTATGTCTCGAGTATACTTTTTCGTCGTGGACATGCCGTCCTTTCATGCAAATAATGACTATAACATTGGACTATTTTTATAATTTCAATCAATAATGAATATGTTTGTTAGTACGACATGTTTCCTTGTTTAAATCGACGAAAAAAAACTTGATTTTTCCGCTGTATGTACACATTTGATCCATTCATGTGGAACATTTACCACTATTTGTGGGCACCTATTTGTACGCACGAACGTCTGGTCTCAGAATATCTTCTTTTACCAACGAGTACCAACGATATAAGTTATTAAAGGAACGAGAAATAGAAGGTCTGCTGAGTTGAACTGGTAATCCGAAAGGACAATATGGGTGGCATGATGAGTCTGAATTCATTCTTGGAGTTGATATTTGACAATTTATCATATTCTCTTCTAGGTCAAATTCCTCGTTCAAATTTCAGAGATCCATTTGTTGGTAAAAAAGCGCGTATTCATGGTAAACCATATTTATTTCAACGACGACTAGGTGCTGGTGGTTTCGGTAATCAGATGATCAGTTTGTTTTTCTTGTTGATGTAATTAGATCAATTTAGGCACTGTGTATTCTGCTCGTGCGCCTGACGGCAGTAGTGTGGCAATTAAAGTAATTGATATCAATAGAATACGAGGTGCCGGTGAGAATCTTGTTGCATCTTATCTAACGGAAGTGAAAAATCTCGAACAGTTAAGACAAGAATCACGACATGTTGTGAAGATTTACGATTTCGATTTCGATTCTCGATCTGGTCGAGGTAAGCATTTCGGCGAAGAGTAAAGACATATGCTAATTGATTTCTCTTAGCTTATATTGTCATGGAATTAGGTGGTGAAAATCTTGCCAAATTAATTTACCGTTTACACGCAGCCCAACCTAAATCGCGTCCTCCTGGGACGTTTATTGATCCGGTTATTCGAAAGGAAATTTGGCGGCAAATGGTTAGTATTGTTCAGACGTTGACAGGAAAAAATATTGTTCATATGGACCTTAAGCCAGATAATGTTATTCTCTTCGGTGATGTCCTTAAAATTGTTGATTTAGGCATATCAAAGAAAGGTAATATGTTAGGGTATGTCCTTCGCTGCACATCATGTTGATTTTTTAATCTCGTTCTTGATTTAGACATGCTGGTGTGGGCACACCATTGTTCAGGTGAGCTGAATTTCATTCTCAAACTTCGAAATCCATGTGTTATTTCTAGTGCGCCTGAAGTAATGCAAGATGTTCGCGGTAGCCGTCGAATGTATGGTCCGAAAGCCGATGTTTGGTCACTAGGTGCAATTCTCTATGCAATGACGTATGGTCAGCCACCAAAATACACATCTCGAGCAGCAGAGCCTCCATCTGGGCAGGCGGCTTCACGGGATCGTTCTCTTATTGATATACTTCGTCGAATGCTTGTTCTCGATCCACATTCGCGTGCTGATATCAATTCAGTTCTACATCACCCTTATACGCGTCGTTAAAATGCTCTTTTTCTTCTCGCTTCAGTTGTTCAAGTGCGAGACGATTTTGTATGCAAAAATGATCATTAAATAAAATATTTTCTGTTTTATATGTTTAACATGAAAAGAACATGAGTCGTTTCCTTCAATTTTTCAGATGACATCGATCAACGATATTCGAACGAAAATCAAATTAGAAGATACCGAACTTCTGAATGTAAATTAATCGATAGATATGAAACGATTTCGTACGAAGATATGTTTGTTTTTAGACGACATCAACAAACTTTCCCGGGAATTATCCAGGTTACGATGATCGTTTAAATCTAGATGAATTCAAAAAAGTAATCATGAGATGTCTTTCAAAAACATGACGAATGAATTCGGTTTGTTTTCAGAAACTCCAAATTCAGATTTTGAATTTAAATGATACCACAACTGAATTTGATATCATTGGCACTGACGCATCGATTACAAATGCATTTCGTCGTATACTCATTGCTGAATTGCCATCAATGGTGAGCTACGAAAACTCTACGATAAATAAACCATCTCATCTTCTGTAGGCTATTGAAAAAGTTCATATCACGGAAAACTCATCGGTTTTACCAGACGATGTACTTGCTCACCGGCTAGGCTTAATTCCATTGCGTGCCGATGCTCGGTTATTTGTGGACAAAGCGCCTGGTGATACACGAGAATGTGAAGAAGATACATTAATCTTTAAACTCAGAGTAATATGTAAGAAAAATCCGAAAGCAACCGCAGACGGAAGTGATGATCCAAAAAATCTCTATATTAATAGCAGCGGTAAGATAAAAAGAAGAGAAGATTGTCTTTTGATGACCTTGCTTGTTTGCTAGTTTATACGGAGCACATGGAATGGATACCAATTGGCAGTCAAGCAACAAAGGTTTGGTGGAGTTTCGATTTTCACAAATGAAAATTCGATGGAGAATGTTTTAGTATAAAGTCGAGGATATTGGACCAGTGTTTAATGATATTTTGATTGTTAAACTCCGTCCGGGCCAAGTAAGTTATTCGTTTGTCAAAAGAAGATCATTTTTTGTTTGGTGATGTTAGGAAATAGATCTCAAACTCGTCTGTCATAAAGGTATCGGCCGTGATCATGCCAAATTCTCACCAGTTTGTAAGCAACACATTCTAAAAAGAGAACAGAACGAATGTTCACCATCCCACGATCCATTTAGGTACGGCATCTTATCGTCTAATGCCGGAGATTATCTTAAAAGAGCCAATTTATGATCAATACGCCGAAGAATTACAAAAATGTTTTACACCAGGTGTTATCGAACTCGAAGACGATAAGAACGGTAATTATATTTTCATCGACGAACAATCAGTCTTGTTGTCATAATTGGTCGATTTAAAACTGTCGATATTAATTTAGGTCGCCGTCGTGCTGTTGTCGCCAAGCCACGTCTCGATATGTGTAGCCGTGAAGCACTTCGTCATCCGGAATTCAAAGATTGCATTGAATTGAACAAAATTCGTGATCACTTCATTTGTCGGTATCATTTTTGTGTTTTCTCATTGGAATTTCTCTTTCGTTTTCTAGTTAGCATCGAAAGTGCTGGTGCTGTTCCACCTGATCAGCTGTTTATCGATGCAATCAAACTACTCATGTCGAAATGCGATCGACTATTACAAGAAATCGATGGTAATGCAAACAATTAATAATCAAATATTTTTCTTCATCGAATGTATTTGTTATTGTTTTCTTTTTTGTTATGTTAAAAAGAGAAAAATACACATGAATAAGACGACAAAAGGAATGTACCAGCACTCCATTGAATAAAAAGAAAAGAAAACAAACGTCGACACAAT